TAGGACCACAAGACAGAAGAAGAAAGATCTTTTTATTTTAAGCTTCTAGCTCAATTTTGAAGGAAGTTGCATCAATTTTTTTAAAATTCAAAACAAATCTTAAAAATTCCACTTATTTATTGCTTATGCCATGATCGCAACCACCCTGAAAACTAAATGAGGTCTTGCATCTACTTTGCCCCTAGACACTTTGTGGAGGAACAACATAATAGTATTTCTATTTCGAGAAAGCGATGGGCTCAAAATATCATACTTAACATGAAATAAAGTGAACCTACATGAGAAATGCCTTGAAATGAATCAGCAGACACAGAAACGTCACTTCGTTTATCTGAAACTGGAATAAATCAAGCAAGCGAGCAAGCAAAGAAAGTAAACAAACAACCATCTGATTAAAAGGTACTTAAAACAAGTGCAACATTTCAAAAGAAAAGTGTAGACCCAAACAATTTTTAGTTCAAAAAGCAATTCAACGGGGAATTATTCCACTCTGGGCCAAGTGGGGACAGGGGGTGGGATGATATACACGTGGCGACATGCTTGTTGTGATACGCAGTGTGTGTAAACCCCTCTTGACAGATGTACTTGTATTATAAACGAAATATCACAATACACAATGTAAATCTGATTACTGCTAAATAATAATGAATAAATAGTAAATCGGAAACGAATCGTGTTATAAAACCACTAATCGTAAATTAATACTATAAAACATTGTTAACTTTCTATATATCTGTCTGAACTGTCAATCATAGAGTTTAGAAATTATAACACTGTTGATATTGACAAATACTTTGACATTTTGTGGTAATTGTGAAATTGTTTGTCAAAAACCACATGAATTATTTGTGAATTATGTTGGCATGTAAAACCATAAGGTAATAAGGTAACAAGTTGTGATGGATGGACATCCCAATTTCAATTCTTCAATGACGAAATATTGTAAACTAATTTTCTCGTAAAAGGTACGGACAATCCAGTGCTTGCATCCTGTACAATTAATACATTGAGCAAAATGGGAAATTTCTTTTTCAGGCCGTTGCAAGACTACCAAGTGGGAAGGTCTAGCCTCTTTTGCTTTTAGATTAATCTCAATCCAGGTCAGTTGCCCATCCTAAACATCCCATGTATTGTTCATTTTCATTTGTAAATATGTTACTCGATGTATAGGTATTAGCATTCTTTTGATTTTAGTTTTTGAATTAAGCATCTTTAAAGCAGGTGTAATATTTTGTGGCGAACATTTGCAAAACCCATTGATTTCTATAGAAGCCCTAAAAAGCGTCTTTAACGGTACTTATTTTACAGTGGCTCTAGAAAAGCGGTGTGTTTAAAGTCCTAATTCCTTAAATTCTTCACAAAGGCCAACAATATGAAATACAAAGTATTTATATTTTGCGCTATTAGTTAGAGTTAGCTTTACTAATTCACTAATAGGATTGATCCCCTTAGAAAATCTCCAACAAAGCCGTAAATCCAGGGAATAAGTCAGAATACAATGGACCACTCTCCGACCACACTTTTAAGTTTATCATTCAACAAAAAATAACAATTTCCACTCGATCTGATATTGTGCAATTGTTTTTGATAAAGCTGGGTTGCCATAACATATAAGTCAAAGCAAATGATTGAGATTTTTGGCTCTGTTGGGACTATGTGGAGAGGAGAAAGGGGAAAGTTATCAAATAATGATATAGTCAATAAATGTCCATACTCTCAACGCCACATTGCGCCCTCAGATATTTACAAGTTATTTTGATATATATCTAAATTGCCAGTGAACAGTTTTGAAAACAGCAAAACTGGTGTAAGTAAAACGCCCTTAGGACCACAAAAAGTGTTCCACTTGCGAGGTGCCATTTATAGAGGTTCATTAACATGGAGTTAATGGGCTGTGGGACATTTGAAAACCCGTTCCACTTGTGAGGTGTTCCCCCTACAGATGTGTTCCACGTAGGTGCAGTGATGTTCGACTTATACTTGTATTAGCAGTTTCTTACTGTTACTGTATCGTATGAGATATATGAGAATTGAAATGGTGTAAATGCAAATAGATCGATGTATTTTGTAGGTACTCGATTTGTAATACCCGCACTCTGTTATCAACAGAATTAATATGAAATAATCCCACTCAAACAAGATGTTGAAATTGATGTTACATGCATTTCCAACTATGTGATTAAATTAAATTTTATTTGCTTAGACGAGTTTGGTTGCTACTTATCATCGGATCGCAACGACCATGCCCAGCGTGTGTAGTGGTAAAACTTGCGATAAACCTTTAAAATATGCTGTTCTATGACATAAGAATAAGATCCATCTTCAAATGTGTGAAAATATAATATGTCGTGTACGTGGATTTTACTTTCACATATTGGTCACTTGTTCCAGGCATTTGCCAAAAACCCACTAGGAATTTAAATATTTCTAATTTTAACTAAAACTGAGACAAACTCATAACACCCTACTATTTTCCCTTGGTATATTATCCACCCATGGATATCATATTCGACACTCTTTCTCTTGACATATAAACCAAATGCTTAAAGGTCTACGCTACAATGTTTAGGTACCGTGAGTTTTCTCCTTCGTGTTTTGATTGCTACGAAACCTTGACGAATTTAATCAGATATTTTGGTGGTTTTTAGACCCCGGGCCATCCTGAGGGAATTTACTGGAATTACAACTGACGAAATCTTCGTGGGAAGATGGCGGTTGCAATTGGATGTTTATTGTTTCGATTTCTCTCAGAATTATCGCTACATGTTTAATGCTGATCATGCTGATGTTCGGATTGGTATAAAATGACAGATTTAAGACCAGCTTATGGGGTTAAATTGAATATAAAAAGAGATTACCCCATTATCTTCCATGTTTTTGCCAATGGCTACAAATATAACCTAAAAATAAGTAGTCTTAGCATGGTTTGGTGGAATTAACCCTTTCTTAGAATATTTCCAATAACTCTGTTTTAAATGCATCATTGTTTGCATTGTATTTCTCGACTCCCAAGAAATTGAATCAGGGGTCCGTTTTTGGAATCGTCGTAACTTACAATTTGGTCCCAAGTCATTGCTCGTCAAAAAGTAGACAATGGTTTTCTAAGAATCTTAGGTTACATTACAATCATTCCAAAAATGAACCCCAGATTCTTATAAACCAAGTTTGAAATGTTAGAATTTTTCTAGATTTCTGTATTTTAAATTCTAAATAATTCCCCCTTTTATCAGATATCATCATCTTTTTGAAACCTCATTTGAGCTGGTGAAGAATATATTGGTCGGAAAATTGTATTTGTGACACAAAAATGACATTCATTAGAAATTATAGATATTGAGTTAACAAGAGTGATAATTTGATATGGAGCCCGTCATTATAAACTTCATCTAGTCAGTCTTGGCATGTTCGTAGTTGAAAAGCAAAAAAATGTGTGATGGTGAGAATCCTATCAGAATTGTGTTTTTGATGCAACACTTGATCTGTTAAAGTCCCCGTCTAAAGTTTGAAAATATTTTTTTATCATTCATTTACTATTTGTCAGGACTTAAAAAGTGATTTTAGAGATTTTTGAACAAAAAAAAAATTTTGAAAAAAAAGTTGTGAGCATTTCATTTTTCAAATATTCAAATTTCCCGCCATTTTTCAAAAAAAGTTGAAATTTCTTAATCATCAAATATTTCTTAATGCATTTCAAAAAAGATTATCTTTTTAACACCAATGCAAAGATTGAACAAAGGACACACTATTTCAATAATAAAATGCCATATTTAATGGGCCACTTCAATGTTTTAGCATATCAAAAATATTTTGAAACATTAGTGATGTCACTAAGGTACCAAAAACTTTTTGAAAAATATTGAAATTTTTTTTTCGATGTCAAACTTTCCTAAATATGCTAGGCTTTCATAAAAAACCAATGTTGATTGTCTAACCAGGTTAAAAGGAAAAATAAATTATGTTTTAGATATCATTGTACCATTGGTTTCTATGAGAACTAAAATTTTGAAATGCATTTTTCTCAGAACCATTTTCATGCACTGATAAGTTCATTTCTCGCTTATTTATGAACCGATTTTCTTAATTTTTTCGGCAAAAAAACATGGGAGGATAAATGCTATGCATTGGTATGAATTGTGGCTAATTAGAATATATGAGTGACCTCTTGGTTTTAAATAAATACACAAATTTCGGAACAAAAAGTCTATCAAAAACCACTTTTTGAAATTTAAAAAAAAAGTTTCACATATCACACTTTGATAACATTGGGTAAGACTACAATATAAGCCAAAGTGGTTTAAACTTTATATGGGGCCTTTAAGTATTACTGTAGTTCAACAACTAGAAGACACTATCGCATCTAGACTACTAGATGACTTCATGTAATACGAGTGCAGACATTCTATATCTTGTTTTCAACATTTCATTATCAGCAGTGGTTTGTACTGAAAACAATTTGACCAGAAGTTCATTTTTCATTGTGATCTTTGCTGCAAATGTATGGCTAAATAGTATGGCAACATCCCCGTTAATCCTCCATTAACAAAATGTTACATCTTTTAAAGTGATGTTCATCCGGTTATATGCTCAAGGGTTCTTCATTAATCCAGTTGAAAAAAATAATTCATGGATCAAAAGTTGAATGAGTTTTTGCATGAACTGCCATTTTAATTGTTAATCTAGAATCCTCCATTTTGCTATCTGCTGGGCAAAATGCAATGAAATAACAAATCAAAACCATACCATTTCTGAAGTCAATGACACGCCTACTCCAAATATTAAAGAATCCCTGGATTTTTGCAATCAAGAACATGGTCTGGTCTACATGTAAGATAACAAAAGGATGAAAAAACAATAGTTTGAAGTTTGATAAAGTTCATGTTCCTATTGTCAAGCTTACAATAAAAATGTACTCAAACACTGATAATAATTATACACTAGACTGTCATAAGTTCATCTACAAGAAAAACCCATTTGAATCATATACTTTTTGGAGGTAGATTTTTCAGTCTTGAACTGTACTGTTTCTATGACCCGTGCATTCACACAAGTTCGGTACATTCTGTGATTGTCATTGAGTGAGAACGCATCTTCTTTAAAAAATCCACAAAATGGTAGGTAAACATCATAATGCAATAAATTCATGATTAAACTGATTTTAGTATTTGTAATATAGTTTAATTTATAAATACTTGACTTGTTCTATTTTTTTCTTTAGTGAACATTTTGAATGCTCTAGATGCAATTCACGTCATCTATTTCATGATTTTAACACACATTTTATATGTATTTATACGTCTATGGTTGGAACTAAAACAAGGGATAACATGACAATATGTCACCGCCTTGAAAATGTACCACTTGTTATTGATGCTGAATGTAGATAACATTTAGAGTCTATATGGTCAGTGATGTCATGAATGTAGAAAAGAAAAAGAGGGGGGCTAATATTGATTCTTGAGGAACTCCTGCATTGATGTAATTTTCTTTGGACCATTCAAATTTTGTCTAACAATACCAACTTTGACCTTGCGATTAGTTAAGTGTGATCTCAACATCAAGGACTAAATCCATAACAAGTTTAATCAGAAGATTGTGAAGAATGTGTCAAATGCCATCAAAATGTCCAAAAATATCACTTTTACATCGAACCCTGCATCTAAGTCTTCAGTCAAGTAATCAATTATTGAGGACTGTGTCCAGATAAAAACACAAACCCAAACAATTTTGCCAAGTTTCCAGCATTTAGGAGAAACAGTTTTTCCCCACAAAATTATTGATAAGTTATTTGGTCAGGTCCAAAGGCCTTATTCACATTCAAAAACTTAAGCATCATTTGTTGACAGCATGTGGATGGACTGTTTGTTTGTAAGAGATTGTAAAAAAGCATTATCAAATTGCCTTTCCAAGTGAAAACTTTAAACCAGAGACATATAGTTTTGGGAAGATATTGGCTTTATCTTTGCCTTACCTGACGTAATTACTCAAATCATCAACAAGAATAGGTATTGAACTCAATTGACTATTTGAAAATAATTTAGTACAATGTTCCAATAAGATCAAAATTGTTTGTTTCTATTTTTCCCCCATTGTTTTACTATTCATCCACTTTTCGTGGTCAAGTTTCACTTCATCATCTAAATTGTACACTGGGCAAGATATCTATTAAAATTCTCAGGTTTGTCGGAATGGTGAAATACATAATGACATTTGTTGTTTTGTTTATTAGTGATCCAGTTTTGTCAGTAAAACATGGCTTGTCATTTGATTTTATTCTAGTTTGTTTTTTTGTAATACAAGTACAACAAAAAACATTGAATCAGAAAAAATTGAACTTTTCGCTTATGTAGTTCAAGTCATTTGAGTCTCCAATTGGTTACATTATAGAAGGTGATGTATTAAATGGACGCTTTATAGCAGTACTTCATTTGTCATATGTGGCTTATGACTTCAAAAGATTAAGATAGATGTGGTATTATTATCAGTCAAAACATAAGTCAAGATCACCCCTAAAACTGATAACAATAGAGTACTTCTAAGCTGGGATGAAAGTACTCAATATGATAAAATACTTGTACATGATGAGAATAATGTACATGATAAGAAAACAAGTTGTGCAAGGCCACAAGTGGTTGAAAATGCAACAATCAATTCGTCATTCAGTTATATTATTTCAGGTATCGCCAATTTCGGTTGCTGTGTTGTGTGTCCTGACAATCGGGTGCTTGGCCCAGGACCCAGAGCCCTGTTGTATTCCAACACAATGGCAAGCAGACCTCTCTCAGGCCCGAGCTGTGCTAGGAGGTGCACCTGTTCCTCTCCTAGTCACCCTTAGTAACAGAGCATATGTGGACATCCCGAATCAACGAGCTGCCATTAGTGTTGAACAACGACTTGATGACGTAGTCCAGAGATTCCGCATCATACAGGACTATTCAGCCAACATCCAGTATGTAATCACTGAACCAAGTAATGGAAATCCCCTTGTATGTGAAAGAGAAGAAACAGTTCTTGGAACCATCGATCCTTGTGCACTTCGGGCTGTTAACGCCACATTTATGCGAAGCATGGTACTAGGACTCAATTTAGAGAGTAATATGTGGAGGTTTGAATTGGTAACTCCAGTAATACAGATGACTGCTTACACGACTGTTGCCACTGCCAGCTGTATACCCGTTCACTTGCTCTATGCCGGGGCACTGATCCCTACTGGTACTCCGATAATGAGTAGTATCACCTACTCCGACTATGTGCTAGGGCCAGTTGATGATGGCATATTTGCTCTGCCCCCTGAATGCCAGGCCATGTCACACAGTGACAATGTAAGGCCTGTTATACCTGACTGGGTTCAGCCATGGTTCCAACATCTCTCTACTCGGTATATGTAATAACTATTGAAAAGGACATGGACTTGAATGATCAAATTGAATATTGACAATACTAGTAAATCAAAACAAGTGGGTGATAACAATAGCTCACCATGTGAGCAAAAAATGAGAAGACATTATTGCTTTATCTTAAGAGCTCTATGGACATAGTACTGATAATTGTTCAAAAATACATTTAAATAGATACTTAATAAATATTTCAAAGCAATGCATTATCTTTTTAAAGTTTTATTTTGCTGATACCTTACACAAATACAGCCATTGGTTAAGTTAGAATGAGATCTCGAGATCACATATCTTATGGCAAATGTGGATAACAAATTGTGACATAAATAAATCATTTAATTGTTATGGATATATAATTGAAGAATTTCAGAGAATGTCCATACCACCATTTCACATATCTTAAAGTTTAAACAGTCTCCATTTCTAAAGGTTTAGAATCACTTTCTAAAGAAAATATCTGAAATGTCCACATTTTCATTGAATAAGTCCCTATTCAAGGTACCTTGAAAATTTCAGTCTCCATTTGTAAAAAAGTTTCCACAATATTTTGAGTTGTCGCTTTAATTGCGAATCAGATCTTTATTACACTGAAAATCTTAATTGAAATTTCAACTTAAATCTATGGCATTCTAACTAAATCCTTTATAGTATCAAGAGAGATGCTTCAATTCCACAAGAATATACTCAATTCTTTCCTTACACAATTGCCAGATTATACCACACTCTGAATTATGTGTTTGTATTAGCTTGTGTGTTAAGTCCATGGAATGGGCACAATATCACACATATCTGAATTGTATGTTGGCATCAGCTTGTGTGTTAAGTCCATGGAATGGGCACAATATCACACATATCCGGTTTGTATGTTGGCATCAGCTTGTGTGTTTAGTCCATGGAATGGGCACAATATTACACATATCTAATTGTGCGTTGGTATCAGCTTGTGTGTTTAGTCCACGGAATGGGCACAATATTACACATATCTAATTGTGCGTTGGTATCAGCTTGTGTGTTTAGTCCATGGAATGGGCACAATATTACACATATCTAATTGTGCGTTGGTATCAGCTTGTGTGTTTAGTCCACGGAATGGGCACAATATTACACATATCTAATTGTGTGTTGGTATCAGCTTGTGTGTTAAGTCCATGGAATGGGCACAATATCACATATATCTGCATTGTATGTTTTCATCAACTTTAGTGTACAGTTCATTGAATCGCCATGACAGTATGTATCACATATCATATTTGCATTGTATGTTAGCATCATCTTCTGTGCTTAGTCCATGGGATGACCACATTATATCATGCATAATATCTACATTATATGTTAGCATCAGCTTGTGTGTTTAGTCCTTAGAGTTTCTTGTAGTGACATTATTGTTGCTATACTAAGATTAAATGGTTGGAGTTTCTCTATTAGGTCAGGTAGTGCCATATCTGAAACAGTAATACATGAAACTAGTACGCAAGTTAACACAAGCTTTTGGACAAAGTTTCACCAATTAATTCATGAGAAATCTTTTCATTTAGTTCTAAGCCAAGACCTAACAGTGGAGTGCAATATTCATCCCATTCAAAGAAATAAATGAACAGGGGCGACATCTTTAAAATATAGATAAAGTATTCTCAGCAAGAATTTAAACTTACAAGTTCTTACAGAAATATTTCAAAAATAATTAGTGTTATAAGAAGCTGCTATAATAAAACTGAATTTATAGATGTCAGCACTTCTTTTTGTTTGTTTGGTGGGCCAGACTGCCATAGACTTCAATCTTAAAAAACCTTGCAAGAGTCACTTAATTTCATGATTCATCAAAACGTGTTGGTTGAATATGTCTAAAACTCTAATGGCATACTATTGGATGACCCTATAGTGATAATGTGAATATTGAGATAAATCATGAAAATGTTGGTTGTTAAACAACTACATTACAACAAAATGTATAATATGTTGCCACGTTAACAGAGATTGCCTAACATATGTATATTTCAATAACATAACTATAGGTACTTATTAATTTATGCTATAAATACTGGAAAATGACTAGTTCGTATATGAGCATGCAACAGTATACTATACAGTGTACAGTGTGACTTGAAACTTACCATTGGAGACTATTCCTGAACATTGTGTTTGGTTAGGTAGAGCATGCCATGTGAGGTAGCCCGCTAGCATACCAGCCTCTGCTTCTACCCTCCCTCCCTGCATGTACTGTAATACAGCCTCCCCATGGGCTGTAAACATAAAAAACATATGGTAGGTACAATTTAAAATCTACATTTTCAAACATACAATATACAATACACATTCGACAACTTTTTATGTTGTCAAACTCAACATTAATCACTAAAAAACAGAATAGTGAACCTTATATGATTTTTAATACAGTGTGAAATCATAAAAATAAGGCTTGGTTCTGTGTATTGTATGAGCTGTGTTTTTTTGATTAACGAACCATTTTGTATATGAGAGAGTCATTATCATTTGCATTTTTGAGGTATGTTATTTTTGTCAGTATTACATGCACAATTCTATGGGTTTGTAAATACATAGGAATGCATATTGGAAGAATCCACAGCCGTGGTAGAATGTATAGTCAGTAAATATCCACCTGAGAGAATTCCAACCACCAAAAAGTTGAAATTGGAAAACGCCACTGATGCCTTAATTACCACATACAATAACCCGATTAACAATCAGAAAATATCACTTTTAGATGAAATGATCTAACAAACACATGGATCATTTTTAAAACATTTTCTTTCAATTTCAATTCCTTCAATTTCTTAGAATGAATCTTTCTAAATTAAATAGATCAGTGCAAGTGTTTTGATAAAGTGTGTAATTCTTAGAAATAAACCCACACATGGTCCTTCATGCTTATATAATTATGGTCAGGTTGACTTAACTTCTACCTTGTGATTTCCAAAAGAATTCAGTCGTATCACTGGGACAAGGATAAATACAATACATGCATAAACTCATACGCAAAAATAACAGTTGATAAGTGAAAAAAGTATGAGTTTTAGCATTCCTTCTGAAGGTGATTAAATAGAAGGCACCAGGAAGAGTAAATAAAGTTAAAATACTGCATTTAACATCACATTGGAAAACCTGCCGAACTGCTGCCATAGTCAAGGTGAGTTTTTCTTTCTTTTAGTATTACCATACTTTTAGAGAAATGAAAATAGAAAATTAAAAAATTCCTTTTTTCCTTAGTGATGTAACTTTCATTCAAAGATCATATATGAAATCTGTTTAAACTTTCCCACACAATTGGAGCCTTATATTGTGATTGTGGTCTGATTTAGAGACGCTTTACTTTTAAAGATATATTATTTGCTTATTTATACTCATATTAACTGCAACCTTATATGAAATGGGTAATTGTTAACTAGTCAAATCTCCACATCCTTCAAAAAAATTTTGTTCAATTTACATGCAATAATATAACAAGACACATGGTGAATAATATTGCACCATTGAATAAAATCTCAGGAAGGGTGAATATCCCAAAGTTTGGCAATATCATGATTATTGTGTAGTTTGTTATTATTGTAAGGGCTAAAGTAATCAGGTAAAATTTTCTACAGTTTCGTTTCTACCTGTAGAAATGTTTTGAGACAAAAAATCCAAATGGTCTTTTTAAAATGTATCTAGAATGCCCCAAAACTTCTCATTTTAGATTCATACAGGGTGGTCAAAAAAATGACAACCCTTATTTTTCCTCATATCTCTGTCATTTTAGAGAATCACTCTCTGATATGATATGATCTGTACATCATTCAAAGAGTCCTTTACCTTATGAAAATGCAATAACTATCAACATTGAATGCAATATTGTGATTCTCAGGAAGTTCTGGTGGGGGGTGCGGTATTAAGGTAATCTCGGGGGGATTGATAGGCAGCAACAGTTGTTCCAACACAACAGAGCCATGCCCCATATATTCAATGATGCACTAGAATATACAGTGTAGGAGAATGACAACAGAAAAACATTAGACCTCAAAAGTGTGATCACACATGTTATTCAGGCCATACTTTGCTGATGAACGCAGTTAGATCATTGACAACTTTGGAAAACGTGTGCAGGTTTGGCGACAGTACGATGTTGGCCAACTGAGGCACGTTGTTTAAAGTGCTGTAACATTGAGACTATTAGTCCGATATTCGTGAATTAAAGTGGTCTAGTAGAAAATTGAATGATGTACATGTGTGCCAAATATCAGGGCGAAATTTCCTAAAATGACAAAGATATGAGGAGAAACTAGGCTTGCCGTTTTTTATCCACCCTGTACCAGGAAACTTCCCCGAAAAATTTGAAATCATCCTTGTTTTTTCTAAAATATGCTTCTTTTGCAACAAAAATCCAAAATAACCACATTATGATTTACCCAGCATGACTAAATACAAATCAGTTCTAAACTGTTTGCACTAAAAATACAGCTGAACTGTTAAAAATTATAAAATTCAGTGCAAGGATTTGTAAAATGCATCCTGTAAAAAAGCTGCTATCTATCTGTTTAAAGTCCTTGTCTAGTATTTGTCAACAAATAAATAATCCAGATTTCACTTCAGTAACTTGAATAAACTTGATACCGATCGTTATGCTCTCCGAACCTTTTTGAATGCCTAATCCATAAACTTTCTTTTTATTGAAACACAGATGTTGTTGTGGAAAACGTGATTAGGGTTAAATATTCATATACTTGTAAAATAAAACAAGGAAGTGCTTTTGGCTGGTTTAAGCCTGTTTAATTCAGATATTTCAAAATTTCATCATCCAACATTATTTTCAGTGAAATGTGATCAGCTTTGTTACTTTTCTTTTACAATGTGCAAACCATATCTTGTGGCAGTGCTAGTCTTCATCATCTGCGGCAGGCAAGTCGTTGGTCTCAGCTTCCACCATAAGGAGGTGGTTCACTTAAATTAATTGACATAATTGGTCCTTGCCCCATGCTCATGCCACTTGATCAGAAAATCCAGAGAACTTGATTGGCTGTATCACTTATTAATTGATAAAACCACGCTTAGGGAATTATTATAAAGTTTAACCTTAAAATTTCTTCTGTAGAGATTCCTTCTATTATTTCATGATTTTTGGAATATTTTGACAAAATAATGATTGAGCAAAGTAATAGAATATATATATCATAATTTAATCGAGAATTGAATATGTCTATGGTGAAAAAAGTAGATTTTGGATATTTTACATTTGCCTGCTGTAGTGCCTATTCCGAGACACTGCCATCGGAGTTTATGTACAAACATATATTATTTCATTTCAGATGATACACAGTCTAGTTTTAGCTTTGTGTATGGCCATGGTGTCAGGAGCCCCCGGATTTCAATATATTCCCAAAGACCCAGAGCCTTGTTGTTTTCCCGAAGAATGGGAAGCAGACTTTAGTGAGAACTCTGTCCTCCAGCAAAAGGTGTCCAGAGCTCACCCTATGATGTTTGTACAAGAAGGCCATATTTGGTATGACAGCCCAAACAACAGAGTGGCACAACAAGTGTATCAAATGGTCATTATCATTCTTGAATCACTTCTGAAATATTGTTTCATTTTCAAACATTTTTCATACTCTGTAGACAAAATACAAAGTTGTTTTTTATTCCAAATCAGTAATATTTAATTGCACAAACCATGTATGAAGTTTTATGCCAATGAAACAGTTCAATTTACTCTTAAATTGTCATCTCTATGTACGCATGTTACAAGAACAAGTATTAGTTCCATATAGTTTAAGGGTCATACAAAATATGGATGAAAGTTGAACTCTGATTGGTGGGGGTCATATTTTCAAAAACTAGTAGCACTTGTATGTATGTTCTACTTTGTTTATTGATCTAGTTGCGTCAGCCTAAGATAGTACAAGAAATCATTATTTTGGTGGACTACAACAAGCAGATGAAATACATTATCCTCCCAGAGAAAGAAAAGTGTTTTGAACAAGCAACCCAAGCCAAGAAACTTCCAAGATGTCTGAATGAGACAGATTACACCTTTTTGAAATCACTCACTATTGGGCAAGAACTGAAGGTCAACTTGTGGGAGATGAGGATAGTGAACAAGCAGATGCAGCTGACAGATGATTTGTTGGTGACGGAAAATTGTGTCCCTGTCGGAGACTCATTTTATGGGGAAGTCAATACAGAACGTAAGGAATCAAATCATTTGTTACATAAGGATACCCAGCAATATGAGTGGTTAAAACTCTAAACCTTGATTGAAAATCAAGCCAATGAATGTGTAGCTAACATACTCCTAAGTTTTATTGAAAATCATATCAATGAATCTGTAACTAACATAATACTCCTAAGTTTTATTGAAAATCGTACCAATGAATCTGTAACTAACATGATCAATAAACCTACTTTTCAGTAAAATACAGGTTGCGACAATTCCATTCTTGGGGAGTTGATTTCCTTATTTTACTTATTTAGTGTAGTATTAAGGTCAATCGGGTTAATTGTTAAGTTAATACCAAATAACCCACTCTGTGGCCCACCCTGTTTAGTAAATCATGCAGTGTCCCATTGTTTATGGCCCATCCAGTTTAGTGAATCATACAGTGTCCCATTGTTTATGGCCCACCTTGTTTAGTGAATCATGAAGTGTCCCATTGTTTATGGCCCACCTTGTTTAGTGAATCATGCAGTGTCCCATTGTTTATGGCCCATCCAGTTTAGTGAATCATGCAGTTGTCCATTGTTTATGGCACATACTGTCTAGTGAATCATGCAGAGTCCCATTGTTTATGGCCCACCCTGTTTAGTGAATCATACAGTGTCCCATTGTTTATGGCCCACCTTGTTTAGTGAATCATGCAGTGTCCCATTGTTTATGGCCCACCCTGTTTAGTGAATCATGAAGTGTTCCATTGTTTATGGCCCACCCTGTTTAGTGAATCATGAAGTGTCCCATTGTTTATGGCCCACCCTGTTTAGTGAATCATGAAGTGTCCCATTGTTTATGGCCCACCCTGTTTAGTGAATCATACAGTGTCCCATTGTTTATGGCCCATTCTGTCTCGTGAATCATGCAGTGTCCCATTGTTTATGGCCCACCCTGTTTAGTGAATCATACAGTGTCCCATTGTTTATGGCCCACCTTGTTTAGTGAATCATGCAGTGTCCCATTGTTTATGGCCCACCTTGTTTAGTGAATCATGAAGTGTCCCATTGTTTATGGCCCACCCTGTTAAGTGAATCATACAGTGTCCCATTGTTTATGGCCCACCTTGTTTAGTGAATCATGCAGTGTCCCATTGTTTATGGCCCACCTTGTTTAGTGAATCATGAAGTGTCCCATTGTTTATGGCCCACCCTGTTTAGTGAATCATACAGTGTCCCATTGTTTATGGCCCATCCTGTTTAGTGAATCATTGAAACTTTTATTTACAGGTGCGGGGATTGAAACAATGGGAGCTATCGTGATATCAAATGTGACGCTTGGAATCCATGACACCAAGATCTTTGACATCCCTAGTTACTGCAAATCAGATATGCTTCAAACAGACGAGGATATGACATTTGCCTTCCTGAGAGCGTTTTGAAAAATGTATAACTGATCATGACATTAAGGAAGTAGAAGCCATAGAAAGAGTATAAAAATCTTTTCAAAAGGAATCCAAATTTTATTTACTGAAAAAATAAAATAGAATTGAATGAGACATTGTCGGTGACAAAATTGCAAATAATATGTACTGATGTATGCTTTAGTATACCATTTAAAATATGCATCTCAAAAGATATACTAGTATGATCTCTTATATGCTTGTAAAATGGGTTACACAAGATTCATTCAAAAAGCAAAATTGTTTAAATTCCCTCATATAAATATTTAGTTTCCTTGGAATAAATATGAGCTTTGTTTTTTTTAGTTTAAACAAGTTTTTGGAAAGGTTGCTCCTAAATCTGATTCTGGCTTTAACCTCAAAGTATCAAAATAAGCAAAAAGAAAATATAAACAAGAATCATTACATATAATTATATTTGAAAAATGACTATGGAACATTTATTGAGGAACTCTGAGAATGTGTACCTCCTGTCTTGTAGTATTTGTTAAGACACATGTTCAATCATAAATATAAATACTATTTTGAAGTCTTTAAGCAAAATGATGTACAGTACTAAAAATGTCAACCAAATTCTTGGTCAATTGCAATTTTGAATCTATTCAATGTAAAGAATTCAATTTTGCAGTAAACTATTTTCAACATACTGTTGTATACAAATACTATAAAATTGAAACAAAAATTATTACCATTAATGACAGTGGCAGTCATCTTGAAAACTGGCTTCTGTATACCCATGATGTAAAGTACTCCCAAACTTTGTCTACTTGGATAACATCTTGTATGTACTCAGTTCAGTAACCTGAACTACAGGGTGTCAAATAAATATGTTCTCCTCTTAGCTTTAACATCCACATGATGTTTTATAACCCCTTTGTCTGCATGATATCTGAATTGTTCTTTGGCACATCAAAACTAGTTTTCATGGAGGAACTCCACAAGAATTTTCAGATGACTAGCTCAACTAATGCACAAAAGTTCATACTTCTGAAACTGAGAGGGGAGAACATATTTATTTGACACCCTGTATATGTACAACCAAGTCAACGTTTGACTTACCTGCAGTCCATGTTTCCAAATAGGCCTCCACTCTACTCCCTACAGCTTCTAAAAATTCCTCATTTAGGAGCTTTGAGACATTCCCTGCTGTGGAAGTGCCCTCTATTCTATTGTATGTATCTTTTCTATTGTATGCTAGGATCAACTTTAACTGCCACAGATCTGATACATTGATGCTTTTATTGAAGTGCTGTAAAACCTGAATCGAAAATTAAGTTGATTTACGCAATACTTGGGTTGTCTTTTTCATGTAATGCTTGAGATTTTGTAATATGAAACATTAAAAATAAATAAATTGAATTGAATAATACTGTTTAGCTGTTTGATGATACTTTGATTCTAGTTCTTAGCAAGTAAATGTAGGTCAAGTAAATATAGGTCAAGTAAATGTAGGTCAAGTAAATGTAGGTCAAGTAAATGTAGGTCAATTAAATGTAGGACAAGTGATGTCACATCACTGCTCATTGGCCCTTTTGTGTAATGCTGTATTTATTATTGATGTGGTGCCTACGTGGATGTAGCAATGTATTGTACGTAGCTTGAAACTATGTGTGTGCCTGTAGGGTAGTGGCACTAATGGTACATGTCAATCATCAGAAGGATGTTCTAAATACTTTAAAACTGCCAGAAATAGCCACTTTAATGATTAGCAATGTTAACTAAATCAATTTTTGGGGGAATTACCTGATCGATCTGTATGTATGTCCATAAAACTTGAAGTTTTTCTTGTGTCATACATTCATACAAGATTGTCGATAACAATTGCACTATGGGTAAATCTACCTCCTTCATTTCCCTGCAGAAATGTTTGGCGAAATTGAGTATTTGAGGGTCAGATGAGAAAGATTTCACAACATCAGGCTAGAATTAAAAAAAATAATATAAATTATAATATGAACATTGCCCAATTTTCTACAATTGAAATCTAATTCTGTTGTCTATTTTTGGAATAAAATCACTTTAAAGACACACCGATAAGGTAATACTGGTCTATTAATGAGTAATAGACTAGAGATGACTTGATGAGAAAATGTTTAATGATTTTGGAAAAATCAGCCCCTGAAATACATTTATTATTACCTTTATTATCCTGTGACCTGATTGGTCATTAGTGAGAGATTTGGCCAACAGGCTTCTGTAGCCCTGGGGATCTTGTTGGTAAGACAGGTGGCCTGCTCTTTGCTTTACCCACACACACCCCTGCTGCCCTAGGGTAGACCTATCAACACAATTTATACATTGGGAAAACATTAAAACATTTAAGTAGTAAAAAGTGACCATTAAATTAAGTAAGTTTTCAACTATACACAGATAGAAGATATATGTTCTTTATAGATAAAAACATCCAAAAATGCATTTGGTAAATATACTTTTCAGTCTTTGTTAACAAAATATAAAATATTATTTTACCACTCATTTAGCAAGGTCATTCAAGAGAGATATGAGAAAAATTACCTGAGATTTTCCCAGTTTTTGTCAGCTGTAAATGTTACAGGCCAATATCTTGGTCCCCTCACCTCCACCTAATAAGTAATAACGTACAACTTTGGATACAATCAGAAGTTTTATATGTAGTTCAAAATTTCATGATACTGATATACAGGGTGATAGAAATGGCAACCCTGTGGCTTGTTCTACCATATCAGACTGATAGTCACAATGTTACAGCACTTTAAACACCATGTTTCAGTGGCCGCTATTGCACTGTAGGCAAACCTGCACATGTCGTCCAAAATGTTTGTACCTGACTTCTACCTTCTACTGCGTAATTCACTCATTTTCTAACTACGCTTTGTGCATGATGGAAATCACTCACATGTAGCACATGTAGTTTTATAAAAAGATGTCAGGTCTGTTCAAATGTATGTACATGTACATGTAAGTTAGATAAGTAAGATATATACATCATTCGGAATAAATATCCATTTATACAATATAAATAACAAAAGAATGTTCTCAAGACAATTGCAGACATCAAAAGGGAGATCAACCGTGTCATTCAGGCCATACCTGCTAAGGAATGCAGTTGGGTCATTAACAACTTGTGCAGGTTTACCTACAGTTTATACATTTGTACATCATTCAAACTAGGTAAATATTTGATTAATTTACCTATATTAGACTTCAGCTTGTTGTAAAAATGACATAAATTATTAACCCATAATCAAACAAACAAATTTAATACAAACCTTTTGGAGTTTCTCAAGCTCAGGTAGTAAACAGGGTGCCATACTGGAGAAATGGGACTGTCTGAACTCATTCGTCTCCGGGAAATAACATTTTATGTAAATATTGATCCAAAATTGTCACATATAGAAACTAAGCAATTTGTTAGACTTAAGAATTTAACATTTTCATGTCAATATAGGCCAAGCTTTTTATATTTACAAGCTACATGTATGTAATTTGTTTCTACGTACAAAGGACAATTTGTCAGATGTAGAAACTAAAAGACAATCATTGTATTAAATTATAGGAGGTCATCGTTTTGTATAATATACATTATCCCACCCTAAGTGCTTTATATGATTGTATAATAGCATTGTATAACGGCAATATAAAACCAACACTCATCGTATACAACTCTTGAGAACGATATACAACTCCTGGATAGCGTATACAACTCCTGGGCAGCGTATACAACTCTTCGACTCGATATACAACTCCTGAATTTAGATTAAACTCTTATTGATTAAAGATTAGGTTGGGATAATAAGATCATATAATGGTTGATTTTGTATATCGCTATACTCTTGTGAGTATATGATATATTCACTCATTCCCCTTGGTCACTCGTGAATATATCATATACTCACTTGAGTATAAACACGATATACAGAATCAACCATTATATAACCTCATAGTATATCAATATATGTATATGATTAAGGCAATGCCCATTTGAACTGAAACGATTCAGAAATCCATCAGAGCAAACTTTGCAAGGCAGAGGTGGTCTGAGAATCAAAGTGATACAAAAAGCATTGTGAATGCTTTATCACTACACCATCTATTCAAACTTTAAAATCATATGTTAAATCATAATTCCTCATACTGTATCACAAATACTAGTACCTTGAAATGTATTTCCATGGGTACATAGCATACATGTCCTGTGTCAACATCTCTAGGTATCACCATACGTGGTTCTGCTGCCAGTACATACAGGTGCCTGAAGGCTTGTAAGTGGTATCTGAAAGAAATAGGTGATGGAAGGTAGTCTATTTCCACATTTATAATTATGTGATTATCAGAAGGTAATATGAATATGAGCTGGGATTTCCAACCCAACTGTAGTGTGCTTAATAGTAATGTATGACTAGGAGGTACAGGTTCAAAAATGGGGGGGGGGGGGGGGTTAGAATGTGGTGGTGTATACTAGAGGTCAAATGTTAATTCAAAGTAAAGGCTAGTTAACTCTATTAAAATCAAGTAACAGCAACAGTTTATTTTAATAATTTATTTCATCTATAATGCCCCTAACATACCTATTATCATTACTGTGAACTGGGTACTTTGGGAAGAATGCACACAGCATGGCACCTACAGCTTCAGGACTTGTGCGAAGTGTGTATCTAAAAATATGAACAAGAGACATAACATAGTATAGTGTTTCATCATATATCTGCTTCCTCATCTATTCATTTGAAGTTTTAACTGTAGTATAGATCAATTTTGAATATTGCATATTATTAAAACAAACCATTTTGGACTTATACAAGGATTTATATTGGCTCCTGCATCCTTTGGATTATTCACCCTGTCAATTTTTACAGATTGAAGGCTTTTCAGAGGATTGTTTTACTTTCGCGATTTTAATAAACTGGAATTTACTCCCCTAATTTCTTAAAAATAGATTGATCTAGTAGACTCTTTTGGATCCACCATAGTGCTTTTGTATGGGAAGCTTTACATAACCCTTTTGACATTTTTCTTGTGTGATTTGATGCATAATGCAACCTATGAAATATATTTTAAGAATTATTTATGATCAATATGAATAAAGTTGAAAAATGAGGTGTCACATGGAACAAAAGGAAAGGCATTAACATGCAAAATGCCATCACCTTTGTTACAGATGCCAAACACCAATGCCAAACACCAACTGCAAAACACTGACCACAACAAAGTTGGAGACTATAACAATATGTCAACACTTGTGAAAAAGAGGGTGTTACTATGAAATACTAACCTGCAACCCCCCAGGAATAGTAGACCAAGTGACATACTGACTGCCATATGAGATCCATACAAAACATATGTATAAGAGGAACCCACTCTGCTACGTAAGTGTCGACATAATCGCAACACGTCCAGGTTGCCTGTTCCTGACATAACCTGCAAAAATAATGGAAGGATGTACTATTACTGTTTTACAGTATGTTTAAGTTTATTATCTGAACACTCTGTCAAAAACCATGAGCCAGTAAAGGAAGTTGTTACTTAAATGTTTTACTTTGAGCTAATATACATTTAAAATGGATCACCACTTACCATGGATACAGACTTCAGACTTGTGTTATTCTCTCTTTAGATATCCATCAGAAAAACTTCTTTTAAGGTTAACTGTTTGAGCCAAGGTTAAATGCAGTCATCGAACAGGTTTATTGTTTAACAATAAATCCCCCATAACATTAGACTCTACTTACCATAGATAGAGACAGCACGATGATGTCCAGACTGTTCTCCACAGTACTCTTGCCAGCCTGCTCCAATAAACTGGCCTTTGACACTATCGCTAGGATCTCTTTAGCATACCCCATCTGCAATTAAATAGGGTTGATTTTGAAAATGTTGCACTACATGATCTCTTATTCAAAGATGTATGAGACTGAAATGATCAATTATTATTTTTTCAAATAATGGATAACTGAGATATATTTTTTAGCTATTTAAGTTTGTTCACTAACCAGTAAATTAAAAGCTTCCTGGTTTGCTGATCCTGCAAACTTGAGGCCTATTGTCATACATGCTCCTGCCATTATATTGCAATATGCTTGACTGAAATGTAAAAGAATATATGAGGCCTATTGTCATACATGCTCCTGCCATTATATTGCAATATGCTTGACTGAAATGTAAAAGAATTTATGAGGCCTATTGTCATACATGCTCCTGCCATTATATTACAATATGCTTGACTGAAATGTAAAAGAATTTATGAGGCCTATTGTCATACATGCTCCTGCCATTATATTGCAATATGCTTGACTGAAATGTAAAAGAATATATGAGGCCTATTGTCATGCTCCTGCCATTATATTGCAATATGCTTGACTGAAATGTAAAAGAATATATGAGGCCTATTGTCATACATGCTCCTGCCATTATATTGCAATATGCAATGCTTGACTGTAATGTAAAAGAATATATGAGGCCTATTGTCATACATGCTCCTGCCATTATATTGCAATATGCTTGACTGAAATGTAAAAGAATATATGAGGCCTATTGTCATACATGCTCCTGCCATTATATTGCAATATGGTTGACTGAAATGTAAAAGAATATATGAGGCCTATTGTCATACATGCTCCTACCATTATATTACAATATGCTTGACTGAAATGTAAAAGAATATATGAGGCCTATTGTCATACATGCTCCTGCCATTATATTGCAATATGCTTGACTAAAATGTAAAAGAATATATGAGGCCTATTGTCATACATGCTCCTGCCATTATATTGCAATATGCTTGACTGTAATGTAAAAGAATATATGAGGCCTATTGTCATGCTCCTGCCATTATATTGCAATATGCTTGACTGAAATGTAAAAGAATATATGAGGCCTATTGTCATGCTCCTGCCATTATATTGCAATATGCTTGACTGAAATGTAAAAGAATATATGAGGCCTATTGTCATACATGCTCCTGCCATTATATTGCAATATGCTTGACTGAAATGTAAAAGAATATATGAGGCCTATTGTCATACATGCTCCTGCCATTATATTGCAATATGCTTGACTGAAATGTAAAAGAATATATGAGGCCTATTGTCAGACATGCTCCTGCCATTATATTGCAATATGCTTGACTGAAATGTAAAAGAATATATGAGGCCTATTGTCATACATGCTCCTGCCATTATATTGCAATATGCTTGACTGAAATGTAAAAGAATATATGAGGCCTATTGTCATACATGCTCCTGCCATTATATTGCAATATGCTTGACTGAAATGTAAAAGAATATATGAGGCCTATTGTCATGCTCCTGCCATTATATTGCAATATGCTTGACTGAAATGTAAAAAGATATATGAGGCCTATTGTCATACATGCTCCTGCCATTATATTGCAATATGCTTGACTGAAATGTAAAAGAATATATGAGGCCTATTGTCATACATGCTCCTGCCATTATATTGCAATATGCTTGACTGAAATGTAAAAGAATATACGAGGCCTATTGTCATACATGCTCCTGCCATTATATTGCAATATGCTTGACTGAAATGTAAAAGAATATATGCGGCCTATTGTCATACATGCTCCTGCCATTATATTGCAATATGCTTGACTGTAATGTAAAAGAATATATGAGGCCTATTGTCATACATGCTCCTGCCATTATATTGCAATATGCTTGACTGAAATGTAAAAGAATATATGAGGCCTATTGTCATGCTCCTGCCATTATATTGCAATATGCTTGACTGAAATGTAAAAGAATATATGAGGCCTATTGTCATACATGCTCCTGCCATTATATTGCAATATGCTTGACTGAAATGTAAAAGAATATATGAGGCCTATTGTCATACATGCTCCTGCCATTATATTGCAATATGCAATGCTTGACTGTAATGTAAAAGAATATATGAGGCCTATTGTCATACATGCTCCTGCCATTATATTGCAATATGCTTGACTGAAATGTAAAAGAATATATGAGGCCTATTGTCATACATGCTCCTGCCATTATATTGCAATATGCTTGACTGAAATGTAAAAGAATATATGAGGCCTATTGTCATACATGCTCCTGCCATTATATTGCAATATACTTGACTGAAATGTAAAAGAATATATGAGGCCTATTGTCATACATGCTCCTGCCATTATATTGCAATATGCTTGACTGAAATGTAAAAGAATATATGAGGCCTACTGTCTTACATGCTCCTGCCATTATATTGCAATATGCTTGACTGAAATGTAAAAGAATATTGTCATACATGCTCCTGCCATTATATTGCAATATGCTTGACTGAAATGTAAAAGAATATATGAGGCCTATTGTCATACGTGCTCCTGGCATTATATTGCAATTTGCTTGACTGAAATGTAAAAGAATATATGAGGCCTATTGTCATACATGCTCCTGCCATTATATTACAATATGCTTGACTGAAATGTAAAAGAATATATGAGGCCTATTGTCATACATGCTCCTGCCATTATATTGCAATATGCTTGACTGAAATGTAAAAGAATATATGAGGCCTATTGTCATACATGCTCCTGGCATTATATTGCAATATGCTTGACTAAAATGTAAAAGAATATATGAGGCCTATTGTCATACATGCTCCTGCCATTATATTGCAATATGCTTGACTGAAATGTAAAAGAATATATGAGGCCTATTGTCATACATGTTCCTGCCATTATATTGCAATATGCTTGACTGAAATGTAAAAGAATATATGAGGCCTATTGTCATACATGCTCCTGCCATTATATTGCAATATGCTTGACTGAAATATAAAAGAATATATGAGGCCTATTGTCATACATGCTCCTGCCATTATATTGCAATATGCTTGACTGAAATGTAAAAGAATATATATGGCCTATTGTCATACATGCTCCTGCCATTATATTGCAATATGCTTGACTGAAATGTAAAAGAATATATGAGGCCTATTGTCATACATGCTCCTGCCAATATATTGCAATATGCTTGACTGAAATGTAAAAGAATATATGAAGCCTATTGTCATACATGCTCCTGCCATTATATTGCAATATGCTTGACTAAAATGTAAAAGAATATATGCGGCCTATTGTCATACATGCCCCTGCCATTATATTGCAATATGCTTGACTGAAATGTAAAAGAATATATGAGGCCTATTGTCATACATGCCCCTGCCATTATATTGCAATATGCTTGACTGAAATGTAAAAGAATATATGAGGCCTATTGTCATACATGCTCCTGCCATTATATTGCAATATGCTTGACTGAAATGTAAAAGAATATATATGGCCTATTGTCATACATGCTCCTGCCATTATATTGCAATATGCTTGACTGAAATGTAAAAGAATATATATGGCCTATTGTCATACATGCTCCTGCCATTATATTGCAATATGCTTGACTGTAATGTAAAAGAATATATGAGGCCTATTGTCATACATGCTCCTGCCATTATATTGCAATATGCTTGACTGTAATGTAAAAGAATATATGAGGCCTATTGTCATACATGCTCCTGCCATTATATTACAATATGCTTGACTGTAATGTAAAAGAATATATGAGGCCTATTGTCATACATGCTCCTGCCATTATATTGCAATATGCTTGACTGTAATGTAAAAGAATATATGAGGCCTATTGTCATACATGCTCCTGCCATTATATTACAATATGCTTGACTGAAATGTAAAAGAATATATGAGGCCTATTGTCATACATGCTCCTGCCATTATATTGCAATATGCTTGACTGTAATGTAAAAGAATATATGAGGCCTATTGTCATACATGCTCCTGCCATTATATTGCAATATGCTTGACTGAAATGTAAAAGAATATATGAGGCCTATTGTCATACATGCTCCTGCCATTATATTGCAATATGCTTGACTGTAATGTAAAAGAATATATAAGGCCTATTGTCATACATGCTCCTGCCATTATATTGCAATATGCTTGACTGTAATGTAAAAGAATATATGAGGCCTATTGTCATACGTGCTCCTGGCATTATATTGCAATATGCTTGACTGAAATGTAAAAGAATATATGAGGCCTATTGTCATACATGCTCCTGCCATTATATTGCAATATGCTTGACTGAAATGTAAAAGAATATATGAGGCCTATTGTCATACATGCTCCTGCCATTATATTGCAATATGCTTGACTGAAATGTAAAAGAATATATGAGGCCTATTGTCATACATGCTCCTGCCATTATATTACAATATGCTTGACTGAAATGTAAAAGAATATATGAGGCCTATTGTCATACATGCTCCTGCCATTATATTGCAATATGCTTGACTGTAATGTAAAAGAATATATGAGGCCTATTGTCATACATGCTCCTGCCATTATATTGCAATATGCTTGACTGAAATGTAAAAGAATATATGAGGCCTATTGTCATACATGCTCCTGCCATTATATTGCAATATGCTCGACTGTAATGTAAAAGAATATATGAGGCCTATTGTCATACATGCTCCTGCCATTATATTGCAATATGCTTGACTGTAATGTAAAAGAATATATGAGGCCTATTGTCATACATGCTCCTGCCATTATATTGCAATATGCTTGACTGAAATGTAAAAGAATATATGAGGCCTATTGTCATACATGCTCCTGCCATTATATTGCAATATGCTTGACTGAAATGTAAAAGAATATATGAGGCCTATTGTCATACATGCTCCTGCCATAATATTGCAATATGCTCGACTGTAATGTAAAAGAATATATGAGGCCTATTGTCATACATGCTCCTGCCATTATATTGCAATATGCTTGACTGAAATGTAAAATATAGCATTATAAATGATTTGCCTAGAACGTGGCAATTCCACTGAGTACCAATTCCAAATACACATGTAAACAAAATATGATTTTCTCGAATGAGTTTTCATCCATCTTAGAAGTCACAGTATCATATTTGCAATCTACTCTAAAATACAATGGATTGTATGAACATGTACATTTACCTCATAGTTTCAAAGTCTATGTGACAATCTGGATCATCTTTATAGTCAGATTTCTTGAATGCGTACTTCATCACAATCTACAATCACAACAAAAAAACGATTAAACATAACTTTCCGCAAATGGGTGCAAAAATTTTCATCTTCATTTTTCAGAGCAAAATGGTTCTAAAAATATGCCTCTTCATGATTTTTCTCCTTCTCATTTGGGCGCAAATGGAGTCCTAGTTGGATGCAAGCTTCTTAAAAATCTCAACCTCACTTGGGCTATGGAGATCTATTTTCTATTTTTTCAATCTCTGGTACTATCTCTCCCAGTTTTTCATTCATGTAGAATGCTGAAATTTTACCAACTCAGCTTGTTGATATTTTGTCTTATTTTCGTCTAAAATACTGTCAAATCCTGCAGTTCTATATTTCACAGAATTTTATCACCATGCAGAAAACTTACCTAAATGAGTAAATGTACTTTAGTGTTAAAATTGCTGGGTAATCTTACCTCTGGTATATTCTCCTTTATCCAGGCCTTGGAGGGCAGGACATACTCCCAGAACACTAGACCTCTTCCTATCACCTAAATCAGAGATTTAAAAAAAAAAAATGACTTCCTCAATTTTTAAGTTCGATAAACTAAAGGGACACTGTCACTTTGGAGACTTTTATAACATCTAATAATAAAAGTGATTTAATATAATTTCTTGGTATATCATGGGAACTCTTATGGAGAAGATGAACACTTGAATATTTGTTTCAGGAGAATATAAAATGTGAAAGTTTACATGAAAGGGGCTAAACATGTTTAAATGCTTGTTCCAGGTGTTTGATGATGTATATTCCAAAATCCTGACTATGTCAACGATATGGTCACATTTGCTCATCATTAGTGTCAGACATGCTAAAGTCACTTTTTGATGTATCAGAGAATGTACCTACAATCTGCTATGTACCATTTCACCATTTTAGCTTTTATATGAGAAATATATTAAATACAGTAGATATCTTCCCATTTTTAGCATGGATTTAAAGAATTCACCTTATGGTTTTTCTTACACTGACAAAATAGGCCACCATGTGATTGTTTAGGGTTTTAATATAGATATCTTACCCTCAACAGGAGAAAGTCTGGCCTGACGAAGTCCAGTAGGAACTGTGTATCAGGAGCAGTGAGCCATTCACCTACAGCACTGGAAATATAACAACACAATCAATATGTCTAATGTGTTTCAAAGTTTAATAAAATTCCACATTGGACAACTTAAAAGGATTAAACACTCAATAAAATTCCATTTTGTATTAAGAAATCTAATTTTGCTACAAAGCTTGAAAAGTGTGGTACTATATTAGATTTTGATGCTATACATACGTATTGTTCGTGCAGAAAAACATCATGCCTAGTGCGAGAGTTGCCCCTGGTGATGTGACATCAACATTGACTGTATCTCCTTCCTACAAATACAAGATCACAAATTAGTCCCATTAGACAAATATCATAGCCATACCAGGAATGAGGAAATGGAGGCAACTGCCTCGGCAAAATTTTGCAGAAAAATATTAATTTAGACATTTTTTCAATTGAAACTGTGAAAATAAATCTCATGATAGCAGGGGTTTCATTAGCAGCAGGCAACAGGCGATTTTCACCAGTTGTTTTCACAAAATCACCTGTTCTTTGTAGAGACTTTTCAACTTTTCCATGTTAAATTTGTGATTTCAATTAATTTTGCCTGTTGTTTTCATTTATTTAGCCTGTTGTGAGAAATTTCAGTGAAACCCCTGGGGTAGTGATATTTCACTTTTTGCCTTACCAAATAAAATTTCCCTCAACAAATTTTTGATCCTGGCCACACCTCTGAATATGCATGGGACCTAAATAAAACACATCTATATTTACTGTTGCAGAACACACTCCAGTAAATATCATACTTTTAATACCTTGATCTGGTAGCTTGGTGACTTGAATCGTTCCTTGTTTGTGCCTGAAAGGGGTCTCTTGTGCCCACCAACAATGTAGTTATATAACTGATCAGCCATGCTCAGGTCTGCTAGTCCTATAACCTCACTGCCTTTCTGCAACATCAAACAGTATAACCATGGTTAAATAAACTATTTCACTTTCAGGAACAAGTTTTTTGAATTGAGCTTATTGCACATTTCAGTGAAATCCTAACAATATTTCATGGAAAAATAGACCAAATCGATTTTAAATGATAATTTCTCTGGTCAGAATAACATCACATTCAAGAATGATGATTTTTTCTCAATTTATTTCATACACTAGAGTTTGATGTCAGATACACAATGTTCATCACACAAAGTTTAAGGTAAGTAGGTAATGCCTCTTAAAACATATCAAAATGTTTTTTTCGCTTACCCCAAGCATGACAAGCCCTAAAGCCAGACCAGCAGCAATGGAGTAGGCCTCTCTGTCTAGACTGTTCTCCATTTCTGGGCCAGGGGGCCGACCTGAAGAAATGAGTGCTATGGTGAGAAATATATCATATGCTGCATGACTTTACATAATGAGTACATTGTGAGACTTTACACAATGAAAACATATTTTTCATAAAACGATGAATTCTGAAGTTCTCTATAAGATGAGGCCATTTTCTTTTATCTTTTTAAGCGACGTCTGATCAAAGGATTGATACAAAACTAGCACTGGATTTACTATGTTGCACTCTTATTGTTATTTTTTTTAACTTTCAAGATTTTTACACTTTTATACCATGAAATAAAGTTTACTTCTGACTATGCAACATAAACAGGGTGATCACTAATTAAAGTAATGACACTAGGTCTTCCATTTTGACAGATTTTAACCAATCATTCTAATCTTTGCACATTACATTATTGGGCCTGTTATTATTGCTCTTCGATGAAATGATTACCTATTTCAGACAACAAGACCTCAGCTATGTGTCTGTGTGCTGTGCACTGGTACACAAGGCCTACTCCTAACACAGCTGCCACCTGGACTATATGTGGCACATCTAACTCAGTAGAGGAGGGTGGAAGAAGGGCATCAACATGGATGGAGAGTAGTTTAGTTGTAGCTAGGTCCATGCTGCCTCTCCTGTCAAAAGCTCAAAATTATTATTCATATTCATTTACATTGAAGAAATATTTTGCCATGTAATTAAGTGCTGTATATAGAAATTTTAATGATTTTCAAAGTAAAAGGTAATTTGGAAATAATGATGGTTCATGGTAGACAGAAACCTTCTTAATTAATGGATAAATCAATAGATACTGCAAAATATGCAAGTATTGAAAAATTGATATCTGCACACTTTTCAACAAGTGTGACGAATACATGTACTTACTTGGCGGCAGCAATACCAAGCAACAGGCCTACACTTGTCATATCATGCCCCTACAATGTAAAATAAAACACCATTTTCATATGGTTATATCTGTGAGATCACATTCATGTAGAATAACATTAAACATTTGATTTCCAACATATTTATTACATAGATCACTCGAGGTATGCTGCTCGTATATGCAGCTATAGTTATTTTAATATTTACAACCATAGGTAAATATGAAGGAATACAAAGGAATAGGTTTCTGTATTATACAGAAGACATTCCAAGACAAGTAATAAGATTTCACATAATATTTTTACATGTATACTTTATTTCAACAATTGTTTGACACAAAACATATGAACAAGGCATTAACATGCAAAATGTCACCACCTGTCATTTGTTACAGATATTGACCATCTAACACCGCCTGACACTATGGAAACATGATATCCACATATCCACAAGGCATTAAGATGCAAAATGTAACCACCTGCAATTTGTCACATTTGTTGCAGATGCCGAACACTGAACACTGTCCATAACAGATGCAGAATATAACAATATGTCACACAGAATAAAAACATTGAGGTAGTTTAACATCACATATTCATCATGTACTTACCCTGGCAAGGTAGTCATGAACATTCATTGTAGCTAAGTTAGATAGATGTCCTCGCAGTCCTAGCGCCATAAGGAATCCTGCATGTTCATTGGTCAGTTCATTTTGCTTAGGTTTATTGTACACGATCCATGTAGTATCAACCTAAGAAAGTAAGAAAATTAAATCATAAAATTTTGTAGATATCAGGTTTATGTTTTTATCCATTGTGGTCTAGAGTTTAATATATAAATAGTTGGTTCAGAAGGAATATTCTGAAGTACTATTAGCCGGCCTTAGGAAATCTTATTCTATTATCAAAAAAAAAAAAAAAATAGTTTCAGTCAGTTTGCCCCTACTTGCCTTGAATCAATGATGCCACATTTGGGGTGAGTTTTTCATTTATATTGATCAGCATTCTGCCTTTATAAATCCACTATGGTATTTTACAAAATTGATTGCCCACTAACCTGTGCCGACCCAGCTAGCCTTAGGCCCGCAGCAACTCCATTATGGAACTGTGGCCACATAGCCATGTTGGGAGGTGTCTCAATGTGCGACAAGTCCACTGTTGTGTTCCTAAAAGTATTGAATATTTGGTTTGTAAACTCAAAATAAGCTACAATTGTTTTTGAATACAAGTAGTAACAAAAGAAGATCAGTTTTCTTATAATTTATTCCTTAATGAGCTCTAAAATTTTTTTAAAGGTTAGGATCAAAGATTTTTGTAGACAATCTTATTGATGTCAAATATCGAGAAGAGTAAGCAAAATTCAAAGTTTCTCATTTGTTTGGGGTCATTAACTGTATCTTGTTGATGCAGACACGTGCAGGTAAGTAATACTTGTATCATATCGAGGGTTTCAAGCAAAAAAGTACTAAGTGCACTTTTGTTAGTTTTGAGAAAATGAAGAAAAACACTTTGATTCTTTACTATAAATCAGACTGCTGTTTATTCAAATATCTATTTGTTTCATCTTAATGATACATGTAAGGGGTTTTATTTCCTTAATTACCAATTCTGAAATGTTATGCAATAATGCATAATCTGGGGATTTGTAAATAGTATTTTTTTGCACGATGTATTTTTCAAAAATGTTACCAGCAAAAACATACCATATGCATTATAGTATTTTTTTGCATGACAAAATAACATTTTATACTAATGTTTTTAACTAATTTCTTCATCCATTTTGCTTGTAAATGTTTTCTAAAGTCTAATAATATGTCTTAAGTCACTCTATAGTAAAGTATTTTCTCTAAGTCTATTTTGTCCATGTTAACTCCCTTGGATTTCCAGTCATTTCTTTTCTGCCAACTCATGGTCCTTGATTTCACCTGAAACATTCAAATCATTATCATGAAATTATGTTTTCAACAAAACAATGGATGGTACTATCAACATAAAGATTACTGTATTATAATGTACTTATCAATTAATTTGTGAAGCTCACCTATTCGTCCGTGTCATAGTCACTATCATCTGGATGGGGTACAGGGAGTCTATCCTTCATGCCAGCTGGCTTCACATTCAGACTGTGGTAATAGGCATGGTGATCTGTTGGAATCACACCACTTCTGCATAGTGATAGAAGGTCATCCTTTTTGGCCTTTGTTATAGGGAGTTTTTCTTGGTACGCATATGGGATGTCTTGGTCTTTACTAAGCTGACGCCCCCTGGTGGTCTTTGTAAGTTTGACTTCTACAAAAGGGCAATCGAAGCTATATTTAAGCTGTAGTGAGTCTGGTTTCTGTTTGCAGTAGCGGATCCATTTTATCTGCCGCCATGATACAGCCTTCCCTGTTGTGTCTGTTTTAGTGTTTGGGTATATCTTTTTCAGAGATTTGAAGTTTCTGAAGTCAGTAAACTTGAGGGGAATAACAGAGTATGGTTTATTTCTCCTGGCCATTCTAATAACGATGTCCCAGTTACTTGGGACATAGACTGATGTTGCCTTCTTTGCACCTTCAATGGCACTGTGCATGGAGTCACACTCCATTTGGGTATGGCCACTCTCCAGGAACTTCTGGTCCACTCTTTGAATCCTTGGATTGCCTCCAGAATGAACTGCATGGTAGAAGGCCAAGGCAACAAACTGGTTTTTATTCTGTCCTCCACATGTGTCGGAATATGTTGTTAGAGTGGTAACTGATGGTGGCAGTCCTTTAATGTATTGTGTTAGTCCAGTCGCGATCTCATTCGATCCTCTCTGTCCGTTGGTCTCGTCCCAAACGTAACAAGTTCCTCTTTTATCACCCAAAGAGTACACTGATAAATTGTATGTTGCTAGTTTTCGTTTATAAAAGAGTTCAGAAACTCTCCCACAAGGGGTGGCAAGCACTGCCTCCATATCAAAGGTTACACAATGGTGCGCTTTGCTGTTTATCGCAGTTCTCTTGTCATTTTCTTTCTCTTGTCTTGCTCTTTCTTTATCTTGGTTATGTTTAATGTATCTAAGTTTTATATCTGCATGGTCTGGACCAGGATGTTTACAACTTTCTTCAAATTTCGAACATGTCAGACATTGATCTTTCTTAGGCTTGAAAAACGAGATGTTATAGTTTTGGGTAAATATTCTCCTGTACATACGTTCATTTATAGTTGGCTTGTGATATTGTTTGCATTGTTCAACATAGAGTTCATGCATTTTTCTAATATTTAAGCCAATCTCCAGATATTCTTTATTTGAGTCCTTTCTTGAATAATGCGAGGCTAACCTTGGAAAGGACTCTATGTGTTTCTTTACATCATTGATTATAGGTTCAGGAGTTTTATTTGCAGCCTCCGCTTTGCCTCTCTTCTCCTGCCCAACATATTTCCCACACTTTTTACTTTTCATGATATTAGTAATCATGGTCTGAGAGACATCAAATGTAGCAAGGAACATTTTCTTACATACCCTGCGTGCTATGTTGTTTTCATCATATAACCTGTATTCTCTTGAAGTACTTCTCTTTGATTCTGGTTTACATCTAATTGGTTTGTTGTCAGTTACCAACGAGCAAAGATAATCTTTTTGTCTGCTGTCTAATTTCATGTCCCTGAACGGGGTCAACCCAGTTGTCCGAAACCCAGTTCTCCGAAACCCAGTTGTCCGAAACCCAGTTGTCCGAAACCCAGTTCTCCGAAACCCAGTTGTCCGAAACCCAGTTCTCCGAAACCCAGTTCTCCGAAAATTAAAAAATTAAATGTCTTAGCGGTAACGAATCTTGTCGCAACTTCGCGAATCAGGACAGCATAACATTGGTATCACGTTGACATCGGTTAGCCCGGTCAATAATGGGTCCGAAAGTTCACGATCATATATATTCTTACTAGATTCTCGGCACATAGACTTATATGGACATTCTACAAATTTTGAACCGCATTGTCCAGCACGAATCGCACTCCTTCTTGGTGAAAATTCAAGACTGCCGCCAACATTTTAGACAATTATCACAGTCGAAGAGAATATTCTGGCGAAAGGAATATCTATCTCATTCGAATAACGTATGAACGTCCGTGACAATTATATATAGACTATTCATTTGATAATTGTTTCATTCCCTTTTCTCAATAAAATATGGTTAATTATGTTTTCCAATATCATTTGATAATATTTCTACCCTGAAAAATATCTAAAAAGAAGATTTTGGTTGTTCAGTAGTCTACCACCCATTGTTAAGATTTCGTCCAAATTTTCGATAAATCAATAAAATATTCTCATTTCGTATAACTTATATATGTGGCATATATACATATCAGATGTCTATCCTTTTTTCATCATAATATAAGAGGTTTGTATGTTTTAGTAGAAACGTATTCCTTTCCAAACATTTAGATTTAAGAATTTCTCCCATTGGTGATATTGTTCAAAATCAAAACTGTGTTTTTGCGATATATTGAACTGTTGAAGTAGGCTAAGTGTGTAATAGTTTGTAGTAGAGCCAAGATTTGATCTGTATCATGTACGTACCCTGCATAAAAAATTCGTTTTTAGTGTGCCATAGATGTCAACCATTAACTATTGCAGAATCATTGAAAAAGTTTTGTGAAAAATTAGGATAATGTTTCAAAATTATACACCGGACAATAAATAACTATACTCAATGCAGACAGGGAGTTTTAATTGCCCAAAAACTGAGTATCAAAATGCATTTGTATCTCTTTAGTATCTTGCATGACTCGTTCATATGAATTCTTTATTTCTACCTCGTTCCCAATACATTCTGAGACAGTTCAACCTTTGCCCCACGTCGCCACGCGGTCCTAACTTCGACCGTTAATTTGAATTTTTGACCTACCGGATATTTGAAAATCAATTACGAGTCTCATACTGCACCGTTTTTCTTCAAACTTGTTCCATTCAAAGCATGACAAAAATCTCTTTCTGATAGTACGTTATTATCTTAAACAGAGTTCCTACTTCCAGCGTAATTTTGGTCCCCAGCTGTAAGAAGGCCTTCTAACAGCTGGGGAGTGGGGACCAAAATGCTGCTAGAACGAGAGACTCTTTGCAATAAAGTAATGCACTGACAGAAGTGCAATTTTGTTTTGCTTTTAATGGTATAATGGAAGAAAAACGGTGCAGTATCAGACTCGCAATCCTTGATTTTCAAGCATCTGGTAGGTCAAAAATTCCAATTAACGGTCGAAGACCGCGTGATTGCAGAAAGTGATGACCACGTGGAAATTTTGGAACTACCCTTTCGAGTAGGCAAGTAGACCCCATACGGTTCTAAGTACTTCCAATCCGTCCACACAGTTTAAGCCCGTTCTCGAGAGCGTAGTGAGAACTAGTTTGGTGTGATAATAGGGTCAGATACTGAAAGTGTAAGCATGGACGACCTCCCACCGTCCAATGAATACAGTTGGTTCAGAATCAGAAGGCGTTTCAGACGGCGTTCTGAAACAGCTCACTATAGCTTATTCCTTAAATTTTGGCCTGAATGCTTTGTACGTTGAGAGACGGGACGGGACACGAGCAGTGTGACAGCGCCATTAGCATTAGGCGCACGATGGGCACATTTTAACTTAGTATGAGTAGGGGATAATTTATGAGGATCAATAGGACTTCCCACGGCAGCCGCATGGTGAATTTTAAATTTCTGTTGATAAATAATACTTTTTTCATTTTATTTACATCAGGGCAATTTATAAATGTTATTCATAGTGCTAGGATGTAATATCAAATGAAAAGTGATCGTGAAACATTGACAAATAATGATTCAATCTTGTTGAGCCAGTTGATTTCTACGGGACCTCAGAAATGAACAAATATTATAACTCCGAGTTATAATTTCTATACGGCGACCCTGCGGCGTGTGAAAAACTGGATACGCCGTACGGAGTCCCCAAGGCAAGCTTAGTTTTCCTACGCACAGGCACTGTAGCCCCTTTAAACATTATCCTCCGTCAATAGAAGATACACTCACCTCCATAAGTTGAATTTTTATTTACTTAACCGGCGATGAAATAACTATAATATTGATGGAAACGTAACTTGACTTTATTTCCAATACCTTCAAATTTTATCAATTTTTTCCAATTTTTTTCCTAAATTACAATAGGTCGAAAATTGATGATAAATTTGATGACTTTTTGAAAATCGTCATTCCCATGTCATCCAATGGGAAATGGTAGATTTACCGCACGTCATATGACAGAATATCCATCCATCCAAGTCCTTGCAAAATATGAGTAAGGCAGGCAATTGAATTTGCTAACTTTATTTAACAAAGAATTGATATGTTTCTTCAGGTTCAACAAAGTTACAGGGCTTTAAAGTCAAAATTGGTTTTCAAGAAAACTCCCATTGAAATAACACAGGAGTCGAAAAATTATTTTCAAAAATGACTTTGAAGCGCTATAAATTTAGTATTCATCAAATAAATTAAAACTTAGTGAACAAAAAAGTCAGACAATTCAATTTTTTATACCAAAAAAATTTTGCTGAATCTTTTACTGAAAAGATTCTGATTTGCCCCGAACTCTCTATTTCCCCTTGGATTATACGGGAATGACGATTTTAAAAAATTCATCAAATTTATCCGTTCAATTTTCGATCTCTTGTTATGGAGGAAAAAATCTAGAAAATTAGGAGGTATTGGAAATAAAGTAAAGTTACGTTTCCATCAATATTATACGCTATTTCATCGTAAATAAAAATTCAAACGTAAAGAGGCTTTAACACGTAGTTCAATGGGGGAGCTAAGGTTGCCAAACTTATGGAGGGGAGTGTATAAATACAACTACCGGCTTTTCACGCAAATGAGCCTACTGGGCGTTTATTTAGTAAAGTTGACGTCGTGTACATCTTTTGAAACCAAAAATTATTCTTCATTTAGGTACTCTGTTCGAGAAATAGAGATTAAATTCAAAAAGATGAAGTGAGTACATGGCGAAAATGAAACTTTTTGCGAATTGGAGAACATCCAATTTGATACGAGGACAGCCTGTCTTCGTTTCCAGTTAATCCCAAGTGATTAAGTTTAGAATGTTTTGTTCTTTTACATTTTACGATTTGATAAGAGACAGAGACTAAGAAATTAAATGCGACGAAACATTTTGACAACGTAATATGTGTACTGTATTCTTAAAGTTTTATGCGTTAACTTATTTTATCGGTTTCAAAATGTTTCATTTTATTTTGCCTATATAAAATATATTGAATAAGATAAGATCAACTGTTCCGTAATATATATTGTGTTTTGATGACCTTTTTTAGAATCACAATGTAAAATAAATCCCCCGTTCCTGTCATTCTGGTAACGCCGTGTAATGGATGCAATTCAAAGTGAGAGAGAGATCTATACATCAGAATGCGTCCATGCCATTAATTTTGTCAAATACATGACATGAAACTGGCTTGAGGTGCGTCCCCCTTTATCTGGTAAATTATGACTAAATTTTTCGGACAACTGGGTTTCGGACAACTGGGTTTCGGAGAACTGGGTTTCGGAAAAATGGGTTTCGGAGAACTGGGTTTCGGACAACTGGGTTTCGGACAACTGGGTTTCGGACAACTGGGGTGCACCCCCCTGAACTCTGCAAATATATCCTCTCTCTGTTCCAAACTGATTTTTTCATTACAGTTGAATCGACAGTTGGTGCAATCAACATCTCTGACTTGCCGGGCCTTGATAGTTTTGCCAAGATGGTTAACATATTCCTTCTCTGCTAATCTATTTGCTTTATTTGTATTCCTCTTCCATGTTTCAGGCTGATATTGTACCCTTGCTCGGACAAGCGTTTTCTTCTTGGGACTCTTGTAGTTTGCAGTTTTTCGAGGTGTAACATTGATTGATAGATTTTGCCCTTCTTCATCTTGAATTATGCCATCATCATTCATTAAACCTTCATCATCAATTGAGTTATCGATCCATGGATCATGCTCGTTTTCATAAGCTGAACTGTTGTCATCTATAGCATGGCCACCAATCACATCTGTATTTGTTTCATTTATATCAACTATGTTTGGAGGTTCTTGGTGTTTGGGATTACACGTTGATTCCATTTCTGGCGGTTGATTTGTTTCATTTATATCAACTCTGTTTGGAGGTTCTTGGTGTTTGGGATTACACGAAGTTGATTCCATTTCTGGCAGTTGATTTGTTTCATTTAGATCAACTCTGTTTGGAGGTTCTTGGTGTTTGGGATTATACGAAGTTGGTTCCATTTCAGGTGTTTGATTTGTTTCATTTAGGTCAACTTTGTTTGGGGATTCTTGGTGTTTGGGATTACATGAAGTTGGTTCCATTTCAGGCGGATTATTTTGAGATATGGGCATGCATATGTCGTAGTGCTTGTGCCCCGGTATAGCTAAGTATGTCAAGCTAAATTCTGGTTCAGTTGAGAGTCCAGTTTGTTTCTCAACATAGTTACTTTCAATTGTTGGTTGAATGTATTGGATAGGCTGATCAGACTTGGTTGTATAGACTGTGAATGCTTGCTTATATAAATTGGCCAATGCAAGTAACACCAAATCTCCTGCATTTGCTGTCCAAGAATCCCTTAGCTCTTTGATATGTTCTTGATACGGTTTGTCCAAAACAAGGAAATTCTTATATTCATCCTGCTCTGCTATTAGGTGCTCTATCACTTGTTCTTTCAATTGGTCAGCAGGTTGATCAACAATAATACCTGCAGCATGAAAAAAGCAATTGCCATCTCCAGGCACCTTAGCTAATATCTGGCCATTGCTTCTCAAGAGAGCATCCATCTTTTTACTGTGTGCTTTTACAACAGCATTTTTTTTCCTAGCCTCATCTCTGCTTATCATTATAGCTTTCTCAATATCAGCATTACAGTTTTGCTTTGGTCTTCTTGTGGTTCCAAACCTTTTTTTACGGGTTTTTATTACATATTCTAGACTTTTTGATTTGTTTGGTGTTGAGATTTTATGCTTTCTTTTCTTTCTTTGACTTTTTGACATGCGTATATTTTCATTTTCATCAGAAGATATAGGATCTGACATTGATGTTTCAGATATATCTGGCCTGTACTCTGATCCTTCTGATAAATCAGAATCCAAAAGTGTGGCTAGTGGTTCCAAATCCGAGTCGTTCCATCTTGTTGTTTTCATCAGGGGTTCGTCATCAGAAGTATCAAAACCTTCTGACTTGTACTTTATCTTTTTCACTTGTCTAGTCTGTCTAGTTTCATATCTTATTGAACCTTCTCGTGTGGGCAGATCAGGGTGTGATTGAGTGTCATTAGATTTGCTTGTGACAACATTGGATAATGGTATTTCTGGGATGAATAGATTAGCCAACAAACTATCCTCAATGTCAATTTCCCATTCACTCTCACTTGCCATATTTCACCTGGAGATGAAATAAGTTGTTTTTTATTCAAAATATTAAGAAAATTTATCGCGACACAAGTAAAATCTAGATAATTGGTACATGTTAGCTTTCGGCATGCAAAAAAATACTATCTTCATTCTTTAGTAAATATTGTTTTAAATGAATTATATATATAGTTTTTAATTCTATACTCTATAATTAAATTACAAAGTTAGATATAACAAATAAATTAACGTAAATATGTTTCATATAAGTAAAACTTAATGTTTTGAGTTATGACAGAATCATTTTATATCTTGTCTGCAAAAAGGTACTATAAAAAAATTACAAAATTTCTCATCTTTAGCGATGTCTGAATCAAATTAAATACAACAAAAATTCCTAAAAATAGTTTGATTACTAGCAGACATTAAGTAAGTATATAAATCAATTTGAAAGATTTTAAAGGAAAAAAGAAAACTTACCATTAACTGACAGGAAAATCAGTATCATGCAGTTCTTTCAAATCCAAATATAGCATGTGCCTATGTGAAAAACTTTAAGCCATAAACTAATCCTCTGTTTTGCCTCATTAGATTAACAGGACAGACCATTGTTAAACCTTATCTTTGTATAATATCAAATAGATAATGACAATTCAGAATACTTATTCAAATGCAAATTGAAGAAATTCTTACAGTTATTATCTTCTGGTTCCTATTTAAAGATGGATAATATGGTCATTACAATCAAATATGACCAGTAATGCAAAAAGCACTATTATGAAGTACAACAAAACTATACTTTTGAAATGGCAAATCATGCAAAAACGTAACATAATGCAGTTAGTATTTTTTTGCATGAGCATTATGCACTTAATACTTTTTTGCATGTAACATTTTCCACAATAATCACTTAGTACTTATTTGTATTAGACATATACAAAGTTATATAACAGATTTCAATATAACCTTTGGTAGGATGATAGAGGGGTATTAAACCATTGTCCCAGATACAATATCTCAATTTTGGCAAAAAGTGCACTTAGTACTTTTTTGCTTGAAACCCTCGATATGTATATGACTGTCTGATGACAATTTTAGGAAAATATCACACATACCTCAATAATGTCAGAACAATTACTGACTGTTATACAGATACTACAATAATCGTATACCCTATATATAAATATATGCATCATCATCATTAATGGTAATACTAATAGTTATGTAGTTTTTTACATGTAAATTACTTCTTTTTTCCTTCCTTTATAATTGTTATAATTTTTGTTTGTACATGTACTTGACCCAAAGGGGTGTGAATGTACTTGAAGAATAAAAATATTTATATGAAATAACTTGTTACCTTGGTGGTGCCTTCCCTGTTAGACACAGCTTTGGTATAGGGAGCTGTTCTGTCACCAGGCTGTGGTAGCTGCTCAATGTAAACATACCTCTAAAACACAAAATAGCTGTACATGGATCATTTCATTTATGTCTGAGTCACATTTCGCTCGATTCATCGGCTGGTGCCCGGCCGATTGAGCATTTTGGTCAAAATGGTATTCAGTTTTAAACAAATACTTAATCAGCCAGCGTCGGCTGATATATAAGAGCAAATGTTACTCGGGCATGAGGCAACTTGATATACCTTTTACATCAACAACCCCAGGCATTATTGAGCCTGTAATGTAATTCACATACCAATTTAAAGATGGCTCTTTGCTTAGTAAAATACACTTATTCATAATCACATACACTTCAAGTATGAACTTAACATTGAAAACGTAGTTTTTCAAAAAACTTTATTGCAGTTCATATATCAATATTTTGAGAGCCTCGAAAAAATCCATAAGGAATAAAACACGATATGCCTGTGTTTGGAGGGGTCATAGTGACTTAAGGGAACTTAGATAGATTTGGCATGAATGTGACACAAAGAGTGTTTAACATAGCACAAACAACTCCTACACATGACCAAATTTAGTCATGGACATCCCATGAATATAATTCTTTATTATGCACCTAATTAAAATACTCAAATCTGATTGGTTAAGAGCTACAGGGTCTATTGCCATACGTGGCAGCAAGATCTTGTTCTATCCAGTATTGAAGCAACGAGATCTCCAACCATCCCGTATGCCAGAATACCTATCCTCCAAAAAATACTAGGCTCGGCTTCTGTTTTAGTAGACCCATTCTCATGATCATCCAGTATTTGTTTAGTATCGTGCAATGCAATAAAGTATATGTACATTTCTTAACTATTTTTGAATTTCAAATGTTTCAATTGAGATGTTACCTTGATACAATGATTTTACATCTGAACACTAGAGTGAAGATCTTACCTTCCAACTGAGAGTGCCATGGTACGTATACATAGTCCATATAGATGGCGTTCTTGTTCCTCAATAAAATCATGGTCGCTGAAAGTGTAAAGGACAATTTACAGAATGTTATTGTTTGACACACAAAAAACAATTCAATATGATGATTGATGTTTGTATTATTTGTTATTAAGCTGCCATGGCAACATTGTTTCATTGCCTAAGAATCCTGTGAATGAATCATATGAACTAACTCTAATGTATTCAAAGCAGTGATCTCCCATGATTTTTTCTCAGGTGGGTGCAAAATTCTCATTTTCACAATTCAGACCAAAATTGGTCAAAATATGCCATTTTTATGTAAAGTGGAAGTTTACCTATAAATAGACAAAATAGATAACACAGAATTATTACTTTTAAAACATTACTCATTGAAGCTGGAAAAAATATCGAGGTTTGTGTCATCTGCCTCTCCTCCCCTTACAAAGGGGTTTAGTAGGCAGATCCCTCTTTATTTGAGTAGATAGGCTAATTACATACAGACATGCATACAATTTACATGACGCTTCAACCTAAAAAAAAATCAGCCTCTGCATTGTTTCTGATTAATATTTCTAACTCTTGTATATAAGGGTTATGTACTGGGAGGTTTTGGATATGGGGTTTATCCAGAGGGAGATATGCATATCTACCTGAGGGACCTGAGGGACCGAAGGTAGATGTGCATATCTCACGAGGGATGAATGAACCCAATATCCAAACCGACCGTACATAACTGCTTTATCCTATACCAAGTAGAGTTTTCAGGGGCATATGGCCATTTCAATAGTACAAGGTGTATGCAATGTCATTTTATTGCATTTCCACTACTTACCGGAAGCGGGGAGATATGCACCGAAGCGGGAAGATATGCACCGAAGCGGGAGATATGGCGGGAGATATGGAGGTTCTGGATATGGAAACCTCAAAATCAGGATACGGGATATATCTTACCAACTTATCTCCATAGAACTCTACTTGGCATAGGATAAATCTGTATATCTTGATGCATGGGCATATAATATATATATACATATACAGTACATGTATACTCAGTCTGTATAAAAGACAGGAATATTTATCCATAAAAGTATTTCATAGACTGAAAGGAATACAATACATTCTAGAATAATAGAGCAGCATGGCAGAACATGTGTTTGATTATGAAACTGAAACCAAAACTGAAACTGAATCTAAAAAAGAACTCAGCTGCCTTATACCCTGGATGCCTTTATAAATAAACAAAGCCATAGGAGTTGAGTCAATAAACATACAGAAACATCAATAAACAAACATATACAATGTAGAAACTTAATTATGCTTTAACTTTAATAATGATACCCTAAAAAATGATACTTTCAGGACTGAGATGTATGAATATGACCGACTGTCACTCTGACAGTACTGGACAAAAACAGTTTTCTTAATTAAATATAAACCTTAGAAAGAACAAGAAATGCCAACTAACATATCATATGCTACCATAAAAAACATGCACATTTTGAAGTAATTCCTGACCTACCCTCCATAATTCAATTACAGACAGGTTCCCATGGCTAGCTTGTTGCTAATAGTTACTATACTGCATAGATGCTATCCAATGAAATTTGGCCAGCTGTACCTTAAGAAAGGGGAATCCCCTGAAATATTTGTTTTGGTCTTCCAATTCAATAATATCATTTTGCAGTCAGAAAACCTTTCGCTGGCGTTGGACATCGCATTCAATTTTGTAGTAAGTAATCTTAACTTTATTTACTTTAACAGAGGAAAAGGTTCATGGAATCAAAAACATTTAATAAATGTCTTGCTCTGTTAACGTCTAATCACAGATACTAGAATTCTGTGATTTCTCTTCACTGCAGAAAAACTGCAGAATTTTGGTTTTCAATTTTTTTGCAGAATTTGATTTTTTTCATCTTTTGCACTTAAAGATTATGTCTAATATGTCACGAATTTGAATTCCCTGCAATATCGTGATAGTTAGATGAAGCCGATGCTTGCAGAATTTATCACAGAATTCAGGATTTCATGCAGAATTTGACGCACTAACTCGACCTTTTCATGCAGAATTTCTGTGCAGTATTTGCATTTTTCTCATGCAGAAAACTGGGATGTGTGTAATGAACTGCAAATATATGATTCATAATTGTGTAATTAACATTCATTATTTGACGATTGGGTTAATTGGGCCTTTCACATATGTAGAAGTATTTATTTTAAATATATATTTTAAGTTCAAAAAATGTAATAGAAGTAATGTACTTGGTAAGAATTGATAAAATATTTCACAAACATCTTATATTTAAAAAAATTACTTTTATGATTGATCGATGATACTCTTGGGTTTGTATCAATAATTTGCTTCTTTAATCAATGGATCAATGGAGGGTAGAATAATTGAGTATATTATTTTTTGGATGAAATGTCTGTTGTCAGGCTTAACACTGATGTCTGGCTGGATTAAGATCTTGATGCTACCTACATTCCAGGTACAGCAACAGAAGAATTAGGTTGTCACTGGTTGTTATACATCGTAGTTTTGTCAGTTATTTAAAAGCAATGTATTTATGTTTTCAGTGGTGACATCATATGCTTTTTCTACTGATTGATCAAACACTCAAGATGAAGCAAACCATTAACCAATACAGCTACTGCACACTATTCAAGATGGTGTTGATTCGGGTATTGATCGCAGCAGTGTGTAACATCTACTGTATAAATCAAGTATGTTGCTACAATATTGAAGATGTTTATTTACATGGCATTGAGAAGGCAAGTAAAGGGCACACCGACCTCCCAAACACTGTACCAATTGAAACATTTTTAGAAAGCAAATATTGTGAACAAAGAGGTGAAAATAGCAAGGTGATATTTGAGGAAAGAAGTTCAATGTATCCCAAATTGTTGTCTGAAAATGGAAGCACAAACCCAGATTCCTTATCCCTAAATATTGAACCTCTGAAATATGGAAAACTGTTACGTACAGACACTTCTGACAATGTACATATCGCATGCCTAACTGCTAACAAAACTGGAACTCTTATACGACAATCAAGAAGACAACGACAGCATGACCACCATTATAACACTCCTCACGTTAATATGACAACCAACAGCCACTGTGTAGAGAAAGAAACTCCCGTTATTTTGACCTGCAACGTTGACACAAGATTGAGATTGAAAGGTAATGTGTCTTATCTTCAACCATGGCATATCAAATGGGTACAAAATACTTCAATGTTGGTTGATACCAAAATGTTTCTCCAGTCTACAAAGCAATTTGGAATGGGACAATGGAAAAGTCAGCTGACAATTACGAACATGTCATATGAACACGAAGGGAGATATATGTGTGTGGTGATCTTTAAATGCGAGTGGATGACTAGTAGGACAGTATATTTAGCTATATCCAAGCAGTTGTATGGACCAGATTTGAAATTTGCAGCCCTTAACTACCCTAAATGGCCACAGCCAAATGTAAGTCATCCTATGAAAACCTCATTTACTGTTGAAGTGAATAGTATATATGGAATTATGGTAGGATTTCATGGGCCTGACCTATTAGAAGTTAAGCACAACAGATTCAAGTATGGAAGGTTCTATGAGATGCAAATTACATGCTTGTCTTCTTTAGGTTTTCATGGTACTTGGGTGTTCAGCAAAGCATTTTATTGTCCAAGTCACAGAGTGCATCTCTCTCTTAAGTTCACCAATCTATATAACAATGGGCTGTTTATTATTTACCTTGCCATACCAAAACTTAAACTAGAATCTTCGGAGAAAAGCATCAGCAATCTACATCAATATTCTGAGGGTTTATCTGGTATCATAACACCTCCTTTATCACCTGTTCCTATTATTTCTGGTGGGGAGAATGTGACACACAAGGCAACAATTTCAATTCCACAGGGTCACTATGTTGACATAATGGTTCTGCAAAACCCAAGAAAATGTGCCAAATGTGATATCAGAATACTACATGGTACAGATACAACAACCATCAATGGAAATGAAACTGTCAAACACCAGTACCAATATGGTACCAATACCACAAACTGTGACATTGAAGTTGTTGCGATGTGTACTTATTCAAAATTCTGTGTTACTGATAGAATGTTGTTTTATATCACTTGGGAGGAAATTCATGTGTATGGTCATGGTCTTTTAAAGGAATCAGATAAATACATTGAGGGTACCATTGGTAGTTTCTTAATCATTTGGCTAATTGTTGTTTGGATTCCTATATGCCATCTATACAGTTAAAGTGCCAAAGATAAGAATAGAAAGCATATGTAAATATCCTTATGATGTGTTTGTCTCATATCATCATGATGATATCAACTTTGCTTTCAACTTAGTCACAAAAATTGAAAAATGGGGGCTTACTACACACGTGGCGGATAGAGATTTCATTCCTGGTAAATCCATCTCTGCAAATATCACTAATGCCATATACAGCTCAAGGCGAACAATTTTGATTGTTTCACAGAAGTTCCTGAAAAGTAACTGGTGTAAGTTGGAATTTCGGCTCGCAGTTCAGGCAGCAACTGAGTCGTATCTTGACAGAGTGATTCTGATACGTTTAGATAAATGTGACATTCCAAATGAAATGAAACTTATCCAAACATATCTTGACCACTATGACAGGCATTTTAGAAAAAACTTTGACAATAGACTACAGAGTGCATTAATTGGTCTGGAAAAAAATGATGTTGAAATCTTAGATGGGGTTGTTACAAGTTTTATCTTTCAAAATGTAGTGACGCTATTTTTATTTGCATATATTGTACTGCAATAAATATATTGTTAAATTGTTTTTTAACATGTTGTTTTCTACCACTTATAGCTAGCTATCAGTTAACTCCTATAAACTCTCACTAGGGACCTGAGTTGAACTTGCCAGAAAGGGAATTTTATCTAGGTCAAAGGTCAAATAGCTCAACTCAATTACAAAAGACCTACTGAGGTCTAAAAAAGTAAACTTTTCAAAGTCAAAGGTCAAGGTTATGAAATTATGTCACAAAGAGTGTTATCATACATGACCTCATATTGTGATTTTACCTTTGGCTGACCTTCACATTTTAAAACCCCTATTGGGCCTCCAAGATTGCTTGCAATCTTAATGTCAAGTTATCATTATTTATTCCATATTAGTTCCAAAAGTTGTAATAAATTGCCAAAGATATATAAAATGTTACTAGCGCAATTAATTACTAACAAGCTAATTTGTAATTAATGTAATTGTTTCATGCATCTTATGAACCTTCATACAATATGGTCAAATATTTGTGTGCGCATACCTACCTACAATGACTAAACTATGTAAATATTGTACATTCCATATTATGTCATCAAAGTAAAAATACTTTCAATGAATAGCTTATATTGTACGCTCGTATATAACTTTATCGTATGATCTGTAAAATGAAGCCCTCTGATTGGTCAGTTCTTGTGCTGCACCAATCTGTATTGCTACTGAGATTGTCTGCGTTGATCATCTCCGTCGCAATACAGAAAATATTGGTACGGAGGAGACAATCTCAGTAGCAATACAGAGGATAACACGATAAAAACGTTATTGAATGATTTGAAGTGCAATACAGGATATATTCTGTCTCGATATTCTGTATTGGCACTCGACTTCGTCTCGTTCCAATACGGAATTTCTCGAACAGAATATATCCTGTATTGCACTTCAAATCATTCAATAACTTATAGCACAGCACAATATAGACTGTAAATGAAATAAATACACTTAATAAAAAGTAATAATAATTGTTATTGTTCATGTAAAAATGTTGATAAATATTCAGAAATAACTACATGGCATGCCCCTTAAAGGAATATTCCTTGCCAGACCCTTTCTCTCTTGATATGGTAGCTATAATCATATATATAGTTTCCATATTTAGCAAAACATGGGAAAATGTTTTAATATGGTCAATATTGATCATTTAAAAATCTAGTGCTTATTTCCAGTGAGCTGCCATCTTTTAAGATTTCTTGCAGGAAGTGATGTCATCAACTCTCAACTTCTATAACCTTGCCCATAACAGTATAGGAAAGTAGCACAAAATCACTTCTAGACAAGCGATCATTACTTTCTGTGCAAAAATATTTTCAGGGCTTGTCAACTTAGAATAAAAGAAGAGATTTTCAGAAGGATTAAATAAGATACAAAGTTGAAAAAGAATATTTAGCTGGTTTTGTAATTCTTAATAGCTCCTCACCTAATGCTATATATGCAAAGTTGAGAGTCGATGACATCACTTCCTGTGTGAAATTTTAAAAGATGGCAGCTTACTGGAATTGAGCATCACATTTCTAAGTGATCAAATCTGACCATATCAAAACATTTTTGCATGTTTTGCTAAACATGGCAAGCATATATATGGTTATAGCTACCATATGAGGAGAGAGATGATTTGGCAAGGAATATTCCTTTAAAAACTTATAATCCTGGAAATCTGATATTAGTATTCCGAAGATTTAAAATCTTACCTGACTTCTGGTCTTTGCGACAGTGCTATCCTGACAGGTCTTGCTGACTGGAGCAGACGTCGAACTTCTTGAATCCGCAGGTCATCACTGAACAACAGACGTAATAACTGGAAATATAAGAAAAACCAAATGTTTTTACATGTGTTTATTACATGTGTTACAACATGTGGTTATTGCAATACTATCAGTTATTACACGTTTCAGCATGTGATACGGGAAATATTTCACGAAAGTAAAAATTGTATCACCACGAAAGCGCAGCTTGAGTGGTGATACTTTTTTACTGAGTGGAATATTTCCCGTATCACATACGCTGAAACGTGTAATGACGATTTTATCACATACTATGTAGAAATCTAGTCATTTGATTGGAGCTTTCTTTGACGTTCTAACTTCTAGTTCCCCAAATGACGAATTCATCATTTTTAAGAAATAATAACATAGCCTAAATGTGACGTCATTTTGAATTAGGAAAGAATAGAATGAAGTTGTATGACGTCATTTCGTTACCATAGACAACGTGTAGTACGTGTGCTCGTATCATATGAAATTCATGTGATACGGGAAATATGTCATAGAAAGCAACCAATCAAATCACTAGATTTCTACATAGTATGTGATAAATGTGGTTATTGCAATATATAAAAAATCAGATCTCTCTTACGCTTGCCTTTTTCAACATATGCTGTTATTTTCAAACATTTTCCAAGATTTGCAATTATCTTTAAACTCTGATATATCACAATGAACATTTTCTTCACAAGTTAACAAATTAACATGATCATTATATTACTAGAGAATGGGAACCCTACAGAGTTTACAAATCCCAATGAACAAATTATTCATGAAATCAAAATATGTCATAAAATATATTTTCAATGTACTGTTAACATTCTTTCACCAAATATGAAGAAAATTCATCCAATTGTGTTCGAGTAATTTTCAGGTCAGATTGATTGATGTTGGGGTTTACTATATCCCTGCCAATAAATCTAGGGGTCAAACGGTTAACCGCGGTATGCGGTTACCGCGGTTAATGATGCTAGGACGGTATTTTCGGTTCATAAACATGAGATTCGGTTCATCCACGGTTCGAGGAAAAATTGAAAAATGAAATTTTTTAGACTTCAATATTCTCTCTTTCGTTCGACATGAACTTATTCTTCATGTATATATTCCTTAAAAACATGTTTATAGCAATAGAGAACATTCAATTCTTACCTTAGATATGAAACAGATCGCTCACAAATCGATAGACAAGTAATTGTTTACATTTTTGTGACATATAAATAGACCGGAAGTTGGTCTCGCCAGATTACGCTATTCATAGTACAATTAATTTTGCTTCGTGGAGGTGTTTTGTCTGTTATAATGAGTTAGTTTTTAATCAATATTATTTAAAAAATACTGCAATTACAGAAATTATAACATTACTAATATGTTTGGTAAAAACTTGAAACATATTTGTGTTTAAATCTCCCGCACAATCGCAGCGCCATCTGTGCTGATTCAGCTGCTTTGACTACAAGAATCCCGGGGCTATGTTACTGCTTGTGCTACATGTAGATCTCAGCTCTTATCTGACAGAAATCTTATCAAGGACAGAAAAATCTAAAGTTTAAAATTTAAAGTGGGCCACTAGGCCAATAAACTTTGCTTTGTCAAGTTAATTTAATAAAAAAGGATAGTGGGACCAGAAAGTGACCAACTTGGGCAAGGCTAGAAAGAAAGCTAAAACCTGTTTTTGTATGAGCTGTCTTTACAATTTTATAAGGAAATATTACCAATTTACGAGACCCGCGAGAACCGTGAAAGAACCGAACCGTGAACCTAAAAACCGTGACCGAACCGAACCGTTGGAATTTTGAACCGTTTGACCCCTAAATAAATCCCTCATTATTCTCCAATGTTGTCTACAAGGGCATGAACCTTTGAACTTTTCCTACCTCTCGATCGATAAACTCCATACCATCCTCTTCCTCCTTGACCCCCTTACTCTGTGGGGCCATTTCTTTCTTCAGGGTCACTACAGGTGGCATATTGGAGATGTTGGCCTGCTGGTGTAAATCCTCCCTACCTAAACACACGTTGACAACATTTAATATCAATTTAAGGTACAAGTAGGCTGAGTGCAAATATCAACGTACTTGTTCTGACTTAAATGTTTTATTATCAATTGGAACATGAACATGTGTTTTAAGGACCAAATAACCAACTCATATGTGTATACTAATTTGTACAGTACATGATTAGGAAAAGCATTAAGGACTATACAAAGGACATTTAGAAAATACTTTTTCATTTCAAAGGACTTCATTCTGTGTTTTTTAAACTATTCACCAATTAATAAAAAATAACAGGAAATAAGCAAAACTAGACAAGCTTTAAGAACCTACTTCCATCTGTCATCACTTCATTCAAGCTATACTTACCTATTAGTATGTAAGCATCATCAGGCCAGTCAGAAGGGGGGTTTGCCCTACAATGGTGTATTGCCTCATAAAGCGGATGTGAGATTCCAAATGGGAGAAGATCCAAATCCTTGCTTGTCATACCTAGAATGAAGGAGCAAATGCTAGAATATCATTTGTAAGTAGAGTTTAAGAATGGACAAGAAAAAGGTACTTTAACATGTAATACATGTAATATCACACCAAGATATACATGTACTTTATTGAGAATTTATACAAAGCAAGTATACATTGCTTCTTCAAAGTACATGTACATGTACTGGTAAATGTTTATGTAGTCTGTGTGGAATAACTAAGATACTTTAAAAGACTTAGCTACAAAACAGGTTGACATAATTATTTGGTGATTAGTGAATGTCTGGCTGGAGACATCACTTGTGACATAAATATGTAAATATCCATTGCTTGGTTGAATTCAAGTGGACCTCACCATTACATTACAATAAACATAAGAGTGTTGATCTCATACCTAGTTCTGCCATGTAGAGCACCACCCTTTCAAATACTGTCCCACTGGTATCTGGAGTGAAGCTCTTGGACATTGAGACATCTCTAGAGACTACCCTGTGGCCTGGAGCAGACACCTTACGTACATATCTATCCCACACTGGCTCACTACTCTCTTCTGGGTGCAACAGTATAGCATATAACTGTAACAGAGACATCAGTGTAAAATAGCATATAACTGTAACAGAGAGACAAGTGTTAAATGACATATAACTGCAATAGACACATCAGAGTTAAATGTTTCTAGTATATAACTGCAATAGACACATCAGAGTTAAATGTTTCTAGTATATAACTGCAATAGACACATCAGACTTAAACAACATATAACTGCAACAGAGAGATGAGTGTTAAATTACATGTAACTGCAATAGACACATCAGAGTTAAATGTTTCTAGTATATAACTGCAATAGACACATCAGAGTTAAACAGCATATAATTGCAACAGAGAGACGAGTGTTAAATGACATATAACTACAATAGACACATCAGGGTTAAATAGTACTAGTATATAACTGTAATAGACACATCAGGATTAAATGGCATGTTAAATGACATATAACTGCAATAGACACATCAGGATTAAATGGTACTAGTATGTAACTGCAATAGACACATCAGGGTTAAATCAAATGACATACAACTGCAACATGAGAATTAAATCCCATGAAAAGGCAAATGCTTTCAGAAACATGACTGCTTATGATATTTAGGTGCAATATAAGACACATGGGAGTTAGAGATTTAAGTAAAACACATAGGGTTATTGAGCATATAAGTGCCAAATACACAGGGTTAATTCAGTCAAGGTATCACATCATATTACAACTAAAAATAAGGTTTCACTTTTCGCACATTGATGACTTTGCCAGATTTTCTTTGTAACCAAAAGAACACTGATGCAATCTGTAAATAATACTATAGATATACATGTTCTTGTTCTTGTACATACCGAGACTATGTTCATGGTAACCTTGCACACATCTGATAAGTACGGGAATGGTTTACATGGGGCACCAGTCATGCTACAGTGGAGCCATCTATACAGGCTAGGGGGCTCTTGACTCAGGAAACTAGGGTATTGCATCTGCTTCAGGGTATCTAAAATATGTGATACAAACTTTTAAACATTGTACAAATGATTGAGATACAGTAGAGTAAAGAATGACATGGTACATGTACAGGGTTTCCATAAAGTCTTATAAATACAATAAAAAGTCTATGTAAAGTGTAAAGACTTTATGGACAACCTGTATATCACATAAATATGATTAAGATTTCAAAATGTATTAAAAAATAAAGTAGTATAAAAAATACTTTTAACTTTATGCCATCACCACACTAGTCATCACTACAAGAGTGTCTTACCTGGTAGTATTTGGCTGGTATGTTCCGGGCTATTAAACAATGCGGGGTAATCCCTGACATAGTGGTCAATATAAGCAGACAGTTGCAGGTCCCTGCAAGTCAAAGTTAAAGCAAATACATTATATGGGGAAATGGCAGTAAATTCTTTTTACACCATTACTTAAGCTTCAGAAAGAAGATTATACAATTGATTTATAATACAGATTGTCAACCAGCTGATGCATATGTACCTTTATTTAATGTAAGCATCTTAAAAATCAAAATTCATGTATAATTGTGCAAGTCAGAATAAATAAATAGCATTGCTTAACAATTTCATACCCATTTGAGGAATACTAGGTAAGTCACATATTTTGGTGCTAATTTATGGAATCATTTGCAAGTTGAATTTCATAAATACAAAACTTTGAACTCTTGAAACACAAAGAACCATGTAACATGCTGCAAGTAATTTTAGACAGTCAAATCTTATCACGAGTATTTTCTGGGCATTAATACAGTGGTTTTTATTAAAAGAATGCATTTTCTTTTAATTAAGGAGATCAGAAGATCACCTAATACCTGACCTCCAGGTACATATAGTTGAACACAGTAAAGAGAGTATAAACTGTAGTGTGTGCTGACTGTGATAATTAACTCATATGATTTCATGGATTTGAACCCCCTGGGCAAGTGTATCAATGGTTTAAGTATTAGCCACTTAGTTGTCATTGTTAACTGGTGTAGAACACCATAAATTTATGCTTAATCCAAGGGTATCATGTATAAACTGTACAATGTAACAGAAATATAACAAAGCATGTTGCATAAAACATAATCGGATAAGTAGGAAATGAATCACAATTTGTTGAGCCAATAAAGCCTTTCTTGGTTAGTATATAATAGTATTATATGATAGTGTACATTTTAAACAAAGACATACTCTAAAGTTTCAAATAACACAAAAATGAAGTGTTATAAGTGATAGGAAGTAAATATAAAATAACTGAAAAATGTGGGGTATAACAAGAATGTGACCGACACTCATACAGATATATTCATGAAAAACATTCAGATGAATCAATGTCAATAACTGCAGACACAATGATGTCAACAACAGAAGACATGCCGATGTCAACAACCACACATTAATGTCAACAACTGCAGACACATTTATGATGTCAACAGCAGACACGCTAATATCAACAACTACAGACACACTGATGTCAACAATCACAAACACTTTGAAGTCAACAGCCACAGACTCATTGATACCAACAACTGCAGACACGTCAATGATGTCATCAACAGCAGACACACTAATATCAACAACTACAGACACACTGATGTCAACAATCACAAACACTTTGAAGTCAACAGCCACAGACTCATTGATACCAACAACTGCAGACACGTCAATGATGTCAACAACAGCAGACACATTGATACCAACAACTGCAGACACATTGGTGTCATCAATTACAAACACTTTGATCTCAACAGCCACAGACACATTGATACCAACAACTGCAGACATGTCAATGATGTCAATAACAGCAGACACATTGATACCAACGACTGCAGAAACATTAATGCCAACAATCACAAAGGATTTAGCTTCAACAGCCGCAGTCTCATTGATGTCAATGACAGCAGACACATCGATGGTTTCAACAACTGCAGACACATTGATGCCAACAATCACAAACACTTTGATGTCAACAGCCAAAGATTCATTGATGTCAACAACAACAGAAACATTGATATCAACAACTATGGACACATCAACAACCACAGACACATTAATGTCAACAACTTTAGACACATTGATGTCAACAATCAAAGACACACTGACACAAACTGAGCATGTACTAACTGATATCCAAACAACAAATGTAACATGTCCACCACCAACGCCTCTTCCCACATCAGGACTTATCACATTTCGTATTATAATGGACGTGTATGTAGTAGGAATCATATGTATACTTGGAATAGCAGGGAACATCACCTCTATAGTAGTACTACAGAAGGGATGTATCACAGGAAAGACCACAAAGATACTACTCCAGACATTATGTACTTCAGATACATTCTGTCTCATTAGCGCCTTTATAAGCTCAACATTACGGACAACATGGGATTATACTAATATTGATCCATTTTTTGGTAAATATGCCCATTGGTATAGATTTAACTGGACATTTTCTTCAATAACTAGACTCTGGGCTGTACTGTGTGTTGTGTGTATAACAATTGAACGCTACATCGCTATCTGTTACCCATTCAGTGTTAAGAAATGGTGTACGATCACAAGAGTTAGGAAGTTAGCAAGCTCCACATTGGTATTTGCAACAGGTTTTAATATTCCTAAGTTCTTTGATAAAATCCCAGTTGAGTGGGACCTATGTACAGGAAATCTGGAGGTGACTGGTGGATACTCAGCATATATGGCACTCAATGGACGTATTTACTCGTTGGTGTACATCACATTTCTTTTTTATTCAATCAATTTTATAATTCCTGCCATAACACTAGTTATCCTCAATCTACGAATCATAGTCACAATACGTAAAGCATGTAGTCCATCAAAAACAATGAACAAATATAAAGAAAATAAGTCGACAACCAAAGAGAGACGTACTACGATTATGTTATCAACTATCGTGCTGGTATTTCTGCTCTGCCAGTTCCCTGCATTTGCTATCAGCGTGGTCTACACACTACACAACTGGGGGATCAAAGTTCCAGATCAGACTGCGAGAAGATTCTTTTACTCTGTAGGTACAACCCTCGTGGCTTTAAACTCAGCGATAAACTTCACTATATATTTTGTTTTCTCAAAACAATTCCGTAGAGTATTAGCCAGATTGATATGCAGATGTAGCCGGAAAACAAAAGAAGATCCAAAAATAACTGATGAGACACAAGGTCCTTGTTAAGCTGGACCCAGTCAGACTCGAATCAACACAGTGACCCAAGTTAACTCAAATCCAAATCAACTCAGTGACTCAGGTTAACTCAAATCCAAATCAACTCAGTGACCCATGTTAACTTAGCAAGCCAGGTTCCTCCAACGTGGAACAATTTTTAAGACAGGTTTTACTGTATCTAAAATAAATTACTACTCATGAAAGTGAGTATTTGTTGGCAAAACCTCCTTAGACCAGCAAGGGACAAAGAGATAACAAAAACAACAACTATAAACTGACCTTTCAGATGGCCTTGACATCTCAATGTGACCTTGGCCTTTGATTACCTTAATATGCATATGGTTGTATTTGTTGTCAGGGATTCAAATGTGTATCTTTCAAGTGACCTTGACCTAGTATCATTACTTCAACCTAGAAACGATCTTGACCCATATGATCATTTCACCTTCAACATTAAATATTTAATCAGACCATAACCTTGATATAACCATAGAGACCCATCTATGTTTGAGCCTGTATATATCCAAGCATATTGTATTGAGAGTCATTATCCAGAAAATACAAAATCTGTGTAAAGTGACTTTATGGATACCCTGTATAAACTACACAGGGAAAAATGATTCAAAGTACTCAAGAATAATCTCCAAACTTTTCCTCTTAAAAAAGATGTTTACCTGGCAATGTGATGTAGGAGAGTGGTGAGTTTATGAAGATGCTCAAGTAGCTGACTGTTTAACTTCATATCCTGCAAGTAAAATACAGCTGTTCCAAAGGACTGTGCTAAATAAACTTTTGGAGATTTACATTTTAATGTTTACTAGTATGCATTGTTTTACAAAAATAGACATCTTAGTGAACATCTCACTCTCTTGGTGAGCATCTGTCCCAAGTGAAGACATTTCTTGGAACATATTCAATTGTCTCTTCTATAAAACGAATACATTAATGTAAAAACCTTTAGTTTTTCTCAAATATATCACACACTTTTACTTTTACTACGTTTTTAGAGAACCCTTCAGGGTCTTGCTAAATTTGGTACTGATTTAAGGTAAAATTAAGCAGTTTTAAAAAATCATTATACTCTCATTTTACAAATCATGTGAGTGTTTATTTTCTTCTTTATTTCTTCCACATTTGAAGGACTCAATCAAATCAACAAAATGGGCATGTTTCCCGACTCATCCTTCAATATTTCCTTTTGACAGACATTAATTCAAGAAGGTTTTACAAAAGATGTTACCATCTCTTACCTCATATACAAGGTGTAGAGCATAGAGGAGAGCTGGTATATGTGGAAACAATGCAGCACTTGTATCTATGCTCACAGGTGTAGATCTGTCTAGTTTCATATCTGACCTAGGTGCACTCTCAGTAGAGCTCTTCAGTATGGAGGTTACAAAATTGTGATGATCAGACGACAGTAGATATTGCCAATCCTGAAATAAAATGCAAAATTGAGGATGCTTTATGTCTTATCTAGTAGGCCTAGTATTTTGTGAATATCAAAATTAATCGTGAATGCATGAAATGTATATTCAATGAAGTTAGTTCCAAAGGATTTTTCACCTAAAAGAGAATGATAAATTATTAAATTACCGATATTAAAGGAGTTGAGGTATTCAATTTGTATTTAAAGTCTTGAACCAATTTTTAAACTCATTTCATTCATTACTCAAATCTTTCCCATTCAGAATCATAAGCCTTATGACATACCTCATCTGACCCCTGATCTGATGGTTTAGCCTTCTTGGTGACAGGTGAGAGTGGGGAATCAATGTCCATCTGAAATAAACACAGATTATATGTAGTTGTAATATTCTATTTGTACACAAATGTTATCATCAAATTCATACAGCTTTAGAGATAAATATCTATACCTGTGGGTCAGATGCCTATAAAATATGAACAAAATCAAATCACTGCTATATTGAACTTGAACTTATGCTGAACTTCTATACTTTAATCAGAATCAATCAGATAACTATATTATTTACCTGTAATACCAAAGGAAGTCTACCAAGATCATATCCCATCATGCCAAGCAAGCACTTAGTAAATGTCAGCCATTCAGTCTGCTTAGTCATCCCTCCAGGTGCATTATGGGTAGAATACCATTTTATTAATACTTGACTCGCAATGTAATTTGGCAGAATATGTTTGATACCCTCAAGACAAGCATCAACTGTAAGTAATTAAAATATAAACTTAGTTTTATTTATGTTTATTGATAGATTTAATTTTGATGTAAATTATATTTCTGATTAAAATATTACAACAGTGGTGTAAAAAGAACTAAATTAACTCCAACCAATACATAAGTTGAATGATGGCGAATGAGGTGAACCACTAAAGAAATTGGATTTTTATGATGGTTTCTTCCCAGCAATTTAACCTTTGAAATGGGGTAATGTAAACCCAGAGGTACATACTTATAGGAGAAGTCTCCATGCTTGGTATGGTTATCCTGCACAGGCTGCCATTGGCAAGGTCCTAAAATAAAACATAAAAAATAATTTAGTCAGACAACCAACATGGATACAGACAGACTTTCAATTTTTCAATCTTTATTGTAAATACTACTATCACCCATTTACCCCAATAACTCCAAGGGGGTGATGAGGATATCATAGGCCTCTCCCAAAATGAGGTAATCCCTTCATTATCATAGTACTATTTAATGTGAGTACATTTTAGTGCATTTTCATGAATAATGTAAGGTTAAATGTACATACCAGAGTGCATCTATTAGCTACAGGGTCCTGTAGGCTTGTAATGGAGCTCTGTATGCTAAGGTCCTCTCCTAAGCTACCTGCATGAAGCAGTTGGGAAGATTCATTCATCTCTGGGGGCACAGGGGATAATAGATGGACCTACAATCAAACAATTAATGACTTGGCTTCAAAATTATTTGTCTAATAGAGGCTTTGTTATATTGCTTTGAAATCTTGATTATGTTAGAAATATACAGGGTGGCCCAAAAGTAGGTTTACAGTTATTCAGCAATATCTTGTAGAAATCATTGTCACTTACAGGATCATCAAAGTGTGCATCTAGTGCACTAGTGGGGCGACTGGAGGTGACAATGCCTGGACCAGGACTAGCGAAGGGTGTAGTAGACCTCAGGCCTTCACTGGTTGACAAATGTACACTGGATATTGGGAGAGAAGGCAGGAATACACGTGTCACCTAAAAATACAGACAAAATATTGTAAGGTCATAATAATAGAATTAGCGTATCAAATCCTAATTTAAAATTTAAATAATATCAGAGTCAGAAGCTGTTCAGAAATATTTTGTGATTTGGCTTGGACCCCTTAGTTTGACAATTCAGTTATTTAAATTCACAGTTTGTTGACATGGTACAACAACTTTAATTCATGAAGCCATGGACATGAACAACAGATCAGATTTTTGAATGCTTGAATCTTCTGTACTAACATTAAACAGTTTCTATTCATAGACTAAGTAGATATTCAAATGTCCCCTATTTATACCTTAGTAGGTCCAGTGTAGAGAAGCAACGTAGAGTTCAAGTCTAGAACTAGCACCATGTTAAGACTCTGAAAAAACAAAATGTACAAAATTTGTTACTGATGCCAAAAGCTAAGTGAAAACCACTGAAAATGTTAGTCACAAACCGCTTCTTATATTAGTGGTGTCATAGAAATGATACTTTTCAGAAATAGATCCACCAAAAGACATGTACATTTTTCATTGTCCCCTGGCTATATTTTCATTATTGCATCGACTCTTGTTTTGTATACTACTTACACTACTAAAAATCAACTCTGTGCTACACAATGTAAACTGATGGTTCACTCATTGGCCAAATTAAATAAATTTCACATAGATCCCGATATCAGATCATATTCTTTAAAAAGAAATTGAGTAACGAGTAAGCACTGAAACTACTCACAGGTAAACTAACTGCATCTCTGGCCTGTACAATAGACACTGCACCAAATATCAACTGACTCTGATCATTGCTCTCTTCCCATTTAACACACCTGCAAACATTTCACTTTAAACTACAGTATTGGGATTGGAATGTAGAATTAAGGACAATGTATTTATGATAGATAATAAATTAAGTCAAAAACAGTTAGCCCAGAAAGTTTTTGAGATTTCAAGATCGCAGTATTTATGTACCATAGAATGTACATTATGCCCAAAATTAGCACACTGTATAATTGTTAATTAATAGTCCATGAGTTTAATAATTTAACATTCAAGGCATTAACATGTAAAGTGTCACTACCTGCCATTTGTTACACATGCTGAACTCAGAACGCCAACAGCTGGACACTAAATACCATCACAAAAAAGTTGAAGACTATAACAATATGTCTCTATTGTGATGGTGATATAAAAACCCTGTAATCCAAAGATACATACCTGAGTTGATACCTAGATGCAACCAGGTAACAAAGGTACTGTTGTCCACCAAGGTCTTTAGTGAGGAACACCTTAGTTGCCTTGCCAGTCATGCCCTCTCTGAAACAATTAATACAGTAAAACAATCTAGCAATAATCGAGTGTAAAACTGGGACACTGTTTTGAGATACCAAAGATGTTACACATACATCAGTTTTACCGATTTCCATAGAACCACTTATATCTCATTTGCAACTTACACTTGATAAAAACCTTTTATGCAGTAAATATAAATAATATAGATGTCTTCATTTTTTGGGTCATAGTGGTGATAACAATATGTCACCACTTCTTGGTGGTACATAAAAAGAGGGACAAAACCAAGACAAAATAAAACCATCATCATGATGGCCATATACATGTACCACAGGTGGGGTAATAATAAATATCAACCAACCAAAAGCTAATATTCAATTCCTTACTTATCCGCACTGTTTTAGTATGAAAACAAGAGACATGTGATATCATATTTACGATAACACTAACCTGAGTGAAACTTTCTCAGTCCATATATGTTCCATACAAGTATCAGGCATAAGTGGCTCAACAATCTCCCCTGTCTCATTCACCATAGAGACTGTCTGCCTCCCAGGTGTGCGCATCAGGGACCCCATGGGAGACTTACCCCCTGGGGAAGGGCTGTGGTAGCGATACAGGCTACTTACTGAAGCGTGAGATGGAGTTTGAGATCGACTGAAAAACCAAAAAATAAAACTCTATAAAAGAGAAAAAGCTCAAAAATTGCAGGATATTAAATTGTATTTTTATGTATTATACTGGAGATGAATGGTACATATTTCATGGGATTAATATGTGTTTGCAACTTGTGTTTGCAATCATTCAAGCATTTGTTGACTGATTATAAAAGTGCAGAAAATACAATATTGGATTGGTATAATGTAATTGTACTACCTTAGAGCAGCCATTTGATTAAGTCCAGGACTATGTGAGATCGAGCGTGATGTGAAACCACCAGATGGTGAACTAATGCGACTATTGGGATGACTCCTGAAACAAAAGTGAAAACCTTTGAAATATATACTGAACTAGTTGTAATTTGCAGAAAATCCTTAAGAAATTTTAATGATTTGATTTGATGAGTCATAAGAATTTGGGATAGTTGCCATAATGTTTCTCCATGGTAAGTTGAAAAGAAACTTATTTTCACATTCATTTGAGACTAAAAAGATCTTTTATAGCATCCAAACTTTAAACAATGCACACTGTGATCAATATTATGCCTAAAAATAAAAAATTGCTGCCTTGTGATCTACCCATGAGGAATGTACAAAAAATGCACAGTCAACAAAAGTAAGTTGCCACTTTTTCCCACCCAGCTGACAACATACTTTTTTTAAACAATTAAAAAACTTAAATTCAGATGGTAGTGTAAGTAGCCAATCGGAATGAAGCAGTTGGTTGTAAATTGCGTACTTACTGAAAGCTTCTGAATGGTGATAATCCACTGGGGGATTGACTTGAGATGGTCAGCTTTGAGAAGCTGCTAGTTGAATGACTCACCCCCACACCTGGAGTTCCTGGGGGTTGGGGTAACATACTGGGCGTCAGATCCCCCAGACATCCAGTCACATAGTACCCTTCCTACAGTCACATTGGCAAATACATGAATTCAATATTTCTCATCATGAAAAATAAAAATATATATCACAGTATAATATTGAAGTTAAGTTTAAAATACCTCTTAAGATATCTCACCTCATGTTTGGCCCTCCTGAGTCTCCATACACTGTGAGTCCCCTGCATCTGGTCATATGTCATAATAAGAGAAGGGTCTTCATTGGTAAACACCACATGCTGGGATGTATCAGTCACAAACTCTATCTTGTTGCTACCTAGAATGGTAATATTTGTATTTGAAGCATTGCAATTATCTTTTCAACATTTTTACCTTACTAATGACATTACATATTTTATTTACCCCTTCAGAGGTAGACAAAGTAAACCAGACTGTGAGACCAAATGGAGTTGAACTATGACTTACTGGTTAATATTTGAACTATTGTGTTATTTTTGAGAGATTTTCTCTCTATTGTATATGTCATGAGAAAATGCCTGGCAATGAATTGCATGGTCATTAATCAAAACTCGAGAAATATTAGTGAAAATGGTGCTTTTGAATATTCTGCAGCCTATATTAAGATCTATTTTTACATTATATTTTATTAACTTTTTATGTTAAAGTGCAGAAAGGTTATAAAGTGTATGTACATATGTCTTAGATATAGATAAAGCATCACCTGGTTGTGCTTTGCTGTATATAAGAGGAGCAAGTTCATCAAGGGGGTGCAACATACTAAACAATAACGGCAATGCTTCTGTAGGCCTGCAAAAGATGGTACAAGGCATTAACATGCAAAATGTCACCACATAATAAACTAGAGTGGCTGTACGTTTCAATTCTTTTAATCAATGTTTCATTTCCGTCAAAATCAACAAAAAAAACAAATACGGTACATGCACTATCCATCACTTAAGAGGCAGTACATTTTAGGTAGTCTTAAAGGACATATAGAAATCTAGTAATTTTAATAAGGAACAATATAGAGCATATTAGTTCATGGCTTCTGTTGGCTGTTTTTTCAATATAATATACCAAACAAAAAAAAATCATAATCATTAGTTTTGAATCATACAATTTCTATTTGGTATCAAACGGAACATATAATATACTAGATGCACTTATATGATAGATTACTTAATATCCATGAATTCAAACGGAACATATAACATAATTGTGCTCACTTTCTAGGAGTTCCTTTCAATTCTACTTCCTTGGTTGACCTCTCAAACAGAAGGCCATTCATAATTGGCCACACCTTGGAAACCTGGAAGACGTACATATCATTTTAAATGTGTCAGCCATTGTGAATAATTTGTTAATAATGATTATAGAGTTTACCAATGCCCATGATAACAATTATAAAGGTAATACAAAAAACAGCAAGATAAGTTTATATATTGTTTAGTTGTTGTTGCTTTTTTATAAGATTCAGCAAGAAGTAGTGTGGTAAACAAGGCATAATTTCATAACAAACTATTGTGATTAATTAAATGCTTTATATATCCAAAATGATATCAAGCTAATTAGAATATTGTATTAATTGTATGTAATATTATAGCTGAATAAAAGTTAGGTAACATTAACAAGTTCAAAATCTATAAGATGAATGGTTTTTAAAGGGGCATTATATTGCTTACTGGGTGAACATAGAAAAGGGAGTTTTGTATCTTAGTCTATTACGGCGTTCAAGTGTGTTCTGAGTATTATTAATTTTGAAAGAAAAATATCATTGAGATTCCACATTAATATGACGTTCTTGTTTGTACATAGTGACTATGTTGTAGCTAGTCTTACTGTGAATGGCAAGGCAGTAGTGAAGTCCTCTCCCTCAGTAGTGAACACATGAATACAGCTACTCTCCAGTATATAAACACCATACTGGGCGGTTCCTAAAAGTATATTGATTCCATACAAAAAACTCATCTTACGTTTCAAGTTTTCATGCCCCTCCTACAATAACTTATCTTTTCAAGTTCAAAATACCAAAGAATAAAGTTTTTAAATCGCAAAGTATCCAAATATTTTAAATATCATGTTGCAAAGAAACCTGCTATCCAGGGGAATAGCATTTTTAAATTAATTCCAAATTATGAAATGTTCAATCAATTTAGCACAATAATCCCACCTGATTTTATTGGAATTCTATTGTAAAAAGCAAAATTTACCAGGCATATCTTTGAGGGCGTCAGTAGTGGGCTCCTCAGGAGTGGTCTTGGGGAGGAGAAACTTACACCATCCAGCCTGTAAAATACAACAGTACAGTGTTAACATACACCTGATGACAACAAAAAATCTGATTCAGAATCATATAAATATCAAAATGAATAACAATAGTATCAATAACTTTAGATTCAACTGTACAAAGTGTAAACTTATGCTCATAATGATGCCTCTTTATTCGACTGTAAATTTAGTACACTCACATCAGTGACTCTGGAGTCCACTGTAAATGATCTGTAGTGACTTCTGGCACCATCTACTGTGCCACGACTCCATAATACAGTATTCTCCGCAATGTATAATTCCTCATCTGTGACATTATCCATATTGTCAACACTTCTAAGACGCCATTGCTCTCCCTATAATGTGCACAAATAGTGAATAAATGATTTTACATGATTTTTTCATTTTAGTGAGTTTGAAAGGGTTTTCAGGTTATTTTCCTTTTTATGCAAGTTCATTTTTGATATTCCAAGTGACAGCAATTTGCCCGTGGAGATTACTGCTTAAGATATGTTAATTTATATGTCAATTTATCGCCAAATAACTGGAATAAAAATTCATGAAGAAAATAGACCCTCCCACTTCCATGTGAAAATATGAGTACAATCATGTAATTACCTGTTTGTCATCCTGCAAGGATATATCTTTGATTGCTTTCACAATTGGTAGACCATGATCAGTATGGTAGCCAGGGTGGGAGTGTGTTACCCCAGGATGTGACGAGTACATGTCCCGGCCATGCGGGACATAATCCTGCCAGTCAGACACAGTGATCATGTCTTCAGAGGTCTGATGGTCCAGCATTCAGACAGTAGGTCAGCAACCTAAATTATTGAAAAATCCGTAAATAAATGAAGCGCATTTAATTGTTTAGGTATTTGACCTAAGAACAATATGAAGTTGCAATTTGGCCATCTAAAAATTCACCAAGCATGCCAGTGTTAAGTAACAGAATTATGTGTTTGGACAATTATTATTTGATTTGCTAGAATAAAAACAAGAAAAACAGCAATTGCCCAGAGTAGCAATTCCCACCAAGCAAGGGATATTTTATACAAGGCATTAAGGTACCGTGGTACTTAAGGTCAGGGTGCATGTTGGAATTTATTTGCGATTTTGAAAAGTAAACCACTGAATATTCTAGTTTTTCAAACATTCTGAAGAATTATCAACCCTCAATTAATAGTCTAGGTACACCAATACATATTTTGTGCAAGAATGAAAGATGAAGATGATGTGTGGAATGAGTTATGTTTATCTGAAAATAGCACATGGTCATGAAATTTCATCGAAAGTGCACCCTGATCTTAACAGGAAAAGACAAAACAGGAAGTGACAAAACATGATTTATTTTTAGACATTTTTTGAACAACGATAAAAGGGTTCTGTTTTGACCTCCAGTCAATTTAACTAGTTCCACATATCATTTACATAACCAGGATCACAATGTACATGGTCAGAATGACCCTAAATATGATGAAATAACTTTTTCAGCCCTCTGAAAATGTGACTGAAAAATAGCTAAAAATAGGAGCTTGGGAAAGGTCACTGAACAGAATCTTTTGAATTGTCCAGAAAATGTGCCCGATATATTGCTCTGAATGATACAATCTTTGAAAATGTGATATCATTCATAGAAAAGGAAAAATGGAAAAAAGCTGAATCGAAAAGTGATATATTTTCCTCTTTAAGACCACCATTTTTGTTTCAGACAATTTTCTAAAATTTCAAAGATTGTACAGGGTGGGCCAAAAAAACGCCACTTTTTTTCAAAATGCTATAACTTTTTTAATTTTTGAAACAAAATCATAATTTGTATACCAATTGAAACTTGAGGTTGTTATCTAGCCATGGATCATGAATTATACACTTCTACTTGAATAAAATATGTCACCAGCGTCTCACTTAAACATGTGGTGTGCCATGAGAAATAAGCATAATGTGCAAAATATTCCTGAACTGATACGGCCTGATGATCACCAAGCTAATAGCCCTGATGCAAACCCCAGTGAGTATAGGGTATGGGAAGGTCTCCAGGAGATTGTATGAAGGCACCCAATCTAGAAAATGGCTCAACTAAAGCTGGCAATCAAGACTGGTTGAAAAAACTTTGCTAACATTTCATTGATACTGCTATATCAACAAGGCGACTAAAACTAAAATATATCATGAAATAGTGTGGCGGACCAATTGAACTCCTCTTTTAGATCAAATATAATCCAAGTTGAAGGACTTGTTACAATATATTATTACTAAGAACCCCTGGCACTATTTAACTGCAAAATTTGAGGTATGTAGGTTGGAAAATAAAAAAGTTGTAGTGTCTTGAAAAAAAGTGGCATTTTTTGGCCCACCCTGTATAAGTAAGATATATTGGGCCCATTTTCTCAATAATTCAAAAGATTCTGTTCAGTGAACTTTCCAGAGGGGCTACTTTTAGCTATTATGTAGTCACATTTTCAGAGGGCTGAAAAAGTTATTTCATCATGTTTAGGGTCATCCTGACCATGTGCATTGTGATCCTGATCATGTAAATGATATGTGGAACTAGTTAAACTGACTGGAGGTCAAAACAGAAGTCTGTTATCTTTGCTCAAAAAATGTCTAAAAATGAAGCATGTTTTGTCTCTTTCTGTTTTTTCATTTCCTGTTAAGTACCATGGCACCTTAACATGCATAACAAAATGTCACCACCTGCCATTTGTTTTAGCATGGGCTTACAACAGACTCTTGAAATCCCATGGTTTCAGACTCCGAAATTCCAGAACGCCAAATACTGTCCACAAAATGCTGGAGTTTTAACATATAAACCATTCAGATTCCTCTAGTCTATATGTCTATGTCAATAATCTGCAAAAGGCTAATAAGCCCGTATAAAGCAGATATATAATTTAACAGTGATAGAATTTGAATAGAATATAATTTAAAACCTTAACATTTAAAAAAAGATCTATGGTTTACAACTCATATTAAAATTGAAAGGAACCTTCCTGGTTGGCCCCTGTACCCCCCTAGTAAGTCCCTTTTAGTGTTGTCGCGATTAATCGATACATCGCGATATACATCGCCAAAGCTGATTCTGGCGATGCATCGATGTCTGAAACAAAACATCGATGTTTTTGAAAAAAATTAATTTGCTAAAAATCACCCTTTCTTATCTTATTTTGACGCAAATCGCTTACCTTTCTCATGTCTTATTTCATTTACCAATGTTTTCTGATATTCTTTCGCTTTAAAACTGTTTTAGCTATTCGAAATGAACCATTAATCTAAAAAAATTACTTTACTTTCATTTCACCTTTCTAGAAGTTCCCGGATGTTCGGTATTTTAGTGCATTAGCCTTCGGTATTTCAGTGCACTTTTCTCTGACTTTTTCTCGATGTACATCGCGATGTGCATCGATGTTTACTACTGAAAATTGCCGATGTACGATTATGGCACATCGCGACAACACTAGTCCATTTATGTTGAAATACCCTGGGGCGACTGTCAGGCTACCGCGTTGACATCGTCCCTCTTTACCAGTAGTGCAGGCTTGTTGCTGTGCACTGGGGACCTTTTACATTAAAACATAGATCTATATTAAAAACACACCTATTTAATTGCAGTTATTGACATAGGCATAGTATGATGATTTAAAACTACATGTACTTAGACTGTCACAGTCTAAGATGTCACCTAAGATGTATCCAATAGACTGAATTTCCTGAGAATATTTTCATTCCAAATTTCAAAAAATTTCAGACTAGAGGATATAGTCCACAGATTCCTCATTTTGAAAATTTGATAATAGAAATAACCAGGCAGGTCCGACTAAGTTGGCTAGAATTTCTCTTTTGGTAAAATCTACACCCATCAAGTCTCAGCCATAATCCAGAGCCTAGCATAGGTCAACAATGGGACATTCACTTCAGTATTGATTGTACCTTGTACATCATTGATGAATTCAAGAGTAATCCGAGCTATGATCATGAATGACAAAATAATTCAAAAAATGAAAAATCACATCAGTCGAAAAATGTAGAAAAAAGTACGTAAAAGTGCAAATGCAATTATAAACAATGGAAACAAAAGTGTTTGGAGACTTACATAAACATCAATTATTGTATTTTGTACGCTGAATATCATTACAAACAGCAAGTTATAAGATATCGGCAGAAAACCATCCAGAAATCTTTCAAAAATGTTCGGCCATTTCCCGCTAGCTATAAGGACTGAAGAATCACTTAATTTTCATTGGTTAGAACGTTGTGAATTACCACATAAAAATATAAACAAGAGCACGTGTTTTCACAAAGCCCCCTCCCCCATAGGGAGGAGGGTCGAACACTATAAAAGGAAGAATCAGATTCTAATGAGTATTCTTGACAAAAAATTGTATCAATTTACGAATCATATCATTTCTTGTCATTTTCTAAAATTCCCCAAAGTGTGAAGGATGAAGAAATAGACTTGAGGAAAACGCCCAAGCCTTACTTAGGTCCAAAGCCTTCTCCGGCTGTAAGCTAGAGACTCGAGTAACCCAAGCCTACAATACATTCATTTTTCTTTACACCCCACTTAGGTAGCAACATAATAGAATGAACTGTAGTTTATTTCAAAGAATGTACAGTTGTAACAAAGAAGAGTGCATTCTTTTTCTACTGTTTTTAAAGAATTGACACTTGGCATTGGCACAATATACCTTATAGTCAGTACAAAAGAAATCAAATTTTCCTAAAATTGGATCATGGATCATGGGCCATGGGTTTAAAGGTGCAATAATTAGTGCAGAGGGGTCATTCAATGATCATGGACCAGTGTCAAAATATATTTAAGTTTGGATATTTCATCAAGACTAACATCTATTTTTATTATCTACAAAGAAACCCCCTAGATAAACAATATTTTAGCTGATATTCCTCTTGAAACATGAAGGATTTTAAAAATATAAAAGTGGAAGTCCCCTTTTTGAAGCTTTGAACTAAATTTACACTGCTTATGCTGAAATTGATAATTTATCCATACATTTTAAGAAAATAGGTATGTCAAAGAAGATGTTAAACCAAATGTTGCCTTGATAGCTCAGAAAAAATGAAAAAACTTTCCTATTTTCTCTACAGTCCCTATTGCCCCTTTAAGTTAGATAAACCATTCGTAGTGGGTCTTAGGAGAACTAATACTCCTCGGGCCAAGGCTTCGGCTATTAGCCTATATTTCTCACCAAAGTATTCGTGGTTTATTCATAACATAAATATGGTTACCATTTTCATTATTTAGGAGAATTTACACAGTGCCCCCATTTTGGTACCTTGAATTCTAATAACTCCAATTTATAAAATATCGTGGATTTTTTCGGAGCTATTAGTAGATTGTATAAGGAATATATGGGTATGCCAATTGTACATGTTGCTTGGAATTCATTGTCAATCCCTAGATCCGGTTCTGCCTTTAAATAACAGAATCAGATCAAGGGAGGGTACAATTACAAGTAACTTCAGTTGAGGATATAAATGTACATGTAGGTCTACTTGTATGGTATTCCTTACCCCGGGTTCCTTACAATCTCAAATTAGAGCCAACAAAAAGTTCTAACAATCTAGCCCAATCCCATTTCTTACTACTTGGCATTCATATCACATTGTAGTAATACTCCTCATGACCTCATAAATTATTCTCCCTGTTGAGATTCGACCAATTTGAGTTTTTCTGATATAATGAGGATTTCGGCAAGGGTGTATTGACTTAACATGGCGATATACAAGTACACCACTGAGTTAATGGGGATATCATCATATCATCATGGGGATAGATACAAAATCATCATTATCTCAAAAGAACCCAAGTTGATCAAGTCTCAACAAGTGATTCAAATGGGATAGTCACGAATGGTAGAATCCATTTTCAAAAATAAGAATAGGGGTTCTTAACAGGTATTTAAATTTAACGCCTTTTCATTTTTAATTAATTTTTAAAATTTGAATTTCTCGCCATTTCATAAACAAAAGTTTAGATTTTCAGATCACCAAATATAACACTTAACAAAACACATCATGAGTTGAAAATGATTTTATTTCTTGCTTATTTTTTCAGCCAATTTTCTTAATTTTTTCAACACAACATTGGTGTTATGCGTTACCTGGTTATGCATTTGTGTATTGTTATTGTAATTCCAATAACAATGCACGTGCCGCCTTTTCCGAACTGATTTCTGTCAGATTCAAAAATGATCTGACTTTCTAAAAGAACTCTAGAAAATAGCTACTTGAGTATATAAAGTAATACAGTTTTTTTTATAAATATACACAATGGAAATAATTTTTATGACAATAGTTGAATGTTGTTGTATTTTGGATAGGTCAATGTAGAGAAAAACCAACTTGCAATGGAATAGATTTGATTTCTTCACATAGTTTTGCACCAAGCCCTTGAAACTTCCCTAGGACGTGCTAATGGGATCGAACCATTTGACATAAACGTATGTAATACAAGATTAGAATTAAATTTCCAGATCGACAATAGCCATCGACTCACATTTACGTAGATTCTAATGATATTATTCTCTTTCTAGGCCTCCATAACTCACATCCCGGGCTCACATTCCTTGGTCAATCAACCTTGGGGTCAATAAAGCAATTATGATTGTCTCTTCCCCATCCTCGGTTATGCACCCTATGCTTAGTGAGCGGACCTAATTTCAAGGGTGATGGTAAAGACGAGGCATGGCGCCCAAACCTGGCCTGTAACTAGGTGCACTGATGCTATCTTCGCAAATTACATCGCCATTGCTCGTCATCGAAATTCTGATCGCCGAATAGACACTCTAGTAAACATTCATTTTATATTGGATGTACATAACTAGAGACCGCCTTATTTCGCAAAAAAATAAAACATATCTAGGTACATATATCTTTATATGTGACATCGATCAGGAATTATTGACATATTGACAATATTAGGTTGTAATTTCTTGCGGTAAATTCAAATTGTATCTTTAAACGACTGTTTCATCTTAACTATTCGTTTCATTGGATGTAAAACAAACGGTATGCATAGTTTAACATCTTTCACTTCTAAAACAGCATAAAATATCACAATATCATCACCTTATGCTGCAATAATACGACTTAAAAGATTATGGTACTAATATTCTTTGGTTTTTGGGCGCCCTGCCTCGTCTTACCATCACCCTTGAAATTAGGTCCGCTCACTAAGCATAGGGTGGTTATGACTTACTTATGACTTTTTCCCTTCTACTGTCCGTACTAACCCTCAATGAGTATTATCACTATATACGAGTAATTGATTAAACCCTTGGATCAACCAATCGGTAGGGAGATAATAAATCCGCGTGGTATCCATTCCCACCACACAGGATAGAATCACCCCGGAATAGCCTGACGGTTAAGTCAGATACCGTTGTCTTTACCGTTGTCAGGCTATTCCGGTGTGAGAATTACAAATCAATTTCAATTTTACATAGGACAATAACACCTCAATCAAATAAACAATATTCCAATTACAAATTGCACAATTAAAATGAGAGTTTGTGATATGTTCTGAACTGACTTGACACCAGCAGTGACATCGTTCTGTCCAGCTGGTGTCAACTTCATTAGCATCATCTTCCGACCGAACCCGCTTTTGACTTGTGTCTTCAATTCTGACGTTTCATTTCTATTGTCGTATTTATCAGGTTTCTCAGTTTGTACCCTGTTCCTGTATATACGAGGAGAACGGTTACCTTTTATGGTCATTTTATTGTTTTCGACTTCTTGCTGCTCATTCGAGTCTTTTGATATGTCCAAGTTGTTTTCCACAGCTTCCGAGTCGAATTCTTCAATTTTCGAATCGTAGTCTATGGTTTTATAATCGTTTTCCACAGTTTCCGCATCGTATCCCGTGGCTTCAATTTCCGAGTTGTATTCTTTAGAGTCGAAGTCGTTTTCCGCGATTTCTGAATTGTATTCTACAGTTTCTGAGTCGTGGTATTCTGCAGAATTTTCACTATACTGATTGTTTTGATTTGATTCAGATAAGTAGCTGTCCCAAGATTTGTGAATGTGATGAATTCTGTCTCTTTTGTCATCTATATCTTTCAAATTATGCTCCAGTGATTGAACATCATCTTCGCCCCATCTGACGTACTCGTGTAATTGTCCATTGCGTCCCCGGGGTTGATTGTTTGATTGTGCTTCCTGTGTTGGTTGTGCCCCATACTTTGCTCTCTGTGTTGTTAACATCGGTGCACCAATATGGTCATTAACATAAGTGTTAAATGTTGATTGCCTGGGCCCCATGGACATTGTGTAATCTTCAGTGTTTTCATGAATCGTCAGATTTTCAATTTCTATAAATAAACAACCACATCGTGACAGTTTTTGGTATACACTGAGCCAAGTAACAAAAGCAATTTAAAGCAGAAAGATCACTTTCTTTATACATATTTTCTTGTGTGACTGTAAAATCGGATTTAGCTTATACTTTTTGACTGATTGGCAGAAAAGGAAATTTTAGGGTATTGGGTATTCGGCGGTATTTCCAGTTTTCTTACATCAAAAATATTATCATGTAAGATGAGTCACAAATATAAGCAATTTTATAACTCTATTATTTCATCTTTCTTTTTATCACTTCCTTGTTATTTTTCACAATATATCGGATAATCAATCAAAAAACAATGAGTGAACAAAAAATTTAAAAAAAACGAACAAGCAAGAAAGAACAAAATAGTCTTACTAAGAGGTTTTGCATTGCAGTCGTTAGTGTCACAGAAACACCATGTTTGATCGTTGTAGCGGTGACAGCCAGGGGTCCGCATTGCCTCAGGGAGGTAGAACCCCAATGCACAGCCTCTGAACACAGCTGAAAATAGACTTCAAATGAAAAAGAATCTACTTTTTGTGCAACGCACACACCTTTCTCCTAAATACAGTACCGAGAGGGGAAGAAAATCATTCATAAATTGTCATTTTTGCCATTGATTATGATGGGGCAGTAAAGTTTGGACAAGCACGTTTGGTTGATATTTTTGTATATCAGAATTATGGTTCCATATATAAACAAAACTTTGCCAAAATTACATGCAGGTTATCTTTTATTAAGTTCAATGTGAAATGGGTACAGTTATCGCAAATCTGGTAAATAGCTAACTTACTGGATGTGTCACTGCCCATGAATCGAGTGTAGCACAAATCATTACAAAAATGTGAAGTCATCAGCTGTGTATTAACGTGACCGTCGGCGGGGCACAATGATTGCGACTGCACATATTTATTATTGTAGCAGTTATAGCAGGTCAACCTGTAATTCGTCGTGACATCGCCCAGTACGCCTGCAAATATGGTATATAATGACAATAAATAATAATTTTAATCTAAGTTAGTATATTTTCTATTTTCTAAATCTGTAAACATAACCCTTTCCTCATCATTTCACATTAAACGATTTTAGACTTTGATTTTTATAAGGTACAGGGTGTGCACTTTTCGACGCCGTGAATACAGCTAGCAGAGTGTAAAGGAGTGGTATCGATACTGGATATGGTGAACTTTTTGAACACACGTTTCTCTTAAACCAGTCATAAAATATCTAAAAATTTAACACATCTTCAATTTAATGGTCATCTTTTGAATGGTAACAATATAATTTGAAAAATATATATATACTTTCATCTATATTGTTTTAGAAAACACATCAAACACTTGTTTTGTTCTTGGTATCATGTTTCTAGAGTGGAATGAAACATCTTTCCGAACCTCATTGGAACAAAACGACACAAACACAACATGTTTAGGTCTCTCAATATTGTAATTGTACAAAGGAAAGTTTGGTTGATTTTAAAAAAGTATCTTGTTAATGAAATAAAAGGTTTATCTTGATTTTTTATCTATTTTAGGGGGATTTTGAATACTTTTTTAAAATCAACCCAAAAATTTCTTTGTATAACTATAATATTGAGAGGTTTAAAACATGTTGTATATGTTATTTTGTTCCAACAAGGTTCGGAAAGACATTTTATTTCATTCTCGAGAATTGGTAGAAAGGAGCAAAAACAAAAAAGGAGCAAAAACAATCGCACTAAAAAACAAAAAATGTTAACAAAAACAGTTATATAAAATATTTCACTAAATAATTTTCGCATTAAATTGTTGTCAATCAATCAACATTACATAAAATGCCGTGTTTTTACAGAATGTTTTCAATAATTGGTTTAAGAGAAAAACATTGTTGACAAATTTATTCAGTTCGCCATATCGATACCTATCCTTTTGATAAAACTTAGAACGGTACCAGGTTAAATAGTCTCGCCAAATAAAATTAAATCTACATTAACGACGTATATCAACTTAAGATATTTGAAACTTACCAATTTGTACATTTTTGCCTAAAATAACAAGTAGAACCAAACATTTCAAAAATTCTTGAACTAATGACACCGTCATTTTTGCTTCTGTCGGCTTTCCTATCACTTGAAGAACTAACTGGGAAATCTATTGAATATCACAATAAACGTAGTTTAATCATAATTAAAAATCATAATTATGTATTCATTGGTCACTTTTTATTAAAAACAACAGGTGCTTAGATACAACAAACAGGTGCTAAATAATTATATTTGATTCTGATTTAATAACTAGAATTAATTTTTACTTTTTCCAATACAGGCTATTATTATCAGCATAAGATCTTTTCTTGAAAGCCCACGAGCAGAAGTAACAATTAAACGATCTCTTCCCGCTTTCTGTTTATGAAATGGACTTCTAGTGTTGTCAGTTCAGGGCCATAAGTAAACACTGTGGTAAAGCATGGGCTCTAGAGCCCATGGGTAAGGCAATGCTTTGTCAATGCAATGCTCGATCAAAATGAAAAATCCATGCATGGTCACTCATTGTCCTATGTAGGCCATTCAAGTATGTCGTTTCATTTACCTCTATGATCTTTTTACCCTCTTTAACTATTGTTTTTGAAGACTGTTCTGATCATTCGTCTTCTTACTGTATTTAGAATAGTAAAAAACGATTATGAACCGTGAATCCTTCCAAATAACTTCTCCGCAGAGTCATGGGCTTTCAACTAGATTGAAAGCCCATGGCAGAGTCAACGGGGTTTCTTTTTAAATATGTGAGACTAAGTAGTATCTGCTTCAAATTGGCATAGCCTAATATAATGTGGGGAATAACTTTTTACTATCATAAGTTCAAACTTCAAGGGTTGAGTCGGAAATATTCAATCCAGCTAATCGCACACAGTTTTCCAAAACCAATAACTTATAATATATGTAGTATACGTCCTGGTGTAGACGTCCTGGTATATACCCCCTCCCCCACTATTGGCACTACATGTAAATGCAGTGGCCTTTTACTTGGCATGAAGAGAATCGTAAGGGTAGACAAAGTTTGAAAGATCCCGGTTAATTTGACACTGAACGAAACAATCCATGTTTTGATTCAGAACGAGGCCAAAGAAAAAAATGTTTTCAGAAAAATCGAAATCGTTTAGATTTGGACCTGTTTCATACAGTTTCCATCGACATTACAAGGAAAATACTTATTTGAAGAATCGTCTATTGAGAGAGAGAACTTCTGCATTGACTGGATTGTATTCCAAAGACCTTAAGGGTCACTTTGGGTGTGTGAATGCGATTGAATTTTCTAACCATGGAGGAGAGCTGATTTGTTCAGGTAAATCGCCCTACGCCAGACGGAATGTACATGTAAATTCTGCCGAGCTTTATCAAAATAATAGCTTTATTATATGTCACTGTTCATTGTAGTCTATTCATATGTTCAACCATGGGTTCTACCTAAACTTTTGTTACAGGTGGTGATGACAGACGAGTTCTGTTATGGCATTCAGAGAGTGCCCTGTCGCGACATAAGGCTAAAGTGATGAAGGGGGAACATCATAGCAATATATTTTGTATTGCCTTCAACAATGACAACACAAATGTGTTTTCTGGAGGTAGGTCAGGCTTACTGTATCTGTCAGACTGATTAGAAATCAATTCGCAAACATAATCGTTTTAGGATGTTTATTGCTCACCTTTGTCATTTAAAATCTTGATTATTTTAATTATGTGTACTTTGTTGTTATGCTATATTCATCCCTCCCTTGAAATATATGCAGTAAACTTAAAATATAGTAAAAAGCTAGTTGAATTGAAGCATGAATTGAAGAATATGTATTTGATACAGATACAGTACATGTATATGTGTACCATGCTAACTTTTGTTTGAAAACAATACATCTTGGTTTAGCAGGCTCTTATGAACCATTCCTGTCAATCAAACTCTTGGAATGCAACTCGCTGATTGATTCTAGGGTTTAAGAATACTTATTCCATATTCAGATTTTAAAAGCTTCAAATGAATGAATTGCCTCTTACATTTAGGTAATGATGAGCAAGTGATAGTTCATGATGCCACTACTGGTGAGACAAAGGATGTGTTTCTACATGAAGAAGCAGTGTATGGCCTCTCAGCAGATCCCAACAATTCCAGTGTGTTTGCTAGTGCGTGTGACGATGGCAGGATACTAGTGTATGATATCAGGGAACCTCCATCTTCAGGTAAGGTTAAGAACTTTTCATCATCAGCAAGCAATGGTTGCTTTCCCTGTGGGGAAGACAATCCATACATTTCCCATGTAGCCTATAAGAAGTTAAACTATCCACTCTGAAGATTTTAAAATTTTATTTGAAAAAACATGTTATTGTGCACACAATAATTAATTACTAATTAGGAAGTGAATTTCGGCCATGATGATCGTTGATCTTATACTTTTGTACTCTCAACTATTGATGTATCCTCTTGTAAATTCTAAGATTTGAAACATGGAAAATCTTCACTTCAGCTATCCAGGTACATATTATTTATGGTACTATACATGTAGCTGTTGTTGAAATTGTAAAATGCATGTAGCTACAGGTTACACAAATAAAGTTGATTGCTTTCTCATACCAAACTGTACATGTACTTTCAGAACCTTTCTGTTTTGCCAATTATGTGTCCCCAGTGCATTCTGTGATGTATATATATTAATGTTGATTGCTTTCTCATACCAAACTGTACATGTACTTTCAGAACCTTTCTGTTTGGCCAATTATGTGTCCCCAATGCATTCTGTGATGTATATATATTAATGTTGATTGCTTTCTCATACCACACTGTACATGTACTTTCAGAACCTTTCTGTTTGGCCAATTATGTGTCCCCAATGCATTCTGTGATGTATATATATTAATGTTGATTGCTTTCTCATACCAAACTGTACATGTACTTTAAGAACCTTTCTGTTTGGCCAATTATGTGTCCCCAATGCATTCTGTGATGTATATATATTAATGTTGATTGCTTTCTCATACCAAACTGTACATGTACTTTAAGAACCTTTCTGTTTGGCCAATTATGTGTCCCCAATGCATTCTGTGATGTATAACCCAGTAGAACCAAGGCTCCTAGCAACAGCCAACTCCAAAGAAGGACTCGGACTGTGGGACATTCGAAAACCTCGCAGGTACTTTGAAAGATTCATTTGTTCAAAATTAATAACCCAAAACCTGATTACTTAACTAAAGAATTGTCCAAATATGTGTATACCAACCAAATAAAATATACCAACCAAATAAAATAAAATTTAACTAAAATGATTAATCACCCTTATCTCTCTTTCTGCTTAATATGAATCCTATGTAAATGTTTGTTCCAGTTGTGTCATAAAGTATGGTGGTAGAGATTGTGCCCAAAGCTGTATGAGTGTACGCATCAATCAACTAGGTACAGAACTAGTGGCCCTGAGGCGTCGTCTACCCCCTGTACTTTACAACCTCACCTCAGAGACACCTATACACACATTTGATCAATCTGGGTACTATAACTCTTGCACCATGAAAAGTTGTTGCTTCGCGGGTGATAGAGACCAGGTACAGTATATTTTTTGTGTTTTTTTTTACTATCACATGGAATGTTGTATAAGGGGAAATAGAGAAAACCTCTGTCTATCCATACTTCCAAATAATGTATATGTTTTTACTTATTTTCAATGGTCATTTACCGAGCTAGGCATAATCTTTCTACTGTCACCATATCCTAGGCACTTGGATACTGATTCCATAAATTTTAGTCCCAAGTTGCCATATTTGAACTGAGGTTCTGATTGTAAATGTCTTTACATTTAAAGCCTAGAGTTCGTGGCTATCAGGGATTCACAAAATTATCAGCAACCTCCCCATTGAGACAGAGAGTACAATTTTGTAGCCATCATTATACAAACAATTATACTTGTATTTCAGTATGTGGTTTCTGGATCAGATGACTTCAATCTGTATGTCTGGAAAATTCCTGAAAAACCAAATTCAAGTAAGTAATAAAATATTGTACTATAGCTTCATATTCTTGTTTGATCAATAGCATTTCACATCAACAGCATAGTGTTTTAATTATATTTTTATTTCAACCTTTTATGTGAACCTTTTATATGCTAATGTATTCAAGTAGTGATAAGAACTTGAAAGGTTTCTAATCACTCTTATCAGTTAGTTTCATATTTTAAGCTTGACTAATTGAGGTTTGAAAATAAAGTAGCCTGTTTCAATGATAGTTTTGTTCAACAGACGCCTAGTAGCATTTTAACCTTTTTGTCAGATCAAACATGGCAGTAATATTGTCATACTCCAGAAGAGTTTGCTCTATGGCATTGTTTATACGGGTCTTATATTCTAATTGCAGTTAAAGAGGTGGACCAGGCCCACTTTGTTTTGGCAGGACACAGGTCTATAGTGAATCAAGTCAGATTCAACCCAGACAATCCCCTTCTCATCTCATCATTAGAGTTTGTTCAATCTTATTGTTTATATGGGTCTTATATTCTGATTGCAGTTAAAGAGGTGGACCAGGCCCACTTTGTGTTAGCAGGACACAGGTCTATAGTGAATCAAGTCAGATTCAACCCAGACAATCCCCTTCTCATCTCATCATTAGAGTTTGTTCAATCTTATTGTTTATATGGGTCTTATATTCTGATTGCAGTTAAAGAGGTGGACCAGGCCCACTTTGTGTTAGCAGGACACAGGTCTATAGTGAATCAAGTCAGATTCAACCCAGACAATCACCTTCTCATCTCATCAGGAGTGGAGAAAGTTATAAAAGTAAGTTAGTGAAAATCTTTAGATTTTATCACAATGTTTATTGAATTATATTTCAGATTGATCTCTCTTAATAAAAATGCAAGCATCAATAATGATTTTTTCAAGTAAAAGTGTGTCCTTATAACTGGTATGCAACTGTTTCATAGAAAGCATGTGAAGACTACATGTAGCTCAGAAATATGGATCTATTATTAGATTCAATAGGCCACACTCCTTAAGTCCTTTCCTTGCTGCGCAGGTTGGTGAAAATATATTAACAAGGACAGATTCAACATTCTTGATATTTTAATTACATTAAGAGGTGGGGTTGATTGTCTTCCTCAATGGGAGTCAATAATTTTGTATACTGTTCTAGGTATGGAGCCCTTTCCCTCTGCCAGGCACCCTGAATGAGGAAACCTTGCTGAATCGTGTAGAAGAGAGGTCCATGTACTCACATGAGGAGTATATAAACCTAGTACTCAGATCAGGAGAGGTAAATGGTTTAAAATTACAATTATTGATAGATTAATCAGTGAATGAACTTTATATTTCTGCTACTCACATGGGACAATTGTTGAAAGGAGGAATTTTTGGAGCCTCTTCAGCAATGTTCTGATATCTCAGTGTCAACACAACATAACATATTGATATAGTCTCCAAGTTTTTGTAGACCGTGTTCAGCGTCTGTAACAAATGGTGTCTTTAAGAAATGGCAGGTGGTGACATTTTGCATGCTAATGCCTAGTTTGACTGATGTTGTCACCTCCCAGACGTGTCAGGAACATGTGTTATTTGGGCATTACATTGCACATAAAACATGCCTATATGCATGACACACTTTAAAGATTATACACAGTTACTTATGGAAGAACCTGACATGTCTGAGAGTGTGCTATAAGTGTCTACAGGGCCTAAAGGTCAAAATTGAATAATGGAGCAACTACAATCACTTACTTGTCTGTCTGTTTGTCCATCTGTTTGTCAATAATAGTGGCCTGTCACTATAACAGTCTGACAGTGTTACAAATCATATCCTGTATTTGTTACAACTCCATCATATACCACTTTGGAATTTGTATATACAGTAGGTATTTTTTCAACAATTCCAGGTGATGAGCCATGATTACACAGATGGCTCCATGGAGGAGGATCCCAGAATGATGGCTTTCTTTGACTCACTTGTGCAGCGTGAACTCGAAGGCTGGTCTTCCAGTGATGTCTCATCAGACACAGATGTTGATGACATCACAGCTATTCAACAAATTAGAGATGAGCTGTCTCAAGGTACTGCCACAGGCTCTGATTCCGATGCAGGACGCATCAGTCCTTTTTCTGCTGCTTTCGCTAGTGTTATGGCTGGTAGAACGCAGCAGCTGAGTAATGATGTCATAAATCGAATTGACCAATCAGAAGCAGAAAGGAGCAGAACTCCACAAACAGAAAATAATATTGTCGCTCGACGAGCACGTATTGCAGAGTTAATTGCCAAAAAACGTAGAGAGTATAAAGAAAAACAAGCATCTTCCAAGACCATAAAGAAACTTAAAACTAAACGGAAACGATACACAAACACGATAGTTTCTTCTGAATCATCTGATTCAGAGTCTGACTCCTCAGCAGTATTAAAGAGAAAACCTCCCAAACAAGTTTGTAAAGTCACAATAGGAAGTGGTGATATTGTGGATACAAGTAGTTCTAGTGAGTCAGGGGACAATGCTTCTATTGACATCTTGGAGCAAATGCAGGCAGATACCAGACAAAAGAAATCTATTATGAGCCATATTAAACAAATGAGATCTCGACTGAGGAATTTGGATTCTAATGAATTGTGTAACTTAGGTTATGAAGCTTTACGAAGTGAAAGCTCATCTAGTGAAACAGCACCAAATGAGAGTAGTACACCCATTGAAGTTGAAAGCCTAGACTTAGAAAGTATACACCAAGAGATTGAAATTCCAATCAAACTGGATACAACTGACAATATGATTGGTCCCCAATTACCAAAGAATGACATCTTGAATAAGGACAAAATGATAGGTCCCCAATTGCCACACACCTCAAAAGACTCAGCTGTACCAAACATAGAAACCAATGAAATGTTGACACCTGGCTCCACTCACACATCATCTAATATTGGTTTTACAGCTATTAAGTCCCGTGCTATTAAAAGAACAACTATTCCAAGATCAGAAACGTCAAGGAATCAAATAAAACTAAATGCAAATAAAAACAGTAAACACATTGGAAACTCTGAACATCAAAACACTAGCACTGAAATTTGTTATACTTCCGACAATTCTAAATCAACCATTGAAAACAATACTAAAACAGTAGATTTCAATCATTGGAAAACTGATGAAGAAAGCAGGGGGAATAAAAAAGATTCCAACTCAGCTGGTTCCTCAATGACAGCTGCATCTAATAATGTACAATCTGTATGGTCGGAATTTAAACGTTTCAGTCGACGAGTCGAGCGTGCCCGTCGTCATTATCGAAGAATAAGTCAAGAAGATCAGGAGCAAGATCAAAATCCTGCAGATTAAATTACTTTACAGTACTGTAAATTGGGTTAATTTGGCAGTTACTAACTATGGTGTTTTCACCATTTTCTGAATATTGGCGCATAATAGTTCCTAAGGCTAGTTTTTGTGAGAAAAGTATCATAGTGCCATAAACCATGTAATCTAGAGATTTGTACAGAAGTATGTTTATATGTCATTTTTCTAAAATATGAATAATATGGAGGATTTTCTGTCATTAGTAAACAAAAAGATCGTACATTTTATGTCTAATTATTTTTTTCATCAGATTACTCAAATGTACAATTTTATGACATATATTGTATTGTCAAGTGCCTCATGTATTGATATCTTGCATCAATTCTCTGGTCACACCCCCAATATCTTGTCCCCAACCAGTGTTTTAGAGAGAACAGAGGCAGGGCAGTGATCTCTCATTTATCAACAGCGTACAAAATCCTAATTTTAGCTATTTCAATCAAAATGTCAACATTTCATTACATTTTAGCTATTTCAATCAAAATGTCAACATTTCATCACATTGACAGGGTGAAAACACATTCTCAACAGGGTGATATGTAATTTTAAATTTCGACAGTTGTCCTATTGGTGGAGAGATCACTGAAGGGGATGAAGCAAGACTACAAGAAATCACAGGTACATATAGCTCATACAAGATGCCTTGCTATAGTTTACTGGGGGCATTGGTGTGACATTGGAGGGCACAAATAAGACAAGAGGGTCATTTTTTGCAAATTTCAAACAGTAAAGTTAATGTCATATTCACTGAATTGTAAAATATGAAAGTATGAGTACTGAGTCAATTTTCTCAGAATTACTGTAAAACTGTATTGTATGTTAAACTGATTTACTCTTGACCTTTAATACAAAGAAAAGAAGGAATTCATAGTTTGAAATCTTGTATTTGAATGCAATCATGTTGTGAATATTAATTAATGTAGCCAAGATTAACTAAGATAATTAGTTAAGATATAGGATTTGATGGGATATGTAACTGAGAATTTTTTTTATTTATGAGACATGTACATAATACATGTACTGTACTGTTACTGTATGCCTGTATCTAAGCAGAAATTTTGCATGAACATGTAGTTTGCCTCATTTGAGATATTTTCACTTCTCAGTATTGAAAAATTAGGAATCTAGCAAATTAGAATCAGGAAATTGGTTCAAAAATGAATTCAAACATGCACTCCAGATGAATTACCACTCGGATGTAACATTAATTTTTGTTCTTGATTTATTTATATCCTGTATTTATCATGTCTGTCTTCCATATTTTTTGAAAAGTAATTCCATACTAATCATACTGTAGGTTAACCTGTCTATTCTTTTAGATCTTGTATAATTCTACAGTATATACACCATTTATGCCAAAACAGGTCTTTCACTGACTTTGAATGTATATTGAAATGTGATACACTTTCCTCTATCATTCTGTCTATTGAATGTTTTGACTTGCATCATACTTTGTCTGACAGAACTTCACAGAAGGCTTAACTTGTGTGACAGGATACAAAATATAGTATAAAACTTACATAAGGATACACCCCTCTGAAGTATATGCCTCAAAATATGACGTTTTTCAGTTCCTCTTTCAGATATCTAATTGACTGTTGTTGGTGGTTACCTGAATTTTTATTCTATATTATTTTCTCAGCTATTTATTTGTAAGTGAATTACTACAACCTCATGGATAATGGAATTAAATATAATCATACATTCACGAAAATTATGTTTAAGATGTCTGTACAGGGAAATGAGGGGATGTACAATCTACTGTATAGTATGTAATAATATTAAACCCAATAAACAAAAGTATACATAAATGTACATGATACTTGTTTCTATTAGATTCATATTCCTTTATTTTAGAAATATACAATATTTACAATACATACATATGTACAATGTGATATTTAAAAAATAACTTTTCCCACAAACATTTAAAATTTACCTTCATTATAATATGATCTTTAACAATAATAGATTAAATATGCAGACCAACCCTAATGTCAATACTTTAATTGGGCCGGGAGACCAACCTCAGAATAATAACACTTATCTTTATTTTTCTACTGCTCACATAACTTACATGTTTGGTCAAATATTCAACACTGATCAATTTCTTATCATAACTTTATCATTTCAAAGTAGGATAAGTAACTAAAATATGTTGACTTTGAGGGTCAGTCTGCATTTTTAAGAAATAAGTAGTAAATTAAACTGCATCCAAACAATGTACTCTGGCTAGTGATAACTCTACAAGAATATTACACGCATAAGTTTGCTGGTCCATCAAATGGTCATAGATATTTCTAACTTTCTGAGAATTTTCTTAATGCAATCATGGTTCAGAAAAAATCCATATTTTATACTAAAGAATTTACACATTTTTTTAAGGCTAAAGTAAATAAAAATTCATGTTTAGCTTTTTTTGAAGGATAGAGGGAAGATTTTTGTCCATTTTAGATATTCAACAGAATAATTGTGTAAAATATGACAAATATTTCTGTCAAAATTGATTAAACATACAATCATGTTTTACTTTCCCTATAAATGTAATTTGTGTATGTTATTTAAAATGGATGTATGGCAAGCTGCTAAACATGTTATATATTATTTACCCTAGCCTTACATAATTATAAGTTGTGAGGTAGTCACAGTGACAATTGAATAAACTTACGGTAATGTAAATCTGCATTACGGTGATAAGTAATATGTAGCATTATTCAAATGAACCACAAAATTAAGTCTTAACATTACAGTTTCTATGTAAAGTGACAATTGATGGAATTTTAATAGGTTTGTCTCTTAATTTCGAAGTTTACATGGTCAATATTCTCTGAATGTCAAAGTTCCCGATGCATTTCTGCTTTGCATAATGCACCATTTAAAGGTTTGCCTTGAGACCTCCTAATTGGATGGGATTTTGACTTGGTACTTCTTCGTGTGAGTAAGGACTTGAAAATACTAGCTTTCTCAGAGCGGGTAGGGAATTTGAATTTGATTGTATTTTGGGAAATCACTTCCTTCGTTTGGAGTCTCACTCAATCCTTTCAATGATGGATAAAAGCAGAATGTCTGATTTATTTATTTAGGTAAAGAGAACAATGTTTATTACCCTCGTAATTTTTAAAATTTGATGTTTTAATGTTGCAGTCAAAAAGGATCCTTTTGATAGGCATATTCAGTGACTCTCCTCAAATATTGTATTTCTGTGTCCAACAGCATTTTGACTCACATAGTAAAGTCGAGGTATACATGAAGAGTACATAAAACATACAGAATGTTTATACGAAATCCAGGAGATGTATAATGATAATTTACACTGAAATATATATGAGTGATTTCAGTATGGCACATGACGTATTGTATATTTTCCTTTCTGTAGTTGTGCAATGTAAAGTTTAGATTTTTCACCATCGAATCTTTTAACCCAGACTTCCCCAGTATTGATTGCAGTCACTGTAGCGCTGAAATTGTGAGAAGACACATGAAACTCAATTTTGAAGTTTTTAACAGGTGTTTCATTGGTACTGTAGAAATGGAAAATCCTAAAGCTACCGGTATATATGAAAGAGGCATTAACATGCAAATTGTCATCACCTGCCATTTGCTACAGACACCGAACACCAACCGCCGTGACAAAAAAGATAGAGATACTCAAGTACACTATCAGTCCATATTGTTTAAATACTATCTTTTCCTTGAAAACAACATATTTTTAAAAGATGTTTGAAGAAATGATGTTGAGAAAAGGGAGGTCCATATTAAGTTTAACTTTTACATTTTAGGAATAAATTGACTACATACTGTACTGGTGATTCTTTTTTGTTATCTATAATGATATGATGTCCTTTACTGTACCAGTCCCCCTCGTAAAACAGCTTGCCGTCATCATACCTGGCTGTGTGAGGGTATTTGTCAGCTCTTTGGACTATAAAACAAAACATTTAAATGAAGTTATCGGACTGAAAATGTTAAGGCCAAAGTAATCAAATAAACTAAAAACATTTCCACCTGGATTGAAATTAAAACAAATTACTGTACTAAAATAAAATGAAACACTTACTTTTATTATCTTTTTTAGTTCTCTGAGATTGCTTCACAGCTTTTTTAATAGTAGACCAATCCTCAATGATATCTACATCTTTCAACATGTATACTATATAAGGCCCTGACACAGTAGTTGGTTTACGTCGGCGATCTGGATTTGATGGGTCAGATTTCCGTCGCTTACTTTTTTGACATTTTTGAGACTCTTGCCATAAATCTATAAAATCATGATACAATACAAAAATCAATTTTAATGTTTGGATATATACAGTCTATCACATACCTCCACATTGAACTCATATTATATAAATTCATTCGGAAATTCTAGATACATCTTAACAAGCAATTCAATCATTTTTGTACATTTCAGAGCATTCATCGTATTCAACAATCAAATTCTTTACTTCCTCTTCTTATTTTCATATTAATGATTACAATAACAGTTATTTCTGCTACCTTACCTGATGATATATCTATATTGTGTCTGTCCTCTTCTAACCTCCTTATTTTATCTTCTAAATCATTTTTGACAGAGTCATATAATAGTTCTTTTTCACTCTAAAAATATAACACAAAAATGGATCACATGTACAGTTTTGAAAATACAATTATGTGTCGCATAAAACCCATGAACACCTATATAAAAGCTCTCTAAAATGAACAGATTCGAATGAGAATATTTAGGTTAGATCTCAGCAATTTTCAGGGCATTTTACTGAACTACTGTATAGCTTATGATATTAACGATCAGAGTGGAAATATCATGAACAATTTCATCAGATTAAATTACAGTTACTGATGAGAGCACTAATGACGAACTTATAATATACATGTTATATGTAGTTGACTACTTACCGCATAATTTTGTTCTGTTGCTATTTTTTCACTACAATATCTATTTTCTATATTTACAATTCTATGTTGTTGCAGGATACCTGGAGCAAACAATGTAAATACTTTATGACAAACATCATTACAGCTTAACACAATGTGAGATTTAGGTATTTAATTTGGAAAGCTCTTTCAATTGGTCTAAAACACATACATCTCATAATGCAAAATAACACTGATTTCAATTATGAGATTACAAAGCTATTCAGCAATGATATGAACGAAACCCACCCTCAAGATATTTCTCTAATTGACAGACTGATGGATGGCTTCACTCCATCCCAGTTAAGTTTTGATGCACTGAACCCATACTGTTACTAGTATCAAAAATGCACAACTTTTTATAAGAATCATTCCAGCAATATCATCTTTATTGGAAAGAAATCACCTACCAGCAACAGTTATTCTTATTCTCATCTCTTCTTGGAGTCTTGCTAATGGCTGTAGATATTCAGGGGCTCGACTGGCCCTCACTTCCTCAAGCTTGGATTCAATTTGAGTCAGTCGCTCTGTGTACAATCTAAAACATTTAGATTCATTATATCTTGGTTAAACCCAATATTTATGATTCATTTGGACTGTTTTCAAAAATTTTATGAAACAGATATCAAATACCAGTATATCATGCATTGTATTTATCTCTACTGGGCCATTTTATTTTCAAAATATTAAGTTATTGACTTTCATAGATTATTGTTTTTAAATGCATGATACATTTTGAATAAATATATTCATCGGTTGAATTTGCACTGAAGTATGTGTCTGTTTTAAAAATGGAGGATTAGAAAAGTTTGAAGAAAGGCATAAAAGTATTAACTTACTGATCTTTTAGGTTATCAAACTGTCTTTCCAACTCCAACATATCATCCAGATGCTCTATTCTTCTTGAGTCACATTCTGATTCATTCAGTTCTAAAATAAAAATCAAACAATTACCTATAAAATAATAATGTAGACATAAAATCTCCTGTTTTGAGGCACTTTCTAGGCAATTTTGCTCTCTTCAGAAATGACTTCATTCATTACTAATCATTAATTCATGTTTTCACTGCATGTTCAAAAGCAGAAAATTGTTCTGCTCGAAAAGTCATGCATTCAAACAAGCATAAAAATTTTTGGTTGTAGTTAAAAAATGATCAATGGTTCATCTGGCTCATTTCAAACTATATTTGCGGAAAACTAAAGATTTTTGACAATAATGTGTACATTCCAGGTCACAACATTTATTATAGTATTTAGGAAAATCTAAAATGTTTGTAAAATTTACAAGGTTTTCTAAGGGAGTTGGAACTTTTGTTCTCTTTGGTTGGAAGTGTTTTACATGACCAGAACCCAAAGTTGGCAGTGTTGCGGTAAAATAAGATTGGGGATTTAACTCCATAAAAAATTCTATTAATCAGCTATTTATTTTTATGTATTTGTACCCCAAATCGTATGGTTTAATTGGCATAAAAAGGAAATTTTCGATTTAAATCGCTTAATTCCTCCATCTATCCAGGCTCTGCAAATTCAGCGGATTCCCCTTCCGAAATCTTGAAAAGTGTGGAGATATTCCCAATGTAAAATGAAAATCATTTAGAAAATCTGCTGATAAACCCATATACAATTGGGGATTCGACTACACATTAAGAATCCAAATATACTCAGGAATGCGTTGATGCACGTCATTTACTATACTCCTGGTATTTTTCGCTTGCAATTAGTTTCCAGCTTCTTCAAGTGTTTTTAGGCGATAAATGGGATACTTAAAGTAACGATGCCTGTAACAGTGGCTTATTCGATCAAATAAACCAAAATATTATGATGTAAAAAAGTTAAGATGCAGCGTGACCAAGATAACGTAGTAGTAGGTGTACTTTGTGAAATTCACGAAATTTGATAGCAGCGAAATCATGTTTTCTCAAATTTCGCAAAATTAATTGGAAGTACAGTAAGTGTGCAGTGCGTAGTACTTTCTTCAATGTTGCAGAAACACTGCCTGAAAAATAGTTGGATTGCACGACCACAATGTAAGTGGAACTGTACCTTTGACTAGTGTGACCATGGGCTTTCAACTAGAAGGGTATGCAACTCTATGTAATAACATGAGACCTTCAAAATGAGCAATGACATGCTTCCCTTTTATGGCAATATTTCAATAAGTATTAGATAAATGTATATGTTTTAGTATTATTTTGAATAAAAATCAATTTTTAATATGATTGAAGCATAAAATATATTCAATATCATATAAAAGTAAACAAAAGAGACCAATAAGAATAAGAGTTATCAAGATGTTCTCTTTGAGTATTGCATTGTGGGTAATTATTCAAGAACACATTCCAATAAAAACATAATTTGTGGGAGAATGTTCACTTTCTGTATTGTCATAATTATGATGAATTCCAAATTTTATTAAATTATCAAGATGTAAAGTGGGGGACAAAAATAAATCTCAACCCTCAAAAGTTGTCACAATGAGCTAAATTCTAAGTTTCATGTCTCAAACTCTCCCAAGTGGTAGAAAAATAATTCCCATCCACTTTAAGTAGCACAATAAATGAATCCAAAGCCTCATACCTGCAAATGATGGATAAATCCCTACCAAATCGGACTAATGTTTTCATGAATCGCCATGTTTGTGATCCAAGGAGGATTGACTCCCAGAATGCAACATCAAGTAACCTTATTTATTCGTGACGTATTTCAAAACGGCGGAATGGCATTTTGAAAGCTGACACGTGTCATGTTGCATTCTGGGAGCCAACCCACATTGCGGCGTAATCTGGCTCCAAAATCACCTCAACATTTGAAGAGTCGGCATTAACATGTGAATTCCACATCAAATTTTTAAGTTCTTTATTTGTCATTATGGACACAAATTCCACTATATCTGGACTTACTATGACGGAGAAAATAGAGCACTGAATACACTGAGGTAAGAATTTATCACATATGCGACAACATGTAATTTCCATAGGTTTTGTAATTCTTTATCACGCCCGGTGATCGTGAAAATGGGACGGAGGGGGGGAGCAGGCAATTTCCGATAGAAAATTCAACAAATCTGGTAAAATTATTTTTCAAGACAGAGTTTACGATTGAATTGCAAATTGAATAAGCGCACGGTATGATAAAATATGTTAGGTATTCTAGGATTATTTTTCAACCGATACTATTTTAAGATATAAGATCTATTAAAAAAGGCGCAACGCAACCAACGTGCAAAAGTCAAAGATTTTGCTATAAATCAAGCAACAATGGACTACACGACCTGTAATAAATACTTGTAAGTGATGTTATCATAACTAAATTAATGTCATTGCTGAATTTATAAAATAAGTTTCCATACGTAAAATAAAAAATAATCGAAAATAATTAAAATGGGACAGAGGGGTGAGGGGACGGAGGGGGGGGGAGTAATAATTCTATAAAGTGAAACAACTTCACACGAATTCTTGTATTTGAAAAAAGAACTCATTAACTTAGTAAGAAACTGGATGATATACCCCTGGAGACTGAAAAATGGGGACATTTGGAGTAAAAGGACTTAAAGTCGCGAAACATCTCTAATCATGTCTTATATACATATTGCTCCCCCCTCCGTCCCCTCCCCCCCCTCCGTCCCAAATTCATTATTTTCGATTATTTTTTATTTCACATATGGAAACTTATTTTATAAATTCAGCAATGACATTAATTTAGTTATGATAACATCACTTACAAGTATTTATTACAGGTCGTCCAGACCATTGTTGCTTGATTTATAGCAAAAACGTTGATTTGTGCCTGTTGATGGCCTTGCGCCTTTTTTAATAGATCTCATACCTTAGATGCGTATCGTTTCAGAAAAAATCCCAGAAAACCTAACATATTCTACCATACCGTGCGCCTATCCATTTAGCAATTCAATAGTAAACTTTTTCTTGAAAAAATAAATCTTCCAGATTTGTTGAATTTCCTAGCAGAAATTGCCTGCTCCCCCCCTCCGTCCCATATTCACGATCACCGGGCGTGTTTATGCCCCCCACTGTATGTAGAAGATCATGTTTTTATTTTTGAGTTATTTCTTTTAATCATCAATAAAAAGTACAAAATAAGATTTTCTTGGAATGTGTACATTCTCCAATTTTGAAAACCCATGGCAATGTTTATGTATGAAATATGGGAAGTTGCCTACCCTTCTAGTTGAAAGCCCATGGTGTGACTGATAAAATTAGATGAATTTCACTTTCAAAAATAAGTAATTTCAAAAGTTTTATTTAAAACCTAATGTGATGGCAATGGTACTGTTTATTTTTGGTTACAGAGTCCAAATCTGCCGATTAAACAACTGAATGATGAATCCCGCGCACCACAAAAATCCGAAATATTTACCTGAACTTTCATCCGATTCTTCCGAAGCTGAGCCTGAATCGGACTCATCATCATCGCTTTTCTCACTCTCTGGACTATCCTGCTCCATATCTTCTTCTTCTGTTTCTCCTTTGTTCTCTATTGAAGGCATAATAAACCGAAGAGTGGAGAAAACTAAAATTTCGATTTTGAAAAATCCGACGAACAGACATATAGCATTATCAATACGCATGCGCAGAAAATGGAAATTCCGGAGATTCCACAGAGGTTTCCCAATATGACGTCATTAGTGGGAAAGCCCTCGATGAGTGTCAACATTGCCAATGTGTTTCTAAGGCAATACAACATATTTGTTGATATGCAATGAGTCAATGACAACAAACACTGATAATACGAGAAAATGGTGAAACATTTGCATTTTGTTCACAACGATGAAATATGGTGAGATAACATTATATTATTTCTAGGAAATCTTTTTGCAAGGGCAAATATATTCTTGGGAATGCCATGGAAATGCAATGACCAACAGCAATTACCATCACATAAATGAATATTTCAATCACTGGGTGCATCTCTATACGTTCATAATTCTAAAACTGCACAAATAATAAATAAAATGTGGAAGAGCACTTTGAACTCATGAATAGACATAGGCCTACATGTATTCTTTTTCTTCCAATACAGTACAGACTCCTCTTTCATATTATGTACTTCTATGAAGAATATTCTAGACATATTCTATAAACTATAAATAATTTGAAGGAAGGACCACATTCGCAGAGAGCTGCAATCTCAAACTAGAAAATGGCCAGAAAAATGGGGATTTCTGACAAAGGAATATAGACAAGTGAGTCAGAAGAGGGGGGAGGGGGTAAATAGCTATTAAAACATGTCTTACATAACCAATGCGCTGAAATATCAAAATGCTCAGTAATCATGCTATTTGAAATTATCTGTTTAAAAAAGTACTATTTGAGATGCCCGATAAATAATTTTTTGCCTTCTGCAGAGTCCATCTCAATGAGGAGCCTCTGAAAAACCCAATACTGCGTTCTATAACTGCATTTTGTTCAAACATCCTGCAGGACTTTATAAACAAATCTTGGATGGCAAAATTGCTCTATTCAAAGGGTAGCAATTATGACTAGCCTTTTATTTTTTCGAGGGTTGAGGCAAAATAATTATTTTAGCACAAAGGTCAGACCAACATCTTCTCTGTTTGTTCACATAGTTGAACACTGAAGTTATATCACTGCCAACTCAATGACACTGATTTTTCTGTAATGAAAAAAAATCTCACGTTTCAGATGAACAGAATCCTAGAAGTGGGAACAGAGTCCAGAGATGTGACTCCATCACCATCGCCACCCCCACCCCGCTCAAATGGAATTAGGCTACCCCCTATACCCAATGTCCCTAAACAACGAAGAGCATCATATCCCCAAACAACAGCACAAGAAATTGGTCTGAGGCTAGTTAATGGACAGGGGTGTTTAGAGAAATATGGCTTTAATGCAAGGGGGTTTAGAAACCCATGTACCGTATTTAACGCACCACCTGACGGGGTTATTTAAAGAATCTGAAACTTGAATTTTGCTGTGATAATATTTACTAGATGCAAAAATAACAAATTAAAAAGAAACTAAACAATCTTATGTAATAAAATTCAATTTATAATCAAAATATTTCTTTGAGTTACAATGATTCTGCATACATGTAGTTTTATATCTTCCTTATCATTCATATCTTCGAAACATTAATTTGTAATGGCCTCATGTAATATTTTATTGTTCCCATCCCATTTGGTCAACTGGACAAAATATATACCTCATTGTATAAAGCTCTACTTCAATGGTGAGCTTGATATACAATTAGTCCAGATGATCTCTGAGGGGAATAATTAATAGTACAGTATAGGCTTACTGTAAATTGCTTTTATATGATGGCCATTTTAATTTGCGGATTGATGAAACTGCCAATTAAGTCTCTGCCAATTTAAAAAAAAAAAAAATCTTTGTACTAACTAGCCCTCCAATATCCGCATTTTACTATTAAGAAAATCTGCCCAATCAAATAGTGGTCAAAATTCATAATTTGCCCATCAGCCAAATTAAAGCAATTTATAGTAATCAATTGGCATACACTATACTACTTTTTACAAAATGCTTGATGAGTCCTATGTATGGGTGATAATAATATTTTCTCAGTGTCTGAAATTGTACTTATTTAGTGTCAAACACATTAATCAATTTAACAAAGGTATAACTATTCTTGAACAAATATATGATGAACACCTACATATCTTAATAATATTTCAATATGAAAGATGCTCAATTGACATATAATTTATTTTTCATGAAAGTTTTTTCTCATAGAAAACTTGATAAATAAAATACCTGGAATTATATTAACATGCTTTACTTAGTATTCATCCCATATATTTGTGAAGAATGTATTAAAAAGCAAGGCATTTGTGAAGTATATGTACATCCTTGGGTTACATAAATTCACATATGTTTCTTCCATATGCATCATTCCCTAATCCTTTATCTATCTTGCACTTCTTCCTTGGAGTTGGAAACAGTTTCATTAGTTTTCCCAAGTACCCTTGTATTCCCACAATTGTTAAGTCCATCACACATGTCAACATTTTCTTTATTTTCACTCTCTGATAATTCCTCATCACTTGAATCCTCTGAACTGTAATAATCTATTTGAACACGGTTTGTGTTAACAATTAGGTCTTCCTCATATTCAGAGTCATCACTGTCACTAGGTGGCAGCATGTCGTCGGGAATCATGGCACCATTTGTCTTCTTTTTTGCATCATCAAATTCCACTGGCCTGAAAAACAAGGAACATAAAATGATATTATCAAAATGTTACCAGCTAGTTGGGCAAAACAATTTTAATGATAATTCATGGCTTTGATTTTTTGCACATTTATTTTAAATTCATGATTTACAGAAGTGACACAATATGGAATCCCTTTTGCTAATGAGATAAATACTACATTTTCAATTTATTTAACATGAGACAACTGAACATTTAGTCAATAAATTACAAACATGTACTTAATTTACTAAAAATTTTAAGCAAATATTCATGTATGTGAGAAAAGAAGTTTAGTCTGACAGCAAAACAAGTAGAGACAAGAAATTGTTTTGCATCAATTTAAAATAATGAAATAACATCAGAATATAATGATGAGTCAGATCATTAGGATGCCTTACCACATGCTCTGTTCCTTTATGTACTTTATTTGGTCTTTATAGAGAATGTTCCTAATTTCTGCTTTAACCTTGTCACCTTCCTGAATAGGCTCAACAAGGACAAAATCACCTGCAAAGACATTAAAACATAACAGATAATCCCTAATGATGGATAAGATAAGCAACACAACAATCAAAAGCACAGGTGATTGGACGTCATTTACTTTTATATGTTAATATGAAGATTTGGCTCTAAATAATGCCTCAATGATATTTCAGTATGGTGTTTAATATTGAAGGTGTCAGTCTCAAATTCTGTTTAATTGATCTTTTTCTTTTGCCCTATTACTTAAAGGCAGTTGCTCTAACATCTCATCACCGAACATATTCATCATTAATCATTCTAATCAATCAAGAGACTTATCTTGATCATTTGTTAAAAGTTTTGAATGAAACATAGGTTACGTGGTTTCTATTTAGGAAGTCTCACCCTCGACTTTCTGGACGGATCTTTTTCCAAATGTGCCGTTTTATATTTTTCGCATTATTATGACTTGATAGACCATGCACGTTTGTTTTAAATAATCAAAATTAAATTAAAATATCTCCCTTTTCAAGTTATTTATTTTATTGACTGTTGTATTCACTTTTTGAGCATAACTGACCCAAAAAGGCCCATTTTTTAGGCCCTACAAAATTTTTGGGACCCTATAATTTTTTTCTAGACCCACCCGAGGGTGAAAGGCGGGCCCCATGGGCCTCCCCTGGATCCGCCAGTGTAGCCCATGGGACGGCGAGAATTGCTCAGTGTTCAGGCGTCGAATATACAAGAAATAGATCTATTACTTTTCATTCCTTTGCTTTTACGCCACCATTTTTTCTGTTTGATCAAGTGACCTAGTGATGAAGACCTTTTTTTTTAAAAAACAAAGAAGTGAACATCTAATTAGCTTGAAATATGGTAAGTTCATGGTGTTTCACTGGTGTTTATCCATTTTAAATCAGTCGTACCGTAGATTGAGTTAGTAAATATATATGTAATCATATTAATCTGGCTAGCCAGATGCTACCTTTAACAATTAAACACATCAAGATTTTTTTCAAGATAAATTAATTCTAAATGTTGGAATGTTGGATTCTAAATGTCATAATTAATCTTCCTCAAATGGTTGCCCCCAAGTGCAAAGTAATTTTCTGGGGCAGTGGTGTATCACTGCATTGAAAGTGGGGAATGGCGGAGATACTGACATCTAGTAGGAATGAAAAGTGAGTGTAAGAAGTTTTAAAGGAAAGAGTTTATCATGGAATCTAATTGTGGTACTGACCTCTTTTTATCCAGACATTTTTGCGGAATTTAGTAGGCATACTGACAAGATAATTCTCTCCAGCTGCTGTTTCTATTTGATGGAGGTTATTTCCCCGAGGAGCAGTGACCTAAAATAATAAGACGTAAATACTGTAGTGTTAAAATGCAACATAGCCATGTATCCATCTTTTCATGATGAAATAACGAGAATCGTGAATTTTCTAGATATTAGCATGCTAAATGTAATTTTCATTGTAAATGTGACAGCTATAGAACTTCCATATCAAATTACTAATATATGTATACCCGATTTCCTGGCCTGACTTGTCAGTAGAAATTGAAATATAAGAGTTACCTAAAGATTAGGGAGTCTTACTTACCCTCTAGAGGTTAGAACACACATTTCAATGAAACCCTATCACCTTTATTGAGTCAACCATAGAGCATTTAGCACAATATCCAAAAGGTAAAATATGGACCGTGAAAATGAATGATTTCCTTGTAAGTTCCGGAAGTTTCAATACAATAAATTACCAAGCATTTGTGAAATTGAATGTTTGTAATTTACAAAATTTAAATTATAAAGCATCACAAACAGGTCCTATTGTATTAATAGACTAATACAGCAGATGACCCATTCATACTTTCTGCGCAGCATTTAATTCAAACCAATAGTTCAACTGTAGATCATGCAGTTTCTTCTATTTTAGAACAGGCCATCCTCCTCTGCCCTGTTCTAAACTCGCCTGCAAACGACTGCAAAGCATTCTTTCTTACTATTTTAACACCAGGCATGGCTGGATGATATGTCACAAAATTAAAGTTCAAGGTCAATATATTATTTCATGATAGGGGCAACTTATCCCGTGCCAGGACTATAGTCCTGCATCGAGCGCAATCTTTTGCCTGTACGATTACAACTTGGGAGAATTATCTACGCCCCTTACACTTAAGATACCTACTTCAATAGATTCCTGGGTATTCTAGCATTCTTTTTGTGTAGTTGAATCCACAATTGTCTGGGTATATAGGCAGAACGGGGACATCTTTCTTTTTCATCGAGAGATATTCCATCACTTTCCAAGATGGCGGTTGGATTTAAAAGGGGATTCCCCGTTTGACTAACCCGGAAGTGTCCCGGAAGCACCAATAAATGGAGGAATTTGATGTTGAAATAAGTTAAATATTACACGCAAATATTGCGATCAAAAACGAAAATTTCTTTGTTCTGCCGATAAACCCAGACAATTGTGGATTCAACTACACGAAAAGAATGCTAAAATACAAAGAAATCTATTGAAATAGGTATCTTAAGTGTAAGAAGCGTAGAAAATTCTCCCATGTTGTAATCGTACAGGCAAAAGAATAAGACATTCGCAGGACCATAGTCCTGGCATGGGATAAGGGGTAACATCTACTCGGAAGTAAACATGAGAAAATGGAAAACTCCAAAAAGCATCTACACAAATTTCAATCAAGTACTGTGCTTATGCTTCATCATGAACATAACAAAGCTGATTTGGTTTCATTGAAATGTGTGTTCTAACCTCTAGAGGGTAAGTAAGACTCCTAATCTTCAGGTAACTCTTATATTTCAAGTTCTACCAACAAAGTCAGGCCGGGAAATCAGGTTTAGTTTACAGTCGTCTATGACTGCAGTCTAAGTGCTTCAAATCAGATCCCAGGAACTTTTAGCCTTGTAGAAGGCTTTAGCATTTGTTGATTTTTTAAATTTGGATATTTGTTTGACATAAGCATCTCATATAAAGTACTACAAGTTCCTGTGAGTCAGATACAAGAAATGATAGTGAATGCAGCACCCATACCTTTACTACTTCTAGGTCTCCTTCAGGAAGAACATAATCGTCCAAGACCTCCTTCTCTACATGTTTTCGTTTAGTCGCCTTTGACATTTTACAAAGTTGTTGCTCGTGTAATGATAGCTTATGTGTGCTATGTATGTTTTTTGTATAAATAGTGTGTTATTAAATACTGCACAATAATAGTCTGCCCTGAGATTGCACTTCCGGTTGAAACTTTTTCGAGATAAATCGGTCACCTCCCTTTCCGTAAAAAGTGTGTACACTGCGTCCGGAAATCCTTAAAGGGAGGTTCCCATTTGGCTAGCCATAATTGTAAGGTACTTGCCCTAGTTAGGTGAAGAGACACTTGTTAGAAGAGAAAATAAAGATCAAAACGTGTGAAATTTTGTGAAGATTGCAAAACTCCATTGCAAGAAGTATACGGACTGAATAAAGCATGTGACAAACCACATAAGCATTTCCGGCAATCCGGGGACAGTTTCAAGTTTAATTCACTCTAAATAATTTGGGCTAGTTTGGGTAGGTTTTTGCAGCACGGGCAATTTTGGCCTAGGGCATAAACCATGGAACCTGGCCAATCTGAGAGGAAAAACACATGGAAAATTTGTCGAAGAGAGAGCCTTTTTAAGTAAAAAAATCAGTTTTTCTACAAAAAATGGTAATTAATTCGTCAAATCAGCTGGAGAGGTCTGGGACAAATCACCCCAAAAGTGGCTTTTGTATTAATATGCCAATATTTCAGGAAATTTACTCCCTTTTATAAATCTAAGAGACAGTATACATGGACACCTTCAATATTGAGAGGAAATTGACGTGGAGAAAATGCTCAAAAAGGGGGTCTTTCGCCGCGGTACATAGGTATTAAGAGGTATATTGGAGTGAAACCCCCGGGGATCATAGAATGATAGTATTCATCACGGGGAGAACTGATATCAAAATACTTACCGGTTGGCTCATGTACCTCCAATGTAAGTCCATCAGTCTATGTAAGATACACTGGTGACATTACACAACTGCCAGGCAACTTCATTGACATTGACATCGCCCCTGTATACCAGTAGGCTCAGTAGTCAGTGCACTGGGCACCATATACATCAAAATAAATAGTTGCCTATTTGGGCATTATCGGGCTTTTGGGCATTATTTTTTAATTTTGGGCCTAATTATGAAGAAAATGGGCCTTAAAATTTCACAATATTGGCCCAATTTTTGGTATTTTTCCTTTGAAACTGTCCCCAGACTAGGTTCTAAAATAAAGTCAGGAAAAAACTAGTACTTAAACTCAATGCCAATGTTGTCCTTACTGTGTTCCAACATTGAAGAAATGGAGAAAAAACTACAAAATTGTAGTAAAATATATTTTCTTTGATTAAACATTTAAAATGTTTATCATACAGGATAATGCAACATCATATAGAGAGAAAATTTTGAACAACAATCCTTGAACTACAATAGTATTTTCACGACGCCATTATCGGGGGCAAAGGATCAGAATCCTGACAGCTATTACATGCATTTCTGGGCTATTATGGCATTTTCAACGAACAGAGCTATGTTTCTAAATCACATAAACAGCCAAATACCACACTGATCGTGTAGGTAAGTATAGATGCAAGCCGCTGACCCCACTGTTTATCAATGAAATTCTGATCTTTGTCATTTCTCAATTTTTGCTCAGCTTACACACAACGAAAAGTGTACGACTTTCCCGGGGATCTTCTTAACCTATAGTTTGTGACTGTCACATCTGTTGATCAACGTCCACAGCTTATAATGGTTGAAAACAAAGAGGATTGCTCCCAGAATCATAGTGAACACCATCCATTTAGGAATTCTAATAGGAAACTTAGGTCAATCGATGGTGTTCCTGGGGGAAGGGATTAGCTTGCACTCCTGAAATCATTCAATAACGTTTTTATCGTGTGATCCTCTGTATTGCTACCGAGATTGTCCCCTCCGTACCAATATTTTCTGTATTGCGACAGAGATGATCAACGGGGACAATCTCAGTAGCAATACAGTTTGGTACAGCAAAAGAACTGACCAATCAGAGGGCTTCATTTTAAAGATCATACGATAAAGAGTAACACTTTTAGACGACTTCCTGGAATTCTCCAGCAAATAAATAAAACGATTTTAGTGCAGATAGCTTCTATTAGTGAAATACATGAAATCCATTTCAATAGAGGTGTACGCGATAGTTCAGAATAACAACAATATTCTCACCTCCCCTGTTGAAGAGCTCCAATTCCGGGAACAGATTTTTTTACATCCGGGTTTTTTCCCCATTGAAATATACTGAGTCCGATTTTGAATACATCATTTCAGCATTATTTGACATTCCTCTTCACTGATATTTGCACAATCGATAAAAATATAGGTCCTGATGGCAATCTGCAAAGTGTTTCCACGAATATTTTTCGAAACTGAAGATAATCATGAAATGTTCTACGGTGAAGTCACCGACTTAGTTCCCGGAAGCTGAGACTATATGACTCGATATGAAAAAGAAGCAAGTTCTCGTGTTTATAACGCAGGTTTGATGTCACGTTTATATATGTTTGACTTATATCAATTGTGAGGGTTGTAACTTGAAATTAGTATGACCTTTATCATCCCGACCATACGCAAAAACATGGTTTTAAGGTTGGGAGAATTTGGTTTAATCAACGGACCAATGAAAATTTGTCCCACTTGAAGTGATGCATTGTGGGAGATATTTATGTTAATGACCATCTTTTCGTCTATCGTGTATAAGTCTATTACACAATTTTGATGAAGGATGAAATAGCACTTATTCTATTACTAGACAAATGTTAAATCTATGAGACCTTCATGTTGGCCTATGAGTCTATGAGTCTATGAGTGCATTATACAATATTGCATTAAATGTTCATTTATACTAGTAAAATGAGACTAAACTTAGCAATTTCTAAAATGAAATGTCACACATTGTGTCTGTTCATCTCCGCTATAATTAAACTAGAAGCGAAACGAAATTGTTGTCCAATAAATTAATAATTGTTATCACATGGTTACTGGGGATAATAAGATCAATTTGGAGGATAATATGTATCTTTGATTGATTTATATGGAGCGTGTATACACGCAAAGTATATAGTTATTTATTCATCATGTAATCAGGATTTAAACAAGCGGAGCTATTTATTTTCCACGAAATAGGGAGAATGCTCATGGAGGTTAGACCTATTCAGGGTCATAAGACATGTCAGATAAGAAATGAGACCCCAGACTAGGTCTAACGTTGTTGGACTAGGAGGAAATGTAGAAGTTACTAGACTTTTTGGTGGTTTTGTCAAGTCATGTCTGGCATTGTCTGCACTTCACAGTTCAAAATCAACTTCTGTAGCAATTTGGGACTACCTTTTACAATTTGATTCACTGACCTTTGTTTCTCAAAACATATTCTCTCAAAATCGGGAAATAGGATGATAAGCAGGGAAATTTTGTAGGGAATTTCAGTTACAAAAATAACAATTGACAACTTATACTTATACTTCGAGTGTAAGCCCCGGTATTAAACAAACCCTTGAATTCGATCTTGAAGAATGTCATTTTGAAATTCAATAGATAAGGATCCCAAGAAATTGTTGAATTTTACTTAGCTGTTTACATTTATTTTCAGATCTACATACAGAAGTCACAATGCTATTGCTGACGAAATAACAAACAATTTACAAACCTGTAGTATACCTGAAGTCCCAGTTCTGCAGTCCCAAAGTGTGGTACAAATTACAATGGCAGATAAACAACCATTTCATTCTGATAAGTTACAAGCTGCTGATGCTCAGTTAAATAATCCATACTCTGCTGCGTTGTCATACCCAGGGTCCAGTTTCTCATCGTTATCTGAGACTGTAAGCAGAAATCCATATGGGCAAATTCTGTTTCCAGGGATTAGCCCCACTTCTACACAAAACAGTAACTCTAATGGATCAATGATAGGTGTGAATGCTGTTCACCGTTACCCCTTACCTACAAGTATTAATCCAATCTTGAACTCATCACTGACACAGAGTACAGCTAGTGCCACCTATCAATCAGTAGCAGCAAATATCAAATCTGACAGTCTGAGTGCAAATACTGATGAACCCCAAATCTATAACAATCCTCCAGATATAGATATCAAGCTTGATTTGTCTAATATGGAAACTGATACTAATATGCAAAATAATGATAACTGTGATGTCAAAGGAGAACCTTCTAATCATGACAATAATGAGGCTGCAGAAGATAGTGAAGCAACTCTTATTGACTCAGACCATGAACACCAACCACTAATGGAGAAAGATAATATTACTTTAACCTCTGTGCCACCCAATGCCAGTACTCTTATTTTACAGAATGTTGCATTGAAAGGAAAGCTTGCCAACCTAAGGACTTCTCAGTTATTCACAGATTTGATATTTTTACTGAAAGGAGGGCAGGAGGTATTTGCTCATAAGGCCCTTGTTTGTGAATACAGTGGGTTTGCAATGCAGAAATGCATGGATAACATATTCATACCTAATGAGAGGTCAACAGTTCATATTGACCTCACTGTCATACAAGAGCTTGAGATAAATGAACAATTATTGAACACTGCTCTTGATTTCATATATGGCATTAAAGTCACAACAACTCTATCAGAAGTAACGGTATTAAAGCGTTTAGCGAATGCCTTGATAATGCCAGACTTAATCTTCAGTATTGGTGAAGCCTTGAAAAAGATCAAAAAAGAAAATGAACAAATTAGTATTAAAAAAGAAAATGTTGAATATGTTAATGACAATGAGGAAAATAATGACAATGACGAGTCTTATCCTTTGGAAGACACAGAGCCACAGACACAGATTGAAAATCAAAAAATTACGAACGCCCCAGTCGGAATCATGGGAACATCAGGCTTATCTGGAAAGGGTAATAAAAGGAAACGTGGCAGACCGCAAAAAGTTCAGGTCGAGAAAATGAACGCTGTTAACACTGAAACGAAACGACCTCCTGGTAAAAAACGAGGACGAAAAAAGAAAATCAAAACTGAGGAAAAAGAACCTGAATCTAATGATCTTGAAACAAATTTTGAAACAGCCCCAGTTAATGTTAAAATGTTGGAGGCACCTTCTAATGTTGAGGATTCTTATATTGAAGAAGGTGAGTTAACTCCTGTGCTGACCATGTAAAGTCTCCAAACCTTTAATTAACTGTTGTGCTCTGCACATAATCAAAAAGAACGTGCCTTTTAAAAAAATGGGAAACTGCCTCCCTGCTTGAATTATTGAATATTTGTGATATGTGTGTTGCTAACATAAATGATGCTACTCTTTTGTATTATAAACTGGTTGCCTTCTTATAACATATAATTGATAATAGCAACCCAATCATAACAGATGTTCAATATTTTATAGATGCTGGTGCAGAGGAGACAGATGTAGTTGATGACATGGATGATGATTGGAATGCAGATGCAAGTGATAATGAGGAGGCAAACTATGAAGAAGAGCCTGTTAGTGAAGAGGATCCAACTGATGCAGCTTACAGGCCAAAACAAGGTCGTAAACCTCCTAAAACATCTGGTAAGATATATTTTGATCAAAGTTCAAGAGAGACACTGAAGGAAGAATTCCAATTCCCAGTCAATACATATACCCTGTATGGAACATAAGGGCACTCAACTTCTTTTTAAACTGAATTAACATAGCTTTTGAAAGTGAGTAACAAATTGATTTATTGAATGAGTACAACTCTTTCTGGGAAATATAATTGAAGTACATGTAAGTTGCTTATTCAGAATCGCATATTGAATCGGGAATCAGACCGAAATCGGAATGTGTATAAGAAAGAATCCCATCTTGAACACATATGAAAAAAGTTATTTTGGTTTCAGGTAAATCAAGTAAAGCAGCTAAAGGTTACAAAACCTCTTTTGTGTGCAAGAAATGTGACAATCTGAAGTTTAAGACTCGCCAGGAAGCATTTGAGCACAAGAAGTCTGTCCATAGCATGTTTAGCTGTGACTTGTGTATGAGGGTGTATGAAACTGAGGCCTCGCTGAAAGTTCACAATATGACACACACAGGTACAGTAGTTATTTCATTTTCTTTCAATTTATACTGCACCTGGTCATGTTTATTCACAGCTGGTTATGTTTATTCACAGCTGATTATGTTGATTCACTGCTGATTATGTTTATTCACAGCTGTGTTATATTCACAACTGGCCATATTTTTATTCAAAGCTGGTAATGCTTATTCTTCGCTGATTATGTTTATACACAGCTGATTATATACATCTAGCCATGTCCGTTCACAGCTGGTCATGTTTATTTATAGCTGATGATGTTTTTTCACAGCTGGTTATTTTTACAGCCAGTCATATTTATTCAAAGCTGGTAATGGAAATTCTCAGCTGATTCTGTTTATTTACAATTGATTATATTCACAGCTGGTCATGTTTATTCACACCTGGTCATGTTCATTCATTGCTGATTATGTTTATTCACAACTGGTCATGTTTGTTTACAGCTGGTCATGTTTATTCACAGTTGGTTGTGTTTATTCGCAGTTGGTCATGTTGGTTCACAGCTGATTATGTTTATTCATAGCTGGTTATGTTAATTCACAGCTGGTCATGTTCATTCATTGCTGATTATGTTTATTTACAGCTGGTTATATTCACAGCTGGTCATATTTATTCAAAGCTGGTAATGGCATGTTTATTCAAAGCTGATTTTATTCACATCTAGCCATGTTTGTTCACAGCTGGTCATGTTTATTTATAGCTGATAATGTTTATTTAAAGCTGATTTTATTCACATCTAGCCATGTTTGTTCACAGCTGGTCATGTTTATTTATAGCTGATAATGTTTATTCAAAGCTGATTTTATTCACATCTAGCCATGTTTGTTCACAGCTGGTCATGTTTATTTATAGCTGATAATGTTTATTCAAAGCTGATTTTATTCACATCTAGCCATGTTTGTTCACAGCTGGTCATGTTTATTTATAGCTGATAATGTTTATTCAAAGCTGATTTTATTCACATCTAGCCATGTTTGTTCACAGCTGGTCATGTTTATTTATAGCTGATAATGTTTATTCAAAGCTGATTTTATTCACATCTAGCCATGTTTGTTCACAGCTGGTCATGTTTATTTATAGCTGATAATGTTTATTCAAAGCTGATTTTATTCACATCTAGCCATGTTTGTTCACAGCTGGTCATGTTTATTTATAGCTGATAATGTTTATTCAAAGCTGATTTTATTCACATCTAGCCATGTTTGTTCACAGCTGGTCATGTTTATTTATAGCTGATAATGTTTATTCACAGCTGGTCATGTTTATTCACAGCTGGTCATGTTCATTCATCGCTGATCATGTTTATTCACAGCTGGTCATATTTATTCATAGCTGGTCATGTTCATTCATCGCTGATCATGTTTATTCACAGCTGGTCATGTTCATTCATCGCTGATCATGTTTATTCACAGCTGGTCATGTTTATTCACAGCTGGTCATGTTCATTCATTGCTGATTATGTTTATTCACAGCTGGTTATATTTATTCAAAGCTGGTAATGGTTATTCTTAGCTGATAACGTTTATTCACAGCTGATTATATTCACATCTAGCCATGTTTGTTCACAGCTGGTCATGTTTATTTATAGCTTATGGTGTTTTTTCACAGCTGGTTATATTCACAGCCAGTCATATTTATTCAAAGCCGGTAATGGTTATTCTCAGCTGATTCTGTTACAACTGATTATATTCACAGCTGGTCGTGTTTTTTCTTAGCTGGTTATGTTTATTTACTGCTGTTCATGTTTTTTACAACTAGATTTCTCAACTCTTGTAACGCAATATCTGATTTTTTGGTTTCATGTTTTTATACCAACAGTATTTAAGCAGTTAGCCTTTTTTGTATGAAAAAGTATGCTTTTCAGTATGATGAGATGTAAACCTCAACACTCCATTTATTAACACTTCACTCATTTCCATAGCACCATGATATGAATTTGAAGCTTTTTAACACATCCTTAATATGCAATGTGTTATCTAAATCACTGGGTACATTAAATTAGATATTAATCTAGATAAATTCAATCACATCTGAAAGTTGTGTTTACATGACATGCCTGTAGCCATTTAAACGTTATTGTTTAATAGGCCAAGTCATACTATATCTGTATATCGAATTTGTATTGCCATTCTGGTTTTAATAAGGCACATCTAATGAGAAGCAGCCATACATATTGGTGTAAAAAAGGAAAGTCATTATATTGTAATGACCTTCGATAGCAAGTCGCTACTACAGTCTCAGCTGTAGTGACTAGCCCTTATGGCTCAGGGGTAGAGCGTCTGACTCGTGAGCGGGAGGTCCTGAGTTCGATTCCCGTACGGGGCATTGAATTTAGCACATTCTCTTTCGAGTGTAGTATCTGGCTCGGTACACTACAGCTCCCCGACGAGCGTGCCCAAGGGTCGTTACATTGGTGTCAGAAGTGGGATTGCCCCTGTGATCAGTTACGACGGGACGTCGTCTTCTGGGGGGGGATGGTGTAATGACCTTCGATAGCAAGTCGCTACTACAGTCTCAGCTGTAGTGGCTAGCCCTTATGGTTCAGGGGTAGAGCATCTGACTCGTGAGCGGGAGGTCCTGGGTTCGATTCCCGTATGGGGCATTGAATTTAGCACATTCTCTTTCGAGTCTAGTATCTGTCTCGGTACACTACAGCTCCCAGACGAGTGTGCCCAAGGGTCGTTACAATATTTAAAATTAGTCATAAAATTACTAAAACAAAACAATTCTTTTGTTGACATTCGGGGTATTGTTCGGTACTTTAGCAGAATTTAATAATAATGACCTCAAGACAATTTCTTGAACAATTTTTTAGCTCTTCCTCCTGGTTTGAAGGGGTCTTGATACCTGTTTACACCTCTGCTACTTTTTTTCTTGGGATGCCTTTCACTGAATTGATTTACTGGTTGATCATGATTAGTAATACTGTAGTAACTATATAAAAACATGTGCCCACACTCTTCTGTAAATTCTACTATTGCACTCACATGATTTACTGAGACAATGATATATTGTGAGAATTAGATAATCTTTACACATGTATGGTACAGGACAAGTTTCAAAGATATATATAAAATCTGAAAGAAGTATAATTTACTGTACATTACGTCTCAAGTTTTATAGAAGTCTTTTTTATAGAAGTCACTTCCTTACAAAAGTTATAGGAATAATTCTGATTTCTTTAATAATAACAATATTTATTATTGTATCTGTCGAGGTTATGTTACTCTTGGGATCTAAGTAAGGTCAAGTTCAATGCTCAAGGCCAAGTTCAGTGGTCAAGGTCATCCAGAAGGTTATGAAGCAAGTGATAAAACATCTAGAATAGAACTGCCATTCTGAAAACTTACAGTATAACATACATACATAACAGTATCTTTCAGTAACCTGAAGCATACAATGTAGGATCAAATTCTAAATAGTTACAGTAGTTTAGATAGTATTTAAATAATTAATCAGATAGTGTTTAAGTTATAAGGCAATATTAGTATCCCAACAAAGTAGGGATAAAATGAAGCCCTTTGTAAATTTGTCAGTTCGTTCGTCCATCTGTCCGGAAAATGATTGGAATACTCATACCTGCCAGTGCCAACCTAAGACCAAAAATTTGAGGTAGTTCTTTTTTTGAATTACGGTATTTTGCGGTAGATTTTTTCAAAATGTGGTAGTTTTTACGGTATTTTTCGGCAAAAATGCGGTAGTTTTATAGTAGATTTTGAAAAAATTCGGTAGTTTTAGCGGTAGAATTTTGAAAAAAAACGTACTCTTTCGGAAGTTTTTGAAAAATGCGGTAGTTTTATGGTAGATTTTGAAAAAAATGCGGAAGTTTTTGCGGTAGATTTTTGAAAAACTAGTTTTGTGGAAGATTTTGAAAAATGCAGTAGTTTTCCAGTAGATTTTGAAGAAATGCAGTAGTTTTTGCGGTAGATTTTGGAAAAAACAGTAGTTTTGCGGAAGATTTTGAAAAATGCGGTAGTTTTACGGTAGATTTTGAAAATAATGCGGTAGTTTTTGCGGTAGCTTTTTGAAAAAACTGTAGTTTTGCGGAAGATTTTGAAAAATGCAGTAGTTTTACGGTAGATTTGAAAAAAATGCGGTCGTTTTTGCAGAAGATTTTGAAAAAGGTGGTAGATTTAAAAAAAATGATTTTTTGTTGATTTTGACACACTTCAATGAATATGTAGTAAAGTATGTTTTTCTAACACAGCATTCATGGAACTCTTTCATAAACAATTTGAGTACATCAGTGTTTTTATAACTACAGTAGAACCTTTGGTAGTAATTATAATAAAATATTTTACAGTAGATTTCGGTAAATTACAGTAGATTTTTTAATGGTCATTTTTACGGGAAAAAATGGTAATTTTTTACGATAATTTGTCTTTTTTTTACGGAAAAACGAAAGTTTTACGGTAGGTTCCCGTTAAAATACGGTAGGTTGGCAGGTATGATACTAGTGATCAGATTACCTTCATATTTTGGTAAATAGTTTTATGCAAACATTTTTTTTAAAGATTGCTAGCACTTTAAAAATGGCCAGAATTTTTTGTAAAAATCTAAATTTTGTATTTCCAAACAAAGTAATAAGTATTACTTTTTGAAATGTCGGTATTGTATTTGCAAAATATATCTATTTAACATATTTTGCTAGTTTTTTTTAGTCCAACCCCCCTCTATTCAAATTTACGGCCATATTATATTAGGATCAAAAACATCTTAATCAAAGAGTGGATTACAATTATTGAATCATTTTTGTCATGCTTCGGTAAACTAAAGGGTTACCTCATATGAAAAATCTCAATGATTAGGAAAAATAGTATATCGTGACATTTCAAATTTATAAATAATTTGGTCTTTGGGATTTGCTACTCCATGGAGTAGCCGATTTCTAGTTTAAAAACATGTATGAACAAAAATGAGTACTCATATGAATGGTTGTATACAGATTAAAATGTTATATTGGTACAAAACAATTGTATCTCCTTGTTTAGCACAAATTCTTCAAAAGCAAACCTTTCTATCCTAATAAAACTCCATGCAAGTATTCCTACCTTCCCTGAAACACCATACCTTCTCTAAAACACCATGCAAGTAATCCTACCTTCCCTAAAACACCATGCAAGTAATCCTACCTTCCCTAAAATACCATGCAAGTAATCCTCCCTTCTCCAAAACACCATACAAGTAATCCCTCCTTCCCTGAAACAACATGCAAGTAATGATACCTTTCCTGAAACATCATGCTAGTGATCCTACCTTCCCAGAACACCATGCAAGGAATCCTACCCTCCCTGAAACACCATGCAAGTAATCGTACCTTCCCTGAAATTTGCACATAATCCTACCATCCCTGAAACAACATGCAAGTAATGATACCTTTCCTGAAACACCATGCAAGTAATCCTACCTTCCCTGAAACACCGTGCAAGGAATCCTACCCTCCCTGACACACCATGCAAGTCATTGTACCTTCCCTGAAACATTTTTTTACATAATCCTTCCTTCCCTGAAATACCAGCAATGAATTCTACCTTCCCTGGGGCACCGTGCAAGTAATCCTACCTTCCCTGAATTCAGTGCATTCCCACATCCCATTTGATTAAACTGTATGACAACTGTATGACTGCAGTCACCTCATGCAAAGCCAACTTTAAAACCTGCGTTTGTTTTGATTTTGCAGGTGACAACCCGTATATAATCAAAACAGACACAGGCAAAGTTTTGTACCAATGCGACATCTGTCAGGAAGAGTTCACTGAACGAGACAGGTTTTATACTCACATGCGAGCACATAGGGGAAAGAAAGCACTGGAGTGTCAAATTTGTGGACTACGGTTTGAATGGTTTAGAAATTACACCGATCATCTTACCAGTCATTCAAGCTATAAGTGTTTCAAGTGTAGTCTCTGTGAGAGTTCTTTTAAACGGGAGAATGCACACAGAAAACACATGAAGATATACCACAAGGAGTATTCAGCACTTGACCATATGTATATTCAGCCTAAATCAAAACCTGACCCTGGGAACTTCCCTTGTGACATGTGTGAGCAGTTGTTTGAATATGAAATAGATTTGCTTCGACATAAGCGGACACATACAGGTCCATTCCAGTGTGAAAAATGTGACAAGCAATTTGTGAAAAAAGACAAGTATAATCGGCATGTTTTGGCACATACCAAACCATATCAGTGTGAATTTTGTGGAAAGGGATTTGGACGCAAAGATCATTTACAAAAGCATAATCGTATTCATACTGGCGAGAAGCCACATATTTGTGACATCTGTGGATTAAACTTTATGTTCCCAGCAAGTTTAATATCTCATAAGCGCTCCAAACACCAAACTGATCAACCCTTTATGTGTCACACATGTGGGAAACAATTCAAGGCTCCATATGCTCTTAAGGAGCATCAACGTCTCCATAGCAACCTCAAGCCATTCAAATGCCCACATTGCGATAAATCATTTGCGCAAAGGAAGTACCACTATCGACATGTCAACACACACCTTAAACCATTCAAATGTTCAGTGTGTACTAAGGGATTCAGTCGTTTCTCACATCTGAAGAAACACACAGGGAGTCATCATAAGTCAGTTGAGGGGGGTAACCAGAGTGCCGTACTCTCTAAGGCTAAGCGGAAAGCCAGAGAGGTTAGAACTGGTAAAGGTAGCATACAGTTTCAACAACAAGGTAGCTTGCAGCAACAACAAATACAACAAAGCTTCCCACCTAATGAAGACTTGTTGAAATCTGCACAAGGTATGCCCCCTGAAATCTTGATGCATTCACACCCAATGCTCCAATCTCAAATTCTACCAGATCAACATAATTCAACATACCAACTTTTGGTACCAGCAAATAATCACCATACCCAGGATCTTAATGCTGATAGAAGTAACACCAGGGAGAGACTTGGAGTTGAGGATAGGGGGATGCGTATGGTAGATACAAGGTCACATATGGGAGATTCAAGGCCACATATGGGAGATTCTAGGCCACATATGGGAGATGCAAGGTCACACATGGGAGATACAAGGCCACATTTAGGAGATTCAAGAACTCATATTGGAGAAACAAGTTCACATTTGGGAGAGACAAGGGCATATATTGGAGATCCTAGAACGCATTTGGGAGACACAAGGTCCAATACCGGAGAGAAATCTCTAGACTTTAATCCTAACAGTAATCAGATGTATACATTACCTATGGATCCAGATCAACAAGCGTACAATAGCATACTAAATCTAACTCCTGGTCTCTCACATCTCATGCATTATAAACCATAGAAAATGATATGCATAATAAATTATTGTTAAAATATTCCTGATTATGTGCAATAAAAATGTGTCATTTAGTGTTTTTGTATTTTATGCTTTGCCATGCTAATTTTTGTAGAATACAACTGTTACTGTATTGATTTTATAATTTTGGTAATGTTAAGCATATTGTCTTGTTTATATTTAAATAATGTACTTATGATGGTGCTGTGATTTGTGGAAATTTGGAATTTTTTAATGAAATGTAAATGTACATGTATTAGAGAAAATAAATGCTTATGTTCTATATACTACATACAATATTTCTTTAATAATTATTTTATTTTTTGTCACCCAGTAGAGAAGTGTTACTTTGCTAGTGTAGAATGGATTGCTTAAAAATGGTCCCACTTTATTTAATATTTTGCTTCGATTATGTATTATCAGGATTTCTATTTTTTATTGTCGTGGTCTCCCAACTTTTTTGAGGACAATGTTGAGTGGTTGGTGTTCAGGATTCAGTGGTTGGTGTTTGACAGTCGGTATCTAACAAATGGCAGGTGGTGATATTTTACATGTTAATGCCTTGTAACCATAGATATCCATTGAAGGTCATTCTCTGAAGTCATTGTGTAGTATAGTACCATTTTATTTCACACTATGAATTGTGAAGTTCCAACTCTTGCGTCATTCGGAAACAACCATATTTTAATACATGTATATGGAGATGAGATCTGGTGTCTTATAATTGGATATCGCAATTTTCAGCCTGTAAAAATCCTAATTCCATAATTATTTTTGTGGCCACCCTGTAGAGGATTCTAACTTTGATCTCTATGCTTGCAGGAGAGAATCCGTACATGGTGGCCACAGAAAATGGAAACATGCTCTACAAATGTGTAGGCTTTGATGGTTGTAGCATGACCTTCAAAAGTGGGCATCAGTTAGAGCAACACAATAAGGCCACTCATGGTCTGAAAAAATCATTCAAGTGTGAACAGTGCTCAAAGGTCCTGAAGGATGTCAGAGAATTTGCCAAACATTTGTATATGCACCAAGCAGAAAAAGTTTACAAATGCCAAGTTTGTGCCAAAGTTTTTGCAATGCCAAATCTCAGAAATGACCATATGAGGAAACATACAGCAAAGCCAGAGATCTGTGAACAATGTGGCAATTTTTTTAAAAATCTCAAACAACTTCGCGCCCATATTAAAGACCAGCATCACGACCCTGTTTTATTTTGTAATGACTGTGGAAAGGGGTTTAGCACAAAGCAACGTTTGAACAAACACAAAGGAGTACATACTAAGCCATACCAGTGCAATGAATGCGGAAAACGGTTTGCACGAACTGACCATCTCCGTTCACATGAATGGATACACACAGGAGAGAAGCCGTACAAATGTTCAACTTGCCCCGAGGCCTACAGGGAATTGCGCTCATTGAGAGAGCATGCGGCAAAAACACACAATATCTTTATACCAAAGAAAGATAATAGTGTATATGACCCAGAAATCAAAGGAGTGAATTCACCTTATTGGAGTAAAATTTTCAAATCATAATCAGATTTAAATTTCTGCCTTATAATTTTGCTTAGAATGTCCATACAAGGTTTGTTCCAAGTCCTATGATGGTGTAAGTTATAGGTTGTTTTTATTTTTTAATTTTACGTGGTGTTTTTAGGATCTGAGTTAGAGCCACAATATGCATTTTAATTGAAAATAATTTAATTAGAATAATAATATTCCAATATACTATTATAAGGTAGATTTAACCTAATTTGTGAGTTCTGTTGGAATAAAGGAATTAAATTAATTCTAAAATGGGATAACATTACTAAAGATATCAAACTATTTAGGATATATATGGCTAGTACCTATGAGAAGAAATTACTATAAATTGACAGGTTGACATATGGGGCTCATATATATGATGTCATTTGATAGTTACAGTATTTCAAAACTTCTTATTCATTTAATCAGGGAAGTTGATGGCTTATATAGCATACATGTATATGGTTGTCAGTTGTCAATTTAGTTACATGTTCCATATGGTATAATATTTCATTATACTTGTATATTCTCATTCAAACCATTTGGCTAGTGGGGGTGAACTGTATTGACCACCTGTTTATTTCGAAAATGCAGCTCAAGATTCAATATTTATTGTCTAACTTCTTGCATAAAAAATACCATTAAAATATTTTTAAATGAATTAATGAAATATTTTGGGATCACTGATGGGCCTCCTTTACATCATTTTGAAGTATAAGTAAAGCAAAAATGGATACTTTGGTAATGATTTTGTGTGCATGGTTGTCTTTATTTCAATTAAATATTACATCACTCTTCTATAGCATGCAGAGATGAGATGAAGTAACGAAAATCTTTAATGGTATTTTCTATATGTATTTCCAGGGCTGAACCCCTACTTTACATTCACCTCCTCTGGGCTTAAACTTTACAAATGCGACAAGGAGGAATGTGCATCACTCAGCTTTTATACTTCTGCAATGTTATATAAGCACGCTAGAATAGCACATGGGCTTGTTAAGGCGCTTCGTTGCCCCCAATGTGGAAAATATTGCAAATACTTCTCAGAATTTGAACGACATTTATTTTTTCATACTGAATCCACAAGCTGTGAGTGTAGGATTTGTGGTCTTAAGTTATCGATACCTGGAAGTTTGAGACGTCATGAAAAACTGCATTTACAATCTGATAAACCTCATTGTGATCAGTGCGGGAAATCATTTGGAGATCTCCGTGGACTTTCTGATCATGTAAATGTTGTACATTTGAAACTAGTCAAATTCACTTGTGTAGTTTGTAACAGAGGATTCGCAACTAAGAAATTTTACAGACGGCACTTAGAGAGCCATACAAAACCATATCAATGTGACCAATGTGGTCGAAAGTTTACCCGATCTGAGCATCTCAAGTCCCATGAGGGGGTACATAATGGCGAATACCCATACAAATGTAAATTATGTGACGCTGGATTTAGAGAAAATAGGGCTCTTAGAAAACATCTAGATAAAGAACATGGTGTTGAACTGCCAAAATTTGCATCAGGCAAAGTCAAGTGATAATGAACTTACTCCATAACCATTGACCAACTATACTGTACATGTTCATGGATTTAACTCTTCATTAAGTGGCTCTACTGTATTTAACTGTCAACCTAAATTACTCTAAACTACTTCATGATGCTAATGTCACCACCACAAGTGGGGACAGATTGTTATTGTATTGTATTTTGTTTACCACCAATGAAGGTGAGCAATACCTCTTGGGTATGTCCCGTATATATACGGTCGTAATTTACGTAATTAACATGGAAGATAGACCCAGAAACCCCTCCTTGAAGGAGCCCTGTGTTCTTTTATGTGCACTTATACATAGACATATAAGTACACACCACAGCTTTTTTGTACGAGTTGCGGACCACTCAGTCAAACACCCTGAAGTACTTCACGCAAACAAGCAAATTTAGTCTTGCCTGAACCGGGGATCGAATCCGGGACCTATTGCGTAAGAGGTACCTGCGCTACCGCTGAGCTACACGGGTGGACTCCAACTTTTTTGTGACAGCAGTTGGTAGTTGGCATTAGGAGATCATTGTCTGTAACAAATTGCAGGTGGTATACATTTTGCATGTTAATGCATTGCATATATGCAGTAGAGCTATTGAAGCGTTCTGCGGCGTTTTAAGATACGAAATTCCGACTAATATTATCAGTATATATAATTTAATATTTTTAAAGTGTGGGGCAATTCAATATAAAAGGAAGAACCTTTCTCTAAATTTTGAGAGTATGCCATGGCGTTTTATGTGTATATGACGCTACGCCATTGCCTTGTTCAAATTTATGAGGATTTAAGGGTCAATGTTAAGTGCCAACCTATAATATTCTAGTCTTGTACATCTACTTGTAGTTCAGTAGTTTGTGTGTTGTATTGTAAGATGTTGTTGTATTGTTTGATGTTGGATTACTGAAATAAAATATGGACTGTTTAAATTAAAAGTGAGAATTGTATTCAAGTGCAATTAAAGACCCATACAACCTTTATTTAATATTTGATATGGTATAGATGCTCTTGATATATGCAAAAATGCATTCTCCACTAAACTCTTCAGATGAGATGTGACTTTATTACTTTTTTATATGATGGAAAACTTCTGTTCTACTTCAAGTTCTATACTTCCAAATAGGCAGTAAAAATCCAGTAATAAAACTAAATACTCTCATTTTGCCCAAAGAAATCAATTAGGTTTGAACTAGAAGAGGACATATATTATATATTAGGAGAATATCTCAAGGCATGTTATTTCAGTGTGTAAGTGGACGTGTCAGTATGCAAGTGGACATGATTTCAGTTATATGCAAGTGACCATGATGTCAGTATGCAAGTGGACATGATGTCAGTTATATGCAAGTGGCAATGATGTCAGTATGCAAGTGGACATGATGTCAGAATGCAAGTGGACAGGATGTCAGTATGCAACTGGACATGATTTCAGTATGCAAGTGGACATGATGTCAGAATGCAAGTGGACATGTCAGAATGCAAGTGGACATGATGTCAGTATGCAAGTGGACATGATGTCAGTATGAAAGTGGACATGATTTCAGTATGCAAGTGGACATGATGTCAGAATACAAGTGGACATGATGTCAGTACTATGCAAGTGGTCATGATGTGAGTATGGAAGTAGACATGGTGTCAGTATGCAAGTGGACAAGATGTCTGTATGCAAATGCAAATGACATGTCTTATGTGTCTTTTGCTTTTTTCACTAAAACATCCATTGCACCCTGACATCCAAAGATTAGTAGTAAAATTCTAATTCTAAGGATCTCAAATTATGTAACAGTTTTACTTTTAGACATTCTGTTCAATAGACTTCTGGTCTGATTTTGACTCACTCCTTGAATCTCTTTTGATACATACTGCCAAGCAGGAATTGTAACTGTTTTTTTATACTGTCATAGTTCAGTGCAAGCTTGTATGTACATTTGTATGTGGCCCATGGGTCAGAGTAAATTAGCTTGGAACTGGGAGGCCACTTTGCAAAGTTATTGTAGATCATTCTTTTCAACTCTATTTCAGTTACTTCCACAAATTCTTGTTTGAGAAGTAGGATCCAGATTAGTGATTGTATTAGGTCTAGGTAACAACCCGACCTCTTACTGCATTTAGGGGATCTCAATATAAACACAATTAATTTTGATTTGACATAACCCCTGTCCCCCTACCATTCAAAGTGAAATCTTCACTATCAATTTATTGCTACAGCCTGGATGCGCCCTTATGCAATCATAAAATAAAATTGGATTTTACTACCACTCTACCCCTTCAAAGAAGTGTCATTTTGTTATACAAGTATTTATAAATGTCTTGTTTTAAGTTGATGTTTTGAATAGTACATAAATACAACTGTAACCTTTTCATTACTTTTTCAGGCATGAATCCTTACATGGTTCACACTGACACAGGGGATCAATACTACAAATGTAACCATGTAGGATGTGAGGAGGAAATTTTCATAGTCCCCAAAGATTTAAATACACATTTCCTTGAAGTGCATGGACTGGAGAAGGGACTGTTGTGCATCCTTTGTGATAAAAGTTTTCGTAATTTCAGGGATTTTGGTATCCATATTATTAAACACACCGATGAACATCCATTTAAATGTAAACATTGTGAGAAAAGATTCCAGTCGAGCGATCAGTTACGAGATCATCAACGACGCCACACTTCTGTGCCTTTCTATGTTTGCGATTTATGTGGGAAAGGTTACACAAAAAAGCGTGAAATGAACGAGCACAAAATGTGCAAGCATTTCAACCAGAATCCATATGTTTGTGAAATATGTGGAAAAGGGTACCCTGGGAAGATGAAACTGGATCGACATTATCAAGTCCATACTCGTCCATTCCAGTGTAGCACATGTGGTAAGGGTTTCGCCCGAAAAGGAACTCTTGAAATTCATATGACGCAACACATGGACAAAAAGCAATTCAAATGTGGAATATGTTTTCTAGAATTCCGCAACACAACAACAGCAAAGAAACATCTTAATTTAAACCATCAGAAGCAACCTCCATATCGTGACTTTATTATTGGACCAAAACCTCCTATTCTTAAAGTAAAAACAATTGATGAACTTAAACAAAGTGATCAAGATATTGAGACAAGCATAGCATATGATAATAATGAGATAATTACATAGTGTGACATGAGATACTGTGATATTGATGTTGGGATATGTATTATGTAATACAGAGACATATACAGAGTGGGCCAATAAAAATTGGAACATTTTTCTGTTTAATCAATTTTCTTAATTATTGCAGTTTAATGCACAAAAATTCAGATAATGGTAAAATGATTATTTGTGAAAGTGTTAAAGATAAAATTATGTATGTATAATCATTTTTGGCTTGTCAGGGTCATGATCTGTAAACAGTGTGTGTCATGAAAAAATTCTAAATTTTCTCTGCTTGAGACATCACTGCTAAAGTATCTTTCAAACCACACAATATGAACCCTTCAAATGGTCTCAACACGATTTCCGTCAATCAAAACATTCGTTAATATTTCTAGGACAAGCTAGACATGTCTCCCTTGGAGGTTTTGAGGCATATTGTGCCAATTTTGAAAAAAGCTGAGGTGCGTTAAACTATATTATCCAAAGGAGACATGTCTACCTTCTCCTAGACATATTGTCGTATGTTATGATTGATGGAAATTGTGTCGGTGAGACCATTTGAAGGGCACATATTGTGTGGTATGAGAAATACTGTATTTTCAAGAGTGATGTCTCAGGCAGAGGGGAATTTGGACATTTTTCATGATACACGCAGTATACAGATCATGACCATGACAAGCCAAAAAAATTAAGAAAATTGATTAAATAGAAAGTTCCTATTTTTATTGGCCCACCCTGTAGGTTATTTACTGGGAGGGATTGAATATGGGTTTTATACGATATGATATTGACCGAAGGGTAATATGATATTGACCGAGGGAGAACAGCGACCGAGTGTCAATATCATATTGCCCAAGGTCAATATCATATTTTCCGAAATGATTATACGCCCTAATGCAATTTTTTTCACGGGACAATACGATTTTTTCATGTATTTCGCTCCAATACAATTTTTTCCCAAGGGACAATACGATTTTTTCATGTAATACGATTAAATGTGATTTTTTTCCTTCATATTTCCATGGGAAAACAGTCGTATTGCGGAATAAAAGTATTATATTTGAGGCATATTTAGACTTTTATTTCATGGTGTTTTAAAAATGCAAGAATTATGAAAAGGCATCCTTTTCAAACCATTAATGGGAGATTTCAGTGTCTTAAATCATCATTAACTTTCATATTTGATTAAATATCTCAATTCATGTTCCATATTATAAAATTAAGATAGCAAGAAAGCAAAGGTGCGCAATAAGATGCTAACAATATAAGCTTGTCATAGATGCCACTTCAAACAAAACACCATATGTTACAAATTGTCCTGTCATGTTGTTTATCATGGCTTTCCTGTTTTATATATCATGCATATTATAAAGTATTTTTATCTAAACCTTTAATCTTATTGAGATACTGATAATAAAGAGAAAAGGTGGAGGATCTTTGTGTTAATGTTGTATGAATTATAAAAAATATGATTTCTGATCAAATTAAATATTTTATACGACTACATGGCATATTGTTTTTAATATGAACATTTTGGTTTCTTTATGCATATAGTATAATTCAAAGGGAAAAATAATATGTCCAAAAAATATTTAATTGAAAGTAACTCATTCTTATTGGCACCTGTTTTATTAACCAGGGGGCCATTTACAGAAGCTTCGTAGAGTTAAGAATCCGTAAAACCCATTGTTCTCTAACTGTTACGTCATTATATCCTACAACAATTGATTTACGAATTCGTAACTTTACTAAGTTTCTGTTAATGACCCCCCAGCTCGGCAGAAAAATCTGATTTTTGATAAAACAAATCTCAATTTGAAAGAACATCAGGTAATCCAAACAAACATTGCAAAAAAGATAGAGAGGTATCACTTACATAGTTCATTTCCTTTAATGATAGAAAAGCCTATATTGAGATAAATCATTATATCCTGATTGTGTCGGAATGATTCAGTGGTATATGCCATTTTTGCTTCCATTCGAGGTTATGCTCACTGAAGCTAACAAGTGTGGGGGGGGGGCACATTTCAGCATTCTGATATTCAGACCATCTCTGCAATGCACAAGAATTCTAGAAGGAAACTGAGAGAAACTTACGATGACATTTCAATGATGAGGAGAAAAGTTTTGGGCCCTTAAAACCCCAAATTTGTGTCAAATTTTGAAAATTTTATGATGCTACTGTATTTTGAGATAAAGCAAAGTATCTTTTGATTCAATCCTTTTGTCAGTCTAGTTATACGACACTCATGAAATATTGTGAATATAAAAAAAAAAAATACATCTACTTTTAAATTCTGTTTTCTATTTTCATGAGATCAATGGACTTCCATCATCCTGATTTTAGAAATGCATAAAATAGGCATCACACCTTACACCTTATATCATGCATTTTAGCCTTGCCACAAATAAGCAGTTGATTTTACTGTCTTAATATGTGAATGAAATTAATTCAAAATTATGACTGTTATGTAATCATTAACATTAACACCTCTTTTTAAGAGAATACTCTAGCATTTATAATGCATCTATTGTATTGTACTTTTATGCACTTATTAGAAGACAAGCACCAAAGTGTCCTTGAAGTATTGTACTTTTATGCACTTATTAGTTGACAAGCACCAAAGTGTCCTTCAAGTACATGTTACCTTCCCTTATCAGATAAGTTGTTGGAAACAATGTTCATTTTACACCTTCACTGGTGTGATAATGATTGTTTAGCCATTCCTAAACATTTTAACTTGTCATTTATTTAGTCTCTTAGTGATGTCAAAAGTTAATGTCTAACCAGTCTTTCATATAAACACAGGTAGATGGCGACACGATACCTCCCTCTTTGCAGTCTTTAAACACCTGCAATCAAACACACTCATTCAATACATTTATGCTTTATTTATGCCTTGGTCACATATGCTCCGATTTTCACTACGGCGCCCGGCCGATTGAGTATTTTGTTCAAAATTGAATATAATATTGAACAAAACACTCAATCGGCTGGGCGCCGGCCGATGGATCGAAGCATATGTGACCAAGGCAATATGGACATTCATTTGATGGATAAACACTTTGAAATATATAGTATACTGTCAGACTGTATATATTTGCAAGATTTAGTAACCCAAAGCACTCAAATTACAGTAAAACCTGTTTTTCAGAACACTTGGCTAATCGAAAGCTCCCAAACTGAACACTTTTTCGATCCAATTTTTTCCTCTCATTGACTCCCATGTTAAAAAACTTGAAATGTGAACACCTCCCAATTTGAACAGTGAAAAATTACTGTACTCTCATTTTATTTTGATCATTCATATATATCAAACGTCACTTACTGGGCATACCCCACATGGGGTCCTCATCAACCCTGTTGATTGTGTTATTTGTCTCATGGCCCTATACAGCTTTTTCTGCCCAGTTGCGGTGGCCATTATTGTGTGCTCAACTTTACCATCATAAATTAAAGTATTGAGGATAGTCTCTATGTCCTCTACAGATAATTCAACCTGCAAATCAAATATCATGGTTTTATTTTTTAAGATGACATATCTTGGCAAGAATATAAAAAATATATGGGGCCATTAGGCCAGTAAAAATGTTTTGGTTCTCATCACCAGGCTTTCAGACCCGAAACAGATATTTTTGTTTTAACTTATAAGTCAGCACCTTCCCAAAAGTTTATTTAGCTTCATCTGCGCTCTTTGAATAAGAGATAATTCTTCTCCACGTCTATATTATCAACTATTTTAAACCCAATGAAATGATGTCATACCTTGCTAATCCCTAACTCTGAGATATACTTGGTGATGTCAAGTGACGTGGCATATGCCTTATTCATCCTAGCAGCTGGGTCAACATTCATGTCAGCGGCAAGCTCCAGCTGAAAAGACATTCATAAAATTACAGGCATGCAAAATATATAAAGGACGGAAATTAAGCGTGAAGAAAAGATTCTGTATAGAAATCAATCAATCAAGTCACTTCAATCTGAGTGATACTGTGAAACATGTTCAATATGCAGCAATCTTAGTAGTCCATAGTTAGGCTTGGCTCCAAGATGGAAAACAGTTATTAATTGGAACTGGAAACAAGGCATTAACATGGCAAAATGTCACCACCATGTAAGTTGTAAAGTTGCAAATTGTTACAGAAACAGATCTCGGAAAAACAACGCCCACTGAATGCCGACCTGCATCCACAAAAACAAATTGGAGACTATAACGAAACATTGAACGAAAAACCTATGAGGTTATCCTTCTCCACACGGGTGCGGTCTGTCATAAAGTACATAAGGATCAAAACAGTCCAATAATAGGTTCAACATAGAGTTGTATATAATGAACATGTGTTAAAATGACACTGGCATTTTAGCATCTATAGTTACTTCCTCATAAAAAGCTTACCCTTTGCTCAAGGAATTTGAAGCACTGCTGATTAAGGATGTCAACAAATTCTGCCTCAAAGTCCTGGTCACTGTACCATGCTCCCCCTGTAACTGATCTGTCAGGCTCCAAGTTGAACAGCATGTACACTTTCTTTTTGGATGCCTGATGAAAAATCAAATTGTACAATATAAATCACCATCATCACATTCACCATAACCTGTAACGATTAACCTTAAAATTAAACTAGGTATTTTGTAATATCAGTTTTATGGCGCTTCATTTGTCCCCTTGTTGAGATTTCTTGACTGCATACACTTCACAGGGGCAACAATGATCACCCAATCTTACAATATCTCATAATTTCATGTTACATAAACCATATCTATTTTCAAAAATGTCCAACAGTTCTGACTTATTTCAGAATAATCCATTGATTTTTATGTTCACTTACTGCAACTGATTTAACTGCCTTAATAAGTTTCTTGCTCTCCAGGCTCTTCAAGATCTTGTTCACTTGGGTCAGCAATAGGTTAGACTTCCATCTTATGTCTCTGATCCAGATTCCTAATATCAAACAAAATTTCATGATATACAAAAAATGTAGTTTCTCTACATGTTTCACATGTGGTTCCAGTTCACATTGAATCCATATACATCACAATCACACCTGAATGGAAAACATTTATGAATGCCCATGGGCTTTTAAGGCAAGAATGTTCAGATTTTATGTGGCGTAGTGATAAAGCATTATGTTGCATCAATTCTATACTTTCTTCTCTATAATTGGTGCAAACTAAGCTCCTCATCAATCAGAAAAGTGTTAACCCAGGTAAAATATAGCAATTGGCAAAGCCATCCTCATCTTGTAGAATAGAACAATAAATCTAAAGGTTACCCTGAACATTTGAAGACTGAAACTGTTCTCTCTTTAAAATTCTTTGACAAAGTAGTCCTATAAATTACTGCAAAAACCTCCTTTCGTATGGATTTGATTATGATCAAAACTTCTCAAATCAACTCATATTAGATAGCCAAGGATGGTTTGAAAGGTAAATTTTTCTGAAACTTTGGTTTCACTGAAAAAAACAAAGATAGAATTGATGACTTTTAGTCAAAATCTATTTCTAAACTCACTTAAAAAGTGACCAGATCAGATTGACCTTGTTAATTTAACACAGGCCATCAATTTCACTTCCAAATATGGAAGGTTCAAAAATAGATCTGTCAATCAAATCTTGAACAGTTTGAAAAAGAAAGTTATATTTAAATTGATTGGTGATATATTCACGCCCGGTGATCGTGAAAATGGGACGGAGGGGGGGAGCAGGCAATTTCCGCTAGAAAATTCAACAAATCTGGTAAAATTATTTTTTCAAGACAGAGTTTACGATTGAATTGCAAATTGAATAAGCGCACGGTATGATAAAATATGTTAGGTATTCTAGGATTATTTTTCAACCGATACTCTTTTTAGATATAAGATCTATTAAAAAAGGCGCAACGCAACCAACGTGCAAAAGTCAAAGTTTTTGCTATAAATCAAGCAACAATGGACTACACGACCTGTAATAAATACTTGTAAGTGATGTTATCATAACTAAATTAATGTCATTGCTGAATTTATAAAATAAGTTTCCATACGTAAAATAAAAAATAATCGAAAATAATTAAAATGGGACGGAGGGGGGGGAGGGGACGGAGGGGGGGAGTAATAATTCTATAAAGTGAAACAACTTCACACGAATTCTTGTATTTGAAAAATGAACTCATTAACTTAGTAAGAAACTGGATGATATACCCCTGGAGACTTAAAAATGGGTACATTTGGAGTAAAAGGACTTAAAGTCGCGAAACATCTCTAATCATGTCTTATATACATATTGCTCCCCCCCTCCGTCCCCTCCCCCCCTCCGTCCCAAATTCATTATTTTCGATTATTTTTTATTTCACATATGGAAACTTATTTTATAAATTCAGCAATGACATTAATTTAGTTATGATAACATCACTTACAAGTATTTATTACAGGTCGTCCAGACCATTGTTGCTTGATTTATAGCCAAAACGTTGATTTGTGCCTGTTGATGGCCTTGCGCCTTTTTTAATAGATCTCATACCTTAGATGCGTATCGTTTCAGAAAAAATCCCAGAAAACCTAACATATTCTACCATACCGTGCGCCTATCCATTTAGCAATGCAATGGTAAACTTTTTCTTGAAAAAATAAATCTTCCAGATTTGTTGAATTTCCTAGCAGAAATTGCCTGCTCCCCCCCTCCGTCCCATATTCACGATCACCGGGCGTGATATTGATCATGGTTTTGTTTTAAAAACAAATGGAGTTTTAAAACAATAATGAAAATTTAATATATGCATTTAAAAATATTTGTAAATGAATTAACAATATATTGAAATTCATATTATATTTTTCGCAAAATGAAAGAAATTTAAAACTCCTCCGTACACTGAAACAATGTCAGAGTACAACTGGTTAGCTGATTCACTATTTGATTGATGAATTGACTGGAGGCTGCATATTAATAAATAAATTAACAAAATGTTCTTTTCCCAAATGACACAAAATATCAACAAATTAAAATTCCCTGAACATTCTCAGACATATTCTGGTACCTTGGGTTGTATAGGCTCTGGACATTATTTTAATGAATACAATATAGTTCCCTTTTTGTTGACTGGTTATATTTTAAAAGTATCTAGATTCCAGGCAATAACTGGTACTATGGCAACAAATAATTGATCTAACAGTAGTAACATTTTGTAATATAGTTTTATCTCAAGAACATTGATTGATTTGACATTCAAGCGGTAAACACAAACAGGGATTTTCTATTTATGGCTTACTGACATTTCAATAAATTACATGTTCATGTATCTTTTTTAAATCAATACCTTTATTTTTATGCAAAATGTAATAGCATGTGCCTTGTAAGTGTAGCAAGCCATGTAGATCAAGAATAACATACCTTTGTTTCCTGATTCTTCAATTATTTGGTAGACCAGTTTCTCCTGGTTGTCTCCTCCCTTCACTTTGCTGCAAATGGACAGAGAAAATTTTGTACAATGAACACTGTATTACTACAATACATAGAAAACACATTTTGTGAGGTCAAGAATCTGAATAAGACACAAATTTCATTTCACCAAACTAGGGAAATTTCTAGATGGTGTTTGGGTGTATCACCTGTGACTTCTAGAGGTGTTACACATGTATTTTGCGCGTTAGATGAGTTTAGGATATTTGGGATTTGTTTACATTATGACTTATTACATTTGAAAACTAGTAAAATTCACTTGTGTGTAGTTTGTAACAGAGGTTTTGCAATGCAGAAATTTTACAGATGACATATAGACAGCCATACAAAACCACATCTATGTGGCACTTGTGTTTACATATTCTTAAAGGTAGAAATGTACTTTCTGTATGAGATTTACCTGGTAGAGTCAGGGTCTTTTACTTTGTAAACAAGCTGAGATCCACTCTTCATCAGATCTATCTTGCCCTGTAATGTTTAAATAAATCAGAAATGATTATAATGTCAGATAGAAAATGGCTAGTGGATAATTGTCAGCAGTTGATTTCATAAGAATAAATGAAAATGCAGTGAATGAATTTCCATGTTTCAATAGATGAGGGAGTGAAGTCAAAGCATAAATGAAACAAGGCATTAACATGCAAAATGTCATTACTTGTCATTTGTTACAGATGCTGACCACTGAATGCCAAATGCCAACCACCGAACACCATCCACAAAAAAGTTAGAGACTATAATACTTGTGGTGTTGACATAACTAAATTATTAACATGTAGGCCTGCATATTGTACTGATATTGTGATCAAATACTTGTGGTGTTGACATAACTAAATTATTAACATGTAGGCCTGCATATTGTACTGACATTATGAACCAGAACAACGGCAACGCCAAAGCGTAGCGAATCCCATCGAACAGCCATGGATGGCATTTTTACAAACAAAGTATATAGCAAAAATGGCAGGCATTTTTCAAAATGGCCGCCTTCTTCCAAAAGTGTCATTAGACCATTTGCCATACTTATAGTATTCACATACCAAATATGAACAAAATCGCTCCACTACTTTTCGAGTTATAGTAAAATATGTTAAAATGGCGGCCATTTTTCAAATTTTTTTTCAAAATGGTTACCTTCTACTAAAAGTGTCATAGGACATTGTGTCATGCTTTTAGTATTCACATACCAAATATGAACAAAATCGCTCCACTACTTTTCGAGTTATAGTAAAATATGTTAAAATGGCGGCCATTTTGAAAAATGGCCACCTTCTACCAAAAGTGTCATTTGACAGTGTGCCATGCTTATAGTATTCACATGCCAAATATGAACAAAATCGCTCCACTACTTTTCGAGTTATAGCAAAATGGGTTAAAATGGCGGCCATTTTTCAAAATGGCGGCCATTTTTTAAAATGGCCACCTTCTACCAAAAGTGTTTTTAGACAGTGTGCAATGTTTATAGTATTCACATACCAAATATGAACAAAATCGCTCCACTACTTTTCAAGTTACAGCAAAAATCGTAAAATAATGAGTAAAGGCCGCGATTTTTCAAGATGGCTGCCATGTGCTTCTTTAATATCTACATTTCTAGCTTTATTAATGTCCTATATAATTTTTTTACATCTAAAACATATTGCTATTACAGTTTTACATATTGCACCTAAATTACTGTAAATTCGGCACTAAAATGGCGGCCATTTTGAAATGAGCGGCCATTTTGAAAATCGGCTTTTGAGCAGAACTTCTACCTCCATAGGGTATATGTGTACAAAATATTAACAAAATCGGGCCAACGGTATTTGAGTTATTGCCCGGACGGAAGGACGGACGTACGTACAGACGGACGGACGGACGTACAGACGGACGGACGGACAGACGGACGGACAGACGGAGGCGTTCCCTATATCCCTCCGAACTTCATTCGATGGGATAACAAATACTTGTGGTGTTGACATAACAAAATTATTAACATATAGTCCTGCATATTGTACTGACATTGTGAGCAAATACTTGTGGTGTTGACATAACTAAACTATTAACATATAGTCCTGCATATTGTATTGACATTATGAGCAAATACTTGTGGTGTTGACATAACTAAATTATTAACATATAGTCCTGCATATTGTACTGACATTATGAGCAAATACTTGTGGTGTTGAGTCCTGCATATTGTACTGACATTGTGAGCAAATACTTGTGGTGTTGACATAACTAAATTATTAACATATAGTCCTGCATATTGTACTGACATTATGAGCAAATACTTGTGGTGTTGACATAACTAAATTATTAACATATAGTCCTGCATATTGTACTGACATTATGAGCAAATACTTGTGGTGTTGAGTCCTGCATATTGTACTGACATTGTGAGCAAATACTTGTGGTGTTGACATAACTAAATTATTAACATATAGTCCTGCATATTGTACTGACATTGTGAGCAAATACTTGTGGTGTTGACATAACTAAATTATTAACATGTAGGCCTGCATATTGTACTGACATTATGAGCAAATACTTGTGGTGTTGACATAACTAAATTATTAACATGTAGGCCTGCATATTGTACTGACATTATGAGCAAATACTTGTGGTGTTGACATAACTAAATTATTAACATGTAGGCCTGCATACTGATCTACTCAGGATTTATTCTGAACAATGTACTAAATCTGATTTTTGGGTCAAATATTTCAGATATTTGGGAGATCACTGCATAAAAATCAGATAATCAAAAATACATGCAAAAACAAGAGCTCTAGGTATTGCATACATCACATTCGCAGCGCAAAAAGGATGTTTGTTAATGCAATTTTGTATTTACATACATCCTTTTGGCGCTGTGCACACAACATATTCTTTAGAGAAATGTGGAAAATGATGTTAGATGCCAGAGATGCCAAAATGTTTGAAAAAATTGCTTTTTCTACATGACACAGTTAAATACTCACATTTTGTAAAAGTTTGTTGACGGCTGTCACTCTTTGTGTTGGAGAAATGTTTGGGATTAGTGTCTGTAACTGTTGGTCTGTTACACCTTTGACACTTCCAAGGCACAACTCAAGTATCCTATAATATAAAAACATTCAATGGAATCCTTATGGAACAAATGTAGTAAATAGTAGCCGAGACAACACAAGTCCCAAGTCTGTATTTTTACTCTCATTTCTTCACTTTTAAGAGTTAAGTCATCATATTTTGCATGCATATTCCTTGAAGAAATCCTAACATAGAATTTTATTGGTTTCGATTATAATTTATTTGTTAAAAATAGAGAAACATTTGATTTGTATTGGTCCATAATCAGAATTATCCATTTTGTGTAACAAATGCAACATTTTGACGTCATTAATAAAAATTGAAGTTATAAATGATAGATACAATATGGTGTCTCTAATCTTATTGACAAAAACTATCATCCTTGATATTTTTTGCCAGTCATCAGATCATGCATTGGAAGAGTACCCCAATGAGAAATGCATTCATTGATTGTAGCAAGCAGTGAATTGGCAAAACAGTGGTGGAGTCACACCATTATTTTGCCGCATTTTGGTGCTTAATTTCCCCTTTAAGATCGTTTGTTACTACTGTGACGTCACAATATAGCATCTGACGTCATAATACGGGTACCAAATTAACGCACACATTACAAGCTTTAAGATGATACCAAATATGTCATCATTCATTTGATTAAAATGGTTACTGGAATAAGCCCAAAGGGTATGCCACTCCCCTACCCCATCCATTTTTCAGGAAATTAAAACACGCAATAATAATGCAGGCATCTTCGGGGGTCCTTTTTGGCCCCGTTTTATTTCAAATATCATGTTTCTGCATACCATTTTTCTCGGATATGTCTCAATTACCCCAAAATAGTTACACTTCTGTGGTCAATTTGGAATTATTACACCAAAAGTAGTGATTTTTTGTATAAAGTTAAAATTATGCATTTGTCGCTGAAAATGGCAAATTTTGATTATAGACCAATCAGAATCAAATGTTTCTCTATTTTCAACAAATAAGTTATAATCAAAACCAATAAAATTCTATGTTAGGATTTCTGCAAGGAATATGCATGCAAAATGTGGTGACTTAACTCTTAAAAGTGAAGAAATTAGAGTAAAAATACAGACTTGTGTTGTCTCGGCTACTATATACAGGGGGTAGTCAACTTTCAGTCAAGGGGGCTGCGATCGCCATAAAAATTTCGGTTTTCAGTCAGGGGTGCGCGCACCCCCATTGCCAAAGAACTCAATTGCTGCGCGATTTCGATCTTTTAACAATGAACAGAATTAAAGCTTCGGTCATATATTACGCCTATATCATAAAATCTCGGTCTTTATTCAGTCAGATTTGATGATGATTTTGAAAAAAACTGAAGTCAGTCTTGAGGTGCCATGGAAGTTAACAGGAAATGACGAAACAGGAAGTGACAAAAAATTTTGCATTTTTAGACATTTTTTGAACAAAGATAACAGAGTTCTGGTTTTACCTCCAGTCAAGTTAACTGTTTCCACATATCATTAACATGACCAGGATCACAATGTACATGGTCAGAATGACCCTAAACATGATGAAATAACCTTTTTAGCCCTTTGAAAGTGTGACTGAAAAAAAGCTAAAAGTAGGAGCTAGGGAAGGTCACTGAACAGAATCTTTTGAATTTTTCAGAAAATGTGCCCAATATAATACTCCAACTGATACAATCTTTGAAATTTTAGAAAATTGTCTTGAACATAAATGGCGGTCATAAAAAGGAAAATAGATCGCTTTTCAAATCATTTTTTTCATTTTTTTTCTTTCTCTATTAATGATATCAAATTTTCAAAGATTGTATCATTTAGAGCAATATATTGGGCCCATTTTCTGAAAAATTCAAAAGATTCTGTTCAGTGACCTTTCCTACCTCCTACTTTTTGCTATTTTTCAGTCACATTTTCATAGGGCTGAAAAGGTTATTTCATCATGTTTAGGGTCATTCTAACCATGAACATTGTGATCCTGGACCTGTAAATGGTATTTGGAACTAGTTGAATTGACTGGACGTCAAAACAGAACTCTGTAATCTTTGTTCAAAAATGTCTAAAATTGCAAAAAAAATTGTCACTTCCTGTTTTGTCATTTCCTGTTAACTTCCATAGCACCTTAACAGTATTTGTTAGGTAATTCGAAGTTGTAAGAATTTGTTACAGGCGCCAACTACCAACCGTCATCTGCCAGTCACCAACCACCAACCACCGATTGCCAACCACCATCAAAAAATGGAAACCATAAAATATGTCACCACTTTTTGGTGGTGACATAAGAACTAAATGAGAGAAAGTAATTTTGAGACCCAAAAAAGTGTTCACATTGAGAGGTGTTTCATTGTACTTACCTTGCCTCCACTTGCTCTACCTCCATAGGTTCATCCTTGATATTTGTTGCCATACTTGATATAAGAGTTATTCAAAATCTTCTCAAACAATTTTTCTCAAATTCAAAAAACTGTTTTGCTTAGGGTTATTTCTGAGGGGGAGAAAACTTATTGATGTTCTCAAACATTACTGTATTTTGTCAAGAGTTGTTTTTTCAATATGAGGACTGTTCTAGAACTGTTGTAGAACTGTAGTATCCATATATCCTCTTTGAGGGTTGTTCAATTACTTGATAAAGATCAAGAGTCTTTAATCATCCGTGGTTATAAGCAGACAATTTCTCGAATGGGTTGATTGCTCTGCAAGTCTTTTTTTATGAAGATCTGCGAGTTCAGGATTCCAGGAGAGTGGCCACATATACATTAAGTCTCGAGACAATAATTATGTATCTCCTCTTAGATCGTTATTTGGTTCCTGAAACATAATGACCATATCAGAAATAGTTTTAGAACCTACTACTTTCAAATTCCTTTCTTTCATTAGTTGCAAACAATACATTGATCATTTACGAGTTTACAACATAGAGACTGGCAATTACGGAGACTACAAATAGCACAGATAAATATAGTCCAACAACATTAGACCTAGCCTGGGCCTCATTTCTTATTTGACATGTCTTATGGCCCTAGTCATATAAATCTGACCCTCGTATGATGTTATTTGTTGTTATTTTTTTCTGATTTGGATATTTATTTTTCTTATTTTCTTGCATACGAGGGACCGTGTATGCAAAGAAAATGATAAAAAATAAATATCCAAATAAGAACAAGGAATATCGAAGAACAGCATACAACGGTCGGATTTATATGACTAGAGTCCATTTCACTGCTTCATTTCGTCAGTAGAACGGCAAAAATAAGAAATTGGGAGACCATTGTGCAATAATATATGGAAAAGTATATTCATAATGTACATGAATGACATTTGTATATCTTGGATTGCTTCTAGTTTGGCTTATAAAGTGTGTGGCCCCTTATATTTGGATGTTTCTCTGCCATGTTATTTTCAATAAGATTAACATGGCTGAAATTCTTCAAATTACAAGACGGCACAGGCTTATTGCACAAAAAACTAAAGGCCTGGGTTACTGATTTAAATGTTAACAACATGGCTGGATTCCTGTGATGTAACCTATCCATCATTTCTCTAATCCCCCCCCTCTTACCTAGACTATATCCTATTTAGTCTGAATTATATTCAGACTGTAAGGCACCTATGTTAAAGTTTGGTAATTCCAAATGTTTGTTGACATAGGAAGTGCTATTCAAAATGGCCGATTGGGTAAAATTAATTTGCACATTTTTACTTCAACTAGCTTTATTTCCACTAGACAATATGCTGTGTTACTTTTTATTGCATTTAATTGTACCTTACTATTTAATTGAAATTTTGTTATGTTTATTTTATTGAAAAAATCTTTCCTCCAATTGATAATTTTGTGCAAAAAATTTCACTGCAATTTCCAAAGGAAAGTAGTACATCATAACAGACTGACTTCTAGTCAGTCTGTTGGATACATACAGTTCGGGACATAAATAAATGACAGGTGGATTTGCTGAAGTGAGAATTTCCCATGTTAAAAATAAGAGAATTTTCAAGAGGCCATACATCAGTGGATGAGATTATACAAAATGTGAAATATACAAATTTTAAGGTGACATTTAAGTTAATCAAAAGTACAAAAACATGGGAGTCATATTTTTTTGATAAAGTCAGAAGATTTTGTATACTGTTTTCCTTGTATGTGAATGCATTTCCTGACTAAAGAGACACATAAAAGAAAACCTCACATTTAAACGCATTTTTCATAACTATGAATTGGAGGTGTATGGCTCCCAAAAGCTAGCATGAAGAGTGCGAAGTGAGGCTATTTTTTGAAAGTTTCAAGGAGTAGCCTTGCAACAGACACACATTTGCAAGAATTCAAAATTTCCAGATATAATCTTACCTTACCAAGGAACAACGAAGGAGCACGAAAATGTGTACTTCTTGCATTGTTAGAGTATAATAAAGCTCAAACCATTGTGAATTCTAAATATTTCATGTCTACCATTTTGTTTCCTGGAACTATTTTTTAGTCCAGAGTTATCTTCATTCATGTTTCCATTGTTTATCATTCATAAAGCCTCTATCATGTATCTATCATGATAATTACACTGTAATAGATAAAACATACAAGTGATAATCCATGCCACTTGGTGTAGTCACAAAACTTGCATGAGGATTAATCAGGAAGTCTAGAAGTAGTTCCGGCAAACAAAATGTGGACATGAAATATTTAGAATTTACAATGGTTTGAGCTTTATTATACTCTAACAATGCAAGAAGTGCACATTTTCATGCTCCTTCGTTGTTCCTGGGAAAGGTAAGATGATTTGTGGAAATTTTAGACTCTTGCAAATGTGTGACTGTTGCAAGGCTACTCCTTGAAACTTTCAAAAATTAGCCTCACTTCGCACTCTTCATGCTAGCTTTGGGGATCCATGCACCTCCAATTCATAGTTTGGAAAAATGCGTTTATGTGTGTGATGTTAACTTTGACATGTTTCATTAGTCAAGATACACAATTCATATACAAGGTAAACAGATTTTAAAAACATGTGTCTTTATCAAAAAAAATATGGCAGTCATTTTTTGTACTTTTTATTTAAGGTGACTGTTAACTTAATCGATTTTCAAAAAAATTGAAAATTTCACAATCTTGAAATTTTCAAACTCTTCCTGAGAAGTCGTTTTTATAATTTCACATATGCTTGTGCACTGTAATCATTACAAAGACATCAAAGAACAACAAAAAACTTTAGTTTGAGAAAAAAAGTGCCGTTTAAAGAATTTGAGAAGATTTTTTTCTAGGAGTAGCCCGTGAAAAACCGCTGAATCAAAATATCTGAACATTTCAGAAAATATACTTCAAACATATATCAAAAACGAAGGAGCAACGGAAATTTGAAAAATTACCCGATAAAAAAATTGGGATCAAAATAAGGAAAAAAGTACACTTCTCAAATTGTTTTTTTCTATTTTTTTTAATTTGTATGAGAGATTTCAAAATTCTAAAGCTCCTTCCATTTTGGGCTATATTAAAGGGATGTTTCAGAGAAATTAGAAAAAAAAATGTTCAGGGACCTTTGCCGTGCTACTCTTTTTGTCAATTTTTTCTGTCACATTTTCAGAGGACTCAAATTCCCATTCCAAAATGTTTACTGTTTCTATTTGCATTACCACAGTGAGCCTGGTTATATAAATGATATGTGGAACTAAAAATTGAGAGAAAATCCAACCAAAAGACAGTAAATTTTGATGGTCAGATTATACTCAAATGCCATGTGCTTCCTGGTTTTGGCCATCTTGGATTTTTTGATTTAGTTATAAGTTACCTTAATATAGCGTCGCCTTAAGGGATATGTATCTAGACAATATTGGAAATTATGGACTTTCAGACGACCATAATTAGGAAATGGTGATCGAAAATCGACCTGTCATTTATTTTTGTCCCCAACTGTACTACCCTCTCACCACATGAATTGAAATTGGAAATCAGAGTGAAGTAAACAAGTCAAACAATGTAGGACACGTTCTAAAATCATGTGTGAAACATATTCTATTGTACAAAAGTCATATTAAAAATCTAAGCATCTAAGAGGGCTTGGTAGAGTAAAGTAATACAAAATCATGATTCAAAATCTCACCTGCATGTTTTGCTCATTTTCTGTAGTTTAACTTTCTGGCGACGTAAAAATACTTGAAAACTCAGACAAACCATATTTAGTTGATACGGAAACATTGCCATTGATAGAAATTCATTCAGTTTATAGCATATGTATAGTTTAACTAAGTCTTATAGCTTTGTGTGTGTTTGAGCTGTTTGTGTAGAATATCAAGAGATTAAATATTGGTGTCAATTTATGGCGGCAGCCACCACGTCAAAACTTGAAAAAAACAAAATGGCGAATGATAAAGTAAGAAATCCTTCTTCTTTTTTGGTCAAATGCTTGTCAAATATCGTTATTAATGCCATTATCTATCGGCAACAAATAACAATATAATATTTTCTTTCAGCTGGAAACTTCTGAAGGTTGTAGAGTTCCAGTAAAATTCAAGAATACTGACGAATATCGTAAGTTTTTTTATTTTCAAAAAATTATTGTGATTTATTTATTTATTTAGAAAAAATGTATATACAATAATAATACATGACTAATACTGACACCAAATGGCATATAAAAGTATAATGTCAAGTATCAAAAAAAAGTATCACTAGCAAATATAAAAAAAAAGATATATATATAGTCTAACTAGTTTACAAGGGTACAGTTGGGGACATAAATAAATGACAGGTGGATTTGCTGAAGTGAGGATTTCCCATGTTAAAAATAAGAGAATTTACAAGAGGCCATACATCAGTGGATGAGATTATACAAAATGTAAAATATACAAATTTTAAGGGATATGTATCTAGACAATATTGGAAATTATGGGCTTTCAGACCACCATAATTAGGAAATGGTGATCGAAAATCGACCTGTCATTTATTTTTGTCCCCAACTGTATATAGGTATATGAGTTTCATATATACAAGTATTTACATGATATAACATAGTACAATGCATACACTAAGCATGTATGTACGTTGTGTTTAAATGATGTGCCATGACTATTGTAATATACAATGCGTGGATAGTAAATAAAATGTTTAATAAGACAGATTTTTTTATAAATAGCTTGACAAGAGGTCAGATTTGTAGGCCTTTTTAAAGGAGATTATAGATTTTGACATTTTTGTGGAATTTTTAAGAGAATTCCATAGTGAAGGCCCATTACGTTTTATGGAAAATTTGTTCGCATGTTCAATATGGAAGTTGTCACATTGGCGGGTATTATAACTATGTGTATCGCAGTTTATTTGGAAATTTGTATCGAGTAGAGGATTTAGTATTTGGTCACCATCTTTTACTTGGTACATGAAAATTGCTGTATTCAGCTTATTTATATCATATATATTCAGAAGATTAAGTTCTTTGAATAATGGAGCTGTATGATCAAGGTATTTTTTTCCTAAAACAATGCGAACAAATCGTTTTTGAATCATGTGAATTTTATTAAGATAAGATTTGTAGTTGTTACCCCAAATAATATTGCAGTAATTGAGTTGAGAGTGAATAAGAGAGTAGTATATACTGAGCAAATCACTTTTTGTTAAAAAATTATGGACTCCATACAAGACCCCAATGCACTGAGAAATCTTTTTTTCTAAGTTTTTGATATGCTCTTTGAAAGTTAAATTGCTATTCCTAAGAAAGATATAGTGATGTCTTGCTTGAGTTTGGTGTCATTTATTTTGAGAAAGTGATTGTTAGAAGTTTTACCTGGTCCAAAGAGAATCCATTTAGTTTTGTCAATGTTTAAAGAAAGTTTATTGGCATTGATCCAGTCACTGAGCTTTGAAAGTTCTTCATTTGCGGTGTTAAATAGAGTGGGTAAATCTTTGCGAGAGGCCAAGAGATTGGTATCATCAGCAAATAGGATGAATTCAAAGAAATCAGAGGATTTGTAGATGTCATTTATGTAAAGAAGAAATAAAATAGGACCAAGCACTGAACCTTGAGGGACACCATGAGATAATGAAGTTTGTTTCGATTTACAGCCATTAGAAATAACAGTCTGAAGATGTTGAAACCATGAAAGGGTAACACCGCGCATTCCGTAGTGTGAGAGTTTATCTAATAATATAGTATGATCAATAGTGTCAAATGCTTTTGAAAAATCTAATGATATCCCTAGTGAAGGAATTTTGCTTTCATTTGCACATCTTATCTTTTCAATAAAAGTTAGAAGTGGCATGTATGTAGACTTTTTCTTCTGGAAACCAAATTGGTTTTTATAGAGTATTTCAAATTTGTTTAGAAAGCTTACAAGGCGAGAGTGTACGCATCTCTCGAGTAATTTTGAAAATACGGATAACACTGAAATGGGCCTGTAATTTGAAAAGAGCTGAGTATCTCCCTTTTTGAAAATTGGTGTGACTTTCCCTACTTTTAATTGATTGGGAAATGTTCCAGTTGATAGTGAGAGATTGAAGATATATAGTAGTGGCCTGACGAGATAAGCACCAACAGATTTTATTATATCAGCCTTGAACCCATCAAGGCCTGGTGCGGCTGTATTTTTTAACGCTGTTATTTCCGTTGATAGCTCGTTTTCTGTTATCGGGCTGAAAAATAAGGATGAAGAGACTTGTTTAATCTTTTTGAGATGCTCTTTAAAGGATGAATTAGATGTGGGGATTTTATCTGCCAATGATTTACCAATATTGGCAAAAATATTATTGAAACCATTGGATATTTTTGAACTATCATTACTGAGGACCCCATTAATAAGCATAGGAACAGTTGATGTTTTGTTGAACTTTGAGCGCCCCAACACTTGATTTATTAGTTGCCATGTTTTTTTCATGATTGGATTTGCCTTGGCCCATAGATCCCGGCCAGATTCTTTTGAAGTAGGATCAGTAGCTCAATAAATATTCATCGAGATGAGAAACCAAAAAAATTTCAAAATTGTTACATGACGATTGTGCAACCATTTCTGAAAAATGTTGAAAGCCCATGATCATACAGTTTGGAACATAAATAAATGACAGGTGGATTTGCTGAAGTGAGGATTTCCCATGTTAAAAATAAGAGAATTTTCAAGAGGCTATACTTCATTAATATTGGATGAGATTTTACAAAATGTAAAATATACAAATTTTAAGCGATATGTATCTAGACAATATTAAAAATTATGGGCTTTCAGACGACCATGATTAGGAAATGGTGATAGAAAATCGACCTGTCATTTATTTTTGTTCCCAACTGGACCTCATTCGAAGCGTCTTGTTATTCTTTAACTTTTTTATCACTAATGAATGTTATTTAAACAATACTGCGTTGATAAGAGTCCAAAACAGTGATATTTTATTGGAGGGCTCTTGTCTGTCCAAATCTGAATGGTGCTCCTGTGATTCCAGAAATGTGACATCAGAATTACAATATTTGGACACACAAGAGCCCAGATCAAGTGAAAAATATTTGCCTGTTAAAAGTCACATTACTGCGTCCATAGGTTATTTACTAGAACCAAACCTGTAGAAATAGAAAGATGAAGATCTCAGCTATAGATTAGTGCAAAATCTGTCATGAGGAATATTAATCTGAGGTATTGCTGGAAGTACCATTACTGTGGCATTCTGGCCTAATGTTGACAATACCGGAATATCTAAAGAATCAATTAAACTTACCAGAAATTGCAAGATTAAGTGTTTAACATTGATAAAAGGTGAAGAAAAGAAATCTTTTCATATCAGAAATATTTACATTTAGTTTTTGTCTGCTTTTTGAAGAGTTAGACTGCTATTTAGGCTAGAAAGGGTTAATTTGCCCTACCCAAAATACGTCTAAATATGCCTATCTAACTATGCCACTGTGACGTCACAAATCTAACCTAACTGAGATAGACACGTCTGACAAACAGCTTTCTTTCCCTATATGGCACGAAGATTGAATAAAGTAGAATTGTAATAGGGCCGATGTCGTCTGATTTGTGAAGGCTTACCGTAAGCAAAATTGATACATTGATTCATTGATGCAGCCTTGTGGCATCCCTTCCATCCCCGCTATTATTCATTGGTTTCAAGATTTCCATAATTCCTATGCATATTTGTTAGGGGTATCACAAAACTGTATTCATGGACGCATGTTGGAAGTTCGACGCTTGGCAGCTGATTGACCAATCAAAAAGCTTAACCCGAATAAACAAAGCTAACTACGGCTTGAAAATTGTCAATGATTTGATCAAGTATTTCTTCCACTGGATTTTTTCTGAGGTGCAATATATTCTGCAATTAAATGTACATTGAATGCAATTAAATGAAACCATGCAATTATATTTTGATTTAAAACTGAATTCGAAATGAAAATGCACGAAGATATGGTCTCTATCTGATTGATTAGGCGGTCGCAATATAAATCAAGATAAGTAAAAGAGACTGACTTGGGCTAGGCTACATTCAACCATTTATCTATATTATAAAACCCTTGAAAGTAATAAATATAACTAAGTCTTCTGCGGAAAGATAACCAGAAATGTGTTGTGGTTCAACAAAAAAAAAACGAAATTTCAGTTTCATTTAGACTTTTTAACTAGCCATTAAAAAAGTAATATCTGTGAACAATGAATCATCAAAATGATCGCGTTACAAATTAGGTGAGGCCTCAAAGTTGGTAAATAGATAGACCAACTCTAGAGCCAAAACATCAGGGTTGTACTCTAATTGTGCTTTTATCAGACATTGCACCTTTAACAATATGAAGCATGTGATTATGTGATATGAATATCAGGAAGACTTGACATAGAAACATGAGGGATCAGGGAATTTTTGTTTTCGATAATTTATTGTAAGCCCCAGTATGGCCCCTTTGAACTGTATTTAGTGTCAAATAAAAGATTTGTCATGTCTGTGTTAAAACTTTGTTGTATGTTTCAGGTTGGGCAGAGATCTTGAGCAAGAAGGAAGGAGATGGTCCTCCAATATACTACATACATTATGAGGACTGTAAGTATTAAGATTGCATCTCATCTCAAAAAGTTCAATTCAAGAAATCCTTTGCTTATACCCATCAACTGTGCATGTTCAAAATCAATAATAAAAAGTCCAGTAAGATTTCTCAGACTAATTAGAGTCAAACTTCTATTTTAGTCAACAAGCGGCTGGATGAATGGGTGGGTGAAGACAGGATGGACCTGAAGAAACTAGAACTTCCTAAAAAGGAGGCCAAGACACCAGTTAAGGATGGTAAAAGTACAATGAATGGTTCACGTCCTGTAACTCCTGAGAGAGACATGGTTGTGAGTAATGAACCTCTGCCTATTGTGTCTACCCCTACACAGGTTTGTTGTTGTACAGTGATGTATAGTATGACACCTTACAACATATCCCATGCAAAGATGGTGGCTTTTACAGGCTATTATAAATGTGACAACATTTGGGAATCAAAGGTAGATTTGGAGATTACAAATGTTCTTGTGCCAATTCTACAATCTAAAAGCCATTATTGCATGTGATATTTTGGAAGGAGCGTGTTTATTTTTTGACTGCATTTAAATTAGAATGTATGTGCACCACAATTTGAAATTTCTCATTTTTTATGAATACCCTTTGTACCGTAATTGGTTGAGCGCTTTGGAAATTCATTATGCAGAGTAATGGAAAAGAATCTAAAATTTATAGAATCCAATATGCAGACACTGGTTTACATGTGCCTGAAATAAGCTTTGAATACATGAATATAATAATTATTTAAACAAAGAAAAATAAATTCAATTCAATTCTTGCTGTTTATCATTTTCATCAAAATTCTCGAGGCTATTGCTTGAAAATTAAGTGATTTGCAATTTACAATTATATTTACAAAATTGCCACCAAAACAAAGTACTCTCTTACTGAAAACAGTGTTCCAGTAAGAAGGTATATTAAAGTAGTTTCTAATGTTTGGAACACTTAACAGGTGAGACTATATTCTTAATTTTCTAACATCTGTTAGAAACTAGTGGTTTTAATGTATGTCATTGTTGACCTCATGTTGTGAAGTTGAGACCCAAAAGTGGAAATTAGAAGCATTAGCTATTACAGTGAAGCATGACTAGAGATATTTTCAACATTTAGTGATGTCAGTCAATTTTACTGTTTAAATGTACTTTAGTGTATAGTGTAAGATGTGATATAAGAGGGGGAGAAACCCCAGGGTTCAAAGATGACATACGCTTATAATGTAAATCTGTATTGAGATGACATCGTCGCTGATTGGTTTAGCGAGTCGATCGTTGATTGGTTTAAAACTAGGTCAATTTGAAAACTTTGAAAACCAAGATGGAGGGTAAGTACTTCCGGGAAAGGAGGTGCGCGAAGGAGGAAATTGTATGTCATCAATTGAATCATGGGGTTTTCCCTCCTTTTATGTGATATTGTAGTTGCATGGTTTATAGTTATGTTATTATGTATTAGATTTGAATGAACACATGTAAAATGATATTCAAAAACCTATGAATATTCACTTATAATCATCTGAGTTACAAGACATTTGATTTATCCTAGTAACAATAGACTAGATGTGAGTGGAAATAATGTTGATTTTCAAACTGTTAAATATTCAATCAAACTGATATCATATTTGAAATCTACATGTGAATTTACAACTACATGTATAACTGTTGTTTTAAATTGTTTCATTAACTTTGAAATTGAAATTTTAATTTTCATTAAAAATGTGATTTCTTATGTTGGTTAAAATCTGCATAGACTCCATGTTATAAAATCATAAAAATCAGTGCATTATATGTTCTTGATCAGATATTATGTTTTATGCAATTCTTTTAACTGTGTGAACATATTTGAAATGGTAGAATTATCAAACCTAAAAAGCTAAGATGAAGAAAATTCATCTGCTTAATCATTTATTTCTTCAAATTTAGAAAAAACTTTTTGAATGCCTGCCATGTTATTAGACCTGAGTTAGCTACTTGGTAGTGAAACACTGGCAGATGGGTATTTGAAAACTGAATTCCATATAGATTAAAATTTACTTAAAATATTCAAAATAAATCTTGATATTTTCTAGAATGGGTCTGCCCTGAAACCCCCTAAATCTGGTGTTGGACGAAAACGCAAGGTGGATGAGGAAATATGTGACCAAGTTGAGGAGATGAAAGCCCCGCGACAGACAGGCTCAATGGTGGTTCACCATGACGATATAGTAACAAGGATGAAGAATGTAGATATGATAGAGTTAGGACGACACCGGATAAAACCCTGGTACTTCTCCCCATACCCCCAGGTAAGTAAATTGCTTTATAAAACTTAACAGTATTAGATACAAATAACTGACTAATGTAGAAGCAGCAATATAATGTTTCTTTGGTAATTTTATTGATATACTCCATTTTGCAGAGACTAAGTGCTGTATTTTGGTCATCACGCCCGGTGATCGTGAATATGGGACGGAGGGGGAGCAGGCAATTTCTGCTAGGAAATTCAACAAATCTGGAAGATTTATTTTTTCAAGAAAAAGTTTACTATTGAATTGCTAAATTGATAGGCGCACGGTATGGTAGAATATGTTAGGTTTTCTGGGATTTTTTCTGAAACGATACGCATCTAAGGTATGAGATCTATTAAAAAAGGCGCAAGGCCATCAACAGGCACAAATCAACGTTTTTGCTATAAATCAAGCAACAATGGTCTGGATGACCTGTAATAAATACTTGTAAGTGATGTTATCATAACTAAATTAATGTCATTGCTGAATTTATAAAATAAGTTTCCATATGTGAAATAAAAAATAATCGAAAATAATGAATTTGGGACTGAGGGGGGGAGGGGACGGAGGGGGGAGCAATATGTATATAAGACATGATTAGAGATGTTTCGCGACTTTAAGTCCTTTTACTCCAAATGTCCCCATTTTTCAGTCTCCAGGGGTATATCATCCAGTTTCTTACTAAGTTAATGAGTTCTTTTTTCAAATACAAGAATTCGTGTGAAGTTGTTTCACTTTATAGAATTATTACTCCCCCCCCTCCGTCCCCTCCCCCCTCCGTCCCATTTTAATTATTTTCGATTATTTTTTATTTTACGTATGGAAACTTATTTTATAAATTCAGCAATGACATTAATTTAGTTATGATAACATCACTTACAAGTATTTATTACAGGTCGTGTAGTCCATTGTTGCTTGATTTATAGCAAAATCTTTGACTTTTGCACGTTGGTTGCGTTGCGCCTTTTTTAATAGATCTTATATCTTAAAATAGTATCGGTTGAAAAATAATCCTAGAATACCTAACATATTTTATCATACCGTGCGCTTATTCAATTTGCAATTCAATCGTAAACTCTGTCTTGAAAAATAATTTTACCAGATTTGTTGAATTTTCTATCGGAAATTGCCTGCTCCCCCCCCTCCGTCCCATTTTCACGATCACCGGGCGTGGTCATGCTTATAAATTAAATTCTGCTATTTTGGTGATTTACTATAATCTCTACACTAAATGCACTAAGTCAGAGCTTTTAATGTAAAAGGCATGTTCATATCATTTTGCAGTAGGATTATTCATTATTTCACCTCTTTTTTGATTTCAGGATTTTTAGTAATTATGATTTTATTACTTCCAGGAATTGACAAGTGAACCAATAGTTTACATTTGTGAGTTCTGTTTAAAATATGTGAAAAGTCACAAATGCTTGGAAAGGCACTTGGTGAGTATATTACAATGAAGTATTCGCCTTGTGTCTCAAAAGTTTGTTTATATTTTCACAAAAAGTTATTAAAAAGATCCCTTTGAAATGGCATATTGTATAGGGAAATTAAAAATTATTAAGAATATTTTATTCATTTATGTTTTACATTATCATACATTATATTGATTTACAGTGAATGATAGGGATTGGATATGAGGCTATTGCATATTCCAACTCTCTCCCTGAGAGAAATGCCATATATTCACCAATAAAATTCAATATCTCTAATCTAATTTACTTACAATTACAATACAGTATTCAATAATAAGATAATTGAAATTAATTGAATTTTGTATGATTGATGTTAATGTATAATTGTAAGTTAATTTTAAAGGAAAATAAATGTTATTAAAAAAAAAAATTGAAATGTATCTCTTTTGCAGTCCAAGTGTGTATTCAGACATCCTCCTGGTAATGAGATATACAGAAAGGGAAACATATCATTCTTTGAAATCGATGGAAGAAAAAATAAAGTAAGAAAACAGGTTTAAATCTGCCAGGGATAGAAAAAGAGAAATATGTACAACAAGAAATAGTTAAAAATAATAAATATTTAGATGGGCTCATATCTGAAGAACATTTCCGAATTTTTATAAAATCACACAGATACTGCCTGGCTTCCAAGATGCAAAAATAATTTGCATGGGTACAAATACACATATCTTGGTATATTTGAAGTCCCAAAACGGCTTAGTTTCAGAAATATCCCAATTTTAAATTCAAAAATGACCGTTAGCTCCGCACCCTCCGCTCATTTGCGCCGCACCCAATATTTCCCACAGGCTCTGTCTGCATAGGGTGGTTATGTTCTTTTTATTTTTCAGAACTATGCCCAGAACTTATGTTTACTTGCTAAACTATTCCTGGACCACAAAACTCTATATTACGATACAGATCCTTTCCTGTTTTACATCATGTGTGAGCTGGACACCATAGGCTACCACATCATAGGATACTTCTCAAAGGTATGTCATACAATTGAGTTATCGGGTAGTGGTGCAAGTCTCAGAGAAAACTAGAGTTGGCACGATTGTGAAAAATCGAGCAAGATGTAGATGAAAAAAATTGTCTTTAGATGTCTTTATTTCTTGAAAAAATGAATGAAGTGACTTGAATAAACACGATTATTTGAGACCCTCAATGTGTCAATAATGAGACTACAACTATTTTCTGCACCACTAGTATTGGGGACTTTGGAACAAGATTTCAAAAAGTCCCTTTAAGATAGATATTTATAATGAAAATCTGATAGGCTACCCCACTACTTCTTTCATAAGATTGGCCTTAGGGTGAGAGCACACAATTATCATTGGTTAATGTATAACTAAGGACCATAAAACTAACTCTTGATTGTATTGTTCATTAATATTAAAGATTTGGAACTCTAGAGGGTTAACAATTTTTTTGAGAAAAAAGATTCTCACACCATGGTTGAAACAAAAACACATCAATGATTGTACACTATATATTGCAAGGCTGACTGTACAATTTGATTTATATTTCAGGAAAAAGAATCATCAGAAGATTACAATGTTGCATGTATTCTCACTCTGCCACCATACCAGAAGAAAGGCTATGGAAAAGTTCTCATACAATTCAGTAAGTATACTCCCGTTAGATTTTTGTTTTTACACAAGGTTAACATGTACCCTGGTCAGCATCAATATCACCTTTTCAGAATAGCAGATGGCAAACTATGCTTTTATAATTTTATTTATATTTTAATGAAAACATTTTCCAGATGCATAGCCATAAAGGGAGCCAGACACTTTCAATCTCCCAATCCACATTTCTCACTGGCTATGTACCATATTTTCCTGTGGACTTTCGGTTTATAATTTTTGCAAAGGACGATTCTCGGTTTGGAGAACGAAGTTCATCAATCTAAATGAGCATTATCCCTGCTTCTGACAAATTTGATTTTTTTACATAATATAGATTTGAATGTCTTCTTTTGAATAGTCATAATTTAATTTGGGTAATATTTCTAGATCTTTCGCAAAACAAATATTAGCGCAGTACACTGATGAACTTCTTTCCCCAAATCGAGACTTGTATTTTATTGAATCAGTCTAATTGAGCGTTATCCCTGCTTCAGACCAATTTGTTATTTTTATATCTTGTAGATTTAAATGTCCTCTTTTGAATATTCATAGTTTAATTTGGGTAATATTTCTATATTTTTCATGAAAAAAATTATTAGCCCGGGAGACTGTTCTCCAAACCGAGAATCGTCCTTCAAGATTATATGCCAAAGAAAGTCTTTTCCATAAAGAAAGATTCTAGTGCTTTGGGCACAATTACGCAATTAGTGTTTATGTACCAGATTAACTGTAGGAGTTTTCTTCAAATTGTAAATTCCCCATATAATATAGGAAATAGTTCTCCAAGTCTTGAGGTCTCTTAAAACACATTAGCTTGATGTGATCAAAATCTTTAAGACAGCAGACCATGGGAAAGTGGATTTTGATGAAATTCTAAAATCATTGCTCACTTTTCTTGATTTAAATAGCTAACGATATGTCATCAATTTATCCTGCTAAGTGATGCTATTTTTCACTTGTGACTATAGAAGCCTAAATACCTGCTGCTATATTTTTCATGTTTATTAAAAAATGCACAGCTCTACTCTTTATTTTCCATCTGTATTCTGTATCAACAGTGAACCCAATATTCACATGTTTCAACCTTTTCTAATTCCAGGCTATGAACTTTCAAAGTTTGAAGGTAAAACAGGGTCACCCGAAAAGCCACTGTCAGATCTTGGTCTGCTATCTTATAGAAGCTACTGGTCACAGACAATCCTTGATATTCTCATTTCACTGAAGCCCACTGTGTCGGGAGAGCAGCCATGCATGACTATCAAGTAAGACTGACTCTTCATTTATTTAAAAGATAGCTATGCCCAAGTACTTTTTTATAGAATACATTTAACTTTGTGTTTTCTTGAGAACACGTTCGACATAAAAGTTGCATGTGCGCTCATTAGAGAGAATAAGGTACTTAAAATATCATAAATCTTACATATTTCCTGACATGATACTGATGCCATGTATTTTGGAAAAAATGACATTTCAAAATAAAATTTCAAATTCTCTTCCAGTGAAATATCTGAAATGACAAGCATAAAGAAAGAAGACGTTATCTCCACATTACAACATCTCAACCTCATCAATTACTACAAAGGACAATATATAATACAGCTAACCAGGGATGCATTGGACTCACATTCTAAAGCTATGGCTAAGAAAAAAATCAAAATAGACCCCAAGTGTTTGCATTGGCAACCTAAAGACTGGAGTAAGAGGGGGAAATGGTAGTTATGGAGCTATTTTAAAAGGAAAATCTTGCACAGTTAGTGATTGTATCAAACTTTCAAACAAAGATAAAAGGGAAAGGTTGGATGTTAGATGGTCATCGGAGATCTCAGTTGAGGCCTACCCCAACCTGGTCATTACATTAAATTCTTTGTAATTATTTTGGAAATAATAGTTACAGTCCATTTCAGTTTGGCTCTATGTTGTTAAAATTGAAAAATTAAGCATCAAAAAAGACCACTGTGCAATATCATATGGAAAAATATATTTGTATTTTACATGCAAAACATTGTATATATTTTTGAATTAGTTTTATGTGCAAAAAACGTTGCTACTTGTAGTTTAGGAAATTTCAGCCATGTTATTTCTTGAAAATTATATGTCAGAGAAGCATCAAAATGCTAGAGGCCACACATTTTATTAGCCAAACCACAACCAATCCAAGATATACAAATGTATTGTGTGTAGAATATTAAAGTATTTTTCAAGATGATACTGCACTATGTTCTTTTGATTGTGGTATAACTCAATCGAAATAGACTATAGGCAAATGTTGCGTTGCTTTGTAGAGATAAAACATTCACAATCATGTTCAAGCGATTTTCACACCATTTCAAATATATTTCTAACTGCTAGACATATTAAACTGTGTACTAAAAGTAATGTTATATAACTTTTAAGTGAATAAATGAATATCAAATGTAAATGTTTTATTTTAATTATTAGCCTTACTCGATTTCCAATGGTGTTCTGCTTTGCTCTTTGGTTACGACTAGCAGGACCAGTACATAACTGCATTTTCTTCTAAAAGGTCATGGGGTTTTAAATAAAAGTGCATGTCATACGGTCTATTTCTGCAGAATTCCCTCATAATAATGCCCAAATGTCTTATTAAGAGTAATTGCAATAATAGGTCATGTACCTATATTGTCTTATAAAAATCTGGTACATGCCTTGAGTTAACATCCAGTCTGGCCCCTCTTTGTTTGCCCTGTTCCTCACAGTACCTTTAGTGCAGTTGTATCAAGTGTCCTCTTGAGGAAATCATTCAGAGTAACTAGTATACATAAAGGGCAGGATGATTTAACAACGCACCAGTGGATTAAATCATTCACAATTCATTGAGTCCTGCGCTCAAATGCGCCATTTGACATTCAGACATACAGGAAAAGTGAGACATTTGACCTGCATAAGCACCTGGCTTGTTATGTCAACACCACAAGTGGTGACATATTCTGGTGTTTGGTATCTGTGACAAATGGCAGGTGGTGACATTTTGCATGTAAATCACTTGTTATACCCTATGACACTATAGATTGTCACTCAACAATTAAATTGATTATTTGAAATCCTGTGTTTGATTGCCTGGAATTTGACACACCTTGCCTTGCCCAGCTAGTACCCGAGTACTTTTGAATGTAATGGCTGTAGTACATACAGCAAGTATATACAAGCCCTGGTATACAATATGTACATAACAAGTGAATAATTTGTAAAAGCTGGCATATCTGACCATGACCGATGTATGTGCCATTAACCGCATCTATCCAAGGGCGTTACAATACCCGGGAATTTATCGGTTCGTCCAGTACTTGTTTGTGATAGCGCCCTCTGTAGGTCACTGTGCTTATAGCCTACAGTAATCTAATTATATTGGATAATCACATTTATGCGTGCGCGCGCAGCTCATCCAATGAACGAAACGCCACTCCAGTACTTGTTTGTGATAGCGCCCTCTGTAGGTCACTGTGCTTATAGCCTACAGTAATCTAATTATATTGGATAATCACATTTATGCGTGCGCGCGCAGCTCATCCAATGAACGAAACGCCACTTCCCGCTGAAATCACCGGGTATTGATCTTTCCCTTGATCTATCTATCCTCACCACCCACCACCCCCAAAATGAACTCGTCCAGCTTACATGTCTTATTCAGCCCGAGACTACAATTTGCAGACGATGGAAACCACGATTTGAATTTGGAGAAGTAGTTTGTGATTTGTGATCAACTGGAAGTCTGGAATGGCTTCTGATTTTGTCGCTGGATGTATTGGTGGTAAGTCTAAACTGTTAACTAAATAACCGAACGGTTTTAAGATGATATTTAAATCAATTTGTGGACTAGGACTGATGTTCATTTTAAAAAAAATTCAAGTTTTGATTTTTGGCAAATCCCTTGAATTGGAAAGTGCTCAAAGAATTTTTCCAACGCGTCACAGGTTGGCCAGATTGTTTTGTAGTAGGATCATAGGCTCAAAGAATATTTATTGAGCTACTGATTCTACGACAAAATAATCTTGCCGGGATCTATGCAACGCGTCTGCTAAGCTTAGTCTGTTGAATTTCAAGTTCTTGCATTTTATTCAAATTTCACAGGCCCAGGAAGAAGATCTAAATACCAGTCACTTATGTAAAAAATACAGTCTTTTTTCTAAGTAAGTGAGTGGGAGGGGGATGAACTATAGAATAGACTATTGTTCCCGTGTCTGTGTAAAATTCAGTTTCATTTTTGAAGTTTTGAATTTGCAAAACTCTAAGCTTACTGAAGTTACTCTTAGAAGAGATATCCTTGGATCCTATCAATGTCAAGATAAACCTCCAGAGGTTCTTTCTTTATGTGGATGGTTCATCTTTTAATGAATTCTTCAGGTAATAGATCCACCTCAGGATTCAGAGGTTCATCTTTTCATGATGAAGATTGGTTCATAAACAGAGGGTGAGCCAAAAAAGATAACCCAAAACATATGTTAGGCTAATACATAATAGTCTAACGTATAGCATGTTAGTCATGCAGCATAGCCCCCCCCCCTATTGATTTCCAGGACCACCCCTGTAATATAATGACTATGTTAATCAATCAATCTTTGTTATTTGCAGGTTGTGCAGGGGTATTGGCCGGCCATCCTTTTGACACTGTAAAGGTAAGATTTTATTAGTAAGCAATGCATATAGACTATTACTGTACTGTAGGCACACCCCCAAAAAACTGGGGATATTTTTCAAATCACCCCCCCCCCCCAACAACTTGTGTATTGAATATCTTGTAGTTTTAAAACGTTGTCAGTAATTGACATGAAGGGGGCCATGAACCTAACTTTCGTCTAAATAGCCACTAATCTAGCTTATTTCCAACCCAAGATTTCAATACACAAGCAGTTGTGGGGGGTGATTTGAAAAATATGTATGTAGGTGTGACCAGGATTTGATATGGAATGGACATGTGAAGGTGTTTTATATAAGTAATTATGATGTCAATTTTCACTTCAGCTTGATTTTTAAAATAATTCTCCTGTTGATTTCAGAAAATAATTATGATGTTCTTGCAGGTTCGTTTGCAATGTCAAAGTGGTTCACTACGGTATGCAGGAACAATCCATTGCATTCACTCTATCATCAAACAAGAATCTGTAAGTAATCCTGTTTATTACATATGACAGCCATTTCAGTTGTATTACTCATTGGTTGCAAAAGCCCCACAAAAGCAAGCAGAAACATGGCTGTATTTGTGATAAACAGTTGGCAGAATTAGCTTAAAGGTAGTCAGATTGGTCGCCTTTGGATGAAAGGGCTGTGTGCTGCAATGATTAAAGGGACAATGTGCGTAAATGAAGTCTCACTTTTGATCTTCATAGTATTTCCAATGGATTGATAAGTACCCGATCTTTCATTTGACACCAAAAAAAGCTCAAACAGACCACATCAGAGTTGACACTTGATCATGACAAAATATTTTTGATCTATCAATTTATACTGTATGTCAAGTTTTTAGCAATGCCATAGAAAGATGGCATTGTTGTTTGCATTAATTATCAATTCATTTTTGACAGGATTTTCAAGCATACGCCATCTTTTAATCCAAGAGTTATTTAAAACATACACTATTTGTGAAAAGTGGTAATTCACTTTTTTCAATCTCTGAACTTCGAATGCTGTTTTCTATGCAAGTAATTTTTTTTCACTTCAGTATTATCCCAAATTAAAGTTTTTATCATAATTGATTGACTGTGTGAGTGACATGTCTCAAACAATATTTTGTCCTTTTTCATTCAAAAATAGGCGTATTGCCTGTTTAATAACTTATGATGAAAATATTTTGGAAGTAGCCAACTTAATTTGACTGGAAATTTGTAATCATGTTATTAATATTATGTCACGACCAAAAAGTGGTGACATATTGTTATGGTCTCTGTTTTTTGTGACTGCGTTGGTGGTTGGCGATCGGCAGTTAGCGATCGCATCTGTAACAAATTCTTAAAACTTCCAATAACTTAACAAAAACTAGACTGACTTCAGTTTTTTTTAAATCATCACAAGTTTTCATCAAGTTCAAGTTCATACAAGTTCAAATCTGACTTTGCATTTAAGATTTGACCTTCAGTGACCTTTCAAGTCAAAAATGTATTTTTTCAAATTGCTTCAAATTGACCAATTTTTTTTCAAAATCATCTACAAGCTATCAGAAGTTCAAATCTGACTTTAGATTTGAAATTTGACCTTCATTGACCTTCTCAAGGTAAAAAAAAGGTCTTTTTTTAGAATAGATTTTCAAATCTGCCTTTAGATTTGACCTTCAATGACATTCTCAAGGTCAAAAAAATATTTGACCTTCAATGACCTTCTCAAGGTCAAAAGGTCTTTTTTCAACTTGCTTCAAATTGACCAACATTTTTCAAAATCATCTACAAGTTCTCAGAAGTTCAAATCTGACTTAACATTGAACTAATAATATTATGAGCAACTTCAATAGTGATGCCTAATCCAAAATGAAGAATTTCAACATATCAGTTACCACCGACCATTAGTAATTTGTTTATGAGGGATATATTTGTTGTTTGTTATGTTTTCAGGCCAAGGGTATGATGCGAGGTATCACTTGTCCACTGATTGGACTTAGCTTCATCAATACCATTGTCTTCGGTGTCCAAGGCAACATGCAACGTCGCATGAAGCAACCTGACTCTCTCAAATCTCATTGGATATCTGGCTGTTCTGCTGGTCTTGTACAAACTGTCATCTCAAGTCCAATGGAGTTGGTAAAAACTAGGATGCAAATTCAAGGATCTGGTAAACAATTTAGTGATAAATCTAGCCGATTTTACAAATCCTCAATTCATTGCATTGAACACATATACAAAAATGAAGGTTTGAAAGGATTGCGGCGAGGATTTCTTATGACAGCTTTAAGAGATTGCCCAGGATTTGGAATTTACTTTGTTTCATATGAATTCTTCTGTGGTTTATTTGCATCAAAGGAGGCAGGGGGTTCCCAGGGAGAAATGGGGCTTCCTGGATTCCTATTGGCTGGAGGATTAGCAGGAGTTGTGTCCTTTATTCCAATGTATCCAACAGATGTGATAAAATCCCGCTTACAGGCTGATGGGATGACACAAACCCTTTATAAAGGTCCTATAGACTGTGCCAAGAAATCTTACAAAGCTGGTGGTTTAAAAGTTTTCTATAAGGGGCTTACACCAACCCTTGTTAGAGCATTCCCTGTGAATGCAGTTACTTTTGCAGTTGTTTCAATTGTGAAACAATATCTGGACTCCGGGAAAAAAGAGCAAAAGGACAGAGAAGTCAGGCATTGGTTCATACATGAGACTTTGCCAGAAGTTATGGAAGGTGTTATGCATATATGAATACTGCAACAATCCTGTTAAAACAGAATGCCAATGAGAGTTAATTTAATGTTTCTCCTTCATCTGTTCTTGATTGGCAGTGATTAAAATGCTTGAGATGTAAATATTTGTTAAATAACTACCTCAAATGACATTCATGTAAAACATGCATGTGGATTGATCACATTTATATACTATTCTAGTATATTTATAGCACAATGTACAGGATATTTGTGTTTTCTTGAGACCACTATACATGATGTAATATAGTCCATATAGACCATATGTCCCAAGGTTAGAGATGTAATATATTTGCCTTGAGGAATATCTCAATATCTCAAAAACGACTAGAATAATTTCTCCTCAAAATCACATTTATTGAGTGGTGTACAGATATATTTATTCAGTATGCTGGGATTGATGTAAAGTTATAATACAGGGTGGTCCAAAAAGATAAACATTTTTGTTAAAGTCGCATTCTCTTTTGAAAGGAAAACTTAAAAATTTCTTTCATAGACCTGTTAGTTTTGTATGGTGTAAGTTTTCTCATATACCACTGTATTAAAAGCACAGCTCAATAGTTTATATTATAAACTTTATAATGTACTTGCTCCACGCTTCTCAAGGCACTGAATCACTGGCTACTTTTACATTGAAAGTAATGACCCTTAACAAACAGAAAATGCACTTTTGGGCTCAGGTTCAGCCCCATGAGCATCATCATTGTCCACTTAGTGTAGAGAAAGTGACTGTGTGGGCACTTACTAAGTACTGCAAGACTAACGCCTGGCGTAACCTTCACCATGTTATTCAGTGTTTTTAAGTCGCGCAAGGATCCTGCCATGACCGTGGCAGTGTTATTGTGTAAGCCTGGTATAACCGTGACAACGCTGTTTACGCGAGGCGTTAGGAGCTTAAATCGAACACATTATAACTTATTGAGCTGTGCTTATAAAATGGTGGTTATGAAGAAAAATAATTACACCACACAAATGTCTGTATGACAGGTCTTTATGAAAAAAATTGCAAAGTTTTCCTTTCAATAGAAAAGAGAATACTTTATCAAAAATGTATACCAGCACATTTTTTGGACCACCCAGCCTGTATATACCTTGCCCATTTGTAAAATTATTAAATCAAACATTACAATGTTTAACTCATTCAATTCACTTGTCTCAATTTTTGTTATTAAATTGTCTATGGGCTAATGCTTGTCAGTAAAGTATAACCATATTATATATATGTATATGAGGGCCATATGACATGTATGAAGCGCCCAGGCACTAGAAATAGAAATTAATTGTCTTGAATTGTTTCGATGCATGAAACATGCTTCAATTCTTCTTTATTCCAAAAGGGAGTGGGTAAATATAGCTGACCAGTGACCATACAATCACATATAATACACATGTATGTACTGTATTAAAGCAAAATAGAAATGACTAAAATAATATTTCAGTTTGCGTTCACTTAATTTAATATAAGTACAATCTTATCTTATGGATTATTTGATAGATTTGAAATATACTGTATCTTTGACACCAGACTGTTGAGAACCCATAGAATACCCCTTTATCAACATTATCATATAAACTAGAAAAACAGCAACTCCACGGAGTAACAAATCCCACCTAACAAAACATTTTGATAATTAGTGGCCATTTTGAAAATTTCATTTTGAACAGAGCATATTATATAATATATATATATTATACATTTATATCAGCAAATAAAATTTGTTAGTTAGAACCAAATCAATCCACTGGTATTTGATTTATCAAAGACAACATTTTTAAATTCAGCTGTCATCTTGAAAATTTCCTCTCGGGCAGAGTTCCTTTGTCCAGAAATTTGAACCAGAGCGATCCATTGATATTTGAGTTATCAAAGATTACGATTTTAATGAAAATGGTGGCCATTATGAAATTCAGCCTCCATCTTTTAAATTCTTTATCGATCAGAACAACTGTATCCCTAGGCATCAGCATATAAAATTTAAACCAAATCTGCTCATTGGTATTTGAGTTATCAAAAATTACGCTTTTTACGAAAAATGGTGGCCATTTTGAAATTTAGTAGCCATCTTGAAAATCCTTTCACGAACACAGCAACTGTGTCCTTATGCATCAGCATATAAAATTTAAACCAAACCCGTTACATTGACATTTGAGTTATTAAAGATTACATTTTTTATGAAAAATGGTGGCCATTTTGAAATTTAGTCGCCATCTTGAAAATTCTTTCTCGAACAGAGCAACTGTGTCCTTAGGCATCCGCATATAAAATTTGAACCAAATCCGTTCATTGATATTTGAGTTATCAAAGATTTCATTTTTTATGACAAGGCATTAACATGACAAAATGTCACCACCTAGTTGCTCACAATATTATGAGTTCAAACTTATGTCAGATTTGAATTTCTGAGAACTTGTAAAGTCAAATTTGAACTTCTAAAAAGATGTAGATGATTTTGGTCAATTTGAAGCAAGTTGAAAACAGACCTTTTTGACCTTTTTTGACCCTGAGAAGGTCATTAAAGGTAAAATGTCAAATCTAAAGTCAGATTTGAATTTCTGAGAACATGTAGATGATTTTGAATAAAAAAATTAGTCAATTTGAAGCAAGTTGAAAAAAGACCTTTTTTGACCTTGAGAAGGTCATTGAAGGTCAAAATGTCAAATCTAAAGTCATATTTGAATTTCTGAGAACATGTAGATGATTTTGAAAAAAAATTTAGTCAATTTGAAGCAAGATGAAAATACCTTTTTGACCTTTTTTGACATTGAGAAGGTCATTGAAGGTCAAATGTCAAATGTAAAGTCAGATTTGAATTTCTGAGAACATGTAGATGATTTTGAAAAAAAAATTTAGTCAATTTGAAGCAAGTTGAAAAAAGACCTTTTTGACCTTTTTTGACTTTGAGAAGGTCAAATGTCAAATCTTAAGTCAAATCTAAAGTCAGATTTGAATTTCTGAGAACACGTAGATGATTTTGAAAAATTTTTTTAGTCAATTTGAAGCAAGTTGAAAACAGACCTTTTTGACCTTTTTTGACCTTGAGAAGGTCATTAAAGGTCAAATCTAAAGTCAGATTTGAATTTCTGAGAACATGTAGATGATTTTGAAAAAAAAAATTAGTCAAGTTGAAAAAAGACCTTTTTGACCTTTTTGACCTTGAGAAGGTCATTGAAGGTCAAATGTCAAATCTAAAGTCATATTTGAATTTCTGAGAACATGTAGATGATTTTGAAAAAAAATTTAGTCAATTTGAAGCAAGATGAAAAAATACCTTTTTGACCTTTTTTGACATTGAGAAGGTCATTGAAGGTCAAATGTCAAATCTAAAGTCAGATTTGAATTTCTGAGAACACGTAGATGATTTTGAAAATTTTTTTTTAGTCAATTTGAAGCAAGTTGAAAACAGACCTTTTTGACCTTTTTTGACCTTGAGAAGGTCATTGAAGGTCAAATGTCAAATCTAAAGTCAGATTTGAATTTCTGAGAACATGTAGATGATTTTGAAAAAAAAATTTAGTCAATTTGAAGCAAGTTGAAAAAAGACCTTTTTGACCTTTTTTGACTTTGAGAAGGTCATTGAAGGTCAAATGTCAAATCTAAAGTCAGATTTGAATTTCTGAGAACATGTAGATGATTTTGAAAAAAAAATTTAGTCAATTTGAAGCAAGTTGAAAACAGACCTTTTTGACCTTTTTTGACCTTGAGAAGGTCATTGAAGGTCAAATGTCAAATCTAAAGTCAGATTTGAAGGTCAAATGTCAAATCTAAAGTCAGATTTGAATTTCTGAGAACATGTAGATGATTTTGAAAAAAAATTTAGTCAATGTGAAGCAAGTTGAAAAAAGACCTTTTTGACCTTGAGAAGGTCATTGAAGGTCAAATGTCAAATCTAAAGTCAGATTTGAACTTCTGAGAACATGTAGATGATTTAGGAAAAAATTGAAGTCAGTCGAAACAGTATTTGTTAAGTTATAGGAAGTTGTAAGAAATTGTTACAGACGCCGGACGCCAACCGCCGGACGCCAACCACCGTCGCAAAAAAACGGAGACCATAACAATATGTCACCACTTTTGGTGGTGACATAAAAAATGGTGGCCATCTTGAATATTTTTTTTTTTTAGCTGAAGCTCCTTTGTCCTAGGCATCAGCATATAAGAATTTGAACCAAATCCATAAACTACTATTTGAGTTATCAAAGATTACATTTTTTGTGAAAAATGGCAGCCATTTTGAGTTGAGTGGCCATATTGATAATTCCTTGTTATCGCCCAGACACACGAACGGACGAACACAAGGACAGACTGCTTCTCTATATCCCTACAAACATATTTTGCATTTAAATCAACCTGGCTGTGAAACAGGACTCTCTCAAAGTCTAACATACATTTTCCATTATTATGAGCTGAGGTCTAATAAGGTCAAAATAATGTGTTCTCCAAGTCAGGTCCCCAGGATAATAAAAAATCAATCTGACTCTCCGAAAACATGGATTTAGGACCCCAGATCTACACATTTTTCAGAATATTTGACTTAATTTCTAAAATGAGGATCTTGTTAAAAAGATTATACAAGACATCTATATACTAGTATCAAGTTTTGGTGACCAAATTTGGGCGGAAAACTGACAGCATGAGTTTTCCCAATGAATGGGAAAATAGCATGGGATATATTTATTTTAACTTCATCCCATTTCAGTGCCTTTTCCCTTTCAGAAGTTACTGACATAAGAATTTTGCTATACATGTAGTAAAAACAGAAAGAAGTCCTCTCTGAAAATTAAGTCGACATTTTGAAAAATGTTGAGATGATTTTTTGGAGTCAGATCTCTACTTGTAGAAAACATACATGGTCTTTGGTCAAAGATGACTGTCCAAAATCATTTGCCATGCCTGGTCTTTTTTTAGGTATTTCAATTTGTGGCTGCTTTAAATACATTGCAATAGAACCATAGGGCTTAATATTTTTTTCAAACTGAATGAGTGACTTCAGAGCTATTTAAAGCTAAATTCATGGTATGATTCTCATATAGTTTTATATAAGTTGACAAATTAAAAGCTTTTATATTATTATCCCAATTATATTTCATAAGTAGAAATAAATATAATCTGCATTTACAAAACAACAATTATCTTTGGATTTCATATTTCCTGTACTTGAATAATAGCAGGCAAAACAAGCATTAAAATTTACAAAGCAAGATTCTTTATTGAATGTCTTCAATGGCATTGGCAATATTTTACTATGATGGGTCCATGATACATTATAAAACTAAAATACTTATCAGTCGACAAAAGAAACTTGTAAACGGCACAATTTGATGAACCAACTAGATCCTACACAATATTGATTTTATATAACATGATTTTATATATCATCAATTTTGATCAAAAGTGTAATCATTACAGTGTAATGTAATTTAAATTTAAACCATATTTGATGAAGAAATATTTTGGTAAAAATTGCCTTAACATTTAGATGGTTTCCATGTCAACAGTTATAGAAGAACAAAGGTAATTGTGTAAGAGGAGGGGAGGGGGTATTATTACTATTTCAATAGAGAAGTTCTTCGTTTCTTGAAAAATTCAACACTTTCAAAATCCATTATTTGGGGAGGGGGGAAGAGACAAAATATAATCAACTTAATTTTTCCATAAGTGTTAACATGTTGGAAACATCTTAAAATACTGTGACAATAAAATCATTGGGAGTAATCTTGGTAAACTTAATGTCATCATCATCTATCTTCTACAATACTAGACTTTTAAATTTATATACATGATCCCTTCATAGAAGGTCTAAGTGATGTCCTTTAATTTAAGGGCCATGTGACAAGAGGTTTAATCTAACGATTTTAAATCAATTTTGCTCCACTGTGTTTGCATAAATCAAATTGCCAGACATGATAAGTGTTGATGGAAATAATTTCTTTAAAGTAGTTGTTTTACCAATTGAATCCTGTTTGCAACAGACCCCAAGAAGTTAACACCATTGCTGTGAACACTTTAAGCCCCACAATATAGTCTTTGTATCACAAATGATAGAGATACCTATTTATATATACAGAGTGTACAGTTACAATTATATTTTATCAAGTGGGGACAACTATGGCGCAAATTAACGCAATAAATCAAGGTATTGTTTTTCTTGAAACTGGCTGCATTGGAAATTAAGCAAATAACTGTTCTACATCATGATGTACCCAGCTGGCAGAATATACTTAAGGTTGAATATTTTGAAAACATGTTCTTAACAGCTTGGCACACCAATACTGCATAAGCAAAGCTCTGTTTGCCTAATAAAAGTATATCCCTATCAATAGGAAATAAATCTATTTTGTTTCTAATGCAACAAGTTTGAAAGAAAAAACTTCATGGTACAAGACTCACAATTCTTGATTTTCAAACATCTTTGAGTTTTAATATACTCCATAGTTGACCCTTCATGTTTATTTTCATACAGTCTATATTCACATGGGCCAAATTCATAAAGTCCATATTCACATAGGTCCACTTCAGAAGTGTCCGTATTCACATAGGCAATGTCCATGTTGTGAAGCCTTGTACAACATTTGAAGTATTATTCCTGGAAGAAAACAGATTCATGTTCATATTACATATTTAATTTTTATAACATATAATAGTTTTATCAAAGTTTTGTCTGTCATACTGACACTAGAGGGTGACCAAATTCATTATCATCATGAATTAAATATTCAAATATATGTACTTGTAATCAATGATTAATACAAAATATGGCAAGGTACGTGTTTATCCCAGCTTGCTGTTTTTAGAAAGATCACATTAATTTTCAAGTACATGTACTCATTTTTAAACTGAGAATCTTGACAAAGATACTAGTTTTAAACGTTTCACTCCGATATTATTAGATTTTCAATAAGTTGCAATTGAATATAAATTCATTAGGAGCAACATATGTTGGCTCCAATGCATCAGAGATCACTAAATAATTCTATTCACTGAAACATAAGTTCCTGCAAAACTGCTTACCTAGCCTTTGTATGTGTGAGTATATGTGACTTGAGATTAGTAGACTGGGCAAACTTCTTGTTACATCCATCAAAGGGACAAACATATGGCTTATCTCCAGTATGGATCCTAACATGGGTACGGAGGTTGAAGTCTAATGAGAAACGTTTACCACATCCTTCAAATGTACACTGAAACAAAAATGGACCAAAATTAGTTATCAATTACCTAGGTGCCATTAGATAGCCACCAGTCCAACTACCAGGTGACTATAAGGGTCCAATAACAAATGGCAGACATATAATAAGTTCCGAATAACTTGAGTAATAAGTAGATTAGATGGATCAGAGTTTGATAATGATAAATGATACAATTTAAAATATATTCAGTAAAAGAAATTATTGTCTGTACAATACAAGAAGATATTTCAGTTTTCATGATTCTTAAATTGTGCATGTATTCCTGACCTTGAAATTACATTTTCAAAGAAAATTATAGAAATTTCAAAGTCGCTAAATTTTTTAAAGGTTCATCATTTATTATTATCACTTTGACTAAAGTTTGAATATTCAATGATGAAAATCAAGATCATTTCTACTAGTTTCTGTCATTGTCATTCATTTTAGATTCAAATAAATGACAGTAAGATATTATAATGTAAAAAAATGCAATCTAGATTTCCACACACCTGAAATGGCTTTTCTCCTGTGTGAACCAACTGATGGCGTTTTAGTTTGGAGCTTTCCACAAAAGCCTTTCCACACTCAGCGCATACATGTACCCTTGGGCCATGTGTGTGAAGATGTTTACGCATTGCTGAATTGTCTCGGAACATCTTAGTACACCCCTGAAACAAATGTTATGATAAACCACATAATGTCATAATACCTTGGAAATGAACTCATCTTATACAGATAAAAAAGAATCTGCATAATGAAAACAACAAACGTTCTCTATGCATAAATATCAAACTGTACAAGTTTATCACAGGAAGGCAACGATTTCATGAAATCAGGTAGGCAGAGTAAAATATTGAATTTACATTAAGGCTTTTTTTCTTAATGATACTCGAGTTTTACTTCATTAAAAACTCTATAAAAATTTGGAGATTCAAAACACTCCAAGGCATCAGTTTAAAATGTTACAGGATATAGGCCCAGTTGACATTAAGCAAGTTATGGCAGCTGTTACAAACATCTGGTGTTTACCAAGTATACCAAGGGAGCTTCTGTTGATAGCATTTTTTTTGACAATTCTGTTCAAATCATGTTTTATTGAGGGTTTAATTACTCTATAGATAGGCTATGAGAGACTATATCTGAATTTTTCACATCATTTGATTTATAGATGTCAGGGCAGAGAATATATATTTCAAGTTAAGTTGCAGTTCAATGCAGAGAACAATTATTTCAGAAATCAAAAGATTTACAAATTGAATATGCAAAATTTCACAATGCAATTCATTAATGATTATATCACATCTCGTATATCCAGATGGCTGAAAACTCTACCCAATATATATACAGGAATATTTGCCATATGAATATTTGTACCCCTGTACTTTATATTGGTATCTGTATGGACTGATGTTTAACTGGCTGACCAGAAACTGACACACAATTTTACTTTGTGTAAGCTAAATATTTTAGGACACTTTAATCACAAGAGGATCACAGAGTACTATGGGCACTTAGAAAAGAAAAAAAAACTTTCTAAGGATAACATCAATTTGAAAAAAAAAGATTAATAAAAAACCAAAACAAAAGACCTCCTTTGATTCTCACCTTATGCGGGCATGGAACAGTTCTAGGTGTGTCATCTGCATTACTTTTCCTGGGTCGACTCATCCTGAAACACCAAAAATATCTCATTTTATTCATTTTAAGGCCTGTACAACTTAGATGCTGAAAACATCAACAAGTCACGAAATAAAAGTAATCAAACTTGAGCATATTAGAAAATGTACAAGTTGTACAAATGCCATTCTCATGACAATAACTGGTATAAAGCAAGAATTCTACTTATTTTATCAATATAACTTCAATACTTTTTATATAAACCAAACTGCACTAGAGTCTTTGTTTTAATAAACAATCACTTCAAATTTTAGAAATATAAATCAAGTAACAATATGTGTATATGTATATCAAGACAAGCAACCCTGAACATTTCATGTTACGAAAAGTCAGATTGAAGCTTAATGTCGGAAATCGGCTGACCATATTATGGACACACCAATAGTACTGACATGCTGATATGGACACACCTATTTTATTGACACAATGATACTGACACTCTGATACTACAAAAATCTTGCCTGTTAGTACATTGTTCTTAATTAATTCCAATAAATTTTTTAAGTAAGACTGTTTTAGGAAAGAGACTAATATATGATATCATATTATTTTGTTAGGTTTTCAGAACTGCTTTACTACCTGGGTGAGTCTTGGTATTCAACATACTCATGGGAACTGCTTTGGGCAAATCTAGAAGAAATCATACATTATTTTAAAGTATATGTGTTATTTTAAACAAATCTGGAAAAAATCAAAATCATTTGTTCAAAATTTATTGACAATTCAGTTTCGAAGTCCAAACTATACCCCATGTATCTGTGTGATCTTGGAATCACACAAATGTTCAACATAAAAGTGCGTTATTGTTCACAAACATTGTTCATTATAGGTTCTTATCAAACAGAATATCAGCCGATTTTTGACACTAAGCATAAAACTCAAAATTCACATACAATATGTGCATATAAATTGATCATTAAAGTGGATATTAGAATAAGAAAAAGATAGTCACTTGTCAATTCTAGCAACCTACTTTGCAAATTCAGCTAACTGTTTAGGATCACTTAAATCAACACCTGGTATTCCACCTGTGTTGATTTTCTTTCCTGTCATATACTCTGTGTAATCAACATCATCCACAGAGCTAGTTGTCACAGTTTCCTCTGTTACTGCATCTTCTAATGGATCTTTTTTATCATCTCCCCCTGAAAATATTAAATACCAAATATATGGAATATAGGAATGAAATTTTTGTGTATTTTTGCTGATGATTTAGTTTCAAAGCTTCTCCCTTTGAGACAGAGTGGTTATCATGATGTTGAATGCATTTACCTACATTTGATCACTATCATGGACAGCTTCTGCTTGTGATATGACTTCCCTGGAGTGTTTCATAACAGGATGCAAATGCTAATTTTCCCTGTTTTCTGCTAGGTGAATAATAATGATTGGATGTAATGTATAAACTTTATATATTTTCAGATTTTAGCTTATTTTGGTTGTATGTTTGGCAAAATTCTGTGAAAATGATACTAAGTATGGAAGTTTAGCCCCCAGCCTTGCCTTGGGATGGGGTAAAAGGTAATATCATTTATCTATATCTTGCAGTCAACGAGACTGAAGATATCCAAATTAGATACACTTGTCTTGCAACACCAGGGTTTCCAAAAGTTATGAACAATTTTTATAACTTCTACAAATAGGTCAAATCACCTGTCAATCAAATGCACAAGGTCAATGTCCTATTCCTTGATCTCTCTCACATCGAAATTTTGACTCAAGTTTACACATGTTTTTCAGTTATAAACCGGCTTCAGGTTCAAAATATGTATTCTTGATTACAGAGAGAAACACCAGGACATTTACTCTAAGCTAGATTTGATGTTATCCATCTCGATTTTGATGTTCAAATTTCATTTCAATTTGATGAAAATTGGCAAGATGGCGGGGCCGCCATTGCTTTTTTGTCCGCCATGTAAAATATGGCTGCGCCCATGTCCACCATTATGGCCGACGACAAAATCAAAACAATAGTCGCAATGTTCAATTATCTCCCTAACAACACCAAAATCTGCACCGATTCCTTCAGGAAATGATAGAACACTAAAAAATAGCTGACACGCCTTTGAGCATTTCCTCGTGACGCAAAAGATTGACCTATTTTTTTCATTGAAAACGCATCACTTCAATTTCTGATTTTTTCTGATATTTTTGAAGATGTAAAAGTTACCAAATTGGACATGAATCGAATCTATGGTTCATCGATGATCCGTTGGAGGGATAGAAGTAAGCATATGACTTACCCGAGGCCCACATAGTGACTGAAAATTCCCCCTCTAACGTTTTTATTTGGACTTGCTTTTGTTCCCATTTTCGAGTGGTCGTTGAAGGGTCCAAAGGAAAATCTGTTCCTACAATTGATGCCGATGATACGAGTCCTAATTTAGATTTACCACCTTTCTTTTTTCCTCCTTTAGTTTTTTTACCAGTCTCTATAAACATATCTGAGGAAATCTCAACTTCTGGGACAGGAACATTTATGCTATCTTCGTAAACCAATGTGGCATCTGTCAAGTCGTGGTCTCCGACAACTTCTTCCCGTGTTTGTAGCACTATTTCCTCTTGAATAGCATCAGGTAGAGGTTGTAAAGCTATCATGGGTTGTACCTCAATTGTTTCATCACTTGTTTCTACAGTCTCTATATTCATATCAATGGGAATCGTCTCTACTTCCACCTCTTGTATTTCGACCTCCGATCCGATAGACGCCATTTTGATTTTCAGTAAGGCGGGGAGACGACGATGCAGGGGGTATTCGTCATGAATATTCATCAGTATAAATTTATTATGCAAAACAGGTGCGAGTATAAATTTCCAACTTGAAACACAGATCCGGAGCCAGATCCAGCCCCTGTTGGTAGTAGGCTCAAAGGATAAATGAGTATATTTATTGAGCCTAGACACAGAGGAGCTTTTCTGGCAGAGGTCCGTGACTTGAAATATCTGATTCACGAAATCATATATTCAGCGCTATGTCAGCCAGTGCCCGGGGAGTAAGTCACCCCCTCTTCCCGTCTCCTCTTTTGACTCATATTTTAAATTGTAATTAAAACCTTTAATATATATAGAATATAAGAGGGAGGGATGATTTACTCCCCATGATTCAGTGCAATGTGTGTCATTTCGTTTCACATAAAATATTTCATAGAGTTTGTCATTCAGAGAGATTCTCAGCTGATCTAATTTCAAGTTCCAGTCTGAATCAGATAACTTTTCACTCGATTTATATCGAAAATGGGAGCTCAAGTATCAAGAACCGATTTTGAATGGGTCTACACTCAAGAACCACATGCAACAAGAAGGAAGGAGATCCTTGGTGAGTAGTTTTCACTTAAAATCATTTTAGAAATTAGGTCTAAAGTTTCAACGTGAACTTTTTCATGTTTCACAACTGTGAACTTTCATAACCAAAATAATGCCTCAGTGCCCGGCAACAGCTAGCCAAAACTTTCTAGCCCAACTTATCTACTCTCCGTGTCATAGATCTTTGCCAGACGAACCAACAAGATTCGAAATGTCAAAGGTATGTTATTCAAGACGCCAGGGTGGCCCCAAAAATCCAGAGGGGAGGGGCCCAAAATTGTGTGTGCTTGTGCCCCCCCCCCCAAACTAACTGCCAGGCTATCATGGCTATAGGCCTAGGCCTATTACAGTTTTTGATGTTCAGATGATGTAAGTCAGATATTACAACTTGTTTGCAGCCCGTCTAATAGCGTCTATATGAATCAGTCTTGTAGCCGGATGGCGGGGGCTTCCAGTGACCGATCCATTAACAAGGGAGTGGGGCAAAAAGCGCGAAAGAAAAAATTGAGCCGTTATAACCTATATTGGGCCCAAATTTTGTAAAATGAAGGCCTATTTTTTGATAAATTGGCCCGAGAAAAGGCCAATTTATGCCCAAAAGGCTTTACAAAATTTTGAGGCTCAAAAATAAAATTTTTGTCTGGGAGGGGGGCCAGATCTGCCACTGGGGGTGTCAGAAAAAAATGTCAGAACTTCAGGGAGGGTGACCCAAAAAGGTTACCCTAACAACAACCCAGTCATTCATGTATGAGTTTTAAGTCTTCTTTGGCACAACTATAAACAGCAATATAAATCACATAGAACAGAATTTTAAAAATAAGATTTTTTTTATTTTAGCTTTATATACAAGATTGATCTTAGGCTAAACTTCAACACATATGTTAATTATTGGCCCAAGTCTATGTCTATGTCAATAATCTTCAAAACGCTAATAAGCCCCAGAGGCGTAGCTAGCCCATTTTGCGAGTGTACGCCCGTATGATTTCCCGGTTTTATCAAAATTAACAAAACGATGGTTCCATAAAATAGGAAGATCCCGGGTGTTCAGAAGATAGGGGACACACTAAACACTCTTAATTCAATGAAGGAAATATGTATTGTTTGATCATTTTGACATAGCTTTTTAAAGGGATTGAATTAACTGTATTAACAGATAATATTCGGGAAACAAAATAGACAGATTCTATATAATCATGCCATCGGCGATCGAAGCCGTCTATCAAGGCGATTTTATTTTTAGGCTACCTAAAACTGTATGTATGAGGCTCATTGTTTTAAGCTTTTGTGGTCATTCTCCATGAAATATTATTATTTTTTCTGTGTTTGTTTTTATCTATGATTAACAATAAAAGAACAGTTACACGACCATCTCAACTCCATTTCGGATCTTAACAATCTGTACGTGATTCTATAGAATAAATTCTATCTTATGAGTACTAGTATCTACAACTATTTTTGATGTTATGAGTATTGGCTATCAATTTTTTCAATTTTTCTTCAACATGTATTGTAATGACTTCAGTATGAATGAAATGTCCCTTGGTGTTCTGGTCCTGGATTGTGATATTGGTTCTCGATTAGAGGGGGAGGGGGATGTTAGACATTGTTTCTTTTCACGTTAGATTATGGTTTTGGGATATATAGGGTCTACTTTTCTTATGACAGATTTACACTTACAGTTTGCTTTTCTTGTTGGGTTTCTTTAAAGTTTTTAGTCACCCTTCCCTTTGGCATTTGTGCTTATATATTTTCTGTTTTTTGCATTTACGAACATGTCAACTATATATACTCTTGCTGGGGCTGCCATTGAAGAATACACAACTACAATGTCAACTCAACTGAAAACTCAACTGAAACGAAATAAAATTCTCTTATTATCAGTAGCTAACTGATTCAAAACAAAGAAAATGAAATAATCGAGAACTTTTATATTTATTAACACGAGTCTTCATAGATCTCCTATCGATTTCTATCTCTTGGTAAAATATTTATTTTTCATCACAATTAATCAGGTAAATTTTATTTTTCCTTAAAATTTGAGAGTACGCCTGGGCGTACTTGGCGTACACGTAGCTACGCCACTGAGCCCATATTTAAGCAGATATATAATTTAACAGTGATATAATTTGAATAGAATATAATTTAAAACATTTACATTTAAAAATAGATAGATCTATGGTTTACAACTCGTTTAAAATTAAAAGGAAACTTCGTGGTTGGCCTATGTTCCCCCCTAGGAATTCCCTTTATGTTGAGATACCCTGGGACTACTGTCAGGCTACCACATTGACAATTTGACATTGCCCCTCTTTACCAGTTGTGCAGGCTTGTTGCTGTGCACTGAGACCATTAAGTTGTTATTGCGGATTCAAATGTATGTTATTTTAGGCATACTCAATGCAGATGTTCCATTGTTCCCATGAATCTAACTGGTTGAAATAAAAAGGGATGGTCTCTGAATCATATCTCCTATTTTTTTGGATAACAAAATTTATTTCATTTCGGACTATTATAAAACAAAACTGTTGAATTTTCATTCTCATTTACCAACTACAGGGTGTTAAAAAAGCAACTCAAAGAAATCGCTATAGCTTGGAAAATACTTATCCAATTGTGTTCATTTTTTCAGGAAAGAAAGGAGAGACTGTATATATATATGTATATATGTAATATGTATAGCTCCTGTTGTTAGTTAGTTGTAAAACATGATACCTTGGACACCGACTCAAAAGATATGAGTATTAGAAAAATATGAAAAACGCAGTCAGAGGTGACTGCCACAGCAATAAAACCGAATAACTTTCTAAACATAGTGTTTTGACCTAGTTTTCAGATTTGGCACAAATTATCCTCATTCTCAATGTACAGTATGGTAATTCTGTAAAGTGAAATCAAAATCACTCAAGGGACTTTACAGTCATGGTCAAAATAGCTTCTTAAGTCTGCCTGCACCAGGGCGTTTGACTGTGTTTTGAAAGCATTTTGATCATGACTGCAAAGTCCCTTGAGTGATTTTGATTTCACTTCACAGAATTACCATACATTGAATGAGGATGATATGTACCAAATTTGTGCACTATGGAAGTTATTAAGTTTTTTGCAGTTGCAGTCTCTCCTTTTTCTAGTACAAATGTCTTGAGCAGGTGTCCAAGACATCATGTTTTACAACTAACCAACTACAGAAGCTATATATACAAATATAATCTCTTCTTTCTTTCCTGAAAAAATGAACATAATTGAATAAGGATTTTCCAAGATATAGCAATTTCTTCTTGATATTTCATTTCAGTTGCTGTGAAAAGATTTCCTTAACATTAATTTATTACAGGTCATATAGACACAAATACTTGATTTATGGGAAAAGTTAAACTTTTGCATACTCTCTCTGGTTACAGTGTACCATCTGTACCATCTGTACATATTCCTAGCAAAAGTTGTACTGGATAGACATAAAATAAATAGGCATAACTTGGCATCATTTGATCAAACTGCTATATAAACTGTATCTTTAGCTTTCATTGTCACAAATGTATGAGTCCTATAAGATTGCTGTTATGTAACATCTCATTAGATTCAACTCACTGAAATTGATCTATCTATCAATCACAGCCTCAATTATTGATAATACTAAAGAGATCTGTTTATTAGTAATATTTACAATTTTGTTTTCATTTTTCTTTTCAGCAAAACATCCAGAAGTGAAAACATTAATGGGACACGACCCAAGCCTGAAATGGAAAGTTCTCTCTATGGTAGCATTCCAGATCCTCTCAGCATACTTTTTGAGAGATGCATCATGGGTAACAATCGTTATTCTAGCATACGTCCTTGGAGGAACAATCAACCATTCAATGACACTTGCCATACATGAAATATCCCATAACTTAGCATTTGGACATATATGGCCAATGGGCAATAGAATCATTGGAATGATCGGAAACCTACCATTGATTCTCCCGATGTCAATATCATTTAAGAAATACCATCTAGAGCACCACAAATTCCAGGGAGATACAGATATAGATATGGATATTCCATCAGATTTCGAGGGAAAATATTTCCGTACCACATTTATGAAATTCATCTGGGTGATATGTCAGCCATTTTTCTACACCCTTCGCCCTCTATTTAAAAACCCCAAACCTGTGCTGCAGCTAGAGATCATGAACTCTATCATACAATTCACCTTTGATGGACTTCTGTGGTATTTCTTTGGATTCAAAGCGCTGATGTATCTTCTAATTGGGACATTTCTAGCCATGGGTCTTCATCCAACTGCTGGACATTTCATCAGTGAGCATTACATGTTCATCAAAGGGCATGAGACATATTCATATTATGGCCCCTTGAATTCCATTGTGTTCAATGTTGGTTACCATAATGAGCACCATGACTTCCCTAATGTGCCAGGATGTAACCTCCCTAAGGTAAGAATCTTCTATAGTTTCTATCTAAAATGCTCAATATATACCCATAGTTAGCCTATGATCCAAGTTGGTATTCTGAATCCACTTTTAGCTGAAGCATCCTTTCACGCATTTTGAACTTGTCTACGTCCTTCGCAACAGGCACAGTCATCTCTGAGGAAAAAGCATACATTGTACTTGCATCAAACTTTTAAATTCATATAAGAAAAGTATAGATTCTGTGTATTGAAAGTAAAAAAATATTGTTCTCTTTTACTTTCAGTTGAAGGCTATGGCTCCAGAATTCTATGATGACCTACCTTGTCATACATCTTGGGTCAAGGTCATCTGGGACTTCATCACTGACCCTGAAGTTGGCCCATATTCACGTGTAAAACGTAGTGGAGGAAAAGTTGATGCAACACCCAAAAGGGACTAATTTAAATTTCATCATAGAGAACAAATAAGGATGTTTTAGTGAATTATTTCTTGAGTTCTATTCATCTCAGATTGAGTCCATTGAGTCTCATTCCATCGATTTTGGTTGCATAAGAAATACATTAAGCCATTGAGGATTACCTTATTACTTTGTATTGGCCATGAAGGATTTCCTATCACTTTGACTGTTTGATATGCCAAAATATCTCAATTTTTCTGGACTTTATCTATGTCTATAGTATTTACCAACATTTATATAGACTCAAGTCACTAATTTCAAAACTATTTATATTATGATGTTATATAATGGTTCATTCTGTATATCGTGTTTATACTCGAGTGAGTATATAATATATTCACAAGTGAGCGTAGCGAACGAGTGAATATATTATATTCTCACGAGAGTATAAAATGCACGATATACAGAATGAACCATTATATAATCTTATTATGCCACTCTAAGTTCAATTACAGTTGATCGGAACACAATCATAACAATTATAAAAACCATAAAAATATCCCATAGCCAACTCAGTAATGCCGATGTTGATCTTGATCCATTTATGACGTCACTTGACTCTAGCAAATCATGTGGGAACCATTTATGACGTCACTTGATTCTAGGAAATCGTGTGTAACAAAACATACACGTCGTTCTTCGGTCAATATTCATTAGTTCCCATTATGCACTTCTACAGTGGTATACGCTGGAGTGTATACGGAGGAGTTGTATACGATGACGATATACCACTCTCCACTGTATATCGTTGTTATAGACCCATGTTATACAACTGTAATCGGACTTAGAGTGGTATAAAAGATAATATATGAATATTTACAATCCGATAAATTACGGATTAAAAAATTTATTTGAGTATTGTATGATTAGTTCTCCGATAACTTATTTTTCAATGGTTTACAAAAATCCGCTACAGCAAGTACTTTAGGGGATGTGAGAAAATAATTTTTAGAGGCGTATACCAGATTTGATGAAGAATGTACATATGTAAATACTATAAATATAAAACACCAATTTTTTAAGAAAAAAACTTTTATTAATAAACCCTAACCACTCTGAATTAATTAATGATTTATAGACATACAACAGGCCTGTAGCCGGGGGAGGGGTACCAACAAATTTTCTTAGCACTTTGCAAGTGATTTTGGCCATTTTTGGGCCAACGTTTTCAAGTGGGAACCCTCCTGGAATTTTTAAAAAGTGACCCCCCTTTGGCAAAAGCTGGCTACAGGCCTGTACTATTGAACAGTATTATGCATATTTAAACAAGCTTTATGAGAGGCTTTCAATTGTAGGCTGGCATTTATTTGAATTGAGTCATTTGGAATCGGACATTGAACCACTGAATAACTCATCATATTTTTATACCAAGTTGATCTTGAGCAACATTCAATAGTTCAAAACAGTTAAGGAAAAGCACATATGTGTGTACGTGCAGTGCTGCACATGTTTATATGAGTGTTTCTCCTATATACTTTTTTTGTTTATGACCATCAGAAAAATGGTAATAAAAATGAGGTCACTTTGTATTTTTTTCTTTGTATTTTATTTGAAGAAGTTCTTTCAATTAAAACTGACTGTGATAATATGTTCTTATAAAATGATTTGGTCATTAAGTTTTTAATGTTAGTTAGTTTACTCTTTGCCCATTGAATGCCTGTGCATAGAATATCACTGGTTTTATTTATTGCATTTCAATTATTCCGAAATAATTTTATCCGAGTTGTATTTACTTTGCTTATTTTCAAACTTCCACTTAATTTTTGTGTATCTAAACAAATTCAAAATGAAATTTTATTTACAGGCATTTATCTATTTTTCTATCTGTAATTGAACTTTAAACTATTTAGACAATATGATTGGTCACAAAGTTTAAAGGCTATACTTTTATATAACTGGTGAATCATTAAAGGCAGTATCAGGATTAACAAGCAACCTATAATAAAAAATTTTTAATTCAGAACATTTTGGGATTATATGATTCCTTGTCATGGGTATTTTCCAATAATTTAAAATAATAAATGTAAGTTCATTTCTCTATAAATATGGTTACTTCATTTATTGTTTGGGCTTTACACATTTGTGGCAAATTATTTACTTTGAATCTAAATATTTTCACCAATTGATAACATTCCATGGATTTGGGAGATGTTACATTTGAAATGGTAAAGAATAGGCCCATGTTGCTTGCAATTTATTTATTTGTCAGCCCTTTGCAGTTCTAATTCTGCCTTTAAATCAATTCGATTTTGATCTTTCTGTTAAATAACATCTAGTATATGTACACTTAGTTATTGTTGCAAAGGATCAAATGAACAAAAGTTTATAAATCTGAACAAACTTGTATTTTGACATGGCCCCTGACCTGTAATTTGACAGACTGGAACAGATGAAAAGCCTGCCTAAGAGACTCAACAGTAATTTATTGCAATGCAACTTCACATGGTTGTGTTTGTAAGAAATGTGTGTACTACATCTACCACATAGCTAGGATGAGGTCATTCACCCCAGTCCCTGAATGAGGTCCCAGCAACTCCATATAACTGCACCTGCAAGTCTGCATGTCATGTTCATGAATGTTGTCATGAAATATTATATTTCAACAAGTAACACAACATGTAATGGATTCTGTAGTAATAAACTGATACCTACATGAATACTGCATGTATACTAATATCTATATGAAGGTTTCATACCGGTGTTGTACACTGTTTGCTATATATTTAAAAATAAAGATTGAATCAATGCGATTAATTATGAAGTATTGTTGTGACACAAAAAGGATTGGATTTCCTCCCAGGGGTATTTCTGAGAACTAACAAAGAGGGGGGGGGAGATTTTAAGTGAAAAAAAATTTAAGGGCCATTTTCTTGATAATTTGCCCTAAAATTTAAAAATAAGGCCTTAAAGGACTCCAGTAATGCCCAAAAAGGGCTCTTAGATCCGCTAGTGCCTCCTACACACCACACCATGTAGGGTTGATTTCTCTTGCATAATTATCACCAGAATTAGACTTTTCAACCAAGGAAATACTGTATAAGTATTGGCAACTCAACTCATAGTTTATCCAATAGTAGGCTGCAAAAATCATCACTCTACAGCCACAATTAGTGATCTGTTTTTGACAAAAATATGCAAAATAAAAAATATCTGTAAAAATTACCATGGCAATGACTTAAACAGCTTTACAGCTGATCTGGCACCAAATTCAAGAAATCTAAAATCTTGACAATATGTCTGAAATACCAACATACAACCGTACATTTGATAAATGATAAGCTTGCCCCAGTTGTATGGGGTGCATAGTTTCTCTAATAATCCTGCATGAGAAATTAAAAATAAAGCCAGACCCTGCATGGTGGGTAGGTATGTGGACATGGTGGAAATCCACCTAGGTTGGGTAGGTAAATTACAGTGGACTTAACTGTACATGATTCATGAACATTCAATTGGAGAAGTCACTTTAATGTGAAATCAAGATTGAAAAATATAGTCATTTCTATCATTCTATATGAAAATCTCAAAAGTTCAGATCGTATCCAATGAAATGTCAGAGAAGTCACTTTAATGTGAAATCAAGATGGAGAAATATATTCAAATGGTGAAGTCATTCCTATATGAAAATTCAAAATGTTCAAATCAAATCCATTGAAAAGTATTCACACAAAAATTCTTGCTTTGTCAACAAACTATAATATGTCACCACCAGAATCATCCTAACTGATACAAACCGCTACTGTAAATAAAGCAATTTTTAGGCTTTAATACAACAGAAAAGGCTTGTACGAAATTCATTTGATGGAAATTGCATGCAGACTTGAGATCTTTTTATTCAGGGATATTTTTAGGCCTGACAAAATGTCACCACCTTTTAAGTTACTGCAAATTATTACAGATGTCAAACTCTGAATGTCGATCACAGTCCACAAAAAAAAGTTGGAGGCTATAACAATATGCCACCACCAGAATCCCCACTTCTGGTGGTGAGTGCTGACATAAAAATCATAACAAATGCGTTTTTAGATTTCTGCATATGTTGACAATGTCAATACATTTTATTTGCATATACTCATTTTAAATCCTGCTTTGACTTTTTCCATGTATCATTGTAACATAATTTATAACTGGTAAATGTATTGTAGCATTGAGTCTTCACAGATGGATGTTACAGATTTGAATAACAATAGTTCAAAGTGTGCAACTGGTGCACTGGTAAATGTCCAGTTTTTACAATTAAAACTGTCCCATTCCCAATGTCCACACACCCTCAGGTCATTTTCACACTGGAGAATGTTATTGTCATCTAAAGAGGACTCTCAGTAGCCATATTTCTCATTCAGTTTAGTCTTGCCATCTCCACTCTGGCCTGAAATATTATGAAGATGTATTGTGATTACAGTTTGTGACAATGTCAGAAGATGATGAACTCCCCATATTTTAGCGATTTTATTTTTGTTGATTTTGACTTGTATTAATTTAATTGATTTATTGAGTTTTGTGGAAACTTTTCAACTCCTATGCTGGAGTTGGTTCCCCTGAATTCTCATTCGGTTGTTGTATTCTTTTTGGTTTATCATTGATACTTGGATTGCCACTGTTTTGCTCACATGGAGATTGCTTCTTCTTATTAGTGAAGGTTGAGTTTCCATCGTTGGGAATTGGATTTAATGTGACAGGTGAAATTAAGAAAGCTTGAGATTCCTGATTGTATTAAAATAAACGATTATTAATTTAAATCAATACCTTGAGGGGGCATCCAAACTGCATAATCGGGGTCTGAAGTGTTGTACTGTTTTGACCAAATCTTAGGGCCCTTGGGTTTCTGAAAACATTTAACAAATTGTACTGTAAAGAATAAATATATTACTCAAATATATCTTGGTCCAGTTATAATATTCGGACCACGTCTTAGTTCCTCCCCAATATCTAATCGTTCTAAGTTTGCAGGAGCATAGAATTAATTTTTCCATCCAAACAGTGTCAGGGGTTTAATAAGAATTTCTGAATAAGGTGAAACAAATGAAAACATGAGAAATATTGGATATTATTTATAATTTAAACATCGTACCATTTGTTACATGAGACTCCAAACATCAACCATAGAACACTGTCTGCAAAAGAGTTCTCTAACAATATGTCACCACTTGTGGTGGTGACACAAAACTCAACTGTTGTCAGTATAAAAACATCAATTTAATTTCCCTTATGATTTTTTAGTAACTGTATTGGAAATTCTAATTCTGTTAAATATTTACCTTAACTTCATCATCATCATCATCTAGGGGTATCTTGTGTTTGGATCCTTTAGATCTAGCTTCATTTTCTGAAAAAATAACACATACTGCTTGAAATGAGGACTGTATTTATAAATGAACAATTTTGGCCATATCCAAGGAGAATCGGCAGCAATTATTCAACCTAGATCTTCCATTGCCTGGGATTGAACAAATTAGTAATAATATTTCACATATGTTGTGAAGTTGGAGACTAACACTGCAAAAGAAGTTTGAATATTACCATTTTACTCGTAGATCATATATTTTTTATTTAATTTTTTTTTTGTTTTATTAAAAGACTAGATACTTGGTCCAAATATGAACTTTATAGAAATATTATTTCTAAATTGTTCCACACCAGGCAATGGAATATAAAGTTTGAATAATGACTGCCAATTCTGCTTGGGCCACATCAAAACATTTCCTTGTGTTTATCAAGAGAGAAATCTAAGAAACATAATAAAAAGAGATAAACCCAACCTAGGGTAATCATCAACTGAAGATTTAACTACACTTAAATTTAGACATACGCAACAATTTTTACTTACTGTTAGAGCTTTGTGAATTCAGAGATTTCTCTTTCTTATTTCCAGATTTGTTTGTAGATGTATCACTTTTAGAGCCTGTTGCTTCACTTTTTGTCACAGTGCCTCTTTTTGCAATAACTTCTTTATCATGATTATCTTCTGTTATTTTAGTGTCTTCAGATTTTGTGAGAGTATCTAAATGTTCTGTGACTTTTAATGTATTTGTGTTTTTTGATTTATCATTGTCTGTGTTTTTATTCTTAGTTGTATCCTCTATGGAGTCATTACTTTTGGCATTGCCTGCTTCAGTTTCCTCCTCTTCTTCCTCTTCAATCTGACTCTTGTTGCTTTCATCGAGATGTTCTGGGCGTGGAGGACCCTGAAAATATTATATCATATTGTAAGAACAGTAGTAGTATGTTCTATGTGGAGTGACCATATACACACTATCAGGAAAACTGAATGTAAAATAGCACATTCATATTTGGGCCTTTCAAGAGATTTATCTCACTTAGACTTTAACCTCTATTTGAAAAGACACGTGGATGTACTTTTATACTGATTTCAATAATTAAATAAATATTATGGAATATAACTTACAATAGTTCTGACTGGAACTTTCTTCTGTTGTCCTTTAGGCAACATCTTAATCCTACCAACCATCGAGGAAACGTTTGTACCTTCCTTTTCACCTTCTATTTTTCTGAAATATTAAAGAAACCAAAGTGTGACAAGGCATTAACATGCAACCACTGAACACTGTCCACAAAAAAACTGGAGACTATGTAACAATATGAATGATACATATTTTGTATTTTAGCTAAGTTAATAACTTTGAACTTAGACATTATCTCTTGATTGCTTTAAAAAAGTATCTGAATGATAAAGGCCATAAAGAATATTTGAAAAACTTTGTTTGCGACCTTTAGATGACTGTCCCTACCTTGTAATTTCAGGCATATTTGCAGGTTTTGCTTTATTCACTAGTTTCCTAACTTTTTGTTCTTCTTGCCGGAGATCAAATAATTGCCGTTTCCATTTCATGCGGGTCTTTTTATCAATCGCTGCTCCTGTTTTTATTCTTGACATGAAGGCATCAAGATCATCTTCATCTTCCATAGCTTCTGCATCTACAAAATTGTGAAACTATTTTGAACTCATATTTTGTAGAAACAGCAAAAGTAATTCACCAGAATATGGAAATGTTTTAATCTTTAAAAGTGCAACTTGTGTTCTTTGAGTGTTTCTGATATCAAAAAACAACATTTTTCCATGGAAGAAAACTGTAAATTCACTACAACAGAAATGTGGCACTTCAAGCATATCTTGGAGGTGTAGTATACATTAATACATACATGTACCAGATATGCTTTAAAATATACAAATTGCAAATACATTGAATCAGGACAAACCTCATAAAAATAGTCTAGGTTCAAGCATTACCTTTTTTAGCTTTAGCTAGTTGTTCTTCTAGATCTTGGATGTCACTTTCAATCTGCTTCAGCCTTGCTAACTGCAATGAGAAAATATAAATGTTCTGGTATCCAATTTTTAAACTCACATAGCAGGTCCTTTTACAGGGCACAGTTATTCAGGCAGCAAAAACATACATAATGATCCAATATCTCTATTCTTTACTGAATGTATAGAAAACATGTAACATTTGGCTGGTTATTGAATCAAATGAACTCACCAATGTATCATATGTTTCTGTCTTCTCCTCCACTTTACCAGCTTTCTTCATACGATCTTTTCGCTTTTTCTGAATAACTCCAGTTCTGTCAAGGAACTCATCATCATCACTGTCATAGAAATCATTCTCCTCCCAGTTCTTAGATTTCTTTTTTCTGCTTTCTTAAATGAGAAATATTCTGTGTTCAGGAAAGAAGGCTCATGTTCAACACCACTTTATATTAAGTATGTAGGTGTGGCAAAAACTGATATAATGACTAGTGTTTGTGAACTTGGTAATCAAAGCAAAATGAGAGTTACAAAGAAAAATGCTCCTAATAGACATGAGAAATAGGAAACTACATTGTTCATATTTTCAATTGAACTTAAAATAATGTATGTACATGTACAGCTTTTACACACTCTGATCTGAGATGCTTAGTCACCTTTCCTCTATTTATTTAAGTACATTTCTCACCATGCTGTGCTTGTCGTAAAACATCATATCTATCCAATATACGACAAGCCTCCAGAGCACATGCCACCACAGCATCCCTTTTCTTCCCAGAAACCTCTGCTTCAGCTACAACATCTTGACCAGTTGGACTGTCAACTGGCAAACTGGAACAAAGAAAAAACAATTTACAATATAGGCTATAACCGCAAGATGCAGAATTGATTACATTTCAAAATCATCTTTGTTAATTATCTTTTCCAGGTAAAGCAAGACAATGCAAAGATAACATTTTAAGCAGTGGAATGCAGACATTGATATCCTTTAAGATCTCTGACAATACAGAGGTAAATTAGATCTTATACTCCAAGTGCCAACCTGAATTCTGTATTATAGATTTAATAATTGTACATACTTTAGTAGACCTTGGCGGCTCTTAGCAATTTCTCTCTGACTCTATTTTTATCCCAACCCCCACCCTGTCTAACTTTCATTAAAAAATATGTGGTTGCAGTACAACTGACTAAGTTTCATTAAAATAATTTTGGTTGGAATACATACTCTACACGGCATCTATATGTCCCTCTACTGACTTCTTCACAGTCATACTCTGGCTGGTCATAACCTGTAATAAATATAGCAGCACATAATTCATATTCCAGAAAATGTTCCAGTTCCAACACTCTAGTTAGTCATGACTCATAACCCCTATTGAACAAAAAGAAAACCAGCATTGCTACCATTTGATTTCTGGTGGTATATATTGAATATAACTAAGCAATACTATAACACTTTTGAAGAAATTGAAAAATACATACAATTCAAAGAAAAATAGCAACCACAATAATAATATGCAGAGTTGTTACCTTCTCTCTCAAACCATCCTCTTAGAGATTTTTTGGGGTCATCTATGTATAGTTCTTCATCTTTAGGATCAGGGAGAGCAAATGGGTTGTCTCCCTCGGTCTCCATGGCATCATCATCTGAGATACAAGATACAAAAGTACATCAGTATACACATATCAAATATGCTGATTTGACTGATTTGACTTTTTACCTTTTAATGAAAATAATATTATTTTTTCAATTCATTATTTAAGTTTTACATTTGAAAATAATTCATGTTCAAGCACCAAGTTCAGTATTTCAGACAAAGAACGACTGTTACAAACCTATGCCCCAGGAACAGCCATCATTGCTTGATTCAATTCGTCCAACACTTCCTTCAGATTTTTCCAACTCAGCAGCTTTCAATATTTCTAGCTCATTCTTTTGACGTTCTCTCAATTCCTTCATCTCCGTGATTGACAACTCAGATTCCTCCTCCTGATCTTCTGCTGGACCCTAGAGTTATAAATCAAATCATTGTAAAAGGCTAGTAAGCTGATAATTGGATGATATTACATATCTCAAACAATTAGAGGGATGAATAATGATTCAGATTAATATACAATTTTTTTTTATACTACATAGACTTTGAACACGAGCCTAAGAGTTTTCCAAGTAATTACCTGTAGTATAAATAACCTGGTACTTCCCCCGAATTTAACCATATGGCCAACTCTGAGCCTGTAATAGATTCTTGGGTTAAGTTTTACTTTGTTCGCCCATGTGCCATGTGTACTATCCAAGTCATACACATACCAGCCTGGCTGGTGACGTTCAGTAGGGGTACTGCAATACTGAATTACTGCATGATATCGGGACAAAGAAGGATGCTCTAAAGTTACATCACAGCTTGGTAATCGTCCAAAAACATAATGTCCCTTTGATGTCAAATCTATTGTATCGACAATCTGTCCAGATTTTAGAATATCGAAGGTATATAGCTGCTCAGGAACACCACTCCAAATTGGTTCTTTGTAGGGAATCATTACTTGGGCTTGTTTTCGCTTTTCCTCTGATGAAAGTTCTGGTGTGGGTTTTAATTTTGGAGAATTATTGATTTCCTTTTTCTTGTCACTGTCTTTTTGCTCAGAATTTTCTGAATCTTTGATAGGCTTCATTTGTGTAGTTTTTTGAACGTCATCTACCTTTTCCTTTGCAAACACATTTGGCTTTTTGAAACCAGGTCTTTTTCCAAAAACCGGCATTTTGAAATTGGTCGTGGAAATTGGTGGTTTCGAAGGTTCGCTGGAAGAATCCTGCTCCATCGCTGCATTAGGATGCTGTACAATGTTGTTGTCCTTATTTAATTCAACACTAACATCATCAGAGAGGTTTGCCATAGTTGCAAATCGACGAAATGTAGACGAACTTCTGCTTCGAACTTTTAGTTTGTTACCCAGAATGCATTGGGAGCCTCTTTAATATTAACAAACTCACCATATACTTCATAACAAATATGCTAATAAAGTATGTTTTTGCCGCAAAATATTCCATAGATACCCTCAGGAAAGTATCTGTAATTAAAGATACATATTCAAAGAGATATCTATGCTGAAAAAGAAGTAGGTCAAATATTTGTTATTATTTGAGCGGCATTTGGACATGTGAAGTATGAACCAAACTCCAAGTAAGAAATCTAAAATGAAGAGAAAGGGGAATGATTTCAGACCGAATCCATCGTTCAGTAAAGAAAGTGCTTCACCAAGATCACCGTATGTTGGTGACCCAAGGCTTGTGCCAAGGATCCAACAGGTAACGTCTTGTCAATCTCAAAGCAGTCAAGGTCTCTAAAATATGGTCTCAATCTTAGAGATTCAGACTCCCTTCCATCAATGTAAATTCAACATAATACATGAATAGTTGGAAAGTTTTATAATTTCAAAATGTCCACCATCTACTTCGGAAATACTTTCCAAATGGCTTTTATGAATGTTACCAAAGTGATTGTTGATCCGGGTTCTTTGGATTATACATGTACATGTATGTTACTCGAGTCTCTAGCCAATACTCCTATTCGCGATAAGAGTTCAGGTGGTAATTTACATAAATATCTCCCATGATGCATCGCTTTGGAAGGGACAAATTTTCATTGGCCCGCCGAACGAGTCGATTACTCTGAACGTTTCTCAGCTTCTGATCTTCCATCAGCCCTCAAGCAAAGTTATATAATCCAATCTATTCAATAATCAGAAAGATAATCGGAGATTCAAAGTAACATTATTTATATTTTTCGATCTTCGATGGCGTCTGAGCAATTTCTGGGATATCAGTGACGTCACTGGAATTGGACGGCATTTTCAACTACACATTTCTTCGGATTTGGGGATTATAGCTCAAAAAGCTTTGTCATATATCTTAATTACATACATACCTATCGTTTGTGCAAATGAAACTCTACATAAATGTTTAATAGAGCCGCAGTGCGGCATTGAAAATAGCACCCCTGTGTAATCCAATGGGAAATAACCCGGATGTAGACGAAGTTGTACCATACATGAGAGCTCTTCAAACGAGAGGTAGCTAAACTGAACGAAATTAAACGTTATCGCGTATTGGTATATTCTTGGCTAGAAGTAATTCCATCTGGAACACCGTGAACTATTGTAAAATTTCTAGTCAGGGTTCAATAAATTTAAGTTATATTATAAAAACCATCATGTTATATCTCATGAATTGAAATGGAATTGACTGGGCTTCTTGATGAGATATTGCATGATTTCATCAGGATTTTGTCTAAAATTAAAACTAATGGCTCCAAGATAAATGGCGATATTCAAAAAATGAAAAAGAAATGTTGTTTATCTGACATTAGTAACTGGCTGTAAATTCTAAGTTCGCGATCCAGAAGATGTGAACTAATACATTGATCACTCCATGTGTGTTTTGGAATTTTTAGTGAGGTAATAAGACCAAAACTCGCAATTCAAATTGAGATGTGGAAAAATGGCGAACATTTGATTTCAAATTTTATGATTAAGACATGACCCATATACAGCAACATGCCTCACATCCGGCAGAGTTAAAAACATGGAGAGATTTATCTTTGGACGAAGGCCATGATATAGCAGCCTTAGAAGAAGGTAACATGTACGTGTATGCCACCAGTTTTGATCCTACATGTAAGGCCCTAAAAATCTGAGATATGAAAATAATGACAGTTTTTATACTTTCAGTACTTGGACAATAGGCCAGATAACCAAGTTATCAATGTTGTTACCATGGCAGGTGAACTTCAGGATAAATATCCGTAAGTGAGAATTATTTTAAATGCCAATAGTCTAATAGTCATTTGTCAAAATACTGAAATGAGAAATTGAAAACGAGAAATGTTCTCTTTGCGATCATTATAAACATATTCTTTAAAGCTAGTTTCAGATTTGGAACTAAAATGTAAATCAGCCAACCCCATGAATTAGATGTTGTTTCTTGTTTCAGAGCCTATGCCAGGAAGAAAAGGATAGCATTTGTGAAGCAAGTTGAAAAGGGTAAGTTTTATTGAATAAAAAGAATAGAATTCAGTCAAAGTGATATCATATTTGAAATTACATTTAGAAACTGGGTTTTAAAAAGTGTTTAAATCAACTTTAAAAATTTAATCTTAAATTTAATTGAAAATATGACTTTCAGGTTGGGGAGATTCCCAATAGACCATGTGTTATAAATCCAGAAAAGTGAAATATTTTCTTGAATTGAACAGATATTATTTTCTTTTACTGGACATATTTTAATTTGTATGACTATCAGATACATAAGCGTTATATGAATTATGAATATTGAATCACTAAAACTAATGAATATTCAAGTGTAAGGGAACTTTATAATGCATACCCTGCCATGTTACCTACCCCAAATTAGCCACCTGGTGGTGAAAACAGCAACTACTTACTCGCATCTAGGTAATTGAAGAAGATTAGCAATATCTTTACTAGATATTTTTTGAGGGGACAATCATAACCTTTCACTAAAGATTGGAAATGTCATTGACAATATGTAATATTCGTCTATATCCTATGTTTTAGCATATAACATTATATGTGCGGAGGGTGATTTAGAAGATACCATAGAAGATAGCTCCTGTAGTTTAGAGGAAAAACACCTGGCTAAAAGGAGAAAACAAATAGACGAAGGGTAATTCAACATTATGACTCTATGAGTTAAATTATACAATTTTCTGTATTGAAAATAAATAACATTGAAAATAGTCCTGCATATCAAATTAAGAAACAGATGGAGCCAAAGAATAGAGAATAAATTTAAAGAAATTAAGAAAATATTGTAAAATTTTGATAATTTTTAGAAAGTTGCTCTCAACTCATCTCAAGTCTTTGTTGCACCTTTAAGTACATGTATTAATGAGTCCCATTGTATTCAATATGATAATTATTTATGATAATATATATTTGTTACAGCCCAGATAATGATGACAGTGACACAAGTGCAAGTTTCTCTGATAACGCAGAGTATGTCACATATAAGGTAAGATATTTACATGTCACAAGTGAAACATGTATTACATATAAGTATAAGTTGAAACACCCCAAGTTGTATGTAGAATGAATTGTGTATTGGAGGAATTTTTTCATGCATTTTGCTAATGTTTTATATCTAAGAAACATCAATACATTCTAGAAAACATGAGAAATTCCATACAGAATTTGAGCCAATAGAAAATCCTCTTACACATTTGAATATGAAAATCGTGTTACCTTTTACACGAAAAAAGAAGTCCTATACAGTCTTTAATAGTTTGTAAATCTAATCTCAAATTTGTAGTCAGAAAATAACTGCATTAGCTTTTCTGCCTAGATAAGAATCTAACATCCATTTCATATTCTAACTCCTATAAAGGCCATATAAACTTCAATTGAGGCCATTAAGATCTATCAGCATCAAAACTAAGATCTTACATTTGTTTTTGTCAGAGGGCAGTGTGCTTAGTTAATGGAGATTCAGGGTGATCTAATGTGATTCTATTTCCAGGATACAAACTCAGTGAACAGCTTACTCACAAATCTCTACAACAAAAATACCCCAGGGTCAAGGCCAAGTACTCCAGGTTCAAAGCCAAATTCAAGGCCAAGGTCGCCAGTCTCACAGCCTGAGTCAAGGTCACCAATTTCATTTCCAGGCCAGTCTGAAACCCTAAGAAATAAAACTAAATTGAATGACAAAATAAAGGGAGAAAAATTATCTAATGGCAAAAGAAAGTCTTTTATTGGACAGAAGAATGTGGAAACCCCTGAAGCTAAAGAGGAGGATGATATCATTGAGATGTGGACAATAGATAGAAATGGTGACATCCAAGATCAATCCACTTCTCAAAAGCCAACTCCAAAAGGCTTAAAAAATCCAACAAAGCAACTCCCTGGTGGATCTAATAATAAAAGTGACAAAGGCTCTAAAGCTGGTCTGAACACTAAAGCTGGACCTAGCTCTAAGACTGGGAGCAGTTCCATTATAACTACAGACTTATTTAATGTAACTAGCAGTCAAGTCCTAAGTAACACTCCCACAATTTGTAGCACAAATATAGCTAACATTTTGGATGAGAAAGTTCTCGCCCAACAGTTGATGCCCCATATTCAGTATATAACCCCAGAGACAGCTACTTTGAAAACTACTGAATATTTAAGGAAAAGCATGAACTCTAGTCAAGATCAACTCTTGAAAAATCCCGATATTAGCAACATTATAGATATAGCTGACTCTGCACCAAGTACCCCTAAATCATCAGTTGACGATGGTGTGGATATTTCAGCTGAAACACCTTTAAGGAAGAATGATAAGGAGGCTTATGTGTCTTTAAAAACGCCAAAGTCTGTAAAGAAGAAAAAGAAAACTGGAGAACGGGAAAAAGAGACTGAAAAGAAAGGGGTCGCTGTCCAACAATCGCAGGTGAAGTTTGCAGATATTGGAGGAAATGATTCAACTCTTAAGGTAAAGTTTTTTCCTAGAAATAAAATGACATGTTATAGATAGATGGGCATGATGCAAAAACAAAACAAAATAATTAATCTTAATCAAAACTTGAAATACTGTTTATTCATAGAGTATGTACTTATTCACAATATAAGACCAACTTGACTTGAGTGATATAAGGTTCATCATATTTCAGCAATAAATGGAATGATGCTATGTTTATTTGTTTTAATTAAAAATCATTATTTCTGAATGGTCTAGTTTAGAGGACAAAATACTTTTATATGATATTATTCATGAATTTTTCAATATAACATTATTTCTATTTTCTATTTATTTACAGGAAATCTGCAAACTACTGGTTCACATGAAGCACCCAGAGGTCTATAGACAGCTAGGAGTCACCCCACCTCGAGGATTTCTGCTCCATGGACCCCCAGGATGTGGCAAGACCCTTCTTGCTCATGCAGTTGCAGGGGTAAGCAACAACTGTCCAGTTTATATGAATACTGTAAATGTAATATTTGATTTCTCGAGACTGTTTTGTTGATTTACAATACTATAATATGAATCCTCATGAATGTACGACAATGTTTTTCAATCTGTGACAATAATCTGATTTACTTTTTGGTCATAAAGTTTTGTCTCAATCCCTGTGTGACTTCAGTCTTTTTAGAATGAACAGAATGATATTTTCATACATTGCATCATACAATTATGATCTTTATTTCTTAAATATAAGTTATCAGGTAATCCTGATCAAAACTGTTCCAATTATCTCCCTCTGGGCCTGCTCATATGTCACACCCTGGGCCTAGTTATCTTTTGATTATTTCATGCAGCCTTTTTCTTTAGGAACTTGAAATGCCATTCTTGAAGTTGGCATCCACTGAGATTGTGTCTGGGGTGTCAGGAGAGTCAGAAGAGAAGATTAGAGATCTCTTTGAGAAGGCAAGGGTAAGTTATGCAACAATCCTTACAAAAGTCTATACTGTTATTCATACACAATAAAAACCATGCTGAGAATTAACCTCTATCTCACATGTTTATTTGGAATTTTGAGTTTTTAACTTCAAAGGGTGATAAACCTTCTAAAAAGGGAGGTTATATTTCAAGAGATCTTTAGAACTATAGAGTAAACTATCTTGGCACTGTTTCTAACTTTTTATTTTAAAATAAGATATTTTATTTATTCCTATTGGCAATGAATTCTTAATATATTTCATTGTGTAATTGTAGGCCAGTGCTCCTTGTGTTTTGTTCATTGATGAAATTGATGCTATTACACAGAAAAGAGAAACAGCGTCTAAAGATATGGAGAGACGCATTGTCTCACAGCTTCTCACTTGTATGGATGGTAAGAAATCTTCATTTTTTATTTTAGTATGATGTTCAGGGTGTCAAATGAATACGTTGTCCCCCCCCCTAGCTTTAACATCCACATAATGTTGAATTGATTTTGTATGGTATCTAAATTGTTCTTAAAAACATTAAAAGTAGGCTTCATGGAGCAACTCCACAAGAAGTTTCAGATGACTAGCTCAACTAGATGCACTTTAATAAACAAAAGTTCATACTTTTGATATAAGAGGGAGAACATATTTATTTGACACCCTGTAGCTGATGTGATGGTAAGTTGCCTATACATGGAGTCATAATGTATATAAAACTCAGTTTTCTAAGATGATAACCTTTAGCTTAGAGATCCACATGGGATTAAGTGATTTGGGTATCATCATAAATCTCATCTGCTTTAAGATTTAAACAGTGCAGTGAATGCTCCTGTGCTTGTGATTGGTGCAACTAACAGAGCAGATTCCCTGGATCCAGCCTTGAGAAGAGCAGGCAGATTTGACAGAGAGATTTCTCTTGGAATCCCCAATGAAGCAGCAAGAAAAAGGTATTTCTGTTGATATATGCATAAAGGAATCAATTAAAGTACAGTTCAATATAAGCTAAAGTTCATGACATTGTACTGTCATACATGTGTATAAAAAATTGCATATATTTGGTAACTGATATATTTCTTTATTGAATGTAAAATGAAAATGTGCCTGCAACTGAAATTTATGCCGTTGGTCAACAACTATCTAAAATCCAATTCTTCATGTTTGTAGTATACTCGAGGTGTTGTGCCGAGGCCTGAGACTTGCTGATGATGTTGACAATGAACAACTAGCTCGTGATACACCTGGATTTGTGGGTGCAGACCTTCAGTCATTAGCCAGGGAGGCTGCTATGTCAGCTGTTAACAGGTATTGTACAGAAATACTGAAAGTTATTGTAGTGTACTATTAGAGACAAAAATAAAAGAATAGATTAATATGATAGCCTTTGAGTATGGATCTGATCTCCATCTATATGATCCCTGTATTAATGGATGGTAAATCAGTGATCTCCTCTCCTGTATATGTTCACATGCTTTCCAATCGTCTAATTCTTTGGGGAATGAAAAAGCCATTGATATTTTGGTTATGCCCCTACATTTGAGTTTTGTTTGTTTCAGTTTTGAATTATGTTATTTTCAGGATATTTAATGAAATAGAAAATAAGCAGAAGCGTCAAGCTTGTAATAACATTACCCTGGATGAAACTCAAACAGAGTGTGACCTTATAGTGATAGACAATGATGTTAATGCAATAGATGTGGACAGTACAGATGTTGTTATCGCAGAGGTGGAAATTGAAGATGTTGATGACATCACTGAGGTTTCTAAAAAAGATGAGATTTGTTCTCCTAAAGAAACAGTTAATGACTGTAGAGCTACAATTAGTAATTGTAAAGAAACAGAAAGTAATTGTAAAGAAACAGTTAGTAATTGTAAAGAAACAGAAAGTAATTGTAAAGAAACAGTTAGTGATTGTAAAGAAAAGGAAAGTGATTGTAAAGAAACAGAGAGGGATTGTAAAGAAAAGGAAAGTGATTGTAAAGAAATAGAAAGCATTTGTAAAGAAACTGTCAACAATTGTAAAGAAACAGAAAGTGATTGTAAAGAAACAGAAAGCAATTGTAAAGAAACAGAAAGAAATAGTAAGGAAATTGGTAGTGACGGCCAAAACATTCCAAATGACACTAAAAATTTATCAGAACAAACTGAAACAAATGTTTTATCAGATGAAACTTCACCACAAGAGTGCAATGTTAGTGAATTAAAATTGGACTCTAATAGTATTAATGATAATGGACAGTCAGCCAAAGGGGATGATAAAAATAATTCTGGGGAAGTGAATAAAACTGAAGATACAAAAGAAAACGGAAACTCCAAAAATTGTACATTGGCTGCTAATTCTAGTCCTAAACAACAGTTGAAGGATTGCAACAACCAATCAGATGGTGTATCCCATAATGCATCAAATGGTAATGAAAATGAAAAACAAACTGATGTTGAAATCATTAACATTGATGGTTCAAACTTAGACAACAGCATTGAAGAAATTAAAATTAAAGGTGAAAAAACTAATACAAAGTCTATTGAAAAACAATCTGAAATAATTGGAAATGAGACTACAAGCAGATCTGAAATTAGTATGGAAGTTGACGATTCTGATTCAATTACCGCTGTTAAGAAAATGGACCCAATCAGCAGTCAATCTAAGGAACCTGAGAGTGGAGAAATAGAAATATTGCTTGAAACTATTGAAGCTGATGCTGATGACAGTTCCAAGGAGTCTGATGAAGATGATATTGCTGATGTCACAGAACCAACTGAAAAAGAACAACTTAATTCAGGTAAAGCACCCTCAAATAAAATATCATGGCCACCATTTCATGAAAATTATGATTAAATGAGCAAGCAATGTTGTGAGAACTGAAATATTAAAAATATGCTTGATGGAAATTAGTGGGTGCAGTAGCTTGTCTGCTAAGTAGTTTAAACCAACCCAACTTGTAAGATCACCATTCATTTCTAAGGTATATCACGAAAGGTCAAAGTTAATCTTTAACTTCAAAAACAGCGGCTGCACTTAGTCTAACTTATTACATTTTTTGTTGTAGTATTGTCATGGTTACGAGACTCACCTCCCCTCTCCGTGGAGCAACTGGAAAACTTAGCCATAACAAAACAAGATTTCAAGGTTAGTAAACAACATATCATGAATTGACAAATGGTTGATCCCTGTTTTTGTTTGCATATTTATTATATACCTCATGTGTTTATTTTACAATTAAATTGTCAATGAGAAACAAATATTTCGCAGTGTGTCCATAAGCAAATGCAATGCTCTCCCTGGAATTTTTGTTTATGTGATTTTATTGTTTTAGAGCAACTATTAGAAAGTCTGTGTTTGTAACAATGGCAGTTGTTGACATAATGCATGTTGATGCCTTGTCTTATTTTTAGTGTAACATTTTACAAAGCACAACAAATTATTGGATGAGAATTTAATGTTATGAATTAAATAGAATTGTTGCGCCATAGAGGTTCCGATGTGAGGACAGCCCTGCATTGTATATTTCTATCATTCCTGTGTATGCTTTTGCCTCCAGGATGCACTCAAAGTTGTCCAACCGTCAGCCAAGAGAGAGGGCTTTGCCACTATACCTGTGTATGCTTTCACCTAATACCCATGACTCATGGTTTATCCATTAGATGATATCTTTATACATGTTTTGTATGCTTTCACCTCCAGGATGCACTCAAGGTTGTCCAACCGTCAGCTAAGAGAGAGGGCTTTGCCACTATACCAGATGTGACCTGGGATGACATTGGAGCATTGAAGGAAGTCAGAGAAGAGCTACAAATGGCTATACTGGTAAAGTACCTTACATTAACATTACATTGTTGGATTGGTGGAATGTCTTAGTCTTCCTATTAAAGAAATACACTGAAACCTGTTAAGTGGAACACCTCTTGAAGTGGAACACCTCTGTTAGTGGAACACTTTTCAGAGTCCCAAGACCAGCTGATTTAATGTTAAATGAACCTCTATAAGCTGAACACCTCCCAAGTGGAACACTTTTCAGAGGTATCAAACTAAAGGTGTTCCACTTAGACAGGTTTTACTGTAGATGAGGGGTTTTCAACTATTCATTAAGGAATAATACTGCTACTCTAAAAGTTGAATTTGAAACACTCAAAATGCAATACAAATTGCATTATTATATTCTCTAGGCACCTGTTAGACACCCCGAGCAGTTCAGATCTCTAGGGTTGACCAACCCCCCTGGTATACTTTTAGCAGGTCCCCCTGGCTGTGGCAAGACACTGCTGGCCAAGGTGAGTAACACCCTAATTAGTAATTATCAAGTAGATAAGATTATAAATAATAATATTTATGATTGAACATGTGTCTTAACAAATACTACAAGACAGGAGGTACACATTCTCAGAGTTCCTCAATAAATGTTCCATAGTCATTTTTCAAATATAATTATATGTAATGATTCTTGTTTATATTTTCTTTTTGCTTATTTTGATACTTTGAGGTTAAAGCCAGAATCAGATTTAGGAGCAACCTTTCCAAAAACTTGTTTAAACTAAAAAAAACAAAGCTCATACTTATTCCAAGGAAACTAAATATTTATATGAGGGAATTTAAACAATTTTGCTTTTTGAATGAATCTTGAATAACTTCACTATTTTACAAGCATATAAGAGATCATACTAGTATATCTTTTGAGATGCATATTTTAAATGGTATACTAAAGCATACATCAGTACATATTATTTGCAATTTTGTCACCGACAATATCTCATTCAATTCTATTTTATTTTTTTCATTAAATAAAATTTGGATTCCTTTTGAAAAGATTTTTATACTCTTTCTATGGCTTCTACTTCCTTAATGTCATGATCAGTTATATATTTTTCAAAACGCTCTCAGGAAGGCAAATGTCATATCCTCGTCTGTTTGAAGCATATCTGATTTGCAGTAACTAGGGATGTCAAAGATCTTGGTGTCATGGATTCCAAGCGTCACATTTGATATCACGATAGCTCCCATTGTTTCAAGCCCCGCACCTGTAAATAAAAGTTTCAATGATTCACTAAACAGGATGGGCCATAAACAATGGGACACTGTATGATTCACTAAACAGGGTGGGCCATAAACAATGGGACACTGTATGATTCACTAAACAAGGTGGGCCATAAACAATGGGACACTGCATGATTCACTAAACAGGATGTGCCATAAACAATGGACAACTGCATGATTCACTAGACAGGATGGGCCATAAACAATGGGACACTGCATGATTCACTAAACAAGGTGGGCCATAAACAATGGGACACTGTATGATTCACTAAACAGGGTGGGCCATAAACAATGGGACACTGCATGATTCACTAGACAGGATGGGCCATAAACAATGGGACACTGTATGATTCACTAAACAGGGTGGGCCATAAACAATGGGACACTGCATGATTCACTAAACAGGATGGGACACTTCATGATTCACTAAACAAGGTGGGCCATAAACAATGGGACACTGCATGATTCACTAAACAAGGTGGGCCATAAACAATGGGACACTGTATGATTCACTAAACAGGGTGGGCCATAAACAATGGGACACTGCATGATTCACTAGACAGGATGGGCCATAAACAATGGGACACTGTATGATTCACTAAACAGGGTGGGCCATAAACAATGGGACACTGCATGATTCACTAAACAGGATGGGCCATAAACAATGGGACACTTCATGATTCACTAAACAGGGTGGGCCATAAACAATGGGACACTTCATGATTCACTAAACAGGGTGGGCCATAAACAATGGAACACTTCATGATTCACTAAACAGGGTGGGCCATAAACAATGGGACACTGCATGATTCACTAAACAAGGTGGGCCATAAACAATGGGACACTGTATGATTCACTAAACAGGGTGGGCCATAAACAATGGGACTCTGCATGATTCACTAGACAGGATGGGCCATAAACAATGGAACACTGCATGATTCACTAAACAGGGTGGGCCATAAACAATGGACAACTGCATGATTCACTAAACTGGATGGGCCATAAACAACGGGGCACTGCATGATTCACTAAACAGGGTGGGCCACAGAGTGGGTTATTTGGTATTAACTTAACAATTAACCCGATTGACCTTAATACTACACTAAATAAGTAAATTAAGGAAATCAACTACCCAAGAATGGAATTGTCGTAACCTGTATTTTACTGAAAAGTAGGTTTATTGATCATGTTAGTTACAGATTCATTGGTATGATTTTCAATAAAACTTAGGAGTATTATGTTAGTTACAGATTCATTGATATGATTTTCAATAAAACTTAGGAGTATGTTAGCTACACATTCATTGGCTTGATTTTCAATCAAGGTTTAGAGTTTTAATCACTCATATAGCTGGGTATCCTAATATTACAAATGATTTGATTCCTTACGTTCTGTATTGACTTCCCCATAAAATGAGTCTCCGACAGGGACACAGTTTTCCGTCACCAACAAATCATCTGTCAGCTGCATCTGCTTGTTCGCTATCCTCATCTCCCACAAGTTGACCTTCAGTTCTTGCCCAATAGTGAGTGATTTCAAAAAGGTGTAATCTGTCTCATTCAGACATCTTGGAAGTTTCTTGGCTTGGGTTGCTTGTTCAAAACACTTTTCTTTCTCTGGGAGGATAATGTATTTCATCTGCTTGTTGTAGTCCACCAAAATAATGATTTCTTGTACTATCTTTGGCTGACGCAACTAGATCAATAAACAAAGTAGAATATACATACAAGTGCTACTACTTTGAAAATATGACCCCCACCAATCAGAGTTCAACTTTCATCCATATTTTGTATGACCCTTAAATTATATGGAACTAATACTTGTTCTTGTAACATGCGTACATAGAGATGACAATTTAAGAGTAAATTGAACTGTTTCATTGGCATAAAACTTCATACATGGTTTGTGCAATTAAATATTACTGATTTGGAATAAAAAAAAACTTTGTATTTTGTCTAGAGTATGAAAAATGTTTGAAAATGAAACAATATTTCAGAAGTGATTCAAGAATGATAATGACCATTTGATACACTTGTTGTGCCACTCTGTTGTTTGGGCTGTCATACCAAATATGGCCTTCTTGTACAAACATCATAGGGTGAGCTCTGGACACCTTTTGCTGGAGGACAGAGTTCTCACTAAAGTCTGCTTCCCATTCTTCGGGAAAACAACAAGGCTCTGGGTCTTTGGGAATATATTGAAATCCGGGGGCTCCTGACACCATGGCCATACACAAAGCTAAAACTAGACTGTGTATCATCTGAAATGAAATAATATATGTTTGTACATAAACTCCGATGGCAGTGTCTCGGAATAGGCACTACAGCAAGCAAATGTAAAATATCCAAAATTTGCTTTTTTCACCATTGACATGTTCAATTCTCCTTTAAATTATGATATATATATATTTCTATTACTTTGCTCAATCATTATTTTGCCAAAATATTCCAAAAATCATGAAATATTAGAAGGAATCTCTGCAAAAAGAATATTAAGGTAAAATTTTATAATAATTCCCCACGCGTGGTTTTATCAATTAATAAGTGATACAGCCAATCAAGTTCTCTGGATTTTCTGATCAAGTGGCAGGAGCATGGGGCAAGAACCAATTACGTCAATTAATTTAAGTGAACCACCTCATTATAGTGGAAGCTGTGACCAAAAACTTGCCTGTCGCAGAGGTATGATGAAGACTAGCAATGCCACATAATATGGTTTGCACATTGTAAAATAAAAGTAACAAAGCTGATTACATTTCACTGTAAAATATGTTGGATGATGAAATTTTGAAATATCTGAATTAAACAGGCTTAAACCAGCCAAAAGCACTTCCTTATTTCATTTTTACAAGTATATGAATATTTAACCGTAATCACGTTTTCCACAACAACATCTGTGTTTCAATAAAAATAAAGTTTATGAATTAGGCATTCAAAAAGGTTCGGGGAGCATAACGATCGGTATCAAGTTTATTCAAGTTACTGAACTGAAATCTGGATTATTTATTTGTTGACAGTTCAGCTGTATTTTCTAATAAAAATACAGTACAAAGTGCAAACAGTTTAGAACTGATTTTTATCCCATCGAACGAAGTTCGGAGGGATATAGGGAACGCCTCCGTCCGTCCGTCCGTCCGTCCGTCCGTCCATACGTACGTCCGTCCGTCCGTCCGGGCAATAACTCAAATACCATTGGCCCGATTTTGTTCATATTTTGTACACATATACCCTATGGGGGTAGAAGTTCTGCTCGAAAGCCGATCTTTAAAATGGCCACTCATTTCAAAATGGCGGCCATTTTAGTGCTGAATTTACAGTAATTTAGGTGCAATATGTAAAACTGTAATAGCAATATGTTTTAGATGTAAAAAAATTATATAGGACATTAATAAAGCTAGAAATGTAGATATTAAAGAAGCACATGGCAACCATCTTGAAAAATGGCGGTCTTTACTCGTTATTTTACGATTTTTGCTGTAACTTGAAAAGTAGTGGAGCGATTTTGTTCATATTTGGTATGTGAATACTATAAACATTGCTCACTGTCTAAAGACACCTTTAGTAGAAGGCAGCCATTTTTAAAAAAATAAACGCCTTTTTTCAAAATGGCCGCCATTTTAACGTATTTTACTATAACTCGAAAAGTAGTGGAGCGATTTTGTTCATATTTGGTATTTGAATACTGTAAGCATGGCACACTGTCTAATGACACTTTTGGTAGAAGGCCGTTATTTTGAAAAATGGCTGCCATTTTTGCTATATCCTTTGTTTGCAAAAATGCCCTCTATGGCTGTTCGATGGGATTCGCTGCGCTTTGGCGTTGCCGTTGTTCTGGTTTGTATTTAGGCATGCTGGGTAAATCATAATGTGGTTATTTTGGATTTTTGTAGCAAAAGAAGCATATTTTAGAAAAAACAAGGATGATTTGAAATTTTTCGGGGAAGTTTCCTGGTACAGGGTGGTCAAAAAACGGCAACCCTAGTTTCTCCTCATATCTTTGTCATTTTAGGAAATTTCGCCCTGATATTTGGCACACATGTACATCAATTTTCTACTAGACCACTTTAATTCACGAATATTGGACTAATAGTCTCAATGTTACAGCACTTTAAACAATGTGCCTCAGTTGGCCAACATCATACTATCGCCAAACCTGCACACGTTTTCCAAAGTTGTCAATGATCTAACTGCATTCATCAGCAAAGTATGGCCTGAATAACATGTGGGATCACACTTTTGAGGTCTAATGTTGTTCTGTTGTCATTCTCCTACACTGTATATTTGGGGTATCCCCATTGGTAAAAGTTTAATGGGGCCATATCTAGGCTATGGGGTGCCCATTCATTATTTGTTGTCATGCTGCTAATGTGGTTATTGAAGTGGTCCCAAAGCCATTCTAGTGCATCATTGAATATATGGGGCATGGCTCTGTTGTGTTGGAACAACTGTTGCTGCCTATCAATCCCCGAGTTTACCTAAATACCGCACCCCCCCCCCCCCACCAGAACTTCCTGAGAATCACAATATATCATTCAATGTTGATAGTTATTGCATTTTCATAAGGTAAAGGACTCTTTGAATGATGTACAGATCATATCATATCAGAGAGTGATTCTCTAAAATGACAGAGCTATGAGGAAAAATAAGGGTTGTCGTTTTTTTGACCACCCTGTATGAATCTAAAATGAGAAGTTTTGGGGCATTCTAGATACATTTTAAAAAGACCATTTGGATTTTTTGTCTCAAAACATTTCTACAGGTAGAAACCAAATTGTAGAAAATTTACACCTGATTACTTTAACCATGGGCTTTCAAGACACCCATGCTTTAACCCCTCATGATAATAACAAACTACACAATAATCATAATATTGCCAAACTTTGGGATATTCACCCATCCTGACATTTTATTCAATGGTGCAAGATTGTTCACCATGTGTATTACATGTAAATCAAACCAAATGGTTTTGAAGGATGTAGAGATTTTATTTGTAAACAACACCTTTCAGATAAAGTTAATATGAGTATAAATGAGCAAATAATATATCTTTGAAAGCAAAGTGTATCTAAATCAGACCACAATCACAATATAAGGCTCCAATTGTGTGGGAAAGTTTAAACAGATTTTATCTATAATCTTTGAATGAAAGTTACATCACTATAAGGAAAAAAGGAAAAAAGGAAAAAAGGAAAAAAGGAATTTTTTGAATTTTCAATTTACATTTCTCTAAAAGTATGGTAATACTAATATAAAGGAAAGAAAAACTCACCTTGACTATGCCAGCAGTTCAGCAGGTCTTCCAATGTAATGTTAAATGTAGTATTTTAACTTTATTTACTCTTCCTGGTGCCTTCTATTTAATCACCTTCAGAAGGAATGCTAATAGTCATACTTTTTTCACATTTCAACTGTTATTTTTGCGTATAAGTTTATGCATATATTGTATTTATCCTTGTCCTAGTGATACGACTGAATACTTTTGGAAGACACAATGTAGAAGTTAAGTCAACCTGACCATAATTATATAAGCATGAAGGACCATGTGTGGGTTTATTTCTAAGAATTAAACACTAAGAAGTTGAAGGAATTGAAATTGAAAGAAAATGTTTTAAAAATGATCCATGCGTTTGTTAGATTATTTTTCTAAAAGTGATATTTTCTGATTGTTAATCAGGGGGCCATCAACAGAAACTTTGTAAAGTTAAGAATTTGTAAAGTCTATTGTTCTCTAACTGTGACGTCATTATAACCATGGTTACTGCAAATTTGATTTACAAATTTGTAACTTTATAAGGTTTCTGTTAATGACCCCCAGGTTATTGCATGTGGTAATTAAGTAATCAGTGTCGTTTTCCAATTTAAATTTTTTGGAGGTTGGAATTCTCTCAGGTGGTTATTTACTGTAGACTACATTCTTCCACAGCTGTGGATTCTTCCAATATGCAATCCTATGTATTTACAAACCCATGCATGTAATACCATGGGCTTTCAACATCTAGTTGAAAGCCCATGGTAATACTAACAAAAATAACATACCTCAAAAATGCAAATGATAATGACTCTCTCATATACAATTAATTATGCATGAAGTACCCTTGCAACCTGGCCTTTAGATTTTCATTTCTTATTGTTTTATTTGGAATTAAAAAACAAGGATGAAAAGCAAGTCTGCATCAAACTAAATAATGTTTTAACTTTGGCATCATTTAAATTAATTGCTATTAGAATACTACTACTACTTCAAACAAAGCTCGAACTAGAACTAGACCAATTTTGCTTCAAATATATTTTACAATTTTTTTAATGTGTTCCCAAAGCTACCGTACCTTCCCACTATATGCATTGTACAGGGTGTCCCGAAAGTATGGGGCCCCCCCCTAGGCAGACATATACCAGTGTCGTCATAGTATGTGTCATATATCATTTTAAAGCTTATCCAAAGTTACATTGATTCACCAAGTATCATGGTTGAACTCTCAAATGTGAAAAAATTACAGACATTTCAAAATTTAGTGTTTGGTCAAAATTAAGTTCAATTTTACACCAAATCAATAGTCAATGTGTTCTCCCGGGCCATCTTAGCAGCAGCAATTCTTTTTGGGTCGGAGGGGTATTGAGTTGGAAAAAGAGAACGGTGAGGGTAGAAACTGTAAGGAAACTCTTCTAAAGTGCCTTAACAGGTTTTAAGAGGGTTATAAAATTCCACACCCCTATTTGGAAGGGCTTTTAAGGTCATATTTGAAAACAATTGCTGCTGTTAACATGGCCAAGGGGGGACTCATTGACTAGTAATGTGATGAAAATTTTTTTTTTTTTTTGACAAAACACTAACTTTTGAAATAACTGTAACTTTTTCCTATTTGGGAGTTAAACCATGATACTTGGCAAATCAATGTAACTTTGGATAAGCTTTAAAATGATATATGACACATACTATGAGGACACTGGAATATGTCTGCCTAGGGGGGGCCCCATACTTTCGGGACACCCTGTATATGACTTTTGATTTCAAATAGACATTTTCCTTGATAAAGATAGTACATGTACAGTATTTCATAGAATTAAATTTGCACTTCATTTTCTGTTTTAGGCTATTGCTAATGAATCTGGGATCAACTTCATCTCTGTGAAGGGTCCTGAGCTGTTAAACATGGTGAGAATAAGTATAATATTCAATAAGTCACATCACTCATATTTAAATAGCAGTGTGCGTCATATCCACTCAACAGTAGCCCCAGGCGGATATAAATAGAGTCGAGTGTAAAATTGAAGTGACTTGCCGCCACATTTGGTCTAACATGAAAAACATGAAATTCGCCATTGTTGAATGTTATAGAACAAAGTCAATTTAAAGTACTTTCATAAACAATTACCTAAGATGTATTTAGCAGTGTCATTTGATTCAAATTGACTCAAACTCTTGGTCAAAAAACATGAAATGCCTACTGAATGTTAAATCTAATAGACTGAGATGTAACTTGTTTCTCTCATTTGTAGTATGTTGGTGAAAGTGAGAGAGCTGTTCGTCAAGTATTCCAACGTGCCAGGAACTCATGCCCTTGTGTCATTTTCTTTGATGAGTTAGATGCCCTGTGCCCCAAGAGATCTCACGGGGGAGAGGTATGTATGTAGTATGTGAGTGCGGCCAGGAATTTCAGAATTTCCTAAAAAATGGCTGAAATATTCACAAAAACTAGAATTCTGAAAAAATATTATATTGTGTCAACCCTGTTGAAATTGTATTGAGAAATACATTATCTTTGAAGATGTTTGGATCAGTATCATAAAGGACAAGTAGAAGACAAGTGGAATGGATAGCTAAATATATTCTGAATTCCCCATCTTGATTCACAAGGCTTCGATTGTTCCTACCTCACTTTGATAAATCGGCCCGATTTAACCGACCACTGGGTAAATAAACCCCAGCTGAGTTCAATCTCAATATTGCTCCTCCTGGCAGTTGGCACAGAGTTTTGTGAGATGCCACAAAACCAATCAGCCAATCAACGATGCGATATTTATTCAGACATTTCAATATTTTGTCACATGACGAAGCAGAGCGTTCTGATTGGGTCCGTTGACTTAACACTGGGCCATGAACCGCCACATATGAATGGGACGAACAAATTGACCTTTTATGCCACAGGGTCTCTCGACCCAGTGGAAAGCGACGATGGAATTCCATGGAAGTTTATAAATTGATAGAATGCTCTTTGTGATGCAGTATGTAATTCTGCAGTATAATTGAAGTAATAATTTACATTATTTTTGGATTTGTGCTCATTAAGATCTGACCATGTTTTTGTCTGCTTTTTACAGGGAGGGTCAAGTGTTCGTGTTGTTAACCAGTTGCTAACTGAGATGGATGGGTTAGAGGAGCGCAAACAAGTTTACATAATGGCAGCCACCAATCGACCAGGTACTCTTCCTTATAAATACATGCATTTTATCCTTTTTATCTTTTTATTTCAATTGTGAAACGTGAAAGTGGATGTAAATCTTCAATTTATTATTTTTTCATGTACATGTAAAGGAATACAATTGAACAAGGAATACAATAATTCTACCATATTACATATTTAATGAGGTCACGTGAGAAAGCATTGCACTCTCAACAGACATTTGAAATAACAGTGTGTTGCAGACACACAAATATAACTTTTTTCTCCTTATTCCAGACATTATAGACCCAGCTATAATGCGACCTGGTAGATTAGACAAACTTTTGTTTGTGGGGATGCCAACAGTAGAAGATAGAATAGACATTCTCAATGCTATTACAAAGGTGAACAGCATTTTTTATTCACTACCACAATCCTGCTCCCGGGAATTTTTTCAAAAGTTTAAAAATTTTAAAAATTTAAATTTCAGAAGTTTAAAATTTTTCAAAAAGTTTAAATGTTACAATTCTATTGTATTGAACTGAAGGAATATTATGAAAATGTTAAATATAAATTGTGCTTTTACAGTATAGGCCTATCTTGTCATTTGAAAAAGGTGGTAAAGGTTATATGTACCCCAAACCCACTCAAGTATGAGATACACCAGTTATGTACGGTCGGTTTTGGATACAGTGTTTATCCCGCGGGAAATATGCGTATCTCCCTCGGTCCCTGTGGTCCCTCTTGAGATACACATATTTCCCTTGGGATAAACCTTGTATCCAAAACCTCCCAGTACATAACCCTTATATATTTTGATTCATTTACCCGGTACCTCATGGTATTTACATTAAAAAATGATTTACAGTTTTTCAGAAGTGCTTTAGTTTAATGGACCTAATGTTGACCTCAAATACACTCATTTATTGCATAGATAATGTTTAGTGTTGGAGTTCGGACTGTTTTACTTCAGTGATATTGAATAAACATTCATATTGCATACTTATTGTTCTAGAATGGAACCAAGCCAAAATTCCAAAATAATGTGTGCTTAAAAGAGATTGCTGGTCATGAACAATGTGGGCATTACACGTGAGTATTAGTGGTTAAAATACAAAGCTAAATAATCAACTAGAGGTGTATATATTTGCTTGATGGTGAAATAAATCTAAAGGGCTCACATTAATATTCTTAATTGTGATTTTTCAAAAATGCTAACATAGGGCTGTACGACACAATTATATCTACATAGGTGTTGCCTTTGAAACATCTACAAATTTAATGCTTTTTGATGAACCTATTATTTACATTTGGTGAAACTGCATAATATCTAATATCTTTGCTTCTGGTTCTCGACAAGACTTTTTAAGCTTTCTAGAAATTAGAGAGAACTGATCAAATCTCTAAAACCAAAAACAGATTTGACACATTTATATAACATGGCTTTGTTTGAATATTCATGAACTTAGTATGAACATTATGATCAAAATAACATGACATTATATTCATGGGGGATATTAGCTCGGAAATACAGGAGATGGCAAAGGGGGCTCAAAATTGAGGCAGTCAAGGGTTAACTCTATTCTTGTTTGCCCTTTCAGAGGAGCAGACCTAGCTGCCTTGGTGAGAGAGGCTTCTGTAGTGGCCTTGAAGGAGTTCATAGCATCAGAGGCTGGTTTAACTAAATCCCCTGTTAGAGTAGGGAAACAACACTTTGAAGTGGCGTTTCATAAAGTGAAGCCATCTGTCTCTCAAAAGGTAGGACATGTGTTTAGGGCCATTTTAATATTTAATCCATTCAGGTAGGTCCTCTATCAAGTAGGGGATCTATTTTCTAGTATGTAATGCAGAAAATGTTCAGTCTCCTCATAGCATTTACTCTGTTCTCCTAATAGATTAAGTTGATAGTTTGCTTATTTAGGAACAAAAATATTTTTCAATGGTTTGAAAATCATTTTCCAGGATAAGGCAATGTATGATCGACTCAAGATGAGATCTGCAACAGACTAGAGACCCAATATCCTCTTAATAAGATGTACAAGACAAATTGTGTAGTGACCACTTGGAGAGACACATTGGAATAAAGGATGATGAAGGAATTTACAGCATTCCTTTAGGGTGCCTTATAGGACCAATGGACTTCAAGTCATGCCCAGATTACGAGTTACAGCCATATCTTTCCATCAGGATAATGAACAAGACTGTCAGTCTCAATCAGGATGAAATGGGCTAATGGAGCAAATATTCGGAAAGATTTTGAAGTCAGAAATGAAATCTCCTATAGTTGTTAATGGCCTGCTTCTCACAAATATAAATAATATATTTTCAAAACAAAAAATTAATGCCAACATTTTCATTTCTTTAATTGGAAAATTGGGAAATTATGTTAACAATGACATTCAGTCAATGTTAGTATTTAGAATATGTGAGTTATGACTGACATGTACATTGCAAATGGTGCTAGCTTTTTCTGAAATGACTTGGAATTTGACAAAATGGAGGTGATTTATTAATAAAGATACTTGTAGAAAAAAGTATTTTTGTGTCACCACCAGGAAGGACATTGTGAAGTATTGTTACAGCCACCATTTTTGTGGCTGGCCATTGGCATCTGTGACAATTGTCACTTTTGTAACCATTTGAAATATCTTTCCATGAAAATTACATTTTGAGAGGATCAGGCTGAATCTACATTGATGTATGCATCAGGAAAAAAGTTGTTTCATCACCACCAGAAATGGTGACATATAGTTTCCAAGGAAGGAAAATTTTAATTGTCATATCTACATTTACTTGTATTGTCGTGAATGACATTTTTGACATGAGGAAATATTGAAACGGTACATTGATTATGAAAATACAGTTTAATTCTTATAAACTAAGCAACAATTTATTTTTTCAGAAAATCATATATTTCAAATACACTTTATTTACAAGTAATTATACATCAATGAGATTTAAGGATAAATACAGTTTTAACTGTATAATTGTTCAAATTCATATACAATATTTTTATTCCTCATACATTTTTCAATGTATTCACTTTGAATAGAAGCTGGACGTATTATGTAACAAAACTAGGTCAGCTTCATTTTAAAATATGAACCATTTCTCATTTTGCAAAATATTAGCTAAGGATTCTAATGACTTGAACTGTTTACAAAAATACAATTTTGAACTGCCAAATATGATGGATTCTTGTTTTTGGCTTATGCATGTATCGGAACAAAAGATTGAGTTTAAATGAATACAACCTTATTACTTTTAAATAACTATGTGAATACTTATTTTCATTCATATTCTTTGTTATGCAAACAAAAGTTTATTTCAAAGAATAAGTTAAATAAGGTCCATGTTTCAACATGGATCTTTATTTATTGTTCTTTTAACAATTATAATGTCACCACTATATTGTTATAGTCTCTGAACTTTTTTGAGGGCAGTGTTTGGCAATCAGCAGTCTGTGTTCAGCATTCAGAGTTCAGTGCATGTAAAAAATGACAAGTGGTGACATTTTGCATGTTAATGCCTTGTTTACATTTATTATCATATGGTCTGGCCAGGAATGTCCTTTTAATTGTAATTTGAATGCTACTCTGGAACCATCATAACAGTTTATAGGAATCCTAAATTATCATCTGATGTTATAATACTATATTTATTCTGATTAGCAAAATAGCATAATTGCTAATGTAAATGCTTCTCAATTACATGATACAAATATAAGTACAGAATTTAAATACATGCAGATACAATAAAGAAAAAGCAAACATATTACAATGTACCTGGGTAGAGAGGACATCTCAAGTTAGACAAAAAATTAAAATCTCTTCGTACTTTTTATGAACTTGTGTAGTGCCAAATCAATCGTTAGTTATCATCAACTGTTAAGAATTTGTTCCCAAAGAGAATTGTGTCTTTGATAACATTTTGAGAGTTAAGGTTTATATGAGGATTTTCAGCACATACATCATTTAATGTATAAAGCATATCGTTTCGTTGGTCTGTAAAGTTTGGACATATCAGTAGGTAGTGAGAGATGGTTTCATTTTGGATTCCGCACGAGCAGTTAGGAGAATTTACCTTCTCCATTTTAAACAAATAGGAATTGAGAAGGGTGTGGCCGAGTCTCACACGTGCGTGTTGGATATTAGAGAATCGATCGCTGATGTTATATAATTTTATAAGATACTTTCCTTTAAGTTCTCCGTAAATATACTTGGATAGTTCAAGTTTACATTTCGTAAAGTTGATTTCATCTTTTATCTGTGTAGTCAGGTCGTTCCAAGCACGCGCTGTTGAAGGTATAAATGAATTTTTGTAGTAATTCGTTTTGAATTTTACCAGCTCAAACGAGTTTGCAGATCTAAGTGCATATTGTGTCCAAGTATTAACTCGGTTAGGCAACAGCGATTGGTAATGATGTGGGCATTTGCCATAAACAATTTTACAAAAAGTAAGAAGTTTAAAATAACGTCGTCTTAGTTTCAAAGTTGGCCATCCCAAATCGCCACATATAATCTGATGATTAGTAGTCCCTTGTTTCCTTATCTTAAAAGTGACGCCTTGCATGGATCTTTAAATTATTATTACGTGAAAAAGCTTTTCCACACAATTTACACTTGTATGGCTTCACACCATTATGTACATTTTCATGCAGTATTAAAGAATGATTACTTGCAAAACTTTTGTCACACAATTTACAGTTGAATCGTTTCTCTCCAACATGAGTTCTTTTATGGATCTTTAAAGCACATTTTTGTTCAAAACCTTTATCACATAATTTACACTTGAATGGTTTCCCACCAGTTCCTTTATGGCGTTGAAGATAATTAAAATCATTAAAGATTTTATTACATATTTCACACTTGTATACATCACTATGCTTAATCATATGGGTTTGTAATAAAGTGGAATTTATAAATTGTACACCACATTCATTGCACTTATGCCGTGATAGGTTCTTTTGTACAGTAGCATGTGTTCTTTGTAATGTGGCCAAATCTTGAGTAGAATCTTCTGTACTGTCTATTTGCATGTTACTGCATCCTGGTTCAACAACAATTACAGAGTTGCTATAATTTTCCTCAACCTTAACTGCACTGTTATAGTCAGGAGCAATTATGGTGTCTTCATTAATATCATGGGTGTCATTTGACATAACAGGTTCAATTTTAATTGTTGTAATGTGAGATTCACCATATTCTTCACTGTCTGGTTCACATTTAATATTTGAATTTGAAAAGCAAACGTTTGGATCTAAACTGGTTTGACATTTTTCTTTAGCCAAATCATTATATTTGTATTCTTCATTATCTGTAGATATATCCCCATCGTCTTTTTCCCGATCCTTGTTATCTATGGGTTCAACCTTAATACTTTTAAGGACATTTTTGTCTATATTTTCTGATTCAGTAGTATTTGATGCAGCTTGGACATCATAGAGTCCATAATCGTTGATTTTTTCCTTGAGCCTTCTTGAGTTCTTTGGTTTCTGTGTGAGTCTATGAGTCTTTTCATGATTCTTAAAAGCACATTGTAGTTTAAAACATTCATCACATTGTTTACACTCGAAGGGTTTCTCACCAGTGTTAGTTGTCTGATGGTGTGTAAAACGAGAATGAGTATCAAAACTTCTACCACATTCACAATGCGATGGAAACACATATGCATGTTTTTCTAGTAAATGCTTTTTCAGTAAATTTGAATTTATGAATCGTACACCACAAACATTGCATTTATAAGATGACAACCTTTCTTGCACAATATCATGTGTTCTTTTTAGTGTGGATATATGTTCATTCAAGTGTTTTGAACCATCCATCTGTATGTTACCCATACCTTGATCAACAGTGAATGCAGTCTTTCCATTGGTACCCTCTGAATTAAGCTCAGTTTTATGATAACCAGTAATTATATGGTTTTTAACAGTATCATCGGTCACATTAATCTCGTCAGGTTCAACTTTAACCATTTCAGTGTTAGATTTAAAACATTCCTGGTCAGTATCTGATACCAGTTCCACTTTAATATTTTGAATGCTAACTCCCAAACTAGTATTGTCACTATTCTGATTTTTGTCATCTATAGATTTCAAACTTTTAAGAAGATTTTTGTTTTTGTTTTCTGCTTCCATATTATTTGAGGCATTTTGAACATCATGAAGTCCATATAGATCCATTTTATCTTTGAGGGTGAGGGGTTTTGTGTTATTAACATGAGCATCATATTGGTCTGATAATGGATTATTCATGCTATTTTTAGGATACAGTTTATATTGAGACCCTATATTTTGAGGCCTTGTAGGTCCCTGCACTATATTAGCAGGTGATAGTACATATTGTATTGTATTTTGTGATAACATTTGGCACTGAAGCCTTGTAGGTCCATGTATTACATTTTGGGGAGGCACCTCATTCTGAGGCCTTGTTGTTCCCTGTACTTTATTTGGAGGAGTTAGCACATACTGTATTGTATTTTGAGGAGATACTATAAACTGAGGCCCTGTATGTCCTTGTATTGCATTTCGGGGAGCCTGTAAAGCATTTTGGGGAGGCACCACAGATTGAGGCCCTGTAGGTCTTTGCACTGTACTTAGATGAGAAAGTATATATTGGTGCCTAGTAATTCCATGTAATATTTGTTGAGATGGCTGCTGAAACTGAGTCCCTGTAGGCCCCTGTATTGTAATTGGGACAAACTTGGTTTCTATTCCAACTTTACTCACTTTGGCATCTTCATCAATCCTTTGTTTTTGGATCTTCTTCTCCATAGTCAGGATTCTGAGCTTTATTCTAAGTATTTCCTTTGTATCCTAGTTAACTTCAGACACACCACACCTGATGTAGAAACTGAAAATACAGGATGTAAATTTTGAAGGTTATACTCTGCATATTAGGTTATCACATAGAATATTTGATGAGAGTAAAGAGGGTCGAATGCCCCAGGATTCAGAGAAGACATATCTCTATAATGTAAATGTGTATTGAGAAGTCAACTTGACAGGCAAAGGACATAATTTATAATTGGTTCCAAAATTTTCTAAAAATAATATATTAACCTCTGGCGTGTTAACAAATATCATAGCTTGTTACAATTTCACATCAAGATAAAGAAAGATGCAATGTTCTATACCTGATTGTGACTATAAGTTACGGAAGAGGGAGGGCCTTTCTTGTTAACTCTTAATATCTATATATTGGGACTGTAAGGGGATTTGGTACTTCTTAGTATGATTTAAAAGGTGTACTTCACTGTCTGACTCTCACTATGTTAATGTCAAATTGTCAATCTTATAATCAAATAGACAGGAAAAAATTCATTGAGTAAATCTTAATTGAATTTGATGACAGTGTTACACATAAACAAATTAAAGAGGCACTGTTATTTAGGGAGCAAATATGGTAATTCTTAATATCTATACATAGAGACTATAAGTTAGGGAAGGGCGAGGTGCATTTTGAAATTCTTAATATGATTTAAAAGGTGTATTTCATGATTATTTGTCACTATAGTAACTGCCAGACTCTGACCCTTATTATGTTAATGCTGAGTTTTTGACAAAATCAATATTTTTCTGGACAGTTCATAACATCTAAACAATGAGTATTGATTTTGGAGTTAAAACCCCTAAGGTTGCTGAGTTAAAATGATGTCTATAGGTATTTGGGCTTTGAAGAGCTTTCGTTAAAAAATCATAACTTGGAAAAGTTATTTTAACACACATCTTTCAGTAAGCGATAATTCACACTAATGCATGACCTTCATCCTCACATGTTATTTTGTCAAAAATTAATAAATGGTTGATAAATAGAAATGAATTCATCAATGCATGAAAGTGGTTCAGAGGAAAATGCATTTTATACTTTTAGTTCACATAGAAACCAATGGTATCGTATATTTAAAACATAATATATTTCTTCTTTTTTGTTCATTTATTGCTTCAAATATAATCAATATACAGATATACGTATGATGCAAATCTTAAATCACCAAAAGACATTGTATAAGAATGTATAAAAAACAAGAACATAATATATTCTTCTCAACTAAGTTAGACAATCAACATTGGTTTATTTTAGAAAAGACATAAACACATAGACATTTTTTCTAGAATAACTTCTAATTTAAAGTCATAAAAAGTAAGTGAATGATAAAAAAATTAGTACCGTGGGTACTGGGCTCACATGGTGTTGCTCAAAAGTGAAAAAAAAAACTGATATAATTTTTTGCTGATTTTTTGTGACAAAATTATTTCATACAACTACTCTTTACAAAGACATGGCTTTTTACAATGCAGGACACCTGAACTTATTTGTAAAGCTAGGCCAAAAGTGAATTTCCCGAGACAAAAAATGGTGGCCATTTTGAAAATAGTCGAGATTTTGAAGCAGGAGTCACAGGGTTTCTTTCTTTATTGATGTTGAACAAAAATATTTTAAATCGGGAATCCTATCAACAGAGGATTTAAAAAGAGCCAAGTTTTGAAAGACAGAGGTTTTAAAACTTGCCGCTATTTTGGACTGACTGAGAGACAGATGGACAATTCAATGTTAACTAAAATGGCTGAAAAAAAAACAAAAAACGATATAATATTATTTGTAAAGCTAGGAAATGGGCCAAAAGTGAATTTCGCGAGACAAGAATGGCGACCATTTTGAAAATAGGCAAGCTTTTGAACCAAGAGTCATAGGAGATTTTTTGTAGTGATGCTGAACAAAATTAACTTAAAACAGGAATCCTATCGACAGAGGGTTTAAGGCAAATGGTCCAAAAGTGGATTTTGCGAGACAGATTGACAAATCAATGTAAACTAAAATGGCTAAAAATGAAAAAAATGGATATAATTTTTTGCTGATTTTTCGTAACAAAATTATTTCTTACATCTACTCTTTACATTGACATGGATTTTTACAATGTAGGACACTTGAAATTATTTGTAAAGCTTGGAAATAGGTCAAAAGTGAATTTTGCGAGACAAAAATGACGGCCATTTTGAAAATAGGCGAGCTTTTGAACCAGGAGTCATAGGGGAGTTAAATGTATTGATGTTGAACAGAAATAACTTAAAACAGGAATCCTATCGACAGAGGTTTTAAAACGTGCCACTATTGTTGACGGACAGACAGACGGACGGACAGACAGACGGACAAGTGAGCGATTGCAAAAGCTCACCATGTGAGCTAAAAACAGCAATGAGGCTCATTCATTTTAGTGCCAATGAACTTTCAGTCCAACAACGATTGGTGTTTTAAAATCACTGATTGGTGAAAATGGTTCACTGTACACCAAGACTCTTTGAATAAAATCCTCCATTTTCAAACTCATGAGTGCTACATTCAATAAAAAATAAAACAAAAAAGCTTTAATAAAACACTCATGGATATAGTAAAATAGAAAAGATATTTATTCTTTTACTTCAGCTTGTGAATTATTTTCCAGATCGTCAAACAAAAAGTTATTTACAAGAATGAATTTTTTCATGAACCTTTAAATAACTAGGAGAAAAACATTTACCACATACATTACATAACTGTGGTTTTTCATAAGAATGGATTGTTTGATGGTTCTTTAGTGAGGCAGCAGTTGAAAAACATTCAGCACATAGTTTACACTTAAATGTGTTTCTTACATAGTGTCGTGTCATGTGATACTTTAAACTTTTATTCTGTTTGAAACACTTATCACAATGTTCACACTTGAATTTTCTCTCACTAGTGTGATTCCTCTCATGTTCCTTTAAAAACTTTCTATGAGTAAAACCTTTATTACACACTTTACACTCAAATGATTTTTCACCAGTATGGATCGTTAAATGACACTTTAAATTTTCAGGACGAGTAAAAGCTTTAAAACATATTTGACACTTAAATCGTTTGTCTACATTGTGAGCTCTCTCGTGGACCTTTAAAGTAGAACTACTTGCAAAACACCTAGAGCATACTGTACACTTATAAGGTTTTTCTCCAGTGTGAATTCTTTGATGAATCCTGAAGTAGCTACCCGTGGAGAAACATTTTTCACATACTTTACATTTGAATGATTGTTGCTTTACTTGTTCAACAGAGTGAGTTCTAGCATGGATCTTTAAAGAGCACTTATAATCAAAACGTTTGTCACATGATATACATTTGTATGGTTTTTCACCAGTGTGAATTCTTTCATGGAGCTTCAACCTGCCAACACGAACATAACATTTGTCACACCATTTACACTTGAATAATTTCTCATTATGATGAATTTTTTCGTGGAATATTAAAGAAGAAGCATAAACAAAACATTTCTTACATCTTTTACACTTAAACGATTTCAAACTAATGTGAGTTTTTCTATGTGCCTTAAATGAGTTTGCAAAAGCAAAATATTTACCACACACTTTACAGTGGAAAGGTGTTTCACCAGTGTGAATTCTTTGATGTTCCTTTAAACCACTTATATAGCCAAAGCGCTTGTCACAAAGTGTACACTTGTATGGTTTTACAGCATTATGTGTTCTTATATGGCACCTTAAACCACTTCGATAAGCGAATGATTTTTCACAGATTTTACAGTGGAAAGGTGTTTCCCCAGTATGGATTATTTGATGTTCTTTTAAGGCACTTTTGCAACCAAAACGCATGTCACAAAGTGTACACTTGTATGGTTTATCACCTTTGTGACTTCTTGCATGGCACTCTAAACCACTACTATATTCATAGCATTTTCCACAAACTTCACATTTGTATGATTTTCTTTCAGCATGAGTTTTTATATGAATCCTTAAAGCACATTTATGTTCAAAGATTTTCTCACATACTTTACATTTAAACTGTGTCTCACCAGTGTTAGTTCCCTTATGGCGTGTGAAATTATAAAAAGATGTGAAGTATTTAAAGCATATTTCACACTTGACTGGATATATATCCTTATGTTTAACCTCATGGTTTTGCAGTAGAATTGAATTTATGAATCGAATACCACATGTCTTGCATTGAAAATATGGTGACTTCTCTTGTACACAATCATCTTTTTTTTGTATTACTTCTTGAGTAGAGATCTTCATACTATCCATGTAACTACATTCTTTTTCAGCAGCGAATACAGTGTTGCTAACAGTCTCCTCTGTCTTAATTGCAATGTGAGAATCAGGAGCAATTATGACATCACTAACAATATCCTTGTCCTCATTTGGGTCCATTGGTTCAACTTTAACAGTTTCAATGTTAGATTCAAAACATTTCTGTTCACTATCCAGTTCCTGTTTGACATTTTGAATGCAGTCGTCAGTTGTATGCTTATCATTGAAATTTTGATATGTGTCATCTATCGGTCCAACCTTCACACCATTGATTATGTTTTGTTTACGCTTGTTTGGTTTTGGTTCAGTATGAGTTTTTTTATGAATCCTTAAAGCACATTTATGCTCAAATATTTTCTCACATACTTTACATTTAAACTGTTTCTCACCAGCGTTAGTTCCTTTATGGCGTGTTAAATTATTAAAAGATTTGAACATTTTAAAGCATGTTTCACACTTAACTGGATACATATCTTTATGTTTAACCTCATGCTTTTGAAGAAGTATTGAATTTATGAATCGAATACCACATGTTTCGCATTGATAATATGGCAAGTCCCCTTGTTCATCATCCTTTGTTTTTTGTAATTTCAATACTTCTTTAGTAGAGTCCTTTATGCTATCCATGTTACTACATCCTGGTTCAACAGCGAAAACAGTGTTGCTAACATTTTCCTCATTTTTAACAGTAATGTGAGAATCAGGAGCAATTATGACATCACTAACAATATCCTTGTCCTCATCTGACTCCATTGGTTCAATTTTAACAGTTTCAATGTTACATTCAAAATGTCCTTGTTCATTATTTGGTTCCTGTTTTATGATGCAGTCAGTTGTACGCATATCATTGAAATCTTGATATGTATCATAAATAGGTTCAACCTTCACATTGTTTTCTGCATTTTCGTGTGTGCTTTCTGTTGCAATAGCATTTGATGCAGCATGAACATCATATAGTCCATAACGATTTGTTTTGTTTTGGATGGTTTTGGAGTTTTCAATATGACCATCATATTGCACTAACAATCCATATTCCGATTGAGGCCTTGTATGACCAATTGTATTTTGGGGAGACACTACATTTTGAGAACCTGTAGGTTCTTGTATTGTATTTTTGGGAGACATCACATATTGAGAACCTGTACATTCGTTCATTGTATTTTGGGGAGACACCACATATTGAGAACCTGTAGGTCCTTGTATTGTAATTTGGGGAGACACTACATTTTGAGAACCTGTAGGTTCTTGTATTGTATTTTGGGGAGACATCACATATTGAGAACCTGTACATTCATTCATTGTATTTTGGGGAGACACCACATATTGAGAACCTGTAGGTCCTTGTATTGTATTTTGGGGAGACACTACATTTTGAGAACATGTAGGTCCTTGTATTGTATTTTGGGGAGACACTACATATTGAGAAACTGTAGGCCCTTGTACTGTATTTTGGGGAAACACCACATGTTGAGAACCTGTATGTCCTTGTATTGTACTTTGGGGAAACACCACATGTTGAGAACCTGTATGTCCTTGTATTGTATTTTGGAGAGACACCACATGTTTCGAACCTGTATGTCCTTGTATTGTATTTTGGGGAAACACCACATGTTGAGAACCTGTATGTCCTTGTATTGTATTTTGGAAAGACACCACATGTTGAGAACCTGTAGGTCCTTGTATTGTATTTTGGAGAGACACCACATGTTTCGAACCTGTATGTCCTTGTATTGTATTTTGGGGAAACACCACATGTTGAGAACCTGTATGTCCTTGTATTGTATTTTGGAGAGACACCACATGTTTCGAACCTGTATGTCCTTGTATTGTATTTTGGGGAAACACCACATATTGACAACCTGTATGTCTTTGTATTGTATTTTGGGTAGACCCTACATATTTTGATGTAAACCTCTGTATTTGTTCAACAGGCTGTTGATTCTGAGTTCCTGTAGGCTCTTGGGCATCTAGTCCAACTTTACTCATTTCAACTTCTGGATTTATCTGAACGTTCGCATCCATAGTTGTTAATCAAGTTCTTTTGTGAAGTTGTTGTCTGGTCATTTACTTCAGATGCACAGCAACAGACGTGGAAACTGGAAATACAGGATGTTACCTTTTTAGGTTATGACCCTCAACATAAACAGTAAATTATATAAATATATATTTTTTTTTATAATTTTTTTTATTTCAAAGAATAAGCATGTTAAAGCAATTGCAAAAAACAATTACAGTACAGTTACATGGTAAACCTACATTTAACAATTTTACAATACAGTATTGGTTAAATATTTAGTCTTTAAGAGACGTAATACCATTGGCATTTTTTTAATTGAAAGATATCTGCCAAAATGAATAATAGGAATAACAAGGCTTGATTGACTAACAAGTGCCATAGGCTGACAGACATATGCATGCCTGCATAGTGAGGGACTTTTGGTATGTAAGGAAAATAAGAGAGCTTCCAATAAATATGGACTACTTTGGTGAACTAAGGAAGCAAGGGTATCATCTGTAAATGGTATAATTCCCAAGGGCTCTTGGGCTATTATGACATCTTCATAGTGTACATGCATTTTTCATTTTATCATGGTTTTTACAATAAACAAAAGCAAATATGTTCATTTTAAGTTTTATTTTAATATAATGAATAGATTACAACTGCAAAATATTAATGTTCTACTTTTACATAAGTAACTTCCATAATGGCCCTTAAAATAATTACCATGTGTAAACTATTTTATCCTATGCCAAGTAGAGTTTTAGGGAGATAAGTTGGTAAGATATATCCCGTATCCTGATTTTGAGGTTTCCATATCCAGAACCTCCATATCTCCCGTCATATCTCCCGCTTCCGGTAATGCAATAAAATGACTTTGCATATGAATGATTTGTTTATTTTTACACCTTGTACTATTGAAATGGCCATATGCCCCTGAAAACTCAACTTGGTATAGGATAAAGTAGTTATGTAAGGTCGGTTTGGATATAGGGTTCATCCCTCGTGAGTTATGCACATCTACCTTCGGTCCCTACGGTCCCTCAGGTAGATATGCATATCTCCCTCTGGATAAACCCCATATCCAAAACCTCCCAGTACATAACCCTTATATATTGTATAGCGTGCACATTGCATAAGTAGCAAGGAATATAATAATCAAAAGTAAACATGTAAACATTTATTGTTGAGATAAACTTGTTGCGAATTGGGCAAAGATATGAATACCAATATGAAATAATTGAAAACTGTGTAAATAGTATGTGCATGTGATACACCTATCACATTTGCTCTGATCTTCAACACTGGCGCCTGGTTGATGAGCATTTTGTTAATAACTGAATGCAATTTTGAACAAAATACTCATCGGCTGGGCGTCGGTACTGAAATTTGAGAAATGTGGCCAATGCAAAACTGGTATTGCTCTCTTATGATGTTAAATGACCATTAGAAGTAAAACACAAATCGCATACTTCACATGAATGGTTTCTTACCAGCATGAATACTTTTTAATATGTCTTTTTAAACAAATGCATGTATTAAAACAGTTATTACCCTGTTTACACTCAAATGTCTTTTCATCAGAATCAGTTCTCTCATGACAATTTAAAACACGAATGTAAAGAATACATTGACCACACATTGCATACATAAATGGTTTCTTCCTATGAGTTCTCTGATGATATGTTAGAGAACTATTGCTATAAAAACATTTTTCACCAGTATGAACCTTCTAATGAGATGATGTTTTAAGTTACCATTACTAATAAAACATTTAGCACATTCTTTACACTTAAATGGTCTGTCACCAGAGTTTGTTCCTCCATGTATCATCAAAGAAACACTGACTAAAACACCCATCACATTGTTTACACTTGAATGGTCTGTCATCAGAGTATGTTCCTTCATGTATCATCAAAGAAATACTTTGACTAAAACATCCATCACAGTGTTTACACTTGAATGGTCTGTCATCAGAGTGTGTTCCTTCATGTATCATCAAAGAAACACTGACTAAAACATCCATCACATTGTTTACACTTGAATGGTCTGTCATCAGAGTATGTTCCTTCATGTATCATCAAAGAAATACTTTGACTAAAACATCCATCACAGTGTTTACACTTGAATGGTCTGTCATCAGAGTGTGTTCCTTCATGTATCATCAAAGAAACACTGACTAAAACATCCATCACATTGTTTACACTTGAATGGTCTGTCATCAGAGTATGTTCCTTCATGTATCATCAAAGAAATACTTTGACTAAAACATCCATCACAGTGTTTACACTTGAATGGTCTGTCATCAGAGTATGTTCCTTCATGTATCATCAAAGAAACACTTCGACTAAAACATCCATCACAGTGTTTACACTTGAATGGCTTGTCACCAGTGTGAATTCTTTCATGAACCTGTATTACACTACCACAAGAAAAACATTTTTCACATATATTACATCTTTACTATCATTATCTCCCCAAAAAAATTTTCAACTGGGTGCAAGATTTCAAGTCTGAAAAAATCAGCACTCGCTACGCTCACAATATCTCAGTGTAGGTGCTTACTTCACTCATTTTTCAAATCAGAAGTTAAAGTGCAGATTCCAACTGGGTGCCAACTGGGGGGCCCTTGGTTTCAAGTAGGGGGAGCCCCCGGTAAAAGTGATATGGGGAGATCAATGCATGGTGAGTTCCTTGATGGTATATCAAAGAAGTATGCCTGGTAAAGCATTTATCACACTGTTGACATTTGTGTGGTTGTTCACCTGTTATGAAAACTTTGGTGGATTGTTAAAGATTGTTTAAGTGTAAAGCACTCACCACATATTTTACATTAGAATGGCTTAATCACAATAGTGTGAGATCTCTCATGGCGTGTTATATTACTCTTATACCTAAAATTTTCACCACATATTTTACATTAGAATGGCTTAATCTCACCAGTGTGTGATCTCTCATGGCTTGTTTTATTACATTTGTACCTAAAACACTTACTACACATTTTACATTTGAATGGCTTTTCATCAGTGTGGGATCTCTCATGGCATGTTATATTACTCTTATACCTAAAATTTTCACCACATATTTTACATTAGAATGGCTTAATCTCACCAGTGTGTGATCTCTCATGTCTTGTTGTACTACATTTATACATAAAACACTTACTACACATTTTACATTTGAATGGCTTCTTATTAGTGTGCTTTCTTTCATGCGCATTTAAGGTACTGCCATAAGTAAAACACTTCCCACAATGTTGACACAGGAATGGTTTTACACTACTGTGAGTTTTTTCATGGTATTTCAAAACACTCTCAATAAAATAACATTTCTGACATGTTTTGCACTTAAATGGTTTCTCACCAGAGTGAATTTTCTTGTGTTTTTCTAAATATCCAGGAGTCTTAAAACATTTACCACATTGTGTACAGATGAATGGTTTCTCATCAGTGTGAGATCTCTCATGGCTTGTTTTACTACTTGTACGACTAAAACACTTACCACACATTTTACATTTGAATGGCTTCTCGCCAGTGTGAGATCTCTCATGGATCGTTTTATTACTTTTATCCCTAAAACACTTACCACATATTTTACACTTGAATGGCTTCTCACCAGTGTGAGATCTCTCATGGATCATTTTATTACTTTTATCCCCAAAACACTTACCACATATTTTACATTTGAATGGCTTCTCACAGGTGTGAGATCTCTCGTGGCTTGTTTTATTACTTTTATAAATAAAACACTTACCACACATTTTACATTTGAATGGCTTCTCGCCAGTATGGACTCTTAGATGATTTCTTAAAGTTGAACCGTGAGTGAAATATTTTGCACATATTTTACACTTCAATGGTTTATTAACTGTGCGTGTTGTTTCAGTATGAACCAATAAATCACATATTTGGCTAAAATATTTATCACATTGTTTACCCTTGTATGGGTTATAATTGTGAGTTCTTTTGTGTGTCTTCAAAGCACATTTTTGGTTAAAAGATTTATCACATATTTTACATGTAAATGCTTTCTTGCCAGTTTTTGTTCTCTTATGGCGTGCTAGGTCCCTTATGCATTTGAAATATTTAAAACATATTTCACATATGAATGGATATATTTCTTGTTTATGTTTTGCCTCATGTCGTTGTACTAAAAATGGATCCATGAATCCTTCACCACATTCATTGCATTTATAACAAGCGAACTCCCCTTGTACATTCTCAAATGTTCTTTTCAATCTTGATACATCTTGATTCAAATTTTCAGAACTGCTGCGATGTTTGTTTTCTTCATTCTCCTTGGACATAGACATATTGTTCATGTTCCAGTTCTTCTTTTCAATGAATTCATCTTTCACACTTTTAACCACATTTTTGTTAATGTTTCCTACTTCCATATTATTTTCTACAGGTTGGACATCACATAGACCATAAGTGTTGGTTTTGTCATTGGGATATTTTGACTTTGAGTTTTCAAATGGTTTCATACCAGTATGAGTTCTAACATGGACTTTTAAAGCACATTTTTGGTTGAACAATTCATCACATAGTAGACATTTGAATGGTCCGGTATCAGTTCTTTGATGATGTTTCAAAGTATAATGAGATTTTAATCTTTTACCACATATTTCACACTTCAATGGATACACACCAGCATGTTTGGCTTCATGTTTTTGTAGTAACTTTGAATTTATAAATTGTACACCACATGCATTGCATCTATAATATGGTGACTTCTTTGTTACAAATCCTTGTGTTTCTTGTAATTTTGATCCATCTTGAGTCAAGTCTCTTGGACTGTCCATTTGCATGTTACTACATCTGGGTCCAACAGCAAATACAGAGTTTCCGACATTCCCCTCTTTCTTGACTGTGACGTTTCCATTTGACTCTCCAGATTCAACTTTACCTGTTTGATATTCTTGTTCACTATTTGGTTCGCTTTTAACATTTGGATAGCATAAATTTGAGTCGTTGTTGCTCTGATACTGATCTCTGTTTGAATCATTATATTTGTATTCAATATCCATAGCCCAATCCTTGCTACCCATGGATTCAACTTTTAAAGAATTAAATGCACTTTTGTAAGAATTTTCAAATGGTGTACTTGGTGGAGTTGGCATATCAAATTTGAGTTTGATGTTATTAGAGTTTACTTTGGCATCATTTAGTATTTGTCCATTAATGATAGCATTATGTTCAGTTTGATACTGAGGCGCTGTAGGTGTCTGTCTCATATTTTGAGGCCTTGTAGGTTCCTGTATTGAATTTTGTTGAGACACCACACATAGATGGCTCATAGATTCCTGTATTGCATTTTGGTTAGATGTCACATGCTGAGGTCTTATAAGTCCTTGTATTGCATTTTGGGGAGACAACGACACCATATATTGAGGCCTTGTTGGTCCTAGTATTCCATTTTGGTGAGACACCAAATATTGAGGCCTTGTAGGTTCCTGTATTGCATTTTGAGGAGACACCACATATTGAGGCCTTGTAGGTCCTTGTAATGCATTTCGAGGAAACAGTATATATCGAGTCCTCTGTACTGCTATATATTGAAGCCCTGTAGGTCCATGTATTGTATTTAGAGAATGCTGTATATGCTGAGGTATCGCAAACCCCTGTATTGCATTTTGAGGAGACACCATGTATTGAGGCCTTGTAGGTCCTTGTATTCCATTTTGGGGGGACACTACACATTGAGGCATTGAACTTTGGGGAGACACCATATATTGAGGAATTGTAGGTTCCTGCATTATATTTTGGTAAGATGTCACATGCTCAGACACCACATTTTGAAGCCGTGTAGGTCCCTGTATTGCACTTTGGAGAGGCACCACATATTGAGACCCTGTAGGTCCAATTTGTATATTGAGACCCAGAAGAATTATGAGTTGTATGCTGAGATTTCATTCCAACCTTACATCAATACCTCGATGTTCAGTAACTTCAGATCCACCACACCAGATATGAATACTGAAAATATAATGTTGACTTTGTATAGATAGTATAACCAACTTTTGGTCTAAATTCATTTGAAACCCATCTGTCTAAATCCCAATGATCAAAACCTCATTATATCCAACTCCAAATTGCCTCCAGATGAAAGGAACAGCTTGACAATAAATAAATAGAAAAGTTTAATATCATTGTTTAATAGAGAGATTTCGCAACTCACTTATAGCATGTTTATTAAGTAATGGATAAACAATGAGTCTTGGGGATTAGGAAAAATAATGGCCAGGGGGCCACTTGTGGTGGTGACATAAAAACCTGAGATATATAAATACACACAACATCCAAGGACTTCTATAATTAAAATTAAAAGTTTAAGTTTTTTGAAGGTTAATTTCTTTGTATCATATAAAATTATTGGAAACCTGGAAAATCAGGTTACTTATATTGAGTCCGGGAAACTGGGCATGTGGACATTGCTGCAATGTATATGTAATGTTATTAGGAAAAGCCATTCAGCTCCATAGCTCAGTGGTAGAGCACTCATCCGGAAAGCAAGGGGTCATGAGTTCAATCCCCACTGGGTTGGACTGACTTATTCCCATCAGCCCTTGGCGCAGAATTTCATTTTGTATATTCATTAACTTAAAATCAATAAATAATTCAATATAACCAACTCAATTTTAATCTATTTGATTTATAAATATATATTTGAATTACATTTAAATAATTACTACATGATAAATATGAAACAATTAGAAAAACAGCAACTCCTGTTAGTAGAAACTCCCATCAAAAAAGATCTCACATCAAATCACTTGACATCTAGAACATATGTGTAAAATTCACAATATCAAAATTGAAGTCAGCTAAATCAAAAACATTCAATATACAAAAGTGATTAATATTTGATGACATAAACAGATTAATGTACATATGATGTCCTCATTATTTTTTCCTTACATTTTGAAATAAAACTGTATTTTCAATTTGTTCCACTTGAAAGGTGTTCCACTTTACAGGTTTCACTGTGTTACGATTTCAGCAAATTAAATGCCATAAATCATTAAAGGGGCACTATGCCATAGGATAGCACAATCAAGACCCCTCTGGACTTTTTTGCATATTGAGTTTCACCATATACGAGGCCCGATCAGAAAGTAAGTAACCAACTGCTCTCATTTTTTCATACTTCATTCAATCACATTGAAATTTTCACAGATGATGTAGAAAATATTAACCTATTAAAGAAGACCAAGGACAATGGGTTAGCGTCAATGCCATTGTTATGGCTGTTGCTATGGTGATGATTGTTTTGGGTAGGTGGGGCACCCTTTTGTAAGCGGCTTTGGAAGATGATTTGTAGAGTTTTTTACATGCTGTATTCCTCCAACTGACCTAACATTTTTTTATGCTAGACTGAATAATTTGTTTTATGTATTATTACAATGGTAACTATGCTCCATTGTCTCATTTATAAGTCATCGACACAAAGATATCAAAGGTATATCTGTCATAATGATGGTCATGATTCAGTCACTGTTTCAATCCAGTCAAATGTTGTTGAAGGGGGATTTTACTGGCATGATGACAATGGTCCACCTCCACAAAGCCAACATTACCAAAGATACAGTAGATTAAGCTTTTTTCATGGCCACACAACTACCCCAGGTTCACTATTCCCCAGACCTGGCCCCACTTGACTAAATTCTTTCCAAATGCAAAGATGTTGTTACGGAGAGTCCGTTTGGACAGCCATAAGGCCATCAATGAAGCTTTCAATGGCAGTTTACAGTCATTTCATGGTGCAATGTTGCATTTCTTTAAGGAGGGAGTGAAACATTCCCTCAACTGCATTGACTTTGGTGGTGATTAATTTGAAGGACTATGTGTTAAAATGTAGTCTTAAATTTGAATTTGATATATTTGGAGGTATAACAACATGTAGAAAAACTCTACAAATTATCTTCAAACGCCACTTAAAACAGGGTGCCCCGCCTACCCAAAACAATTGTCACCATAGCAACAGCAATAACAATGGAATTGATGCTAACCCACTGTCCTTGGTCTTCCTTAATAGGTTAATATTTTCTACATCATATGTGAAAATTTCAATATGATTGAATAAAGTATGAAGAAATAAGAGCAGTTGGTTACTTACTTTCTGATCGGGCCTCGTATATACCCATCTACTTACCAAAGATGAAGTCCCAAATCCCCCTCTTTCAGTGTTTATTTTGAGATTGTGCTGGCCGATCTAATTATTTTCGAAGAAATTAATTCAATCTGAAGTTTGAATATTCTGGGAAAGTCCTCCTGTTATCTGATTTGTCGTTGAATTTTTTAATCATAAAGCTGATTGGCCGTCTGGTTCAAGGCGCTTGTGGGCGTTTGTGTAACTCAATGGGGATTCCCCTCGATAGCCGAGGAATCGATTGTGTTTAATTCTGGAGTTTGGTTGTTCTGTTGATTATTTCCGATATTTCGGCAATAATATACCCAAAAGTTATTCTCAAGATATATCCATGGTATGTGAGATATTATATGAGCAATAACAATAGGACATCATTGATTGTCTCGGGGAGAAACCTATGGCATAATGCATCTTTAAACAAGGTAATCATTTTATCCAGTTACTTAAAGAGGTTAAGAAATTGAATGACAATGCAAATAGATACATCTATTTTATAGCAAATCATTTACCTCATACAACTTCTAATCAAGATAAGGTATGAATGTCATATTCTATACTTTTGGGATATTAACCGTCTTTTAGATGCTGGAACCTTCGCGTTTTTGTTTCTTAGCACATTTCTATATTTCAATTTTGGTTTGAGAATTGGTTTATTTCGTCCAACCCTGTAACTTTCCTTTATTGCTTTTGCATTATTTCTTAACAATGCATCAGACACTTTTTTCATGTCATTGTACAAAAAGGTAGGGTTCTTTTCTACAGCTTTTGAGGTCCATCTTACAAAATGAACAATAATGGTGTTATTAGTAACCATAATCAAGTCATTCTCTTTATACCTGTGAGAAAAGGTGAATAATTTCCTGGTAGTAGCATTGACACCTAATGCATCAACTAAGGCGCCAACATAGGTATCATCTGGAAAGGCAATTGGTGTCCTACAAAACATAGCATTCAACTCAATGGCTAAGTCCATGGAGATTACATATCCTGGTTCAGCTTGAAATGCAGGGTATTTGTTAGTAGGCCAGCGTACAGGGCTTCTGAATTTGTATTTGCCCCTTTTCATGATTGTAGCATTGCGGATAGTTTTCCCAAGGTATAGTCTTGTTGTTTGCTGTGCATGAAATAACTCTGCTTCTTTAATGAGACCACGCACATTCACAACAACATCATGAGTGATTCGCATGATGAGTAAAGCTTTAGAGCAGTATTGCTGAGCCCAACGAAATCCCATTATTGTCTTTTCAGTTAATTTATCATAACCATCTCCAATACTTGCTTGGATTATGTCATGATAGTGGTGAACCTCTTCAGAAATGTTTGTCCTTTGTCTGCCATGAGTTTGGTTCCCAATGATGAATCCAATTCTGATAGTCCAGCCATTTTGTTCAGTTAAATTTTTGGCCCATGTTGCTCTTATTGCCTGCCTGAATATACTCCCACTTACTGTAAATAAAACATTATTTGATTATATTTCATAAACATTAGTGCTATTAACATTACTTTTGTCTCGTAAAGATGGCTAATTTGCAATTAAAATATGACTCTTAAAAATATAATTCAACTTTACAATCTATACCTCTCTCAGTGATTCTCTAGGAACTCTTCTCTTCAACCAGGTACTAATTTTTTAAGGTTGAAAAATAAGTGCTTGCTGCACTTGTGTCATTACATCAATTGTGACAATGTCAACAGATCTTCCTGTCACAATAACTTAGCAACAACAAAAATAACCCAAATGACAAGCTAAGGCATTAACATGCCAAATGTCACCACCTGTCATTTGTCCAACTGCCTGATGTCAGTTGTCAAACACCATCAACAGAAAGTTGGAGACCACAACAATATGTTACCACTTAAATAATAAATGCAAATTAGTTTTTCTAGGTATATCTTGATCAGTTTACTGAATTTTCATTTCAATTTCAGCCATTGTATTACTTAAAGGTGCTACAAATAGTGCAGGGGGCCATTCAACGATCATCGACAAGTGTCAAAATATATTTAGGTTTGGATATTTCATCAAGAATAACATATATTTTCATTATCTACAAAGAAACCCTCTGGATGAACATTATTTCAGCTGATATTCCTCTTGAAACATGGTGGATCTTAAAAATCTATAAGTGGGACTCCCTTTATAGAAGCTTTGAATTGAATTTACACTTCTTAATGCTGAAATTGATAGTTTATACATACATTTTATGAAAATAGGTATGTCAAAGAAGGTATTAAGCCAAATATTGACCTGATAGCTCAGAAAAAATAAAATTTTTTGAATTTTCTCTCTACAGTCCTTATTGCCCCTTTAAAATACTTTCAATTCAACTTATTTATTATTGGAGTAAATTCCAGGGAAAATACTCAAAATGCTGGGCAGATCACAGTCTGGTGAAATTACTATTTTCTAAGAAAAGGGAAAAACCAACTCACCTGAAGTATCTGATATTATGAGAATCAAAATTAGTTTTTCGGTGTAAGATTTTCTTTCGCACAAATTCTTAGCAGGATAAATGTAGCGAATGGCATCTAAGTATGCCGTGTTGTTGTATGATAAGTTAAAGAATTCTTTGGCTTGCAAATGGCCTCTTTTCCGAACAGTCTTGGGAAGCTTTCTTGTAAACTCATGACATGTCATTGATTCACTTTTGTCACCATAGTCATCAATGTCACTTTCTTCAAACAAATGGCTAATGGTTTTGTCACCAATGTCACTTTCTTCAAACAAATGGCTAATTGTTTTGTCACCATAGTCACCAATGTCACTTTCTTCGAACAAATGGCTAATGGTTTTGTCACCATAGTCACCAATGTCACTTTCTTCAAACAGATGGCTAATGGTTTTGTCACCATAGTCACCAATGTCACTTTCTTCAAACAGATGGCTAATGGTTTTGTCTTTAAAACTTTTGACAAATCTCGTTTGGTTTACAATCTTGTCACCCTCTTCGACAAAATGGCCTATATTATCCTTTACACTACTCACAATACTCACTCTTCCTATGCTATTGTTTTTGATTTGTAAATAAAGTACGAAATATATAGAAAATAAAACTAAACTTAGTATGGTTATGAAACCATACACTGTAGACTGTTTCATGTTAAGTGGAGAATAAAGTCTCTAGATTTCTGTGAATTGTATATATAATTCCTAGGATCAACTCTCACTGTTACAATGCATAATTTTTAAATCCTATTGATCAGCGGTATACCAAGTTTAAGCCAAGCTTTTATTGTAATGAATTCTTATTAAAGGCTCATGTGCAGTATTGCAAGTGATTTTAGACAATCATGTTTTTCACCATGAGTACTTTCTAGGCATAAATACAGTGGTTTTTATTAAAACAATATGTTTTCTCTCAAGTGAAGTCCCCATGACTGTAAAATATCAATCAAAGAGGATCTTCTTTTTCTGATTTTTATTGCATGAAAAGATTATTCAACAAGGGTCTACAACATCTTCAAAAGTAGAATGGTATTGAAAGTCTAGTTTTGAAGATATCAATTTTCGATGACCAAAATCATGCTGAAAACAATGGATTGCATGAGTTTTCCCTATGTAGTTATAACTTTATCGCATTTCAATACCCATCCCCTTTTCAGAAGTTATTAATATAGTGTAGAAGAAACTTTTGATATATTTAAATTGAGAAAAACAAGATCCCCTTGATCCTCTTCAATTAAAATAAAATATGAATATTATTCAATTTTACAATAACTTAGCAACAACAACAATAAGGTAAGGCATAGGTATAGGCAAATAGCCTATATTATCCTTTACACTCCTCACAATACTCACTTGGCTATACTCTTATTTTTGATAAGTAAAAAAGTACTATGTTTATTCATGGTTTATTAAAAAAAACTTAGTATGAAACCGTACACTGTTATCTGTTTCATCTTAGCTGAAGAATAAAGTCACTAGATTTCTGTGAATTGTATATAAATTCAGATCAACTCTCATTGATACAATGCATGCTTTTTAAATCCTATGGATCTACATGTATATGAAGGCCATACACCAAGTTTAAGCCACTTAAAGACCAAATATGCTTAATTTAGAAGGAAAAAAGATAAAATAATCATTGAAACATGTTATTAACACACTCAATCAAATGTAATACAAAGCCTGATTTGCATTAATATTGAACAGAGAAAAAAAGATAAAATAATCATTGAAACATGTTATTTACACACTGAATCAAATGTAATACAAAGCTTGATTTGCATTAATATTGAACCCCAAAAAAATAACTTGAGTAGAAAAAAAGGATTTGAAGTTCTGAGATCCTTAGCAGTGCATGCCCATTTTTGACTAAGTGCATGTTTTTAAATAACTCTTTTTAAAAGATGTAGACACTTCTATAAAAATAGATGAATCATGTAATACAAACAACTTCGCCATCTTTCATTAACATAGGTTAAACCTGATATATAAAAACTTGACAGATTAAAAACATTTTTTGATAATCAATTGTAAGCTTTTATAATGGCCAGTTTGAGCTATTTTTGATGTCTAATGAAAGATTAAGTACTTATCAATCCTCTGGAAATATTATGAAGTTCAAAAGTGAGTCTTATTTTGCTGAAAAAGGTTGAAACTATGTTTTGTGAGGCTTTAAGCTTCTATTGTAATCAATTATTATAAACATTTGGAACATGAAGATTTTAGTTCTCACTTGAAGCAATGGTAGAGCAATATTTAAAACTTGATAATTTCTTCTTCTTAACTTTTTAACCCTAGACGTTTCTCTTTGAGGAATTTCCCATAGAAATCCAATGATACAGTTCCAAGCAAATCTTGAGATAACAGGAAAGTAAATCTTTAAGAAATACCTTTTAGAGTTGCGATATAAACCAAAACAACCCAATAAGGTCATCCCCCTTACCCCTCCATCGAGAACCAATATTACATTCCAGGACCATAATACAAAGGGAAATAAAACATTCTTCACATACTTTACATTTAAATGGTATATTCAGTATGTATTCTTTTACATATATCATTCTTTGACATATTAAATCACCTTTTTGTTGAAAACTTTTTTCACATACTCTACACTTAAAAAGTTTCTCGTCAGTGTGAATTCTATCATGACTTATCAAATCACCCTTTTGATGATAATCACATTTTTATATCTGAAGATCAGTACGTTAAAATGTTTCTTTTGTAATCTAGATGATTCTTGAGTCAAGTCTTTATTACTGTCTATTTGCATGTTACTGCATCCTTGTTCAACAGCAATTACAGAGTTGTTCAAATTTTCCTCGGCCTTAACTGCACTGTTATAGTCAGGAGCAATTATGATATCTTCATTAATATCATGGCTGTCATTTGACATAACACGTCAACTTTGTTTGAATGTTGGTTTCAACAGATTCTCCACTGTCCACGGTTCACATTTAACATTTGAATTTGGAAGACCTGCATTTGAGGCTGAATTGGTTCGATATTGTTCTTGTTTGATACCACTATAGTTGTGTTCTTCATTAGTTTTGTATGCACATGTCAACTGATTGTCCTTTTTCCAATCCTCGTTATCCATTGGTTCAACTTTAACTTTGACATTTTCAAAACCATTTCTCATTTCCAGGGGCCTTGGTTCAACATGAGCCATGATAGAACACTTCACAAGTGCAGTAATACTACCAGTGTTCACTCAGTTTCAATGGTGCTTTTTGGAGATAGCATCAAACAGGAGTGTCCTACATATCCCACCCAAGAAGTCTGACCTCATGAGTGCTATCATTCTATACAGCAGAAAGATGTATATGATATACTGAAATGTCCATAATGAACACAAGTCATCTAACTGTTTCCTTGCTATAAAATATATCATCTGTCAACCAATCCAGTTAGAATGCTGTTCACTATTGTTCTACCATTGTTTTCTAATCTATTATAAAAAGTTTGAAACAGTATAAAGCATAAATTTAGGCCAAGTCTGTTATTTATTGGTTTGATCCAAGGCCAGAATTGGTGACAGAACAGTTCTCTTATTTGTCTCCACTATTCTTCCATTGATTATCATCTCATTTAGAATCATGTGCACTTTTTCTAACTGGAACAGAATCTAGAATAGGTTAAGGAAAGGAACAGTAATGAGTTGGCATATAGCAATTCTAAATGACCACTATTCTCACTGTTCCACAACTAGTTACTTTGACGGAATGTCAAGGAGAGCATTTCTAAAAGCTAGACTATATTGTGTAACTTTGTGCCAGATGATAATCCGCAACATGACTTATACGTAAGTTCAAATCGAGAAAATGAAAAAGTCGTATCAAGGAAGTTCATCCATTTTGTTACATACAAGTTGTATCATTTAATATGTACATTGTACTATTAGATTTTCCCTACTAGATAAGTATGCATCTTTAACCTTATATGAGCACTAAAGGATACATCTAATTCACACTGAAAATAAAATAAAGAGCAAAATATAAGTAAAATAATTTTGTTCATTTATTCAACTTTGGGGCCTACAAATGGTTGTACCAAAATAAAACTCTCGGGGGTTAACAATAGGTCAGTATATGTTTTCAAAATGGATGATCTCCAATTCATTCTTGTTGAATTTCTGGACCTGACAAAAGACAGGTTGCACCCATTTGTACGATCTTCAAAATGAGAGAAATCATGAAAACTTTGATCAGAATAATGAATATATATACATGTATATATGAGAATGTTGCTTAAGGAAAAAATCCTGATTAGAACACTCCAGTGAAAATTTAGATTGTGTGACAATTGCACAGGCAATACGATATTGGGCATATATTTTTCTACAGATAAATGTTTCATGGGTTTGAATAATTGGGTAGGTAAAATGAGAAAACTCCTAACATGATTTATCATCTGCTTAAAACTATGAGACAAAGTCACAACCTACAAATATATTGCAAAAAGGAAAAGTCTAGGTACAGTACAAAAAAATAAAATATAATTGTATACATGTATTAGGGATTTTTTAAACCCAGTTTTGTAAACTCTTGGTTCGTTCATTATACCGATGACAATGCATTAGTACCTTATTCACTTGGCAAATGACTCATTGCCAGCCTAGCAATTTGACAATCATGTTTTCAACTAGCATTAACTACTACAGAACCCAGCTTATACTTCATGTTCTTGGCAGGGGTTTCACTAGAATTTCTCACAACAGCAGTGGCGTAGCCAGGATTTGTTGACCGGGGGTTCTATTTTTACGTTATTCACAAATCCCCCCCCCCCGTTCATTAGGGTTCCTCAAATAATGCAATTGTACAATTATACTCCCTCCAAAAGTTTGGCAATCCTAACTAACCCATTGGATTATGTATTAAAGCATCTTTAAGTTTGAATTTTATATGTGCATAATTTGTAAAGAAAAAACTATTTTGGGAGGGGAAATATAATTCATTTTAACAAAAATGATGTCTTCATTTACGTTAAGCAAAGTCTGAAAGTAATAGGCTTTATCAAGAAACCTCTCCCATTGAAATAACACAGGACGTAAAAATGATTTTCAAAAATGACCTTGTAGCTTTCTAACTTTAATGTTCACTTTAGGCAACATTCAAAAAAAGTCAGACAACTTATAATTAATTTTCTGCATCAACATATATTTCGGTGAATCTTTTACTGAATGAAATCTGATTTGCCCCGAATCCACCATTATTTCGTCTGCTTTCTGGAAGACCCTGGAGCATGATTTGTTTCCAAAGAATATGGTTCACACAATTTCTTAACTTAAGCTACTTCATCTAGGACAAAATAAATCACCCCATGCAATGGCTTATCATTATTTTTCAGGAATTTTGTTGGAATTTGGTTTTTATTATGTAATTTATTCGCGAAACATATCATGACAAATGAAAATGAAGAGCAAGTAAACTGGAAAGATAACAATTTGAATTCTTGGAGTGTATCTAATTTTTTAGCAATGATTGATTTTTCTTTGGAAAAGTGATGGGTAAGTAAATACTGAACAAATGAAAGAATGAATAAATTTGAACAAATGCTTGTGTTTATTCGCTTAACATATCATGACATTAACATGAAAATGGAGAGCAAGTAAACTGGAACGACAACATTTTGAATTCTTTACAATCTCTTAGATGAGTGGAGTGTATCTGGAAAAAAAAAATCATTTTTAGCAATGATTGATTTTTCTTTGGAAAAGTGATGGGTAATTAGTAAATACTGAACAAATGAAAGAATGAATAAATTTGAACAAATGCTTGTGTTTATAAATGATATACGCTTTTGAATAATTAATGTCACAACGTTTTTAATTATTTAACGCAATTGGTTTCGGGGACTTGCCAGCCACAGGGACGTCTCAAGAAATATTTTAAATTTTAATTGAAATAAAATTAAACAAAGATTTACACATTTGAGAGAACATGTGTTTCATCAATATTACGACTATTCCAGACATTTATTCGTCAATGTTGCAAAAATCATTCGGAGTATGGGACGTCTGAATTGTTTTCACTATAACTTCGTATTGGACCAGAACTGGCTTAAAACAAAATTCCTACAAAGGACTGATTTAGTCATTGCCCAAGATGGGTAATTTTGTCCGAGAAGAAGCAGCTTTTAAGTTAATTGTGCGAAATTATTGTTATTTCTAAATGTCAAATCTCATGCTCTGGGGTCTTTCCAAAATCAAATTTAACCCCGTGCCTAAGGTTGCCAAACGTTTTGAGGGAACCCCACTGCCTACGGCTATGAACAGGCTAAATAAATGAAAACAAAAGGCAAAATTAATGGAAATCATAAATCTAACATGGAAAAGTTGAAAAGTCCTGATGAAATCCCTGTTTTGGGGTCCTCTATTTCTTATCTTACTATATATAAAAATGTATGCTTACCACTCTTTGAAAGTACTGGTCCAAAGTCTCTACGATACAGTGGATGAACTCCAGGATAGCTAATTCATTCTGCAAATACAAGAGGAAAATATAACGATGCAACGTTGATTGTAATGTAGTCATAATGTAACCATACTTTGAAGAGATCTTAAAATTATTGTGAATTCCCACTTTAGGTAGCCATTTTGAATTTTCTTAAGCACACTAAAACAATATTGTGATCTGCTCTAATGTTTCTTCTCAATATTGAGTAAAATATAGCCATACTTTGAATAGACTGACAGTTCCTATGCTCAAAGAGTGAATCTAACCAATTCATAACTTTTGATGTCAAAATTGCTTTGCATGATGCTTAATTAAGTGTGCAAGTAACATGTTTCCAAGATTTCTTGACTTTTTTTTAGAAAGGAAGTAGATAATTCTTATGGTTTCTAAAATGTCCAACAGTTCTAACTAGATATCTGGATTTAAATCCTTGATTCTAAATTCACACATAGCTAGCGCAAGGTGTGTCCAGTTCAAGCCAATCAGAACACACTATTTCATGTAACTGCATTCCATTATCAATAACGAACCAATAACAAACTCAAGGAATGGTCATTCCACATGGCAATAAGTCCAGAGCTTAAATCCACCTTAATCTAGCAACAAGCCACAGGGTGAACAGAATCGCACCCTTGAACAGAATACACTTTTTGGGATGGAAAATTCAAAATGGCCACCTTAACATTTACCCAGACTGCCTAAAAACTAAGTAATCAGTTCTAAACTTTCCATAGAAACATCTCTAAAATTTTAGGATGAATCCATGAAACCTGTAAACAACCCTCAAGAGACACATTTTAAGGTATTACTTCACAGTGTGTCAGCTTTTTTTCTACAATTCAGATTTTCCTGAAAAAAATCCTGGTAAAAGATATACTGATGTATTACAAAATATGTGAAAATTGGAAAGATTGACCGTTTCGTTATTTCTAAAAAAAATGTTTTAATTTTAATATTGCTCAATGGGAAATTCTTTTTTATTTTTTAAAGCAAGCCTTCACAGACACGATTTTAGGACAAAAAATCCCAAATGGCCACCTTAACATTTACCAAGAATGCCGAAAAACTAATCAGTTCTAAACTTTTATAGGTAGAAACATCCCTGTGAATTTCAAATGAATCCCTCAAACGGTTTGGCTGGAAACCTGTGGAGAAGCCTTGACAGACAAGATTTTAGGACGGAAAATCCAAAATGGCCATCTTAACATTTATCCAGAATGTCGAAAAACTAATCAGTTCTAAACTTTCATAGGTAGAAACATCCCTGAGAATTTCAAATGAATCCCTCAAACGGTTTGGCTGGAAACCTGTAGACGCAAGCCTTGACAGACAAGATTTTAGGATGGAAAATCCAAAATGGCCGCCTTGACATTTACCCAAAATGCTGAAAAACTAATCAGTTCTAAACTTTCATAGGTAGACCCATCCCTGAGAATTTCAAATGAATCCCTCAAACTTACCTTCTTCTAAGGCCACTGTATCGTGGCCTTCCAGTACAGATATATTCCTGCATGAACAACTGGTCATGTCGTAATCATAAAATTTGAAATCATATGTCCGCCATTTTTCCACATCACAATTTGAATTGCGAGTTTTGGTCTTATTACCTCACCAAAAATTCCAAAACACACACAAAGTGATCAGTGTATTAGTTCACATCTTCTGGATCGCTAACTTAGAATTTACAGCCAGTTTACTAATGTCAGACGTAACGACATTTCGTCCAGTTTTCGAACATCGCCATTTTTCTTGGAGCCATTTTGTTTTAATTTTAGACGAAATCCTGATGAAATCATGTCATATCTCATCAAGGAGCCGAGCTGGGTCCGGTTTGATTAATGATTTATTTATCTGGCGATTTTTAAAATATTCAATAAATTTATGACACCCCGGCAGCTTTTTTCAAATAGAGTTCACAGTATTCCAGATGAATCCCCTCTAGCCAAGTATTGGCTAGAGACTCGAGTAACCTCAAACGGTTTGGCTGGAAACCTGTAGACAAGATTATTCGGGACGCCCGCCCGCCCAACCAACCACCCGGCAAACTGATTACAATATAGCACCTAAGGGTGTGATAAAAATTGAAATCATAGTTTTTAAGAACACAAGATTGCTTCAACCATTACTGACTCAAACAATGCATGTGCATGGCACTAATAAACAATGCATCTTACCTCATCCTCACTCACTCCTAAGATGAAGCACAGTGCACCATATTTCTTGTAAACAACCTTTGTCCCTCCTTTCTCTGAGAAGAATGAACACTGAAATACATGAAAGGTCAAGTGTTGGAGCATATTCATATCACTTCCAAGATAATGCACATTGTTAAACCAGCGTAGATAGATCAAGATGAGATAATGGCACACACAAGAGAATCTTTAATGGATGTGTCTCATCTGATTATGCTTTGAATAGATTTTATAACCCACTGCTATTTAATACTCAAGCCCAGTATTACCCATTGTGGGACCCATAGGCCAAGGGAAAAGTAATAGTAAGCTGTATAGAAGAGACAGGTCCACAAGTAAGACTGAAAATTTTTCTAAAGTTTAGTCTTGGCACTAGTTCTCCTTACTGGTATCAAATTGTATTCCCAAATCTCTCCAAAATTTTCTTCAAAGTGTTTTTCAAACTTATATCATTGTTTTTTCAAATCTTTATCTAAAAACTGCATATAATACTGCATATAAAACAACAACTATGGATATCTGCAATTGCCTGGCAAGCTGAAACTGATTTGGTTGGTTAATACAGAAATTGGGAAATTGTCACTGCTGGAGGTCAGGGAGGTCAGCTGCAGTGACCAATCAGATCACTTGTTTACTAATGAACTTGCCAAGGAATTGCAGGTTTTCAGAAATTCTATCTTTTAGACAGCATTATTCACTCTATATCATCTGACTGAGTTTCAATCTTAGGTAAGAGCTACAAACTATCAATTTTCTATCAACTCCCCATTGCTTTTTGAAAATAATACACTAAATATTGTTGAAATCTCCATCTTAACAAGTGGTCTAAGCCCGGGGGGTTCACTATATATAAACCTTGACGGGGATTCTCGGCGCATGTGGGGTACCTTTTTCAACGCTTGGTATGGCAATGGACCCATATTTTAGGATTTGGTATGGGAATGCCCGGAAATTTCTGACTTCTGAGGTATGGCAATGGTCGGACTTTTGCTCTTCTGGTATGAGAATGGTCGTTGTAGATACGTTACCTAACATTCGTGGTATGGCATTGGTCCAGTAGTTGCAAATTTGAAGTTGTTTTAGATCGTTTCCCGAAGTATCTTCTTTTCCAGGGCCTTCTGCAACTTTTGAATTTTAGCCCTTTTCCTGGGAAATGAGGACCAATCATAGGCTTTGATGAAGTCTCGCGAGATTATGAATTAAGGTATGGCATTGGTCCCATATTTGGACATTTGGTATGGCATTGGTCCTACATTTTGACATTTGGTATGGCATTGGTCCCATAATTGGGCATTTGGTATGGCAAATAATTGGTCCTATATTTGAACATTTGGTATGGCATTGGTCCTATATTTTTGGACATTTGGTATGGCCTTTGGGCATTATTTTCGTTGGTATGGGAACATATTGAAATTTGACAGATTGGTATGGGAACATATTGATATTTGAGGCTTCAGCCTAGGACCCCCGTCGAGTTTTATATACAGTGAACCCCCCGGGGGTCTAAGTCAGACTTGTTCACCTGTCTCTTCTATATAAGGCTTACTATTACTTTACCCTTGGCCTATGGTGGGACCATGGGCTCTATGTATCCCTTGAGCCTAAAATTGAAGGCAAGCTTTTGAACCAGGAGTCATAGGGGAGTTTTTTGTATTGATGTTGAACAAAAATAACTTGAAACTGGAATCCTTTCAACAGAGGTTTTAAGCAAATGGTCCAAAAGAGGATTTCGCGAGACAGATGGACAAATCAATGTTAACTAAAATGGCTGAAAATAAAAAAAAAACGGATATAATATTTTGCCGATTTTTTGTAACAAAATTATTTCATACAACTACCTTTTACAGTGACATGGCTTTTTACAATGCAGGACAGCTAAAATTATTTGTAAAGCTAGGAAATGGGCAAAAAGTGAATTTCGCGAAACAAGAATGGCAACCATTTTGAAAATAGGCGAGCTTTTGAACCAAGAGTCATAGGAGAGTTTTTTGTATTGATGTTGAACAAAATTAACTTAAAATGGGAATCCTATCGACAGAGGGTTTAAGGTAAATGGTTCAAAAGTGGATTTTGCGAGACAGATGGACAAATCAATGTTAACTAAAATGGCTGAAAATAAATAAATGGATATAATTTTTCGCTGATTTTTCGTAACAAAATTATTTCATACATCTACTCTTTACATTGACATGGATTTTTACAATGTAGGACACTTGAAATTATTTGTAAAGCTAGGAAATGGGTCAAAAGTGAATTTCGCGAGAAAAAAATGGCGGCCATTTTGAAAATAGGCGAGCTTTTGAACCAGGAGTCATAGGGGAGTTTTCTGAATTGATGTTGAACAAAAATAACTTAAAACAGGAATCCTATCGACAGAGGTTTTAAAACGTGCCACAGAAAGTGGATTTCGCGAGTCAGATAGACAAATCAATGTTAACTAAAATGGCTGAAAATAAAAAAATGGATACAATTTTTCGCTGATTTTTTGTAACAAAATTATTTCATATATCTACCCTTTACATTGACATGGATTTTTACAATGTAGGACACCTGAAATTATTTGTAAAGCTAGGAAATGGGTCAAAAGTGAATTTCGCGAGACAAAAGTGACGGCCATTTTGAAAATAGGCGAGCTTTTGAACCAGGAGTCATAGGGGGGTTTTCTGTATTGATGTTGAACAGAAATAACTTAAAACAGGAATCCAGCTATCGACAGAGGTTAGCTAGGAAATGGGCTAAAAGTGAATTTCGCGAGACAAAAGTGACGGCCATTTTGAAAATAGGCGAGTTTTTGAACCAGGAGTCATAGGGGGGTTTTCTGTATTGATGTTGAACAGAAATAACTTAAAACAGGAATCCTATCGACAGAGGTTTTAAAACGTGCCACTATTGTTGACGGACAGACGAACGGACAGACGGACAGACGGATGGACAGACGGACAGACAGACGGACAAGTGAGTGATTGCAAAAGCTCACCATGTGAGCTAAAAATGTAAAATAACACACGTAAAAATGGTGGCCATTTTGAAAAATGGCTGCCTACTACCCAAAATGTCATTAGACATTGTGCCATGCTTAAAGTATTCACATATCAAATATGAACAAAATCGCTCCACTACTTTTCAAGTTACAGCAAAAATCGTAAAATGATGTGCAAAGGCGGCCATTTTTCAAGATGGCTGCTGTGTATTTCTTCTGTACATGTATTTACATTTCTAGCTTATCAATGTCCTATATAACTTTTTTACATTTAAAACATATTGCTATTATAGTTTTATATGCAGTCCCTTAATTACTGTTAAATCAGCACTAAAATGGCCGCCATTTTAAAATGAGCAGCCATTTTGAAAATCAGTTTTCGAGCAGAACTTCTACACCCATTGGGTATATGTGTACAAAATATGAACAAAATAGGGCCAATGGTATTTGAGTTATTGCCCGGACGGATGGACATATGGATGTACGTACGTACGTACTGACGTACGAACGGACGGATGGATGGACGGAGGCGTTCCTTATATCCCTCCGAACTTTGTTCGATGGGATAATAATCCAAGTGTAAATTGAGTATTTTTATTAATAATGTTTACACTTTTTGTTCCTTAATCTAATTTGTTTCATCAAAACGTATATGTACGTATTTTATACTGGTATACATTTAAAAGACAAATTAAATTAAATTAAAATCGAGTCAAATTTAATCTCTTACAGGTTCTTGGGAAAAATGATAATGTTTAAATAGCGAACGGTAGTCCTACTAGGGAAGCTTTGTCTATTTAGTGTTCGACATGTTAAGCTACTATATTAGGGGAAAATGTGCAACTTTGAAAGTTGGTAACCCTGCTAGGACCGTTAGGTACCCAGTCACCCAGCCCTGCCCTTACGGAAAATAATTGCTGCGACAGCGCTGTCGCAGCGCTGTGACAGCATATAGGCTTAAAATGATGGCTGGATCAATTTCAGCAACAATCCTCTCACATCCATACGCTGCGAAAACGCTGTGAGAGCGCTGTCACAGCATTCTATTTCCATCCATCGCTGCGAGAGGGATGTGACAGTAATTAAGTGGCTGGATCAATTACAGCAACATGCTCTCTTAGCCACAGTTTGTGGCAGCGCTCTCACAGCCCTCTCACAGCAGGAAGTACCAATGCATTGTGGGTTAAAAAATTCAAACTAAAAATCAGTTAGAGCAGGAATTTTGTAGGAGGAAAGAACAAAGGAGTTATGCTGAAATGGCCATCATATCATTACTAATTTACAAAGCATATGTAAGGTATTGTACTACTGATTATTTATAGATACCTTTGGAATGTTCTAGTGATCTAAGAAAAAGGATCAAATGAAATGAATTTTGTGCAAGTTAGTACATACTGCATGGTTAAACTAAAGGTCTGAAATATCAATGTATTAGCACATATAGACATTATAGTGCATCATAAAGGATAAAATTGATACAGTTGGGGCAATTTGCATGTACATGTACAATAACAGCTATTACACATCTTTCAAACTGAACAATGGAATTCAAGGCAAAAACCAAATAAGGAGTGCATAGATATATAAGCTGGCTTGAATCCATAAAGTAAGTTTCTAATTAAATGCAAACTTGATCTAGGTTGCAAATATATTGTCATCAGTTAGATGGAAATGCAGGGTCTTGGTAGCTAAATGTTTTCTGATATCCCTTATCTTCTTGTCTTGTTGCTATAGGTAACTAAAATTTATGTGTTGGAAGGATGCATAATCAATGCCATATATGGCAATGCTGTGAGAGCGCTGTCGCAGCCTCATTTGCATGGTACATTCCGATGGGCTGTCACAGCGCTGTGAGAGCGCTGTCGCAGCGCTGTGACAGCGGGCTGTGAGAGCGCTGTGACAGCAGGCTGTGAGAGCGCTGTGACAGCGGGCTGTGAGAGCGCTGTGACAGCGGGCTGTGAGAGCGCTGTGACAGCGGGCTGTGAGAGCGCTGTGACAGCGGGCTGTGACAGCCAGTAAATTTGTATAAGGGTGGGAATAAGTCTAAAAAAAAGCTTTACAAAAAAGACCGACCCCACTATTCTGGTTAGTAGTGATTAACCAGAATGAAATTGGTCTTTTAACAACTCATACATCACTTAAGAATATTACATTACACACCACGACGATGTTATGTTTTTCATTGTGATTTGAAATGATCATGGGCTTTCCGTTGAAAGCCCATGAAATTATTAAAATTTAAAACCATATATTTTTAAATCACGACCTTGTAAAGGTACTATATTGTCATTGGATTCTCAGTTTTAGTTTTACTTTCTTCTAATTTTGCATTTTTTCATCCTTATGTAAAAGACTGACAGCTGACCACCATCCACATGTACCCAATTGTGGAGAGTGACTGGTCGGTGGATGGCGGTCGGTTTTTTTCGTAAACCTAAAAAAATCGAGTCAAGTTTATTTCCTTGGTAATTTGTTTAAAAATGTTTCTGGGGCCTATGGCAAAGACGGTAAGTACATGTATGTTTGCTTTGTTCCTGAGCACTGACTTTATGTTGAAAATTATTGAATATTTGAAGTTTACTGTTTTTGAGGGACACCCTGTATCTGATGCTTTCTTACCTGTTTTTCGCCCCTCGTAAGACTCTCTCTCACCACATTCGATATAAGAGAAGATTTGGTAGTATTATCCTTGTAACTGAACTGCTTCTCTAGTCGCAATTGTCCCTGTTTATTCACTAAGAGAAGAAAATCTATCATTTTTTCAGAATGATTTACTTTGAAGAATCGATAAAAGATGGCAGTGTTATTAATTCAACTGTTCATCGACGACTAGCTATATTTGATGTAACAGTAAAACATTTTTTTATTTTTTGGGAACATTTGATATACAAACTTACAAGAAACTTCAAAACTTCATCAATTATAAATTAATTATAATGACGTCATAAATTGCAAATGCGCCATCTATAATTTTGCAATGGCGGACATAAAATTTTGAAAATGGAAGACGGTCCTGGATTAAATCACATTGGGCAGGGCAATCAAGCCCAAGCGCTCACCAACGTTTCATCAAGAAATCACAACTCAAACCACGAAGAAGCACTGCAGCGAACTCAGTATTCAATGCCCGGAATACTACACTTTTTACAGACAGAATGGGCTCGTTTTGAAATGGAACGAGCCCAGTGGGAAGTTGAAAGGGCAGAACTTCAGGTACCTAAACATTTTTACTTTCGATCATATACCCGGAAGCGTATCCGTGGATTATGTATTATTATCAAAGTGGATGATTGGTGTTAAATGGCGTTGTACAGAGGAATTCGACATGTTTTCTTGAAAATATTTGCTCAATGAAAAATCCAAGATGGCCGCCAAAATTGACAGAACATTTTGAACATACATTTTTCATGAAAACCCTTTCTAACCATAGGCCAATTAGCAATCAAGGACTATGGCAGGTTTCTCATATTCCCATTGGAAAGTGGTTTTATGTTTTTCTCTGATGTTGTCCCCGAATGTCGAACCCTCTGCAATTATTTACAAAAATGCATCCATATTTTGTTTATTTGATTCAAGGGTAAGCCTTGTTTCTAGGATTTAGCTTTATTTCTTTGAATCTAAGAGCAAGTATTGATATGCCTCATAGATCTATGTATTTTCACAAATTGAAATTGTCTCCTTTTTGGCACATTTGTTCAGCACAAGGGTCAGATGCATTACGCACAAACTGAAAGTGAATTACAATACATGAAGTATTTTACAATGAATATTTCAATGATTCATATTTCTTTGTGAAGGCACAAAATACGGCTTACATCCTTACATATCCTTGTCCCAGCCATCCCCCTCCCAAAGAGTCGTGACACCCAAAAATGAGATACTGAAATGAGTTACTGACTTGATGTCCCCAAATGTCTTGCAGAGCAAGTCCTATTTAAGAAAGGATATGCCTACTTTGTTACACCCAATAGTTCCTAATTATTTGTTTAAATATTTTCCAAGAAATAAAAATTGTGGTCGTGACAAAAATTGATGAACCAAGGCATGGACTTTCAACATGGCTTTCAACTTTTTCTTGAAAGCCCATGACCAAGGCTACATCTCCGGAAATACTGGAGTGTAAGAAAAATGAAAGTTATGTTCTACATCAATAATCTGCAAAAGGCTTATGAAATCAAATTATCAGTCTCACTGATAGTTTGCCCCAGTTTGAATCTTTTGAAACAGAGACAGTCATTAGGATTTTCCGATAAAATTAAAAATCATATCCCAGTTGGTGTCATTTCTGTCAAATACTCTACATGAGTTTGTCACAGTGTATATCCTTAGAGCTCTGAGAAACATCAGACATTAAATGTAGAACCTGGGTTTTTAGATACTCTAGAATAAAATTGTTAAGAATACTCCAAGGCATCATTCCTGAGCCACACCTGGCTTTTACTGTCAGTCTCTGTTGGATGGTCATGCATCTTGCTAACTCAGCATATGACAGTGAAAGATGTAGACTGTTGAGTGTTAAACATATGTAGCAATTTTTTGATAAATATTATCAATGTGTCCTTGAACAACCAAAACTGTCAAATACATTAATTTCAGCTAAAGCTGAAGCCATCCCTTGATTCTGAAGCACCTGATATATATATTTTTATTTCTCTCTACTTTCAGGCCAGGATTGCCTTCCTACAGGGCGAGCGTAAGGGACAAGAAAATCTCAAACATGACTTAGTTAGAAGAATAAAAATGTTAGAATTTGCACTGAAGCAAGAAAGGTGAGTTAAATGTGAAATTTTACAATGGAACTTTGATGTAATTATCCCATTAGACAAAGTTTGATACATGTAGTGATAAATATGAACCTGTCTGTCAGTCGAACAATATTTTGGAAATGATCATGAATACTAATCTATTAGACTGTTTTTCCTTTTACTTGATGAAGTGATGTACACTATTGGAAAATTTTTACACTAAAATGTTAAAGTTGGCCTTGAAAATAACATTTTTCTTGAGAATCTTAATTATAATTTCCAACCAATTCTGAGTATAACTTTGATATTTTGGTATTGTTTCCATCTAATATATATCTCAGTCATTTTAAAAGTTAGTGTTTTGTCAAAATAAAGTTCAATTTTACACCACATTACTAGTCAATGAGTCCCCCCCTTGGCCATGTTAACAGCAGCAATTATTTTCAGATATGACCTTAAAAGCCCTTCAAATAGGGGTGTAGAGTTTTATAACCCTCTTAAAACCTGTTAAGGCATTTCAGATGAGTTTCCTTTGAGTTTCTACCCTCACCGTTCTCTTTTTCCAACTCAATATCCATCCAACCTGCAAAGAATTGCTACTGTTAAGATGGCCCGGAAAGACACATTGACTAGTGATTTGGTGTAAAATTGAACTTGATTTTGACCAAACACTAAATTTTAAAATGACTGTAACTTTGTAATACATGTACATGTATTTGCAAATACACTTTTATACAAGACTATTGAAATTCAAAAAATATATTCTTTTGTCTGGAACATTAGAAGAGATGAAAGAACAGCATCAAAATTAAGAACTTAGTTAATTTTGAAACCTAAAATCAAAGTGTTTTGATCAACTTAATATTTGTGTTTTCAGAGCCAAATTCCACAAGCTGAAGTACGGAACTGAGCTTAATCAAGGAGACATGAAACCACCGAGCTTTGAAAAGAAGGAGGATGAAGAATCTTTGGAAAATGAACACATAACAACGCCAAATAGTAATGTAACATGGAAACAAGGACGCCAGTTACTACGACAGTAAGTGACCTAAACAAATACTTATCATATCTACCAATGGGTTATTTAAATGTAGGCTTTTGAAAGGAGTAAAAAGTGTTCAATGTTTCACAAAACACAAAACTCAACATGCGTATTTACTAAACAATTACATTACGAGTAATTTGATGTGATAATCTATCCAACTTAACACAGTATTGATCAAAGCTTACCCAAAGTTACAAGATAGTTAGTCATATCACAAGTTACGCCACTTTAAGTTATTCAACTCTTCTCATTTCTCAACATGTCTGTTCTGTAACTTCATGTAGGTATTTACAAGAGATAGGATACACTGACACAATCATAGATGTGAGATCAGCAAGGGTACGTTCAATATTAGGTCTACAACCACAGGAGGATGACAATGCTCCACCCATGGTTAATGGAGATGCTAGGGGGGAGAAGCCACAAGCGGAACAGCAGAGAAGGTAATATTTCTTCATTGAAAGACCAAGGGTAGGGTTGATTTGTTAAAAATAGAGGACAAAAATGAATAGGGGAAGTAAGCTTGTGTGCTCATTACAGTGTCTGGCTAAAGGTATATAATCATCAGAGGCTCAGATCCCCACTCGTATACTCGTAATTTGACGAGTAATTTGTCAAATACGAGAAATAATTTCAAAATACTTGCCATTCGTACGAGTATAGCATGATCTCGAAACTCGTAGTAATTCCTCTCACTCAACTTATTTGTTTGTAGCGTTACATCCCCTTTTAACCACACGTTTTGTCAAATATAGAGACATTTTTCCAAAAAGTTTTAAACTTTTTCCAATCAAATCTTTTCTTGGGAGATTTTAGGTGTATTTCTCGCGCAAACATATGATATAAGCCTGGATATAACCCCGGAGAAAAGTTGCCTGCAAAATCTATATTGTAAATGTTCTGCGCAATTAACCTGTATCCCGTACACACGCATTATGCAGTGTCCGGTCAAATTCTGGGATATGTGATCTCTTAAAACCCTTTTTACTGAGCGCTTGAACCAGTTGGAGACTAAACCCCGCCCATTTAGGGGCCTAGTCAAAGCTTTGCGCCAAAAAATGAAATCTTTTTTAGAATTCAACCCTGAGCAATTAATCTATTATCCCTTCTATAAAACCCAAAAATTCTACTCAAGACATAATCAGAATAAAATACCATGAACTAACATACCTTAGAGAAGATAAATCTGAAGTGAAAATGACAGATAATCAACAGTATTTGAGAAATACTGAGTTATTTGTCCTTGTCGAAAAACCGGAAGTGAAGAGTATGGCTTGCCAATTCAGCAAGATTTAATTCAGAATCAGACGGAGTTCATGAATATAACAATTCTAGTGTTTGCAGTGATTCAATTAAAGAATTGTGAATATGTATTGCATATTTTTTATAATATTGTGCACAAATGTGACATACATCAATTAATGTAAATGAATAAATTCCTGGTAAAAAGGACAATGCCAACAAAGGAAGTGTCATTGAGTCCAGGGAGTCAGTAGGAAGTTGAAGGCCTAAACCAAGGGGGTCCTCTGTTGGCCCTGGAGTTTTCGCACAAGTTATTTACTTTCAATTACAAGTAATTTTTAAAAATACTAGTAAAACTCATACTAGTAATTTTTCCAAAAAACTTGCCATTCATACTAGTATTGTTTTACTGAGGATCTGAAACTCTGATAATCATGTAAGAAGGGGTTATAGCTAAAATTGAGTTTGGAGGTATTAATCCTAAAATCTGGAGCTCACCAATAAATGACCTATATGTGTCATCTGGGATCATTAATGCATTGAAATTGTTACAACTTATAAAAGTTACATCTGTTATTTTATTGATCTCCCAATGGTTTTTTCAAAACAGGGTGTTTAATCCGAATTATACCAGCTCTATATTGTACCCTTTAGGTCCAAACAGAGTTTTAGTTTTAGCTTCGGCTTGTCAATTTCTCAGATTTTCTCTATGTTAGTTTACCTCTACATTTATTAAACTTAAATCGTTAAATTCAACATAATCACATTCTGTCATTTGTTGCAAGTAAAACTTTTCTATGTTTTAGAAATGTGAAGAAAATCCCAGGATCACTAGGAGAGAATGCGTTAATGGACAGTGAGGCAGCAGTGTTGTCTACATTTGACTTCCTGGCCAGTGAGAATGTAGTAGATGATGATGATGATAACCTCAGTGATGAGGAGGGAGGACCTGCTGATGATGACAATGATGAGAGGATGGAGAGACGTAGTGCTAAGGTAAATTCCTGTCCAAATATTAACACATCTAGTGATCATCCTAGCATTAAGCAAGTAGGTGCAACACTCACCTGAGATTTTAAAAAAGGGCTTGCACCCACCCATTTACACTGCACTACAGTAAAGAAGGAATCCCACATGATTGACACCCCGCATACATAGATAAAAAACAACAACTTTGGACTCTAATCTGAATATCATACACGCTCACTGATTTTCCATTCTATTTCTTTAGATGTCGGGTAATGAAGGAATGGCTGGGATGGAAGATATTGGCGATCCAGACACTGATGAAGCTTTAGCAGAATTTGACTTCTTAGTGTCCGAGAGTGGAGAGGGCGCTGGCGAGGCCCGTAGTCAGGGAGATGGGACAGAATGGGGTAAGTCTTTAATCATTGTCATTTTTATATTCAGGGATTTTGAAAAATTAATTCAAAGGCTAGGTTACAATGGGGACACTAAGTTTGATCAATTTAGTGAGACTGGGGCATAATAAAGGGAATTTATATTTTTTAAGAGAGACAACTGTGGTAAGGTAACATTCACCTCTTAAGATAGAATTTAGCAGCAGCTTATGTTACAATACATCTATCAACTCACTATGAACTATCAGACCATGTACACGTTTCATATATTCCCTTGTAGAGAAGAAAGATCTTTCACCAGGTGAGGAATGGAGTGTAGACCAGCAGCTCATTACAAAGCTAAAGGAACAATACAAAAAAGAGAGGAAAGGAAAAAAGGGAATACAACGTATGTTTGAGTTATTTACTGTAACTAATTTGATTATATCAGTAGACATTTAAGAGTGAATATAGTAGAATTTGGACAAGGTGTCGAAAAACACAAGTCAGCAAGAAGGATAAGAATTTACAAGAAATAAAGTTCAACTACACACTCCCTAAAGTGCCCAAGAAATCCTCAGAAATTGTGATTCTCCATAGCAATCATGTCTGATAACATGTTTAGCAGAGCCAAAAATGTCTGAAATGTGATACTCCATTTAAATCATTATAGATAGATATTTATTATATTTTGCAGGGCCAAAAAGGTCTACCCTTCAGGCTATGTTAGCTAACCTTGGCAATGATGAAGATGGGCCTCCACTACAGTCAGGCCAGGCTAGTCCTCCTAGACAGGCCTTGGATATGTCAGAGCTTGATGATCCAGGGGCAATAGAGGAAGATGGTGAGTATGATTAAAGGACAATGTCAGTTTTGCGATATACTGGAATTTTTTTTAATGTTCTTGGGATGATGTCATATTTCAGCACCATTTTGTTTAATTTGAGGTTGCTTTGATAGATGAATCTTGTTGGTTATTTTTATATTTTGCCAATTTAGACAGACGATCTAATTTCTGATGAGTAAGTGTCGATGTAATTCTCATTTACCCTTCATGTTTTCTCAAAGATTTAGTGCAATTGAACATGCTTCACTGAAAACATGGCAAACACATTTCTTTGAATTGAATCCTTCTACCAGATGAAAGAGGATGATTTCATAAATTATTCAGGTCAAGATGACATTCCAAGGTGAACTAAGAATAGAAGAGGCAGTAAAAATCATGTATTATTGCATGTAAGTAAACCATGTTATACATGTTCCAGGACGAGGTAGCAAACATATTATAGGAGTACCAGGTGAAGATGAGGCCCTGGAAGCTGCATTAGGTTTAGGAGACCTGGCTGGCCTCACAATAAGCAATGATGCAGAATCCTTAGGATATGATGTAAGACATATACTTAGTATATTGTAATGAAATATATTGAATGTATTTTCTTGTACATGAAATAACCCCGATATCTTTAAATTTAAACGCAGAATTTTAGAATAAGTCAATGAAGTCAATTCCAAAACGTAAATAATTAATTATTCAACCTATGGAAATTTTGCAATTTTCATGACAATGGAGGAAATGGTTCTACCTTGAAACTAGTTGCTCTTAGTGATAGGCTTATAAACCATGTGAATTCATAACAAAGAACTACCACTTAACTGATTTTCTATTTTAGATATCTTCTAACAAAGAAGCCTTTAGAAAAACATGGAATGCAAAATACACTTTACGAAGTCATTTTGATGGGGTGCGTGCCCTTGCTTTCCACCCTGTAGAACCAGTTCTAATCACAGCTTCTGAGGATCACACCCTCAAGCTGTGGAATCTTCATAAAACTGTACCCGCTAAAAAGTAAGTGTATTCCTGCTTGTGAAGCTCTTGAGTTAAGTCCATTTGGAACATATTGAGCAGTAAGTTGTTGAATATGAAAATTAAATGTAAGCCGTCACTAAAGATAGATTCACAAAATCAATAGAGAAAATCTACAACGTACTGCTTATCCCTATATTTTACTGTGCATATTTCTCTTAATTTTGGGAAGCTACAGCTGCCGTACTGTTGCTGTAGATCAAATGTGACTGAGGCATTAGACATCTAATCATAAGCAAGCCAATGAAATGCCATGTCATGTTTATCATTGCTTTACAGGACAGCTTCTTTAGATGTTGAACCAGTGTATACATTTAGAGCTCACGTAGGTCCAGTGCTGTGTCTGGCTGTCGACCCTACAGGAGAGCATTGTTACAGTGGTGGAGCTGACTCTACCATACGATGCTGGAACATCCCCAACTCAAATATAGATCCTTACGATTCTTTTGGTGAGTAGGAAATTTAAATGAATATAGTAAACCAGTCTGCCTGCCTACTCAAAAGTCTAATTACCACAGTAACCAATATTTTTGACCAATTAAATAAGAGATGCTGATACTTCCCGAATCAATAACCAGATATTTTTGGAAAATTTCATGAAAAAATATTAAAACCTTTAAACTGAGAGTATTTTTGTGAACTTATTGAACAACCTAGTAGAATGCAAAGTTTTATGATTGTGTTTTAATACATGCATTTTTCAAAATCTGGAAATATTTTTTTCTTTGTTAAGATGTGTATAAAATTGCATAGGGATAGGTATTTCTTTGACTACATTTGACTAGATATTTATTTTACCAGATTCTATGATTTTCATTAATGATCTATTACCCTTTCATAATTTTAGATTGTAGTGTTTTGCAGGATACACTAGTGACCCATACTGATGCTGTCTTGGGCTTGTCTATACATAGCTCTAAGTTGCAAGTGTAATTATGTGATTTCAGATTGTAGTACTGCAGGGCACACTAATGGCCCATACTGATGCTGTCTGGGGCTTGTCTATACATAGCTCTAAGTTGCAAGTGTAATTATGTGATTTCAGATTGTAGTGTACTGCAGGATACACTAGTGGCCCACACTGATGCTGACTGGGGCTTGTCTATACATAGCTCTAAGTTGCAAGTGTAATTATGTGATTTCAAATTGTAGTGTACTGCAGGATACTCTAGTGGCCCACACTGATGCTGACTGGGGCTTGTCTATACATAGTTCTAAGGTGCAAGTGTAATTATGTGGTTTCAGATTGTAGTGTACTGCAGGACACTTTAGTGGCCCATACTGATGCTGTCTGGGGCTTGTCTATACATAGCTCTAAGTTGCAAGTGTTGTCATGTTCAGCTGATGGAACAGTGAAACTCTGGTCACCTGGTACAAAGACTCCACTACTTAGCACTTATAAAGCTGAAAATGGTAAATTATTTACACATTCTATTCTTTTCTATAAGAAAATGAAAAATTGCCTTTGTTGAATAATTCATTCAAGGCTAGTCCATTCAAGCCACGAGTACAATTACATTCAATATATTGGAAGTTGTTTAATGTTTCACAAAACCTGACATCTAAAGTGACAGTGTAAATTAATATTTGTAATTTCAATCAGGTGGATACATAATATTTTAGATACCATTATTTTTGACCAACACTTGGCATTGGTGACTAGTTAGTAATTGTAACACTCTATGACACTTGTAATGACATGTATTTCTAATAACTTGTGGTGACATTTTGTCGTGTTAATGTATTTTCATTTTGATGCCCTTTCATTTTAATGGCATGTTTTTCAGAACCTGGTGTTCCTACGTCAGTGGACTTTGTTCGCTGTGAGCCTGGACAGATGGTCACTAGCTATACTTCAGCAAATACATACATATTTGACCTTGAAACTTGTAAGGAAATCATAAAACTAGAGAGCAAAGGAGAATCAGGTAGGACTGCCTTTATATTTCAAATGCATATCTCCAGGGTTTCAAGAAACATTTCAAAACAAGTGCTTGAAAGGTTGAACAGAGTTTGTGAGTGGTACTGTTATTAAAACTGAGTGTTAATTATGAGTGATATCTATAGAATGGACTTTTTTTATCTGATTATACCTTACTTGACAGTTACACTTGTCTCTGTCTCAGAGTGGTGATATTTTAAAACATTCATTATAATTATTTCAATGCAGACAACAAACGGCAATGAATTTCATCTAAAGGCAGTTGAACATTGATGAACTGTCACTGAACTTTAGGCATTCCATGTGAAATTCCAATTTGCATAAAACTCTAAAGAGAACTTGATTTTTTTAGAAGCAGGAGGCCAGATAAACCAAGTGATTAGTCATCCAACTCTGCCAGTCACAATTACTGCACACGAGGATAGGCATATTAGGTTCTTTGATAATAATACAGGTATGTAATAGGCTATTGTTCAGTCAATTTGTTTTTCCACATCCCCTTGAATAGATGGGACTGTTATATGAGAACCTATGTATTTATATTTCAGAAGTATGCAATATTACGTTACATAATTTATTCGGTTATATTACGATGGCATAAACGAAAAAAAATATACTTCAGAAATATCTGAATTAATTAAGACACTTCATTGATAAGAAGTGAATAAAATGTTACTTTGCAAATATTTAAGCTGTTATACTGGAAAGGTTAAATATAACCATCCACATTACTTGTTTTTGTTAATATTCACAGTGTTGAAATTGATTTTCATGAAAAACTATAAAATGTTACATCTGCTAAATCCATTGCTAAATATCTTATCCTAAATGTCTTACATTTTACATATGACCTTTAAGATCTGTGAAATTGTATCTTTAAGATCTGTGAAATTGTATGTATTTTAGGCAAGCTGGTTCACTCCATGGTTGCCCATCTTGATGCAGTTACTAGCTTAGCAGTTGATCCAAATGGACTGTATTTATTATCAGGAAGTATGTATTTTACAAATAAGGCTGTTTTTCATTTATCTTAGTATAATTTATTTTGATCACTTTGTGAGAATCCGACTATCATATTTGTTCATGAATAATGTCACAATTTAACAATTTTTTGTTAGTTTAAATCTACAATTTTCATTTTACCCTGATTTCCAATTGAGTAGCCACTGCACCCTCTGACCTTTATATATGATTTTGTAATTTTGATCACGATACCACACTTGGCTTTCATTGCCATCTTATTACCATTAGTATTATGCCATATGAAATGATGCTAGCTACCTACAGGAGAAAATATAGTGTATTTTCGGATTACACATTGGCAATTAGATTCACAGACTGAATAACTGGATAAGAGTTATATCTCTTACAAAGGATTACCTAATATTTTATTCATTTTGATTTTCCAGGTCATGACTGTTCTATACGTTTATGGAATTTGGACAATAAAACATGTGTACAAGAAATCACATCTCATCGTAAAAAATTCGATGAGTCAATACACAATGTTGCGTTCCACCCCTCTAAACCATACATTGCTAGTGCAGGGGCGGACGCTCTAGCTAAAGTATTTGTATGATACATAGTAACAGTTTAGGTAGACTTTAACGAATTAATTAATCAGGGCTGGCTTTCAGAAATAAAATGCATGAACAGGGGACTCTATAAAAAGCTTTTTGGACACAGCATACCTTGAAAATGTTTGAGCTACTCATGATATAAAAATCAACTTATTTGAGATCTCCGGCAGGTATGTTGAGCTGTTAGAATGAAATGCATCATATTTATTTAATTGCCGAATCAGTTCCGAATATTTCAGAATAATCTGTTGTACATTTTGTTACTTGAAGCCAGTCTTGTACTGTACAATGTACATCATATTTGTACTTGTACGATAAATTGTAACCATACATAGAGTATGGTAATATACAAGGATTATGTTAAGGAGCAATACAGCTATACATGTGTCGTGTTAATCACACTTGTTCGTTTATCAAGTCCTGCAAAAAATCAAGAATTTTTAAGAATGATGAAAAAATATTTCTTGTTTAACTGGAGGTTAACACATCATCACTTGTTTAAAAAAATGAAGCAGTCGATTTTGAGCTTTATCCTTCTGAGGCAGTTTTGTACTCTTCACAGAAGGTCAATATAACCTCTGTGGCTTATACGTATAATGGATATTTTCATTGATCAAGTTCATAAGGTGTGAACCTCATTGAAGTTTACACACAAGCTTGCTACATGAAACTGTCCAGGTCTAATAAATATTTGCTGGATTGTAAAAGTATGCTTAAAGTGATTGTAAAAGTCTGTGGATGTAATACCTCAAGTACTGTATGCAATGTTAAAAAGTGTGTCATATTCACTTTCAAACTTGTAAAATATGATTGATTTTTATAGATCTGGCATTTTTATTAAGTTGGTGTTATATATTAAAATGAAATCTTGAGCTTTTAATGAGTTGGAAGTTAATAACTTCTATTATTGCATTACACTTATTGGATGTGTATTATCCTATATTGTTTAATATGGGGTGTTTTGTCACGGTCGTGAACATATTGTACAGTAATACCTGTGTATAGTGAACACAATAAATCTTCATTGTTGGTAGGTGTTCACTATCATGAGTGTCATGTACAAAATTGATGCTGCCAAAAATCTTCACTATATATGATGTCACTAATACAGGTTTTATAGTAATGCTAAATTGATATAAAGTGCAGTTTGAGAGTTGACCAGAATATGATCAAAAAGTAAGAAATATATAATTGTGTAAGTAAACATGTAATTGTGGTCAAACTGAATTTCCATTTCTTATCAGTACATTTTCTGACATGTTATTTTCTTCCATTGCCTCATATAAGCAACAGCTGCAACATATAAACACACAAAGATGTTGGAGTTCTAAATGTTGTTTGCTGCCAAGTTTTACTATGAAGTTTACAGGGTACAGTAAAACCTGTGCAGGTGGAAGCCTTTTACATTACAAACATGTTGCACTTATGGGAGGTGTTCCGCTTGCAAAAATCTCAGTTGAATGTAAACATTTCTTGCAAATGGTCAAAGGAGTAAAGATATGTTAGATGCCAGTTAACATGTTTTACTGTACTACTGTGCAGCTTGATGCAATAGTAACTATACATTTTTGGTTAAAACTGTTCAGGGACATTTTAACAAACTAAGTGTACAGTATATACTTTCCCTTCAAATTGGTAATTTTCATTAGCGCTTGTTAAAATATATGAGATCAGAATGAATTGATTTTCCATGTTAGCCTGTAACTGATTGTAATTAACAGTTTACAAATTAACAGTTTAACTTGAGTTTATAAGGGATATTCCTTTTTAGACCATTTCTCTTCTGATATGGTAGCTATAACCAATACACACTCTCCATATTTAGCAACTCCAGAAAATGCTTCGATATGATCAGTATTGATCATTTAAAAATAGAGTACTTATTTTCCAGTACACATCCATCTTTTTAAATTGCCAATGTCTTGCTAAATATGGAAAGCATATTTTTTTTTTAGCTACCTTATTAGGAGAGAAATTGCTTGGCAAGGAATGCCCCTTTAAGAGTGATTAATGGTTTTCTTTTCAGTGCTGGCCTGTACTAGGTAATTGTATTTAAACAATATGAATTGGTGCTAGATGAGCCTGTAGAAGGGGTTCTATGAACTTTCTGTTAACGACCCTTTGTACACGTCCATGTGATTCTAAGTTAAGAACAAGTCACAAAAAATCTTTACCTATATCCGGGGAGGCATGTTTAATATGTATTCCATATATTATGGAATTTCTGACAGCAGTAGAATTTACATTTGGGCTTTACTGTCATAGGCATAGTATTGCTCATATCACATTTCATTGCATGCGAAAATTCACCAGGGGAAGAAGTGAAATATATTGTGAATGCTGCAGTATCACTTGAATCATGATTTGTGAAATTCAGTTTCGAAAAGTCAACATAAGACTTTAAAAGTGCATGTTCAGAAAATTTCTTCTTGAATTTCGTACTAGGTTTACAGCACTGAGTTCTGTATTTAACAAAGCAGCTTGTAATTTTGGAATAAGGGTAGCCTGTTAGAAATGTGAAATGTCATGCATGTCATCAAATAATTGGGATATTTATTATTTATTGGGACTTGCATGATTGAGCACATTTATGAATTCATACAGCATAAAGCTCATGATTTATATAATAATTCAAGTTTAGAGATATATCTTGAAACTTGTTCAAGTTTAGAGAGATATGTTAAAACTTAAAGGATGATTTATGTTGTCTCCATTCTCCAAATGTGAGGCATGGAGATCCAGAATTGCTAGTGGATAATTCAGAGATCATGCTTTTGGAGAATGTGTTTTCCCAAAAATTGTGACGAAGACATTTTTTCACTCAACTAGAATAAGGTAGTTAGTATTGTCCATGCAAGGTATAAATTCAGTAAAACTTGTCTAGTGAACTTCAAGCTCATTTTATTTTGTATTTATAGAGCCATGTGGGGTTATTCCCTCAACTGCTGGACTGTCTATATAATATTCATTATTAACTTATAGCAATTGTTCCAGAATCATTAAATCATTGATCCGCCAGTTCAAACTATCAACCCCAAAACAATGTGTAAATATGGTGAAGTATAATATGTACAGTGAGGATGAACATATGTAGAATCATGTAGGTGAATTATGGAATATAAACAAAGGTATGCATGTATTATAGTAATGAAAGTAATAATAAACATCCAATATATAAACTGGCTGAAAGTATTTTGAATAGATGCTACAGATTTATTCCTGAATGAATTTTCATCCAGGTAGCAAGAAACCATTGGAAGAAACTTTAGAGAATTTTAGAGATCTTTAGTTGACATAAGTGTGACCAGAATTTAATCAAAGCAAGGAATTAATTTGGGCCTGAATTGTGTTTTCTAAAGGATGTAAAACTGTGGCATAATTGGCTGTAGAATTCACTTTATATAGAAATCCAGATTGTCTCATGCAAAATTGGACCTACGACTTTAATTTGTAAAAATGTATTTATTAATATTAGTGAACATAATATGAACTGTACAGAATTGTTTAAAATAATATCCGATTGTTTTGTTTCTTTATTTGTGTTAATTTCATTATGGTTTGCACCCCCTCCCCTTATATAACAAAATTAAAAGATGTTGATTTGTCTAACTTGAATATTCAAAAATCAATATTAATGAATTACGATTTGCTAATGAAATCGTTTGCTGAGGATGTTGTGCAATATATTCCTCGCATACATTTAGTAATCTAGAATCACTGTCGGTTTCATCACTGACCAAACATGATACTTGATGACGTATGTTTTTATGTCACCATCAAATCTGGTGATATCGTCTGCCAACATTTTTTGTGACTGCGTTCGGAGTTTGTAACAAATGGTCGTGACAATTTGCATGTTAATGCCTTGTCTTTAAAAACACTTTCAAATTTCAAAACCACCAGTATTAGGCCAGGATATAGCATGGGTTTTGGGAAGTTCAAGGGCCACTTGATAGACATAATGTTTCTGAAAGATGACTTCATTTAGCATCAATTCATATATGTCTGGGTCTTTTTAGTTTGTGGACGAAGGATTCTGAGCAGTTTTACCCCCCTAGAATAATATTTCAGGGGGGTACTATATTATCATTCTATAAAATCAGTTATACATAAACTATAGCACTGATTTATAGATATTATGTTGCTAGCACTGTAGTCAAGTGTTTCCCAAAGTTATAGAGAGATATGTTGATCGGTTTTGACAAAAACACAATTTATAGTAAAAAATAAGCATATTTTCATTCGTTTTTTAGTCTCGCCAACTTTATTGTTGCAGCTTCAGAGAAATAATTGGCACCAATACTGCTTTAAGAAGTAATCTAAAATTATTTCCAATATATGTGGGGAATTGTAATATAAAGAATGTAATGATACAATACTATTTGGAATTTTAAATATGGCTTTGTTGACCCCTACCCCTTAGAAATATGAGAAAGTGAAGATGGCACAATTAGATCAGAAATTCTATAATGAGTACTAATACTTCTCCAAGTAGCATTTTAAAAATGTATGTGTGATATGTAGAGGTAATTTAATGGGAGGGATGGAATATGAATTTTATTCTGAGGTAAAATATGATATTGGCCAAGGAAAACATCATATTGACTGAGGGCAATAGCCCGGGTGTTAATATGATAGTTCTCGAGGCGAATAAAATAAATAAAATTCATATTCCACCAACACCATCAATAACCTATTTATTAAATTGTTTTTTTTTCTGAAACATAAAAATCAAGAGAAATCCCCAGGAATGGTTCTGATATAGGATCTGATATGTGATTTAGGCTGATACAGGATCCAATACAGGATCTGATATAGGAATCTAGCTATAATATGGGATCTTTTGAATATCAATTCTATTCCCTGTTTATTTCCCAGCGAAAACATGCTATTATTGAATAATGTTATAATTTTGTAATGATCAACTGTTTTTTTCTGGATGCCTTTGTTAGTCTAAAGGGTCATTTCTTCATGTTAAATTCTTGTTTTTATATTTTTCTTTTTCTAAAAGTTTATCAAGAATTTCTCTTTATAAGTCAAGGTCTTATGATTCTTATTGAGATGCATCAGTCTGCATTTGTATGCTCATTAATTCATTTAATATATCCTTAAAAGTACAATAATTTACATCCCATTGATGCCTTGAAGCATGAGCTCTGTCTAGTCCAGCATAGCTTACCCAGGCAGGCACATGTGCATTTTATCAGCTAAGGGATTCCTTCCAGGGGAACAGGTAATTGCTATTGAGTCTATGCTGTCAATCTTAAAACTAAATATAGTTTAATAGGGAGTAGCCATATCAGCATCTTCTATATCCCCCCCCCTATAATCATTCAATAGGGACAATTGACGTTACATACTTATTCACATAGCACTCCTAAATGCACTGTTTACCACTGAAGGAATCCTACAGTTGATTAAATTCACATGTGACTCTAAAATACACCTTTACCCATGAAAAAATTCTCACTCGGGAAGTTCAGCTGCATCTCTGAGGATGCTTTGTAGAGCTGTTAGCTGTTTGAAAATTCTTATATGATTTATTCATGAAGGGATAATATATTTTATTTGTTTACCCCCTCAGTCCCACTCCGTTCATGAGTATATACTCACTTACTCCAAAAGTAGTTCATAAAGCAAACCTTTTAAAGCCATGGCAAGATTCTACAGTTGATACATTTCACCCATTTCTCTGAGGGTTAAGAAACTGTATAATGTTTGTGGTTTATGCTCCCAAGGAGAATTTTAATCTACAGTTGTACCTTAACCTCCCCTCACCCCATCCATTAACAAAGGAGGAAAATTCTTATATGACTTATCCCTCCCCAATTCATCGATAGAGGATGGCTGATGGACATGATGGCTGATGGTGCTCCCAAGGAGAATTTTAATCTACCTTAACCTCCCCCTCACCTCAATCATTAACAAAAGGAGATGTAAAATGTCTCTACCTGCCATTTGCTACAGATGTCGACCATTGACTGCCAACTGCCAACCCTCTAACACCG